CTACATTTGGGAATCCCAGAACAAAACAATGAGCCAAACAAAGAATGACTGCTAACTTTCTTGCCTACAGTTCAAAGAATCACTTTAGAGTAGACGTCCCACCTCTGAACTCTTCTAAAGAGCTACAGAATCTCCACCCTTGCTGATGACTTCTATATCCTCAATGCCCTAAAGTGAAGCCGTGTTTACTCCCGCCTCGACGGTTGGTATCTGCGAACGACTCGCTTCGGTGAGCTTGTTCGAGTGCCTCTCGTCCAGGGAGTGGTGATGATCTTTACCTTGTCTCGATGTCTTGACTTCGGTCGGTCGGACTTGGTGGGTGTTGAGGAAGTCTGAAAGGTGTTTAGTTCCTCTTATTTTCACTTTAATGCTGGTGATGATCTGATCGGGATTTGGAGTTTGATCGTGATACCTATATTTGTTTCAAATAAAATTAATATTTGCTCTATATCCTCTTGATTACTGTAAATGATCTACGTAAGATCACACGACATTTCTCTAGATTCACGTTGCAGTGATGGGACTTTCCGTAATTCCTGACAAGCTTTTGCGCAGAATATATGCCCCAGCTGTAAGATATCTCACGTGGCTCCCTGACTTGTGACCTCTAATTCCCAGGTCTATCGTAATGTATCATTATTCCTCTAAAGGGTATCTTATGGTTCTTACAGCATGACAATTCATGAATATCATTTAGCCCCCTTGGAAGTCCCCTCGCGCGCATTCGCATTGGAGTTACCTCCTCCACCACTTCCCTTACCACCACCACCACCACCACCGCCGCCGCCTTTCTTCGATCGCCCGCCGCGTCCACGCGATGATCCCGAGCCACCTTCATTTGGTTTACCCCCACGACCACCATTGGCATTGGTGTTGCTGTTGTTATTGTTGCCACCAGCGTTGGTAGGCTGAGGCTCATTGCGGTTCTTGCCACGGCCCTTCTCTCCACCAGGGTTAATCTTGCGTTCCAGAACCACCACTTGGCTTTGGGCGACCGATACAGGGCTGGCGGCGATCGCCTTTTGTAGTGCGTCTGGCTCTGCGAAATCAATATATCCAAAGCCCTTCTTCTTATCAATCTCCACCTTCACGACCTTGCCGAATGTCTTAAATGCCGCTTCTAACAGTGGCTCCGTCACCCCCTGCGAGGGATTGGCATGTTTGAGGAAAGCTTGCGTTGCTGTAGAGGCTGCTGGCGGTGCCTGTTTCCCTTTCGATTTCGAAGATTTACCAGAGGTGGGCGGAGTGCTAGTGGGAGGTGTGTTCGCTTCGGACTGGGATGTCGGCTCATTGGGCTGTGGCACGTTTCCTTTGACCTTTGCATTCTGTGACGAGGCGCCTCTCGATGATTTCGGGGGGGTCTCCTTCTTGCCCGATTCGGCACTCGTCGGTTCGGTTTTGGATGTATCCGTCTCCGCCGAACCGCCCTTGCCACCCTTGCGACGACCGCCAGATGGTGCCAGGCCCAAGTCTCGCTGGAGAATCTTGGCTGCGGCCGCAACGCTTCCCCGTTCCCGTCTGCGCTCCGTGGTTGGGGTAGACTGACCGGTCTCCTTGGGCGAGTTCTGTGCTGCGGAGGCCTTCGCGGCTTGTTTGGCGACATTGGCAGCCTGTTTGTTCGCTGCTCTCACAGCTTCCTTCGTGGCTTTATCCGCCTTGGATTTCTTTTCATTTTTCTCCGGGGCCTGCGCCGTTTCCCTATCGGGCCGCTGTAGTAGTTTCTTTGCTTGAACCTTTTCCGCCTTGGTCTCCTTATCGGCTTTGGCGTGCTTCGAGGATTTATTGGAACTATCTTTCGCTTTGTTCGCTTTCTTCTCTTTGATATATTGCACTAACGGTGTGGTGGTCACGGCCTCCTTCTTCTCCTTCTTCTCCTCCGCATCAGTGGCATTCTCGACTGTAGGCGGTTTGGTGATCGGTTGTGTAAGACTTTCGAGGAAGGCAATGAAATCGGGGTCCTGGTCAATAGTCCCTTGGCGAGCATCTTTCCGTACACGGCTCCCGGGGATTTTCGCATACGGTGCATATTCGACGGAGGGGGGCCCCAACAGAATGGGATCGTTGAAGGTGTTTCGAGCGTCCGTGAAAGATAGCTGACGAACCTTATTCGAGAGTGGGATGATATGGTCGCTGGACACAACGTGAACGTAGGCACGCGAGGGTCGTGACGGCTTCGCTGGGCTGTTTCCCGAATTAGCACTCGACAATCTACATAGCACGTAAAATTAGCCGGGTACTTACTCCTTAGAAACCTTGCCCGGCTTATATTGGAACCAATCAGTCTTTCCCGCTCCAATTTTCCATTCAGGGCCTATAGCAGTCTCAAATTCTGCCTGTGTTAATCCCGGAGGCAGTCTCCGCACTAGGAGCTTGAGCCGTGGTGCAGCTGGTTTGGGTGCTTTTTTAGGCGTGGGGGCGGCGGCGGCGGCGGCAGCAGCGTTGGCGGTGTTCTTCTGTGTCGCTGCGATAGGGATCTGAAGAACACCTCCCGTTGATTTCCCAGCTGCAGTCTGCGTCATGGCGTAGAGCGTTTCAGAGAGATCTACACTCCGAGAGGAGTGAGATTGCGGGGGAGGGGTTTTCGAAAATGGAAGACCGAGTTGGAGAAACGGGCCTGTGAAAGATTTGAGAGGGAGGTAAGAGGAATGGAACCTCCAAGATGGGAGTCGATACAGAGACTCCGGTAAAGCCAATAAGTGGCAGAATGGATTGGGGGAAGAGAGTGAAGAGCAAAAAAGCAATGATAAGTCGGTTACGGGACACCAGAGGAGCCAATCACGCGACCTCGAGATACCCAACAACCACGTGTGGGGAAAAGCGTCACTTGATCTTGACTAATGATTCAAATCCAACCTTTGCGACGTTCTAGATATCCGGCCCCCGTGCAAATAGACGGTCCTTGCTCAATAATTCCTTTCCTCTCTTTTTGATCGTCCTATCCCTGACTTCTATCCTCCTATCGAAGTACCCCTCAATTCCCCCCTTTACTCGGCGCTTTCGTCCACTGTCACTATGGTCGATAGTAAAGTCCCGCAGCCAGGACCGGCCAAATTAAAGCGCAATGCCGGTCCCGATGAATGGTTAGAGGCGGCGAAAGATTGCAAGTATCTCTCAGAGCAGCATATGAAACAACTGTGTGAGATTGTGAAGGAGTACATGATGGAAGGTAAGCAACCTCCGTTGAATGAGATCCATGCTTGTTCCTCCGAGGCTCACTTGTGTGCGCACGCTTAGAATCGAACGTACAACCGGTCTCGACGCCCGTCACAGTCTGCGGAGATATTCATGGCCAATTTTACGATCTACTGGAGCTGTTCCGCGTGTCGGGCGGCATGCCAGACGAGTCTATGGTCGAACCCCCGAAAACATCATCGTCTGTGATCACCTCAGCTGATATCGAGCCTCCCTCTGAAATCACGGACCCCAAGCTGCGGAAGAAGTTGCGGAACTCGGGATCTCATTCGGAAGGCGGCGACGAAATGAGCTTACAGAGAGAACGCTCTTCAAGTGCCGGATCGAACGAGGTGACACTGAACCGGAATTTCGTCTTTTTGGGTGATTATGTCGACCGAGGATACTTTAGTCTGGAGACTTTGACATTATTACTATGCTTGAAGGCCAAGTCAGCCATACTCATGCCCGGTCTTTTGTGAAATTGGTACTAACGAATCTTTCGGCAGGTATCCGGATCGAGTAACACTGGTGCGTGGGAATCACGAGTCCCGACAGATCACGCAAGTCTACGGCTTTTACGAAGAGTGTTTTCAGAAGTACGGCAATGCATCGGTCTGGAAAGCCTGTTGTCAGGTCTTTGACTTCATGACACTTGGGGCCATCATTGATGGCAGGGTGCTCTGCGTACATGGTGGCCTGAGCCCGGAGATCAGGACCTTGGACCAAGTTCGTGTAGTGGCAAGAGCTCAAGAAATTCCGCATGAGGGTGCTTTCTGCGACCTGGTCTGGTCCGACCCTGATGATGTAGAGACATGGGCAGTCAGCCCAAGAGGCGCTGGTACGTCATTTTCAATTCGCGAGACGCTGGTCCTTTGACTAATGCTTCTGTAGGTTGGCTATTTGGAGATAAGGTGGCAGATGAGTTCTGTCACGTCAATGATCTGACACTAATCGCCCGCGCGCACCAATTGGTGAACGAGGGATACAAGTACCACTTTGCGAACCAAAACGTGGTGACGGTGTGGAGTGCACCGAACTACTGCTACCGATGTGGCAACCTGGCATCGGTTTGTGAGATTGGTGAGGATCTCAAACCGACATTCAAGCTATTTAGTGCGGTCAGCGATGACCAACGGCATGTGCCCACATCGCGGCCGGGCCGTAGCGAGTACTTCCTGTAAATTATTGCATGACTTGATTTTCGTTCCACAGTTTTCTTTTTTGGGCATACGGAGGGGCATACTGTGATCTGGTGAATATTCGATTTACACCCGGCGCTGGCGTTCGGAGAAACCGTTCATGTGATATGCTCTGCAGAGAGTGACGGATGATAGGCACGTTATATAACGATATTAGAGCACACTTAACGATGGTCATGCTTGGAAGCTAGGACGCATATTGGATGTTTCGTCAAATGAAGTCTCGAGAGGTATGAACGCGGCCAGTGGTGATGGTGATTAAGGGCTACGCCTACCGGGAAACCATCGTACAGTAAGCGAAACCCGCCAATTTGTTCGTATTCTCATTCCCTAGACATGTCCTCCATATGATGGGCTGATATGTATCTTTCTCCACAGCCGGGGCGGAAATGGTGGAGGAAGACCCTGACCCGAGGGCTGGGCCGTGATGATTTGCCGTGCGGATGCCGACCCCGGAATCAATCCCGTGGATACCCCGGGATGCATTCCGGAGCCCCGAACTTAAGAATCAGATGACTGCACATGCCAGACAAACGGAAAGTTTCACAATTCATTGAATTATTACCCTTATTTTGTTTTATTATTATAACGCGCCGAAAGGGTACGCGCATATTCGCCAAGGCAGTCATGGTCGAGAAAGTTGACGTCCTTATCTGCGGAAGTGGATCCGCAGGCCTCTGCGCTGCTACATGGCTCGCCCGCTGTGGGATCCGCTGTAAGGTGCTGGAGCGCCGCGACGGACCTATGACAATGGGGCAGGCGGATGGTGTTCAGTGCCGCACAGTCGAAATCTTTGAGAGCTTCGGAATTGGCGAAGAGTTGCTGCGCGAGTCCTACCATGTCCTGGAGGTCGTTTTCTGGGCTGTCGATGGTTCCGGCGACATCAAACGTACTGGCCGAACGGCAGATACACAGCCAGGGCTATCACATCAGCCGCATGTAATTTTGAACCAGGCCCGGATTAACGGGTTATTCATCGAGTCTATGCAGCGGTTCAATAACCAGATCATTGATTACGGGTTTGACATCAAGAACATTGAGGTTGATAGCTCTCTCGTCAATGATCCCCATTCGTATCCGGTGAAGGTGACAGCTGAGAAGGAAGGGAGGACTGAGGTCTTCGAGGCGAAATATGCTCTTGTATGTTTAACTCGTTTCTGGAAAGTGTCGTCGTCTTTCGTATCCTAACGGTCTTTGCTATAGGCGTGCGATGGAGCACACAGTACTGTCCGTCGCGCACTGGGTTATAAAATGGTCGGTGATAGCAGCGACGCAGTCTGGGGTGTCATGGATATGGTGCCCCGGACGGACTTCCCAGATATCCGGAAGAAAACCACCATTCGCTCCAAGGCGGGTAACTTATTGATCATTCCTCGTGAAGGCGATGCCCGCAATTTAACACGGTTTTACATTGAGCTGCCGGCAGGGACCAAGGCCAAAGAGGTCAAGCTGGAGGACCTACAACAATCTGCTAAGGCTATTCTCAGCCAGTACAGAATTGAGTTCCCCGAGACGGTGTGGTGGTCCGCCTACGCTATTGGTCAGCGCCATGCGGACTTCTTCCATAGGGATTACCGCGTCTTCCTGGCAGGTGATGCCTGTCATACCCATTCCCCCAAGGCCGGTCAGGGCATGAATGTCAGCTTGCAGGATGGATATAATATCGGCTGGAAGCTGGCCACTGTTCTGAAAGGATTAGCGCCTCCATCCTTGCTAGAGACGTATGTCGTTGAGCGACAGAAGGTAGCTATTGACCTGATCAATTTCGACCGATATTTCTCGAAGCTTTTCTCGTCTGGTGGACAGACATCCCCTGCCGAATTCCAGGAAGGATTCATCAAATCCGGGAAATATACTGCTGGCTTGACGGCCAAATACGATAGTTCTGCGATCACGTTTCACACCGAGGGATCAGAACAGCTTTCTACTAATATTGTGACTGGCATGAGGTTACCAAGTTCTCAAGTGGTGCGGTACTGTGACTCAAAGCCCATGCAATTGATGACAGCCTTGAAGTCGGATGGCCGCTGGCGAGTCATGGCCTTTGTGGGCGACATTAGCAGACCTGAGAATAAGTCCAAGTTGAACGCAGTAAGTTTGGTAGTATTCTATCCACCTTCCGTGCTCTCGCTGACAGATCCAGCTTGGAAACTACCTAAGCTCAGATGACAGCCCATTGCACCGCTTCCGCCAGAAGGATGCCGACATGGACAGCGTGATTGAGCCTATCCTAGTCGGCTATGGGAAGCGACACGGCATCGAACTGGAAGAAATTCCAGAGGCTTTCCACCCAATCACCGGAAAGAATCAAATCAGAGGTAAGGGATTCCGATCCCCTTAAGTAAGTGGCACAAGACTCACTTAATGAATAGATCTGCACAAAATATACTTCGACGACGAAAGTTACAACAAAGGTCACGGCCGTGTATACGAGTACCTCGGTATCAGCCCTGAGAAAGGTGCAATTGTGATTGTCAGACCAGATCAATGTAGGCTTTGCCCCCCATTCTATGTTTTGAACGAGATTAATTGACTATTTCAGATGTCTCGGCCGTGATCGGACTCGACGATTACCGGCAAATAGGCCAATTCTTCGAAGGGTTCTTGATCCCTCAAGGTGAATACGCCTCACCGGAGAGCAAATTATAAGGTGTTACTCGCATTGGATGTGCATACTATGTGATGTAAAGCCCATTCAGATATGATGATTATGAACAATAAAGAGCCTTCTATATGCCCAAGCACATGTATCCCACTCTCATTAATTCACCCACCATAAGAACAGTAAGGCAAGACCTCCCGATACACCATCCTCTCACATCCAGTAACTCCCTCTCCGGAAGGGTCCCTCTTCAACAAGAATCTCTCCACCTGGGCATCCCCAAGCCCCAAACAACTCGCTCGCCGTCTCCGAGACTCGATCAATCGCGCACCGCCCTGGCTACTGACACCCCCCGCCGGAAATTCATCCTTGTAACTCTGACTCGTGAGGAAGCAAGCCTGCATAAACACTCCCACAATAAATACCAATACAACCAACCGTCGATGCTGCAGATCCAGCTTCAAACCGGATCTACATTGTGCTGGGATCTGGGAATCATGTCTCGGGTTGGAATCCGTCCATCTGATATCGTGGTCCTCGTATGGCGATATTGCCTGTTGCAAGCACTCCAGTCGGGCTTCTTTGGGAGGAGACGTGTGGGCAGCATGCAGTTTGTTTCGTTGATGTAGGCGTCTACAGTCATATCGTGCTCGGCTGTAAAGCTCTTCTCGCAGGTTTAGGATGGGATATGGAACTGTATTACGTGTTGAGGATAGCCCGGGTTGACCGTTCATGAGAATAGATGCCTTTCCTGGGATTGTACTGTAGGCATTGGAGCTTGAGATGCGTCGAATTTGCGAATAGGGTGTAGTGTAGCCCGTATGAGCCGGGGGGTTCTTTATAGGGAAGACCGCATATGACCAGCACGGAGCCTGTTTGAGGTGCATTGTAGTGGATGGAATATTTGGCTATATGTATGACAGTATGGGTATTTGCTGGGGATATAACACTGACTTCGCTACGAAATGGTGCAGAGTATCGTGGCTATAGCCATGCGGGGTCCTGGGCCTGGAGTGGGACAAGATAGAGGAGGAGAGAGGTTTGTCTGTGCATGCATCATGTTGATCAGAGAAAATTATGATATAGTGAACATGTGAAACTGAGTGAGTTTCGGGGATCCTGGAGGATCGCATCGTCATCATGTTTATGGGGACCTGGGTGGTAGAGTATAAAGTTGTCTGTATCATCCTGTAAGAGAGCGGAGAGAAAGTTGAAATTATCTCAATGCCCAAAAACAGAAAATAGAATTGCGAACTATACAAGGAAGTAAAGTAGAGCTACTACTGTTTTCATATCACCCTTGCATGAAACTGAGAAGGTTTGAGAAGATTATTCCTATGGCATTTCTATATGCGGCTTTAAGGGGCTGATAGGGTGCCAGCCCTACATACCATGCATGGCACATTCACGTATTATTTGACTGAGTTTGATTAGTTGTATCCGAAGTCTGAGTTATGTACGGATATGGCTGGGGCTTATCCCTGACTACGAGTCTAGTGTTGACATTGCTTTTTTCAGTATTGGGCGGCTTTTATACACACGTACTTGAGAGAAAGTTGATTAACGACACTGAAATGAAGGGAAAATAAAATAAGGCCCAAATGCCATGTTATCATCCATCGTGGCATGATCCGTCCTGCCAACCTAGTGATTGCTGAGTAAATCTCCCCATAGTGAGTTCGCCCACAACGATGCCAGCCAGTACTGCGCAAAAGATGCCTATGTTGAAAGTCATGACGGCTAGCATTCTGAGAATATTGATTAGTTTATAATAACTTTACATCAATGGGACCTCACTCACAGGACATAGCCCAGCAGGGCACGGATGCCCTCTAGTAGTGATCGTCCTCCATCTTGCTGCCAACTCCATGGACCACTTGGGGTCCATTCCCCAAAGAGTATCTTGAATCCCCTCCGGACGCGCGACGGTCTTGTACTGCTGGGTACTAACTCGCTCCGCTCATCTTCATGCGACGGTGGAGGAGACGAAGGCGGTGGTGATGGTCTTTCGAATGGATCGTTCGCGTTGACTTGTATGTACCGCGGAAGAGGGCTCACACGATCCTTGGAGATCTTTCTGTATCGATGTGCTGCGGGTGGTTGTCCCAAAATTGGTACCGGAAGTCCAGACGCGCGGGTTGAGTTTGTCGTATTTTCTAGCTGGAACTTGAGTGCTCCAAGAAAGCGGTTGAACCAGGCAAGCAGGAACAAGAATGCCAAGGTGAGGAGATACGTGGTCATAGAATTGGTTGTCCAGATGCTGAAGAATAAAGTCACTTTCGTTCCTGATGTGAAGATGGCGGGCATCGACATGTCATGATGGCTGTGACCATGGTCATGGCCACCTGTCTCATTTTGCATTGTCACATCCATGGATCAGTGGCCATAGGAAAAGAAAGGTATAACGTTCGGATTTCTGGAAGAGCTGACGGGATTCCAATTTATATTAGAGTGGAATGGGCTGTTGGGCCTCGCATGTCTCATAGGGCTCATTCAATATTATATGGTTTGATTGACAAATTGCATAAGCACCACATGAGCTCGAATGAGCTGAAGATTCTGACTGGATCCTAACTTCCTTATTGTACATGCGGCGTTTCCCCCTTGTTTACATGCCCTTTTCACCGCTAGGAGACGGGGTTTATTCATCTCTTTGCTGCCGAGGCTTTACCCATCACGTAAAGTGTAAATGACGACGGTATGTTTATACCGAATTATCGTCAGAATATAGAGACGTAGGCCAGGTCGAGCCTGAGACCCTGTAATAATCCTCGTCATCATAGTCTTGATTTGAAAAGGCCTCATTTTCACTCATGTATTGCATGGCGTAGCCAGTCTGCTGATCACGGTGGTTGGTTATGAGTTATCAGCGCAAATGTGCTCATTGTCTCCACCACCAATTCCTAGTCTTTTAATAGGTACAAATTCTTCGCTATGGCTATCAAAGGTACCGAGTGTAGCGCCTATTTCACTTAACATATTGTATGCTTTTTTCTCTATAAATCTTTACCCATTTTATCCACCATTCATCGAGTCTGCAACACATGCCAGTTCATATGATTTCCATAACTCAATATTAACATGACCCCCAAAGCCAAGACAGCAATACAGTCCATAATATGGACTGATTTCTTCCTCTCGAATGCATATCTCAGTCAAATACCTCGACATCCCTCTTCCCAATTGCCTTGGGGATGGGCGGCTCTTGAAAAGCGACACAGGTATCTTATAACTTACTGCCCACCAGACAGAACCTTTAAATTAGTTGTACTGACATGTCAAAGAATTCCATTTTTCAAGACCAACTAGTGCGGGAATGCAGGCCGTCTATTGTGGTGGAAAATACGTTTTCTTCCTCCTCTCCTTTAAATGCTTCTTGATGTGCTTTTCGTCGTGTTCTTTATTATTTATTGACTAGTTTCATGATTTTCGATTACATGAATACTCGGATTTAAATGAATACTCCTTCCTCTGATGAGTCGCTTAGATTTCTACCCTCCGTGCTTTGAATGTTGCCCATTTGTTCCCCAAATATTGAAAGCTTGGAAGTCTGTTGGACTGTTCCTTGAGCAGGTCTGAGCATAAGAACCATACACCTCGGTTGCTTACACCGCAGAATAAATTGATGTGACTTCTGTATTGGCAATTTTCTTGACATTCGGGAATCCAACTGCATGGCGTCACAGAGCTCAGGAGGGAAGATGCCACTTGAAGATCATTCATATACCCTAAGGATGGCATGGTATCCTTGACTATATATGTATGCCTTCACGTATCTTGCCCGTTACGGGTATATATGTATACCACGGCGGTCCACAGGTATAGAGTACTGTTTTATAAAGAATACTGTCTGTGAAGATTCCATCATCATTGACATGGATTCCTTCCCAGTAGAGAGCAAGCATCGTAATTCATGAAACAGAATGCCAATCACATAGAAAATGTGGGGTAACATCGTGTTTTGTGAGTCATCAGATCTCCGTAACCCTATGCATAAAAAAACACAAAATACATTTATTTTCATATCAACGCCATTCTCCACCGAAATATTTATCTCCACATATTCCAATTATCAATCCATTAAACAACCAAACCAAACAATAAAAGATCTCAGAAAAGATGCCTCAAGACCTCACTTTCACAATCCCATCCCACCTAGATGAGTACAACATCCCCCTCTCCAGCTTCAAAGCCGCCAGGCCGCAATGGACCAACTTCATAGTCGGGGGACTTGTCTTTTCTCGTTTCTCACGTGATTCCCAAAACAAGAGCAACGAGGAGGGCGAACCAAGAGTCCTCCTGCTCCAGCGTGCCCTGACCGATTCCCTCCCCGGTTACTGGGAGGGCCCGGGCGGAGGCTGCGAGGAGACCGACGAGACGATTTTGACAGCGGCTGCGCGGGAAGTCGTGGAGGAAAGCGGGTTGCATGTGTCGAGGATTGTGGATTTGGTCGGGGTGGAGGAGTGGACGAAAGAGAAGAACGGGAAGATGGTATTTGCGGCCAAGTTTTCGTTCTTGGTGGAGGTTCATGAGGCTCAAGGCGTTTTTGGAGAGATTGCTGGAACGGACCGGGAGAAGACGGTTGAAGTTGAGGGTGACGCTGTGCAGCGGTGGGAGGATAGGGTTCGACTGGAGCCCAGTGAGCATTCGACGTTTGAGTGGGCAACGGAAGAGCAAGTGAGGTTGGGGTTGGAAGGGAAGGGGAAGTATAAGATTTTGGAGGATGAGGGTCGGAATCTTATGAAGGCATTCCGTTTGGTAGCGTAGTGAGTTCTAATATAGATGGAGGCAGTTATGCTACAGTTAGAATAACATAGAGTGGCGAGAAACATTAATGAAGCCAAGCGCCGTGCTTTTCTTTGGAAAATATTGATACCATCGCCAGAGAGTGCAACCCAAAGACAATCATCGTAGCCTGTCGACATCTCTCTAAAAAGCAGACTAAACTACAGGTGCTAATGTCCCGCTAAATCTAGTCAACGTAGCAGTCAGGAATTCGGTACAATACGTGGCATATCCATTGTGGTAAAGAACAGGTATCCGTGGATAGAGAGATTGGACTATGCTTTAGGACGACCACATTTAAACCTCAGGAAGATCATCCTCAAGAGGCAGAGCTCCGTTAGCTTGCTTGTCAAGAGCAATGCGGTCTACGTCTTTCCAAACGCGCAGCAGGTTGCCTCCCACGACCTTGCCCGCATCCTCATCACTGACACCCCTTCTGAGGAGTTCGGCAATAAGGTCTGGAAATTTGGAGACGTCGTCCAGGCCGCGAGGAACGGAAACGATGCCGTCAAAGTCGCTTCCAAACCCGACATGGTCAAACCCGATGAGATGCCCGATATGCATGATGTGGTCGGCAACATGCTCTAAGGTAGAATTTTCGGGGACGAAGTCAGGGAGCCCGTTCGGGCTATCACCAGCCTTGCACGAGATGAAGCCCGGGGCAATGTTGACCATCACTAAGGAATTCCGTGATTTGACCAACTTCAACACATCGTCGGGAACATTACGTGGATGAGGGCAGACGGCATATGCGGAGCTGTGACTGAAGATGACCGGCGCACTACTGCCCGCCCAGTCGTCCTTGCCTGCGCCCAGGACGTCTCGCATGGTCTCAGCGCTTACATGGGACAAATCAACAATCATACCGAGCCGATTCATCTCAGAAACTAAAGCCTTTCCAGCCTCACTGATACCGTGCCAAAGGGGGTCGGCCTTCTTCACGCTGCCGTCTGGGAGCTCGGTGACGGCAGCATCAGCGTAACGGTTGTGGCAATTATGGGTCAGCGTTGCATACGATACACCCTGCGCGTAGAAATGACGCAGATGGGCAAGTGAATTTCCGATAGAATGGAGGCCCTCCATACCCATTGGTGAGATGATCTTCCCGTCCAGGAAGGGCTGAAGAGCTGTGGTACCATTTGGAGGCGTGGAGAAGGTGTCCGGATAGGCTTGCTGCAGGCGGAGCCACAAGTCTACCTGTTCCATTGTCTGACGCACACCTGATAAATATTAGTCGACTATGGTTAGGGAGACACAGTGGGAATATCTTTTACTTAGAGCGTAAGTGGCATCAGAAAAGTCCTGCCAGTCTTTGGGGCACTCCACAAACACGCTCCAGAATGTGCCACCAACTTTGCCCTTGGAAAGACGAGGCAGGTCAACGTGCCCGGGGAAGTCGCCATGAACAAATTTTGTAGTGAAATTGTCCTGATAGATATGGTTCCCATATTTCAAGCGGATGAGAAACGGAAGATCATCATGGCCATCTGTACTTCCGCTTTAGTAAGTGAACACTCAAGTAGTCCAAGGTCGTTGTATATTACCAATCAATGGGGTTTTCTGGAGGATATTGTCTACTCTTTGTTCCAGGGTTAAGAGCTTATGATGTCTTGAGATTCCTATCCCTAGGGGGTCCGACCGGAGGCTATGTGCGGTCATCACCAGGAAGAATGCTAGGAAGATAAAATAAAGAGCGCGTTCCATTTTTTGGCCGATAGTGAGTTTTGCTGGAAGGGGTTGCGCGACAGCCTGCTCTTCAAGACTGAAGGACTGAAAAAGGTGTCCTTTCTCGTTGGACAATGGATCGCCCTTATCGCGCATCATGCCTAGTGGACACGCGGTGGTCTATATATGTGTTGGCAGAGAAGGGATCCGACAGCTCCGTATTCTGTCCAAATTCCACTGTATGTCTTAGTCGACGTGTGCCAGTAGTATGCTGGTATCTGCAAGTCGCAATGCAATTAATAATGACAGACGGATTGACGCGGATATTGCAGGTTATTAAGACTCTCGTCTTAGTAAGTATGGCGTTATCATGGCGCTGATATAGATTGGCGTAGCGATTGATAAGCGTGAGGGATGAAGTTTGACTTACTGGATGGATCAATCGTCTGTCGAGAATGACTTGAAAGGATACCTAGTGAGTTTATACTATCGCAACCCATTAGTTGATATAATCGATATCGGAATAGTCGCCGAGATGAAGAAGGAGAGCTAAACTGAACTGAATTCGATCGTTGAGTCGAATCAGGTGTCGAGGCATGCAAGGGCCTGATCTGGTAACTCGTGCGGGAGCCAATCAGCGTCGAGGCGAAAATCCCCCGTGACATCGAAGTTTCTCACCATCAACTTTTTTTGGATAATATTTCGAATATTTCTCTCAACTCAACAACGGCCATTCGCCAAAACCAACCGCTGTAGGAGACTACCTATGCTGTATCTCTCTTAGCTCCAGTTATTACTAGTCCTTACGTCAGAAGAGCTTTGTTCAACCTGGAGGGAATCTGCGATGCCACTGCAGGTTTCCCCACTGCCCCTCTTAAACAGTCAGCTCTGAGTCGTTATCTTCGACAAAAAAGAGGCATTGACCTCGCACGGATTAATTAGGCAAGGAAAGCCTCGTCGCTAACTTACCATGGCCGAACTTTCTCTGATCGAAGGTATATTTCTTGTTATCTTCATATTTTCATCATCCAAAACCAACGACTTTTTGCTGACGAATCTAGGTCTTGTGACCTTCTGGCATTCCTATCGTCTCCCTATTCTTATTGCTATCGCCTCAGTCGCTATCATTCTGAAGGTCTATCGCAAGTTCCAACCCAAGTCCAAAGCCGTAACTGCGTCCTCAATCCCGCCATCACCTCGGAGCCAAACCCCAGAGAAATTCGAACAGACCCGTACGGGGGAGAGTGAGAAACCGGCAGTCGCGGAGAAAAGTGTTCCAAAGCCTGCTAGTGGAAACGACGCTGTCCCGAAGGTTGTATCTGGACCTAAGAGAGTATCTGGGAAAAAGCCACTGAAGGTTGCTGGGCGCCGTCGGGAGGACCAGGGACCCCCGTTGTCTTTCATCCAACCAATCATTTTCTTCGCCTCGTTGACAGCGACGACGGAGAGATACGCTCAGATATTGCTAGAGGATCTGCGGACTGCCGCGAAGGAGAGAGCCGACCCGGAGAACCGTGAGCGTGGCCTTCTTCCTCCTCAAATCCACGACCTCTCATACATTGACTTTGACGATTACTTCACCACGGCCCCGCAGCCTCCATCCACCTCTCCTGGCACACGCTATGTATACTGTTTATTGATCCCTACCTACAACATCGACACCGTCCTTAATACGTTCCTTGGCCATTTGGATGAAACCCACCACGACTTCCGCATTGACACTTCCTCTTTGTCAACTTTGGCTGGTTATTCCGTTTTTGGGTTCGGTGATAAAGAGGGTTGGCCCACCGAGGAAGAAGGGTTTTGCTCGCAAGCTAAGGAATTAGATCGCTGGATGGCGAAGCTTACCGGCAAAAAGAGAGCGTACCCCCTGGGCCTTGGTGACGTTAAGAGTGATGCTGAATCTGCCTTAAAAGAGTGGTCCCAGGGCTTGCAGAATATTTTGGTCGACATTCTTGATAATGGTGGTCTCGGTGAAGGCGTTCCTGGTAGCGGTGATCCGCTGGAGAGTGACGAGGAGGACCTGGACGACGACGAAAACGACGGAAACCGTTCTAAACGACGTAATGGCCAAGATGTGGTTGATCTAGAGGATATCAAGATGGGTTCTGATGAGCAGTCCGGATCTGGTCCTGTCCCAGTCGACTTTACTACCGCGGGCAAGTCCACGGCACCCAGTCAATCAACTGTGAAGGAAATGGTTCCCAAGACGTCTCCCACATATGCTGCACTCACGAAACAAGGATATACTATCGTCGGCTCTCACTCCGGTGTTAAGATCTGCCGTTGGACTAAGTCCGCTTTGCGTGGCCGAGGTTCGTGTTACAAGTTCTCGTTCTACGGCATTCGATCCCATCTGTGCATGGAGGCAACTCCTTCGCTTTCTTGCAGTAACAAATGTATTTTCTGTTGGCGCCATGGCACCAACCCAGTCGGGACAACTTGGCGTTGGAAGGTCGATTCACCAGACTTGATTTTCCAAGGTGTTAAGGAGGGTCACTACAAAAAGATCAAGATGATGCGTGGTGTTCCTGGTGTCCGTGCAGAGAGATTTGCAGAGGCGATGCGTATTCGCCACTGCGCCCTGAGCTTGGTCGGGGAGCCGATCTTCTACCCTCACATCAATGAATTTTTGGACATGTTGCATAACGAGCACATTTCTAGCTTCCTGGTGTGTAACGCTCAACATCCAGATCAGCTTGAAACGCTGCATCGTGTGACCCAGTTGTACGTCTCGATTGATGCTAGCAACCGTGAAAGTCTACGCAAGATTGACCGCCCTCTTCACCGAGACTTCTGGGAACGATTCCAGCGGTGCCTGGATATCCTACGGGAAAAACGGCATGTCCAGCGGACTGTCTTCCGTCTCACCCTGGTTAAAGGATTTAACGTCGATGATGAGGTGATTGGCTACGCGAATTTGGTTGAGAAAGCATTGCCGTGCTTCATTGAGATCAAGGGTGTGACCTACTGCGGTACTAGTACTAGCGCCGGAGCAGGATTGACCATGCAAAACGTCCCTTTCTATGAAGAGATCCAGGAATTCGTTGTTTCATTGAACAAGGAGCTCGAGCGCCGCGGGTTGGACTACGGAATCGCTGCCGAGCATGCCCACAGCTGTTGTGTCCTGCTTGCCTCGACGCGGTTCCATGTGAATGGTAAATGGCATTCTCGCATTGATTACGATCGCTTTTTTGAACTTTTGGAGAAGGAGAAAGCCGATGGTACGACGTTCCGCCCTGAGGACTATATGAGGGAGACGGAAGAATGGGCCTTATGGGGCAACGGTGGCTTCGATCCGAATGACCAACGTGTTCACAAGAAAGGTAAAAAGAAGGCCCTCCAGGCTGCGACCGAGTGATAGAGCAGCTTCACCCAGCACTTATGAAGCTCAATGCTCCCATTAAGCGCCTAGCTCTGCAGCCACGGCGCTAGCGCCATTACCTGACCACTACTCCTGCACCTTGTGGAGTACACAGGATCTACGGAGAGTATAGCTGGCCAGAACAAGGCTCTGCTTTCGCATAAGCGAGCTCCTAGAAAATGCCTATCGAGATATTGACGATAAGAAGGAAAAGAGTTGGAGGGAACTATTCATACTACCTTCGCGTTTGCGAGGAGTGTCTTTGAGAGGCGCGTGAATATTCCAGAGGTGCGATTGCACGCTCCGAATTTATAAGAACGGCGGCATGTCCGGTAGCATATGTGTTGCTATCTTACTGAGTTGACCAAGGACAAAACAAGCCGAACCTGTACATAAAACTCAATTGATGACCGTGTTTCACGCATGATTATGCATCAGTCTTCCGGCCTCTCCCTGGGCGTGTTTTAAATATCCTCAATATCGAGGGTTGACTGATATGATAGATAAGAAACCAAGTACAAAGTCACTTGCAATGTGCAACAATCGATACCACGACGTCTGAGTGTCATAACAAAGTAGGAGATCATCTACACAGGAGTTGTGGGCCGATGCTTGGGAGAAGCTCCTGCATTCTCATCATTGAACGTCTGCGTCTTGAACTTCCGCGCAGGGAGGTGCATTTCGAACATCCGATCGATTTCCATAGGTGTCCGATCTTTCATTTCGGGCACGACATACCACGCTGCCACCAACCCCAATAGACAGAAGCCGGTATACACGAAGCCTGTTTTGGCACGCAGATTACCCTGATCCGGGTTGAAGATGTATGGTAATACGAGACCAAAGACCCCATTCGATAACCCGTTGACCACCCATCCCAAGCCCTGTGATTTAGCACGCAGACGGAGCGAAGATGCTTCGGCGCCAACGGCATAGGATGCTGGCCAAGCTGTTGCGCCGCAAACGGTGATGACTAGCATCATTGTGACTGCGGACCACCTAGATATTGATCATTAGATCGGCATGCAAAGCGTAAGCATAGTCTCACGGCAGGACTTACCAAATGGTCACTACGCCCTGGAAACAGCCTAGGATCCCCATGCCAGTCCATAGGAGAGTGGTGATACCCAATCCAATCATGATAAGTGGCACCCGATTGAACCGAGATAGTGTCCACATACTGATTATATTGGCGACCAGACCAAGTGCAATCCCAACCTCTAGGAACAGAAGACTATTGGTCGCCCCCATGCCGACAATTTGTAGAAAATAGCTGGATTTGGACATGAGAGTTAGGCCGAAGAGCTGTGAGATCACATTGGCGAATAGGACAATCATTGTCCGGCGAAGATTGTTGCCTCTGAAGCACTCAAGGTAGCTGGCGGCGTGGTTCTGCGCCTGTTCATCTTCATGCCGGATGGAGGAGCACAGTTTCTCTATGGCTGCGTCTGAATCTACTCTCGGCGAGTCCAGTCGGCGTTGGGATTTCCGCGCTGCATCCATTCTATTCTTACGGATGAGCCATGTTGGGCTCTCCGGGAGGATAATGGAGACGAGAAGAGGGAGGGCCGAGAACGGCCATTGTGAGATGAAACACTTCAGGTAACCACCTGAGCCTTTCTCCTTTAGGGAGGTGAAGACGACGATGCTACCGATTAGTTGGCCCAGTAAAGTGAAAAGAGGGAAGAAGGCCAGGATCGGGCCTCGCAGCGTGGGAGTCAGGACTTCGGACATGTATGTCTGCACTGTGCACATTAACATGTTGATAGCATAGCCCTGGGATAGTTTGGCTACGAAGAAAACCGCCCGTCGACCATCGATCCCGACGGGCAGGTTGGATACATAGGCGATCGCGACACCTATTGCCGAGATGATGCTTGCGGCCGCTAGACAGGAACGTCGACCGAGGCGGTCCTGCACGTAACCGCCGAAGATGGCACCGAATATGCCTCCGATGGGACTCGCGACATTCCACAGACCCAGCCAGAGAGATGGAATGATCAACTGGCCATTGAGCTTGCGACCGAAGTCGCGCCTTTATCATGTTAGAACACCCCGTGGAGATCAAGGGGTAGAAGGGTCCTCACTGGAACTCGGGCATAGACGAGACATTGGATACAACGGCCAAGTCATAGCCGTAGAGGATGATGCCAGACGTAAGGGCGAGACAGTATCCTGCCACCTTTGGGGATCGCTTGATATCTCCTAGTACAGATATCTTGCCCTGAGGACGGGGAGGATCGGACTGGACTTCATCGTGTTCAGCAGTGGGTTTGCTGTCTGCATCGACCATTTTGTCCACGTTGCTAGGCATGTATTCGTCGTATACTGGAGAACGACTGAAAGAAACGTGTCAATCAACCTTTAAATGCTCATAGACGATTGTCTGTATCAATAATATTATATGTAGCAAGATCAAAACAGCCCAACTACCCTTAATTCACGTCGATACCCCAAGGTACATCGCCAGTGCATACACGGGGCGTGGTGACTGACTGGGGTCAGGTTTAGTAGGTTTCAATCGTGCTTCCACCTCCCAGATATATGTGAAGGGTCATTTACAAGCCAACCTCGGTTTTATGAGTACTTGGCATACATCCAAGCGAAATCTAATTTATAGGCTCAACAAATTAGAGTGCACTCATTCAAAGACAAAAGGCGCAGTCGTGCGGGGTTAGTAGCAACGAGTCGTCATATCACCTACTAGTGAAGATCCTAGCTGAAGCTAGTAGTCGATGCCGATTGATCTCTTGTACCTGTTTATACACGCATAACACCCTATCTGTAGTTGAGCTAAAGGGTTGGGCATTATGCAACGTATCACATCCAACGAATTAGTGAAACAATTCTGCCTGATGCTCAATAATGGCAAATGATCGGCTGTCTGCATGACGACAACAACAAAAAAAAAAACCAAAAATAAAGAAACAAATCTAAAATGACAGCAATGGTACCTCAAGTTCTGCCAGAGCGATTCGAAGTGGTTGGTGCGTTGGATATCTTATAAGCTAAGGCTAACCCGACTGTTAGAGTATGGTGATTGAAATTGTGCTGAGAATGCGTTGGTCTGTTTAAGTAGCCATACAATAAGACTTATAGACGATTATTAGTTATGTCTCGACATGAAGCTGTCCAACAACGTCGCGTTCGGCTGATAGTGACACAGAGCCTGGAATTGTCAGTACACAACAATCATATGACCTTTGATTCTGTCATCTAACCTTGTGCTACTGAATACGGCTTGAGGAAATATAACTCCATGTTTCACAACATTCGTTAAGCAAGATTAAGCAGCTTGTGTGGTGGATTGCAGGGAGTTGTTCCGCCACAGAGCTCAATCCCCTAGAAAACAGCCAGATCTTTTGTGAAGTTTCCCACGGATTCCCTATTTACCACGAGGCTTGGACATAAAAGTGCAAAAGAAGGTGCAAGGAATGTGGTAGTTCTGTATTCAATCTCATACATGGACGCAAAAGGAGTGGAAGGGTGCAAAGTGTGTACTTTAGTAGCGAGCGTCCGTGCCTAGAGTAGATGTCAGATGTCTCCAGACGGCTGGAAATACACGCATACCAGTCAGGCACAAGATCATGGCAGGCTTTGGAAGAGATCACTGCCAATGCGTATGAAGTGATGTGATAAGAATGTTTTTTTTTTTTTTTTCATCCTGCACCCAACTCACGCGCTTTGGACAATTGGATTGACCTGGGAACATCTGTGGGCATTAGAGGCAGCACCTAGACTGATGTTAAACACTATGAATATAAAAAGGGATAGAATATGATATGCTGGCAACTTTTGTCCTCTACAGGGAATATTAGGGCATATATTGCAATCAGTTGCCCGGAGTTGTCAATGTCCATTATAGCATAATATACAATAGAGAGAAAATTACGGGCTGCCCATAAATCTAAGAGGTTACAATAGACGGGGTGTTGGCTACATGCTGGGCTAGTGAGACTTGCAGGGACGCAGTTTTGTCGATCATCAGTTAACTCCAGTGATTTGTGCATGGCTAGTATACCAGTTAAAGGAAATAGGATAGATGCGATTACTCAGTCACTGGATAAAAATGTGCTATCTCCCATACCTTAGTATGATAGTCCGCCGACCTCATGACCCTGACCTATCACCAGATGTTATTATCATTTAGGCGCCAGCGAGTCAGGAGATATGCTTCAATATAGAGATAAGGTCTTGTTATGGAAGCTAACAATCTGCGGAGGAAACCCGGAGACCGTGAAGAGGATATCCACCATCTGTCGTTGGGTCAAGCTTTAGAAAATGTTAGGAAGAATCTGGAAGACAACACATGCAGGGAACTAATTAAAGGTTGTCATATAATTGCTCGGCTAGGGTACAGGGTTGCAGTTTACAAAGGCATCAAGGGTTCGTCCGTGCGTTCTACATGTATGTTCGAACCTGGCAATACAAAGGTGGACTCTTTCAGTCTTGTGCGGACTAGAATGTGGAACAAAGGGGAAATCGCATTGATCTTACATAAACTTTTATTCATCCATGCAGTCTGCTCTCTCTAACATTGCGTATGAATTTCACGTCAAAGAATGTGCGCATTGGGTGTATATACAAATACATGAGGGCTTGCAAAGTTATTCATTCTTCAGAATGATCAGTTCAACATCATTGCCGCCATATATACTAACCATGACGACAGTTGCCAAATCCTCAATCGAGATACAGAGCATTCGGGAGATCCAAATGGATTATCTATTAGTTGGCACAGGGGAAAATCGTAAGCTATGGCAACATCGTCAAGTTTCCCTAACAGCGGAGGATATATCAGGCATACAATTTAACCAAGCCCATTGTATAGGATCGCTTATTGCAATGTCATACGGCGGTGATCAAAGTGGAAATGAAGTACCCACAGTAATATACGATGCAGTGCCGTGTGATCCACTTAGTATTACCGCTTCTTTGATGTTCGAAGTAGTGCGCGATAACGAGCATGTTAAAGATAGTTCAACAGTACAGGAGAATCCCAAGTATCTATGTTGACTATGACAGAAGCTTTTCTAATCTACATTAGCGGGCTTTAGCTCTGATCATGTCTGTCATTGAGTGCTAATGTGTCAGTAATTCCTCTGAAAATCCCTATAAAGCTTAAACGAGCAAACTGCCTGGTTCCTTTTACATTGTTCAAATGCGAGACGAAGATGAAGCTCGGCTAACAGTCCTCAAGTTATACACACAATACTGTCACAGCCTTAGGGGAAAATGGCACTATTGGACAGTGGGGTTGCCCCGGCTCGAGTCTGAATACTCCACTCCCTTGACGCTGGTGGACCTGTCAGTCGAGGAGCTGGATCCGAGAGTATCCGGGTCATTTGGTATAATAATAGTACAATGGATTGGCCTTAACAGGGGAGTGACCCCAACGGTGCTGGCTAGAATCATAGGGATAAGCAGGTAGTAGTATCCCAAGGCTGTCGACGTTTGGGCTATGAAAAATGTTTCCCTTAGCACAGTTGAGTGGCCCCATGGTAAGGCCATAGCATAGCTGTTACGACGTGGAGTAATATAAGCGTCTACAATTTTACCCTCAGCATTTCTCCCGGATGACACTGTCTTCATCCCTGTTGGCTAGGAACATGCGCATCCCTCGCAAGATATCATAGCCCCACAGCTGATCTCGGAATTGCGCTTTTCTGTATGCGCAATATTCCGAGCAATTAGATCAAACAATCTTATATATGGTAATAGCACCTGGTGCCTTCTGCTTCGCGACCCTACTGTGTCTTATGTTTACCGAATGACAGAGACGATGTTTGTATGTGGAGCACGCATATGCTACCCACACGACTCGGCTTTTTCGAAAAGCAATGCTTCCCTACGTCGGGGACACTTCTGGCATTACATGAGGATCCCGAAGTGGAGCTTCAGCGCGAGTCATACAGCACGGGTAATTTGTGTTTCACGCCTATTGCCGTGTGTCATTTTGCCCGGCTGACGAATACTTACGGATGTTTCTTTTTCCTACGACAATTATGATGTATGTCTGGGCCATATCTTGCTTCAAGCGAGTCAGGTATACCCGTACTATAACTGACTGTGTGCAGATGGGCTGAGCTTCATAGCCTGGATCGAGATATATTGGCTATGGGTAGACTTGACCGATTGGGTGACTCTTCTGGATCAAACATCCTTCCGTACCACGGCCTTTGGTCCACTCCAAAAGGGTAATATGGAACCGTATATGTCGGATTTCCTTAAGTTTCTGAGCCGGTACCGACGTTTGAAGAGTGGAGTGGATCCTTCGTAGTAAAATCTCTGATCTATACAGTTTGTCTCATGCAGTTAGCATGTTCCCACTCGACCATACACACCAATTGGTGGTTTGTATAGCCTGAGTACCTTCTAACATCTAACACATCGAGACCAACCTATGGTCATCGCCCCAGATACCGGGACTATCTCTTGTTGCATTGGATCGATAAAGCCACAAGACGAGACCAATCGCCAAATTGTGTTTCGGTCGAGCGGAAACAAGGCTAAGAGACTCTGGTGGCAGCGAGGTCGTGTTCCAGACCACATCTGATAAAACGTATCCAAGTGCCCTTGGAGGGTCAGGTATGTATCTTGATGTTATCCAAAGTTTCCTCAAGCCTTAGGCGCGATACGGCCCGCAGGATCTCATCAGAAGCGTACATATCGTCGATTCATTCCAATTTTCGGTACCATTCAGAGCCTGCGACAGTCATTCCTTGGAAACGCCAGATAAACACGCAGTTAAGGTTGTGAGCCGTCGGGATTCTAGCAAGGAAGAGGAATTGTCATCGTGGATCTCCCGTGTGGTAGCATGTGATCTGTCACAACCCTAGGGATTTGACTGTCCAGACTGTTGTTGGCTGGTTCGATAGAATCAGAGTTGTCAATCATCGGGATTTTGCCATGAATGCTGGCCAAGGCGCTTTTTCGGCATCCACCCGGGTACGGCAATGAAAAGGAGTCTGTTTTCATTTGCCGAGACGATTAATCGCCGGTAATATAGAGATTTACTGCTTGTGTTTTTGAAAACTAACAGCGAAGTCCGGAGACCCTCCGACGGCGGAGTTCGGGAAGACGAGAGCTGCAGATCATGTCCGCAGAGAGTCATGCATGATGATGCCTTAGCCCTGCGGATCGTTGATGCGGGAGGGAAAAAAGGTATATTTAATGCCTGGTGTTAACTGTCAATCTTCAGACGGTGGTCCGCTGGCCAAGTTCTCCGTTAATCCGTCATGCAGCTACGCGAATTAGTCTTAGTCTGCGCTAATGAAAAACCCCATCCTTCCAAAAACATTAACCGAAGTGCCAAGAATAGTGCCCAGCGCTATTTCAGGAAGGATCATTATACTTGTCTCCCTTTTTGCTCCTGGTGACCGGGCTCTGATTCCTTGGAAGAAGGAGTGACTCCATTGCCACGGCCTCAAATGGCCTCAAAAGAATAGAAACAAATACGAGAATGTCTTGGCAGATCCAATTTCCGAGACCCATGGTTGTGGGTTTGGTGAACTTGTTGGTTATCCCTGACAACAGTTAGTGGCGACCCACACGTGTGCCGTTTCCTTGGACTCTTGGAGACCTTTTCCTCGACAAGGGCAGGAAATGATTGGTAGTAGAAATGCCGACGGGGTCTGGATTCCTGCATTTACTAGTGACCACAAGGGTTCTTTTTGGGTGTCAAGAAAAAAAAAGATATTAGGAACTAGGTGCTCCATACAAAGACATTGTTTGCTGCAGGATTGGAACTATTAAGGTTCTTAACCTCCATTTAATATTAACAGGATCTGATAGTTAGCAACCACTGTCGGGTTTCCAATAGTTCCAATTTGCGCGGGATTTATATACAAATCGAGGCCTTTGACATGTCTCAATCTCTCCCGGGGATCGAACTGTTTCATCCCTCCCCGGTTTATCGGATCGCGGAGGACTTCATGACGACGGTCACTATCTCCTGCCGCTTTGGTGATCAATTCCGGTCCAGTGGATCTCCAACAAGCGGCTTGATACGAGCTAACAGCGTTGCGTCGTCGGTGAAGAATGCTACATTTAGTTTAAGCGATAATCCATAGACGGGCTTGTCCCAGCCAAAAAAGAAATAGGATAGAACTACGCGGTCATTATTCATATGCACAGCAAATTAATGCACGGTCATGAACGATTACCACTTAGAAATTAATTAATTAATTAATTAAATCCACGTGGAACCTCGGCCCATAATCGATATTCTCCTGTTCAGAGCTTTTCGAGCGGCGGACTCCAAACGGTCTAAACCCTAAGCGAGGCTATCCAAGCGCCTCAACAAAGTAACTGCCTTCTAGTCTGTTCCGTACAGGGCCTGTTCACCCCTTCTTTGACTCGTCGTGACTCCATTGACATTACTAAATAGTAAAAACGCCTTTGGCGCTTACTCTCTTCAGCTGCGTCGCCACTTGACGCTGTCGATCCGCTGCTTTTTTCGCCATAGCCTTGAAGCTACCACTAAATGCCCCGTTTTTCTTTTTCTTTTTTTTCTTAGTCCCTCTTCTCCCCCCTTTGCGCCAACCAGCTTTAGATTAATTCGTAGTGCTCCTAGAATAGGAAAGCTGGCACCGAGCCAAGCTCCATCTTCAGATCTCTCCTATATTAACAATGTAAATATAATATCGACTGTCCCGCCCCCACAGTCTCGACAGGCCATGTCCAGACCTTTATCATCGACATGGACCATGCGGATGACCGCAGCGTCGAAGTCAGGGCGGTCGCCGCTGCCTTCATGGCAGTGGCAGTCGTCACGGTGATCCTGCGATGTTACGTGCGAGGATGGCTAGTGAAGGCATTTGGCTGGGATGACGGAGCAATGGTGGTTGCATTGGTTCGTGCTGGTCGACTATAACTCCCGCGAAAGAAAGGGAAGATGAAACCGAGCAAATGGCTGACCAAGGGAACCAAACAATGATAGTTATTCTACGTGATGTTTTCCGCCTGTATGATCGGAGGCAGTTTATGGGGTACGGGGCGAAGATACAAAGATCTGACGGCGGTGCAACGCGTAACGGCCATGAGGGTATATCTACACCTACACACCCACCATCAACCTTTCCCTTCCCAACGATCCCCCATCGAATTCGACCCAGACTAACACGGAAAGTAAAGTACTGGTGGCTATGTGAAATCGCGTACTGTTTCGCCTCCGTCGGCGGCAAAATCTCCATCTGTATCTTCCTGATGCGCATCACGGTCAAACGAGAGCATATATGGTCGCTCTATATCGTCATGATCCTGACGGTGATCGCCGGTCTCGTCTTCATGTTCCTCATGCTGCTGCAGTGTAAACCGCTGGAGTATTTCTGGACCAAGGTGGCTTTCGATCCGAATATCCAGGGCCATTGTCTCGACATGAAGATCATTATCGCCATGACGTATGTCTATAGTGCTTTCGCGGTGATCTGCGATTTCACGGTGGCTATTTTGCCCATCTTCTTGGTGAAGAACTTGCATATGAAGAAGCAGACCAAGGTGGCTGTGGTCGGGATCTTGAGTATGGCTTGCATGTACGTGGATCTTCCTTTGGGTGAGGCGAATTGGGGAGAAAGTGGAATGATGGCTGACGGGACAACTTGACTTCATGCAGTGCTTCTTCGGCCGTCATTATTCGTATACCCTTTGTTCATACCTTTGACGATCCGGACTTTCTTTGTAGGTTACCCCCATCTAACTCATTCTGGCGCGGACATACCGTTTGGGGGGTTGATCGCTTATATGGAGATTGAAAAACAGACGCAACGGTTGAGATCGCCATCTGGTCCAATATCGAAGTGGGCCTAGGGATCACGGCTGGCAGTCTCGCCACCCTTCGTCCTCTCCTCCGTCACTGGCTCGGTTCACGCACCGATCCTACATATCCCTCGCCCTTTCCCGGTCGATCCGGATCGCGACTCCCCGGGGGTGCCAGTCGAGATCGACCCTTTCCGTTGGGGTCGCTGGATGACAACGTCCAGAACCGGCTGAGACCGGATAAGTTGGCAGTGACGGTGACGACGGTGCAAAGCCAGGATCAGAATGGGTCGTGGCATGGCGGATCGAGTCCGAATAGTAGCGAGGAACGCTTGACGGCTCAGGGCTCGCCGGCGTTGCCGGCTGTTGGGGGCGACATGGGGTTGGGGATTCATCAGACGTTCGAGGTCACGCAGACAAGTACGTCGCAGACGGTACGGGAACACTTCTAGCATATATTAATTCTTTTTTTTTTTCTCTTTTTTTCTTTATTATATACATTTCCTTGAGTTATTATTAAAACTTAGCTAAGTATGATACGATAAATGAACAATATTTGAACGAACGAACGAGAAAAATGCTTCATATTGACTGACTATTTATGCGTGAAGGTATCCGTTAACAATTTCAGTGAAGGCCGCGGGCTGCTCGACCATAGGCAGATGTCCGGCTTTGGGAACCAACTTCAGCTCGGCGCCACCCTTCAGATCGTTTGCCATTTGTTGCATCGTCTTGGGCAGTACGCCGTCTCCCTCACCCGCGACAAACAGCCCAGGCACCTGTGCTTGAGCCATGCGATCCCGGACGTCATATGCGCAAAGGGCTTGCACGGCCTTGCGGAAACCGTCCAGACTGTTGTTGCGTACGATCTCCTTCACCTTCGCGGGTACTTCCGGCTGCGTCTCGTACGATTCAGGCACGAACCACCGACGGGTGGTAGCTTCAGATAGCTGCTCACCAATAATCGGCTCCTGAGTGGTGGCGGACACTGCACCGTCGCTCTCGGCCATGGCGACGCGGTCGTTCCAGGCCTTGAGATTGGATTCAGGCGCCGAGCTATTGGTGTCGCAGGAAATAAAGCGTGTCACGCGATCCGGGTACAGCAACGATGTGTTGAGAACGGTCACGCCACCCAGACTGACACCAATCAGAGTCGCCTTGGGGATCCGCAGAGCATCGAGGAGCGCGATGATATCCGATGCCAGAAGGTCAATGTTGATGGGCTTCTCCCCGCACTTGCGGAGACGGCCACGGGTCTGGTACCGAAGGATCCGGAACTGCTGATTCTTGGGGTTCGAGAGGAAAGCATCCACGAAGCTGTCCCAGATGGTATAGTCGACGAGAATGGAGTTGCTCAGGACAATGACGGGGCTATGAGGATCGGTGCTGCCCTCTAGGCGGTATGGGAGATCGACACCGTCCGGGGTGGTGATAAACGACTCAACGGCGGGGCGGGTGGGGGAAGGAAACGTTCTGGTGCGACCGTCGTTGGAAGCCCAAGGTCCGGCGACATCCTTAGCGGCCAGGGAAGACAATTCGCGCGGTGCTGGGCCAAATGTATAAGCCCACTGGTACACGCGCCGCTTCTTGCTCGTAGCGGGATCATTCATGAGGCGGTTGCGCCACGGGGTATCCATCGCAGCTTTGTGTTCAGGGCCACCCAGACCGTTTATCGCGCTGTACTCGTATAGGCATAGGAATTCTCGGGGTGCTTTGGGGTCGATCGACGATGTGGTGAAGAGGCGGCTGCGACGCCAGCCCGGCACACGTGCTAGCATAGGGAAGTGTTCTTCACGATACCACTTCTTGAGGTCCTCTTCCTTGTCGGCGGGAACGGTGACCAAGGCAGAGACAAGCACGGAGCCGGCGGCTTGAGTGTCAGGGATAGCTTCGACAGGCGTGTAATCGGCGTCCTTGTGATCATGCAGAAGATCATAAAGACGACGATCCACGTTAATCTGGGCCATGGTGGCCTTTTCACGTGGGGTCTTCACACCATCTCCACGGAGAGCCAAGTAGGTCTCGCGCGTCAGCTCCACCATGTCGGTAATGTCGTACGGAGCCACCCACTCGGGCTCGATGCCATCGACGGCACGGTAGCGGAATCCATTAGTGACAAAGGGCAGTCGGAGACGTAGGGGACCGTGTTCGGTGTTGTACCAGTCGTGAAACTGGGCCGCGGGGAGAGAATCGCGGGGTTGCATCGTCACGTAAAGAAGGCCGGGGGTCGCCATGGTGAACGGTTTTTCACTGTGTATAATGGTCCAATTCAAATCAATGTCCTTGACCAGTCTGCAGGGGAGGGGTGGATCGGAATCGCGGGGGAAATATCATTTTGTATCGCCGTGGGCACATCCCCGGATCAGGGCGAGGCCGATTGACTGCCGACGAGATAGCCGAACACTGGCGGGTGAAGTCATCGGGAACCAGGCGATCAATTCGAAGCCGGAGATTGGGAGTTTTTATTTATCCTCGATAGAGGGATTGACCGTTCTTTAGCGGAAGCATGTAGAAGCTGTCAAGTCGTGATGCTATCCAGAAACGCCTGGAGTAAGGGAACTTGTCGTGAGAATCCGGAACGTTGGTTGTTCGTAAAATTATTTGAGGCAAGCACGGGATTTGCGATCTGATGCCTTATACACCAGGCAAAAAGCCATCGCATTAGTGCCTTACCTTCCAGGCACAAACAGCCCGCTTTCCATCAAACACTACCCTCCGCATATGCAAATGGAGTGTTAACATAAATATACGAACAGTGAACAGATTGCGAACTTCACTACAGTGATGATCTGCTTTGTGCTCGTTGCGGAAACTTGGATAAGTATGGGTCTGCTTATCAAGTGATGTACGAGAGCTAAATAGTCCACACCATACTTCTCACCAAGCTAGTATATTTTTTACTATGGCATTCAGATGTCAGCCACAGAGTCACATCTGCAAAGTATCGACAGACCCACAGCTAGACACATGAACTCTCACTACTAACGAACCTAGCTCTCCCATATTCCATGGTGAAGTGTCTATTCTATAGTAGACGACAGTACATCAAGGCTCATTCTCCTCGGCAGACTTACCTAGCAAAGGCATCGCATTTCTCTCTGCGGTGGAGGAATAAAACACATTTCCAGCCAGACTTTCGAGAAGCGCCCGGACGTAACGGGCCTCCGGGCTATCCGTGCCTGTCCGACCCAAGATCTCCTGGTAAAGACCGTGCATCTCTCGTTCCGTGTCCAGCTGGATGTTACGTGCAACCTCTTTCGCCGCTCTAAGAGATATATTGAGCTCGCTCTGTAGGACCTGTATGGCATTGACGACTGCGGAGTCGTTAACCTTGTGCTCGAGACAGTCTTTCTCATACGAAAAAAGATCTTTGACGATGACTAGGTGTTTTGCCCAGAGATCCACTATACACTTCAGTATGGGATCCTGGCCTTGCTGAGAGGTGAGGTGGATTGATCCTGCGAAGCGGATCATGGCAAGATTAACGCTGAAACCATCAGTATCCACAATAGGCAGGATCTTTGGTCCGGGCGTACTCCGTAGTAGCATCTTCAACACTGGCTTTAAGGTATTCTGATAGGGCCGTGGGTCGGCAATTATCCTGGTCCTTGGAGCAGTGGGCTCGGGACATTTGATGCCACTTTAAAGCCCCCGCTGCGACATCAGATCCAATCATAGAGTCCGCTTGAAGGATATCATGTAGAACGGTGGATATTAGGCGACATATGGGACTTGTTCCTTGACGGCAACTCGTTCGTGTAGGCGTCGGAGGAGACCTTCGACCTTGCTGCAGCTCTTCCTGTAATGCTCTTAGTAGGCTGGGGCAGTAATAGGTCGCTGAAACCGTACTTGGTGACAATCAGCGATATTTGGCACATCTACTGATTGGTTAACGAAGATCTAGTCTGGAGTTGCATAGACCGACGGAGATACCATCATGGATCCACATTACAACATGTAGTTGAGCCAAGAGTCGGATTCTGACCACATCAGCTCTCGGATACATGTACACTGTACATGCAACAGCTGTTTCCACCAACTGAAGAATTTCTGCCAAGTCTCTCCAATGCTTGCAAAAGTCACTCATGCACGAGTCCCCGGCGCGAAAGAGCCTATCCGTCAGCTCTTGTGCAGCGTCTTCTGCCTCCCGCCATTGTCGACTTTGCCGACAAGCCGGAAAGAATGTTTGCCAAGATACGCCCAGGTCTTCTGGGCTAAGGCGGAAAGAAGACCTGTGCAATGCTGGGTCATCCTGGGCGGCTGTCGCAAGAAAGCCGAAGAGATCGTGCTTCGGGGGGTCTGATGTTGTATGGACTGGGTCATAGGAGTGGTGCACTGGTCTAATAGGGTGACGAGGTCCTCGATCAAAAGGAAGAGTGGCTGTATACGTAGCCATTGAAGCTTTTATTGATTTCAGTGTTGCCTGATTCTAGTGACGTCTTGCTTTTGATCGATTATAGGAGATGAACGGTTGCGTTTATGTAGACCGTGTCTCGACACGCGAGCCATTTATATTACGCAGACACTGTGCGACACAACATAGCAGGCCTGTCCCGGTTCCTCATTATGGTTGAGGCTCATGGCCAATAACTTAAAACCTTGTGTTGACGTGTATGGAGATGCGCAGGGACGTAATAGAGTTCAACTAGGCTCGTTCCATGGCCATCAAATTCCAAGTATACCCCAAGGACGTATCCTGTATAGAGTGGCATCTAGCGAAGGCCAGATACAGAGACTTGTGCCTAGAATTACCTTCCTATCTATCTGAACTTCCACTTTAATTTTGCAAAATGACCAAAAGATTCTCGTGGACGGAGATTCAAGGTGGTGCTGGAAAGAGTAATAGATTGTTGAGACAAGACTCCGCTTGTGAATTGATTGAATCATTTGATGCCTTGAACCATGGTCCTCATTCTATATCCCTGGCTGATAAGCCAGCCAAGGCATAGCTGAAGGTACGTGCAAGGCTATTCATAGTTTATTTCTGAAAGAAGCGTCAGGTTTTCGCTTTTCGGGTCTATAAACTGGATGGTCTGCAACGACTCCTTCCATAATTGGACATATAATCCAGGGTATTCCGGATGGAACATGTTTTCGGATGCATTAAGTGGATGAAGTAATCGAAATTTTATATGAACATTCTATTCTATCATTGCATTATTTTATAAGCTTTGCGTTTAACCGTTAATCATACCAAATGGCATTCATGCCGAATCCCTTTTCAGGAATATCCACTCGTGCGACACGAGCCAAATTCTCATCGCGGAATCGATAGATCTCGACGAATCCCAGCTGGTCATCGCACAGCGCCAGCCATTCGTCGCTAAAGTCACAAGGGCTGACCGCATTAGAGTGCCCACCGCTGGTCGAAGTGGGGTGGATGAACAGCTGCCGCTCGATGTTGCCATTCGGGCCTAGCTTGAAGGCTGTGATGTAGCCGGTGACATCGAAGTGGTTGCTGCGGGTGGTGGCAAAGAGATACTCGCCGCTGCGGGTGGTGAAAGTGACGTCACCACGATACTTGTTGCGAGGGGGAAGGCCTGCTTGGATCAGATTAACCATGTTCAAAGCAGGAGAGCCACGTGGACTTACCTGGAGGGAGCAATGGGTAGGTGATATGCGTAAATACAGGCACATGGCGCTTTTCATCGATGACGTATACTCCCAGTCGGTTACCAGCCTCCATCAGCACGTACAAGTACTTTCCGCTCGGGTGCATCTCAACCCAGCGGGGGTGATCATCGGGCGAGGGGGCATCGATGCAATCCACCAGGGTCAGTTCGCCTGTTGTCGCATCCTTGCGATGGGTCCAGATCTTGTTCGCCTGCAGATCGGCAGAGTAAAGGTAGGTCTCGGTGGGGTCAAAAACCATGCCGTGGATACCGGTGTTCGGTTCGTACTCGTAGTTCTGAATATTCTTGGCGAGACGGCCGTCAGACTCAACAGAGAAGACATTTCCATATCCCGCATATTTGTAGAAAGGATTTCCATAGACAGCGTAAGGGGCTTGACGGGCGGCCAGAACGAAGATAGCGCGAGTATTGGTGTCGTCGTTGGCGGCAAGGGCTGTACACAGTCAGATTACCGCTTCCAATAGCGGAGGCCTCTCCAGAAAGAATTGAGACGTACGGTGGCCAGCGACTGGGTGGGAGACTTGGTGAACAATCTCGGTGGGGCTGTTGACAGCGAAACTATTCCACTTCTTCATGGCCGCGCCGTAAATTGTTTTTTTGTCGTGCTATCGCAAATAGCGTCAGACAATGCCCATTGAAACTCGTCGAGACCGATCAACTTACGGAGAAGGTCATCCAAGAAATGGGTTCAGCCTCTGGAATGTCGGTCTTCTTGACCAAGTCCAGGGTAAGTGCCTCATCATCAAAGGCGACAGTATAGATGCGACCCGGAGGAGTCCAGGTACCGACCATGAGATGGTGCTTCATGTTGGCGGCGATTGACTGGGAAAAGGCACGAGAGACGGTGCGAGAAACCGGTTTGAATCGAATAGTCGACGAGAACATCGATTGAAACGAAGGAAGAGAGGAAGATTGGCCGACATGATGTTCTACTTACAGGTTCGCATTCCGGAGAAAGGACGGAGTTTGAGATCAACCGAACGCGGGGAACGGCAGTCACGGGCGGCAGTGGATCGCTGCCTCAGGCGGAGGAACCCCGCCATACTCGTAAATCAGTCGCATCCCCAGAGTGATCGCCACGATTAACCCTACCTCTACTATACGAGGCTTTTGCCAATGTACCACCTGCTGGTATTCCGGTCAAGAACACTTTCCCTTTATGGTGTAGTCTAACGGCGATTTGTCCTGCGGAAAAAAAGTATGTGTTGTCGTCGTCTCCGCCTTTGCTGGTATTTATCGCATTTCATTACCCATCTTACTAGGGCTCGAACTAACGCCGATTTGAGGATACTCTGTTTCACTTCTTTTTAATATCACCTTCATGAATTTCAATGTTTCTTGGCGAAGAAGCTCGGAAACTCAGACAACCGGCCTTGGAAGCTTTCGGTTCTAGAAATACGTCTTGTATACGTGAGGTTATAGGCTCTGATTCGTTATCTCTGTAAATCACTTGCGAGGTCAACCTTCAGTCCAGCGAGTGAGAAGTAGAATCCAGTAGATAAGTTCTGCTTGCTAGGTCAGCATTCCCACCCATAATAACAATCACCGTCTGTCCAACAGTCTCAGGCTTGAGTCTTACGTCACTCACATCACCTACGGCATCGCTGTCGATGACTCTTGGAAGACCACCCATCTAGCATGATGGGTCTCTGATGGACCCCAGACGCTCTATTCCAGGGAATAGTGAAACTACTGCCCGCAGCTCTCATCCGGGCCGTACCTGTATGATGCACAGCACGGCCACTGATCTCCGCACCCTGCAGGTTATCAAGTTCGATCCACGCGAGAACGGTTCTAAGGCTGAACTAGACTTCCGATCCCATACTGAAACCTCTCGGCTATTCCTCCTTATGCTGTCTGTAGCATGCTTGATGTATATCAACGGTCACTGACGGGAATCTGGATATGACCTCATAACTATTGGTCTTTTGCTCCTGTACCGGAATTCGGTTTGGGTGGGTTATGCATCCCTCACACTCAGCAGCGCCAGTACTTCTATGGCATTGTAGCCTAATTGAGTCTAATCAAACATCGGCGGACCATATAAAGGCTTAGCCCACTGACATGGCCCGAGACAGCACCCGCAAGAGTACTAGCATCCATCCACTTAGATACACCTAGCCCGAGAAACCCTATAATATTCTAATAATCTCTTTAAGGTAGTGCCCAGTGATATCTACGATTAGTTAATGTGGAACTAGCAGTGGGCCATATGCGTTTTGTTTAGTCGTTGTTGAAAGCTTTCAATCCGGACGGAAGTATGTTCCTTAAATACTCTACTTTCTCGAACGCTAATCATAAACGTAGTGTTGCGCTTTTCTGTCAATAATACACCTTTGGTTTTGGTACGCAGCACAAGGTCAACAGTTATCTATATTAATCAAAAGCCAGCATCCAGCAGCACCGACAAGTTATTGTACATGGTAAGTATACAGACGGCCTGGGTCCTCATATTCAACTGTCTGTACGGAGTATTAAAGCCCTCTAAGTCAACCATGAATGCCATTGGTCGATGAACATAATTCATGCCCCACATAGTTCCCCTTGTAAAAGCAGGATGAGTACCCTAGATTAACTACAGACAATGATGATCAGTGAAGAACTCCCCGGGTAAGCTTATTCCCGGGCGGAAACGTATTTACCCACACCCCCAGGTTTGGGATTGGTCTAGGGTATGGGGTAAGGCTGACGGGGTTTAGCTTCATACAGGTGACGAGGTCGCTGGTTATTCCTGGCCAGCAGGTTATACAATATAAGGTGAGACATGTTTAGACATGGTTTGTGAGACAATGAGTTACTCTAATCTGATAGCTACTGGCCATGAAAACCATATGAACTATGTTAGCACGGTAATGCGACCTTTACTGTGGATGGCTGTTGTCACCGAACGTCAAAACAATATCCATATTATATATGAATTTGGTATTCATGAGCTAATAGGGAGTCCTGTTGATTTTTTATACGATGTTCTCTGAATGCTAGTATCTTTGGCCATGTACAACCTTGGACGTAGTTGATATATAGGCTGACTCAAGTTAATATGCATTCACATATCCACATATCCATCACATACTACCATAAACACTCTCCTTCTCCTAATGTTGAGTGGATGGAATTAATAGAGTCTCAAATAATGCTCCTCATCTATACACCCTCCGCCACCTTCGTTGCCCTCATCCCTGTCCAGTCATTGCTGCCCCTAACTGACCTTCGTTGGCCTCCCACTTTGTTCTGAAAATACAGTGACCCCGAACTGTATCCACACTCAATATGTACATCACAATTCCTGTCCCATCCCCATGATTATTAACGGCCTATGGTCTGTTCTTGACCATACGGCAGGAGGCTCATGGAGTATCAAGAACGTTGCCGTTCTGCGTGACGGGGGAGGGATGGAGATTCTGGAAGCCAACATTGCATGCTGTTAGGTCAGTGTAAATATCATCCCGAATTGACTTGGATATTGTTCCCCTAGGTTGGTGTTTATGTTAGCAGTGTATGTGGCGTGCAGAAGGTGTCAAATCCCACTTCTGAGTTTTCTCGGCTTTTTCTTCTTCAACTTGCCGGTGAATACTGCGTGCGCCTGCCCATTCCACATATCCCACTGCTTCATTATATGATGTATAGACCGGCCAGTCGAGTGCAAGATGGAGAGGAAGAAGGCCGTACGCGGTCTTCACCGTGAGGCTGTCGACAAATTCTTCAACATCGGGATCCCCAAGAGGGTTGCTCGCAATGTTTCTGTCAGGAACTCCTGGCGGCCCGGTTGACCACGTCACCGGCAGGCAATGTTTCCGGGACATTTTAACAAGGTATGTAGCATAGTCTAGGATAGACATAGGCCGCGCCTGTGCCTCGAATCGTTTAACAGATACCTCATATGGGTTGCGCTCATTATTCCATGCGAAGAAATCGTCAGGGCTGAGGGCACTATCGTCATCTGTGTCTTCGATGCCAATGAGCATGAGTATTGCTTCCCCAAATTGCCGAGAGTGGATACACTGCCGCAGCCTCTTGAGTAGCCAGTGGAGTCAGCTGAAATATCCACGAGGTGGCTGGCTGTGATGAAGACATTAAGTGTGTTTACTGAACGCCTAAAGAATGTATTTTTGGCTGTCATAAACGGGTCTTATTTGCACCTACCAGGACCCATTAAGGCCCGCACTACAGGTTTTCAGCTGCATCAAGAGCAGAACCGTCGTGTAGAGGCACTGCTATATCTGCATGGTATGAGTCGATCCACGTACTCGATCGATGGTGGGGGAAATACGGCTTGGAGTCCCCGGAATGCTGAAAAGATCTGTTGCTGAATCAAGGACAACACAAGACTTGACCGTCTTTGAAATGCAGTTAGCATGCATATTAAATAATTTCAGCCCGCCCTTTCTTTTTCCTCGGGCTTCTTCATTTTGGGGGTGCTGCTAAGAAGTAACTGTGACATGCTCCCCAGATTGGGTTCAGCGATGCGTCACGCCTGAGATCTACCTGTGTTTTGAGGGTAAGGCTGGCGCCCTTGCTTCAGAAAACAAAGAGGTGGGACTGCAATTTTAGGATAGAAGTCTCTGTTTTAGTCCTGGGATCTAGAATTTTGTTCCCTTGTGAAAAGTACGATGCTGTCGAAGCGTGTATTGGTATGAGGATAGTCGGACCCGCATAAGGATGGAACGCTTGACTGTTGTGGGGTCAGTGACACTGACTGGGTTCATATATCTGTTCTTGGCTTGTCGTATAAAGATATAATAATTACCTGTCTTTGTTTATATCTTTTGAAAATGTAATAGCGCCCTTCCTCCATCTCAGCTCATTCGATCCTGGACAGTGCCAAGGAACTCAGCCTGGTAAGGCTGGCGGCCTGGAATCCGGATAACATTGAGGGTAGGCCCGGAAGTTTTGGGGATACATTGCAGGGGGCGGGCAATGCGAAGGGAACCTAGAGCCCTACGGGTCCCACTGAATGGAAATGAGCCCTGATGTCCCAACTAAATGGGCCTGAACTTAAACCACTCCATGTTACGTACTTATAACTCAGTGTGGGGATACTTAATGAAATGCCCTACGTATGCAATATTGTCCAATAGCAGCTCCCACTGAGACCTTTGAGAGCTACACATCAGGAAAAGCGAAACTTGGCAATAGCGAGACCCAACGGGTATATAGCTACAACCCTATCCGGGCTAACAAAGACGGGGCAACAGGGCACTGTGCCGTGATTCTTTCAAGCTGTGACGATGATCTTATACCTCCCTATATGTCTCCTTTTCCTGGGTTGAGGTATGGACATACAGACCCTGGTCTACTGGCAACGATAAACATAAAAGGATACCAAAATCCTAGATCATCGTCTTCCTTTTGCATCACTGAACAGAATAACGTCAGGCTCAAACCGCTCGTAAATTTTGCAGAATGAAGCTACTCTACACCCTTTCTCTTCTCGCTCTCGGCTCCATTGCAGCAGCAGAAGATAAAACCAACGCGACGTCTCAAAACACAACCGAGGCTACCCAGGCCACGCCTCAGAGCAGCTCTGAAGATGGGGCTTCGAAGGGCCTGGCAAACTGCCATATTCCCGAACTGAAGAAAGGACATGTTCTCAGGGCTTCGTGCTTTGCCGATGTGGTCAAGCAAGAACTAGTTCATAGCGAGTTGGACCTGAATCACTGTTTCGGTGCAAGCCTTTTGAAAGGTGAATTAACTGCGGAGCCTGAGTACGTGCTGTTTCTTGCTTAAATACGCCGGTTATACTGATGAGCGATATACAGTGGGCATTTTAGCCGAAAGTGCGTGAAATGTAAGTTAGGGGGTGAAACTCGTGGTACTGGAACCCACGCGGGGGCATGGTCACTGTACTGCCACTGTATTGCTCCTAAAGCCGAAATTCAATTGGGTAAGTTTATCCTGACTGTACTGTTCTACAACTATTTGTAGAGATCTATTCGGTGTCCTGTGCTAATTTGTCAATAGAACCTACCGTCTGGATGAACAATCAGGGTCTTCTTGAGTGCCACGGCCATGTTGGAAAGCCAATTAACTTGTAAGCTGCTTGCAAATGCCCTTGACGTGAAGTAGATACTACCACTGGGCGTCAGGGAGGCTTCTCCTATTTCACTTTTAAAGAGGGTTATTGTCTTGGCCCGATAGATCTGTCGCTGGATTCTGTTGAGGGAGCATCCCCGTTGCCCAATACAGGCAGGGGCTGACCAGCAGTCTATATCTACTTTAATTTTATGGAGGATTTACATTCCTACGTAATGAGCCACTAACTCATCATCAAAGGCTCTACTAGAGCAGCTGTGAATGTTTCTGTAGTTGTAAAAGCGAAGGAGAACAGTAAGACTGCAGAGCGTCGGCGATTCCTATCATGCTTTGGCCAAGTGTGGCCCCGTTGACGTGCCTGGTTACAGGTGTAGTCAAACGTACTATCTTTACTAACTAGTTTGATCTCTCAGTGGTTGCATCTAGCACTTACCCTTGTACCGATCCGGATTTCGGAGAGAGGTCAGCCTTTAAATGTCCCTGTTTCTGTATCAAGGACTCATATTTCTTTTCCCTCTAAGGCCAATGGTGCTTATCTACAACTTCCCGTCCGGGTATTGGTGAGTGGGAATTATTTCTTCACCCGCATTTAGTCGCCTTAGACACTCCAGGATACCTGGGTATGTATAGTTATAGTCCGTGTACATCCAAAGATCCTGTGCAGAAGCCTTCTGGTGTGCCTGGCGGGTGTGATTCTGAATCTTCGATGCGCGTGGGCGTCGCACCAGATCAAAGTCCATGAGCAAGTCAGGAATCCCCTCCCGCGAAACATTCGGTTGATTGAAGAGACGGAAGCCCTCCGCATCTTCAATCGCCTGGTTACATCCTTGACCCTGATGCGGCGTCATGGAATGTGCCGCATCTCCAATGAGGACTACTCGCCCGCGCCGGTATGTAGGCAGAGGATCCTGGTCCCGAAGCTGCCATACTTTGATATTCTCGGCAAGATCGAGCACATTTCGAACGCTCGGAGAGAAGTCCCCGAAACATCGCAGCAGGTCTTCCCTAGAGCCTTCCGCAGACCAAGACTCCGTCGTAGCCGTCTGGAGAATCGCATCCGGTGTGATACAACCCACGTTCAGCAGTGCGTACTCCCGACACGGGTACATGATGACGGATCGACTGGAGCCATCCATGCTCAGGTGTATCTCTAAAGCACCGGGCTTCGCTGGATCCATCACCCGCAAGCCAGGCTGCTGCCCATCCAAGATCTCCTTAGGAATCGTGAACCTGAATGCTGAAGAGCCCGACGGACGAGCAGTCCGGAAAGCTTCCTCTGCGACCACCAACGGTCGGACAATGGATTTAATACCATCTGCCCCTGCCGTAGTTGTCGTTAACATCAGCAGGCGAAACTATACATGGGATTCAAGGTAATATGGGATCTCACCGACGACCAAATCCGACTCCAGCTTCAGTCCACTGGAAAGAAAGACATCACCGGACTCAACGTCGACGTTTACCACCTCTTGACCCCACAGGATCCTTGCGGGCTCTCCAGAAATACCCAAGTTGGCTGATGGGCACTCTGCTAGCCTCAGGAATTCGTTCCAGAGGTCTGCACGATGTTGGAAGAGCCACTCCGCACAATACATTTCTTTGAGATGCGCCATGCTCTCCACGCCCAGCAGTTTCCCTTCTTTATTTAGTGTCCACGTCTCGCCGCATCCCACAGACTGACATCGAGCCTGGTTGAACCCAAGCTGTTCGATGATGCGCACCCCGTTTGGGCCGAGGTTAATGGCGGCGCCGACCTCATGTCCACCATGGAATTTTTCAACTAAGGTCACAGTGTGCCTCTCGCGCAAAACTCGTGCCGCTAGAAGTCCGGCCAACCCGGCGCCCACGATGGTGATTTTCAGCGGTTGATCCATATTTCTCAAGAGATTCGAGGTGGTAGGTAGGGAGAAGATGGGACGGGATTCCTTGATAATGATGAAAAGTACAGTTTATAAAAAGGCCCAGGAGCAACTAGAGGTAGATGACAATCCAATGAATATTATGAAGGGTGTTGTCTGGGACCAGTGGTTGTGAATCATTAGTGGCAGTTTGCCCTCACCACATCCCGAGCATTTGCCCACATACCCGAAAGCATCGGGAAATGGGGTTTGGAGTCAAGGGTCTAACCATGGTGTGCTCAATTGATGCAAGAAACACGAGTACAAAATGAAGGCTTACGCAACGCGTCTTCATTAGTTGGTGTTTCCTTTCGTTACCAACGCTATCCTCGTCCTGCTTCGGTTTCTCGATGGCTCAACAACAACATTTTATTCGCTCCGTCGAGCCGCTGCATATCGGCCAATTCTTGATTGTACGCATAGAAACCGACCATGGAGTTGTGGGGTATGGCGAGTGTGGCGTCTGGGGCCATATCGAAGCAGCCGCTACTGCAGTCCGTCACTTCGCGGGTTACCTCGTTAACAAGCCTGCATTCGCTATTGAGCACCACTGGAATGTCATGCACCGGTATAGCTACTTCCAAGGAATGGCCATTAACGGTGCTATCTCGGGAATTGATATCGCGCTCTGGGATGTCAAGGGCAAGGTCCTCCAGGTCCCCATCTACGAGCTGCTGGGCGGATCCTGCCGCACCAAGGCCAGAGTCTACGGCCATATCTATGAAAAAGACATCGAAGGCGTGTTGAAGGAGTGCAAACGGAAGATGGACTTAGGATACACAGCCTTCGGACATATCAACCCGTTCCTGGACGAAGGGAACGACGTGTCGTATTTCAAGACGCACGTGAAAAAGATGGATGACGCTGCCGATAATGTCCGTCGGATGCGTGCAGTCGTAGGGGACAAGGTCGATCTCCTCATTGAGCTCCATCGTCGTCTGACTCCGGCCGAAGCGATCACTTTTTGCGCCATGATCGAAGACTGCCGTCCGATGTACGTGGAGGACCCCGTGCGGCCGGAGAACGTGGATGCGATGGCCCGCGTCGCAGATAGAATCCCTGTTCCTATAGCTACCGGTGAGCGGTATTCGACTATCTATGAGTTCCAGGCGGCGTTGTCCCGCAGCGCATTGGAGTACGTACGAGTTGATGTCGCCTTGTGTGGGGGAATTACCGGCGCGAAGAAAGTGGCCGCCATGGCAGAGGCTCATAATGTCCAGGTTGTGCCGCATAACCCTCTGTCGCCCATTGGACTGGCCGCTTGTTTGCAATTGGACGCTGCTATCCCGAACTTTGCCATCCAAGAGTATTCAACCGGGTTTGAGAATGGAATCTTCACGTCCACCACTGAGCACCTGGGCAGCAATATCGTGGACTGGGTGCCTCCCGTGGTCGATGGGTTTGTAGATATCCCAACTAGTCCTGGGCTGGGAGTGAACTTGGTGCCGGATGCACAGCAGATTCGGCCTCCATTCACGCAGCCCATCACCATAAGGCCCCATCTGGATGGATTTGTGGTGGACCAATAAGTATAGCTTCAGGTTTGCTTGCATTCCGATCTATATCTAAGTAGACTAGAGTAAAATACCAACTCCCCTCCAACTGGCTCGAAGACAAATAACCCGCCTTTCTAAGTACTCCTAGCAACACCCATTCCATCGACAGACTCCGTCAGCCTTTCTCCCCCTTCTAACTGCAGGGGTAAGATCGGTAACAACACGTAAAGCATCCTGGCCCAACCCGCCCGTTGTCCATTCTCATCCACCGTCCGAGTCACATTCCTCCAGGCATGGTTCGTCCCCCGCTGGATCGCCATATCCCCTCTCTTGAGCCGTCTAGTCTCCTCGCTGTCCAAGATCAATTCCACCTCTCCCTCCAACACTACCCCGTAGTCAATAGAGAAGGTGCGATGCATGGCACTGGTGACATCCGGTCCAATATCCACGATGCGACATACGGAGCCTGCAGTGCCGTTGGCATCATGAGTGGTGATGGACCGGGTCATTTCGGGGAGTCGTTGTGGATCAGTACCTGGAGTAGTAGGGGCTGGTCCTGAAGGTCACGCTTCGGTGGGAGAGTTGTGGTGACTCATTTTCTTTCCTGGATCTCTGGATCCTACAACGGATACAGTTCTCGTTTCACCTTTCGAAAAGCTTGCTTGTGTCTTCAAATATTGTGTGGTGGGTATTTGATCATCTTTGTATGTTCCTAAGGAGTTCTCATCGGGATGTGGGGGTTGTAAATGCTTGGTTGATTTCTAATTCTAAGATAGGGGGAATTATAGCACATCAACGACCAACTACAGGCTCCAAGATTTCCATTGTGGCGACAAAGACCTAAAACAGGGCATAGGACTGATTCATGCTTGTGGGATAACCGGCAACACGACATAGTTCAAATGGTCTGGTCCAAAGTGGATATGGTTCGTGCCTCCAAATCTCTCATGGGACCTTCAGATATATTCCGGTTAGAAAAGAATGAATGAAATATGGCTGATGAAGGTAACTGTACCTTTCCGAGGACTCATGACTGAAGATGCCCACCCCTTGAGTGTCTCCACCACTAATTTCAAAGGACAAATTCTCCCCAGGACTGAGGATGAGGTTGGTTGGCCATATTTCAACATCCACGCTGTAGATTTCGCCTGGAATAACGGGCTGCACATCGGTTGAAAAGTAGTCACGGTAAGGACGATACTCACGATGATGGGGATGTTCCTTGTTAATCTTGCGGAGGCTCACGCGCTGCCAGCCTTTACTGACAGGGACGGGATTGCCGATGGATCCAGTGTAGAAGATCTCCTTGCCGTCCGCCGCCCAGTGTCGAATTGTTAGGAATATATCAATGTCCTTCGGGACAGGGCCTCCCAAATCCGGAGTTACTGAGACATGAACCCGGGCCACGATGTGGCCGGTAATTTCCACCTCTTGCGTTGCAGGAGCCGTCTCAAATCGGATACACTCGTTGTCATCTGGGACAGTTAGAGCGCGATAGGAAAGCCTGGTGTGATGACTGAGGCGTGGTGGCTCTGGGGTCCACACTTTCTGCGGAGTCAAGTAATACTTGGTGTAGACAGTGCGTGCCAACGGCCACTCATTCTCAGCCCGTCGGGAATATACTTGTCCTGTCGCTGCGGGAATAGAGTCATACTGGATCACTCCTTTCCGGAGTATGAGGTCAACCTTGGACATGTTTCCCGCTTTCCAACCTGCATAGTCGTCATCTTTGAGAAAGGCACTCAGGAAGCTCTTCTGGATTTCAACCTCTTCACTGGAATAGAAAGGTAGATCATGGCGACCCACAACCATTCGCAGGAACTTATACTGGGAGCCTGCGTAGAGATAGCCCTCGATATTGCCACGCAGATGAACCACAATGTTGCCCCAGTTGCCGACAGAAAGCAAGGGCACCTCAATATCCTCGAGACAGTAGTCACGAGAAGCATAGTACTCATCGTCGCGGAAGTAGTGCTGCGCGTTGTCCACTGCTTGATCACGTAGGTTGGCCTGGAGCTCTTCCTCACTCAGATCACCCTCGATTGTATCGGGGCCCCAATTCTTTGCTGCCTTGGCAGGAAGACCGTAAAGGTTTGACTTTACCTGACGATCCATCCAAAACTTCAAGAAGGGGGCTGTGAGGATCCCTCCATGGCGGCAACGATCCCGGTAATAATCCGCCATTCCTTCATAAGGAATAATCGCAGCCAGACCCCGTGGGCGTCGGGCAGCAACCCGCCATTGAGTGCCTGCAAAGTAACTAATCCCGAGCAATCCGACCTTCCCAGTTGACCATGGCTGATCCGCCGCCCATTCAATAACCTCCTGAAACGCCTCGCTGGTAGACTTGGACATCGTGTCGCAGACTCCAGGCGACTGGCCGATCCCAACCTCATCGGCCCGAACAATCGCATATCCCTCCTTTGTCCAGAATGCTGGATCGGGTACCTCGAAGGCCGAGTGTTCTGATTTATGTTCGGGATTCAGGTCATGGAACGAATGCGGAAGGAAACTATACGTGGAGGTTAGCTTCTGAGGTCTTTATTGCCTTGGCTAGAGCCGCGTACTCCTTGTAAGGGATATCCTTTCCATACGGTCCATAGGTGATGAGCACAGGGCACTTGGAGACAGTTTTGGGGCGGTAGACATTGAGGCGAACCAGTCCTGGTCCACTTTGAAGCTTCACCGTATGATTTTCCTCGTAGATATACGGGAAGCTGTCGGTATCCACCTTGAGTAAATCTAAGGTTGTGTTAGGCATTGTGGGATGTAGTCAATCCGTAAATCGCTCTTGGCACCGAGTAACAAGTACTATGGCTTCCATGTAGCGTATTCCTATACCTATATATCTTTACGGGGGAAGGGCACCCCCTTCGGCATGTGGGCAGCTCCCGCCCAGCACAACAAAACGTGGTGCTGATTGTGGTACCCACATTAATTTATTCTCTGTTTAAGCGTATTACTCATGTATCCATGGCTAACTACTAGCTATCGTTCTCTCTCTGGCTCCAACTGAGACCCGAACTGAGGGCATACAGACACTCCAACCGTGGAATGGAGACCCCATGCTCTCTTGCCAAGAAGACCAGTTCTCCCACAATTGCATCCACCTCCATAGCCTTATTCGACCTCACATCCGCTAACATACTCGGTTCAACTCCGGGCCACCCTCTAGCAGAGCTCCGGTCCATTTGCATCGCCACATCCTCCAGTCCGATCTCGGATCCATAGCCCTCGGCAACCGCAACAGCCACCACTTCCTCCATGACACTGCGAACCACACTCGTTGCGACAGATGACGCCTGAAGAAACTCGATATCCCGGCACCGCGAAAGGGCACAGATGGTATTCCACGATGCGTTTCCGATCAATTTCCTCCACCTCGCTACTTGTGCGTCTGGGTAAACCTCCACTGTAGCCCCACCCGCCTGCATAAGAGCGGCCAGCTTCATAGCTGTGTGGTGATGGAATTCCGGAACCCCACCTGCGGGGAATGTACCAAGTTGTAAGCGTTCTACCTCCGTGTGGTGAACGACGCCCGGTGCGGTTTGCGTAGTTGGCAGGTATGCGACGCACGAGATGATCGGGTTGTGTGGGAATCGTTCACGATACTGCCGCTCTATCCCAATCCCGTTTTGGATGAGAACAATCGTCGTAGATAGTGACACTACAGGAGCTATCAGAGCCGGGATAGAGCCGTCGCCAGTGTGTCGAGGAAAGGCTTTTGTCGTCACTAGGATATAGTCATAAGGCGCTTCTTCTGAGTCGGAGACGCTTTGCACGGATGGATAGAGTTTTGGATAGAACGTCTCGCTACTAAAGATGGTCGAATGAACGGTGAACCCGTTCGCCTTCGCCGCTGTGTAGTTGGATCGGCAGATGCAGGATAGATCCACGCCCGAGCGAGTGAGAATCATGGAGTAGACAATGCCGATACTTCCAGTTCCAAACACGAGGATGCGAACCATCTCCGGAGTCTGTGTTTCAGTCATTCTTTCGTGATTAGAATCGATAGGTGCACCTGACACCAAGCACGAGGAGAAGAGGAGAACTAGTATTACATCAATCATGATCATGTTTAGCTTGACTGACTTTAGCCCTGAAATAAAAACACAGCTCGGATATGACACATCCCGCCACATTCCCGAGCTGCCATAATCCACACTGAGACGCCACGCGCGGCCTTCACAAGGATTTGACGATAATGGCTTCACTCATAGAGCTTATTGTAACCAAAGTCACAAATAATACCTCGAGATATACAGCCTACTACGTAGTGTGGAATCCATCCGAGTTCCTATGTTAGAGAAGGACACGTAGTTAATATGGACTTATATACTAACCTCAGGCTCTGATTATTGAAAACTTTCCCGTGGTTGTACTACGTAAGGGCTTCATGCTATTCCATCTCTTTGTATAAGATTATTCACAAGGAGGGATTACTCGATAGGTTGATCCAGAACGATCTGTTTAGAGATATTTACCCGATAAATTGACTATTTTCGAGGCTGTGGCCTCAGTTATTGAAACGGAAATAGTAAACTAGCTACGCCTAATCTAACCACTCCTCTGGCCAAGTACCAAGACAAAATTGGGACTCGCACTAGCTCCTCTGTAGAATGTTAGCGCCCAGGTCTTGTACACGTACAAATGACGACGAGACTTACCAGTTCCCACGCTTCGGCCCCGAGACAGCCTTTGGTACCTTTATCCTCAACGGAAGATACGGCCCCGGCCACAAAGCACGCAGAGATATAGTGCTCATCCGTGCCGTGCGCATCTCGGAAGTATGGGTGTTTCATCAACCTAGTCAGACCTCTTTGCAGTTCCGGCCCTCCTCCATTCTTGCAAATAATATCCTCAAGGGACTGACGAAACTCGATTGTCTTGGGCTCCGGCGGCTGCTCCATAGCGAAATTGTCTTTATACTGCAGCATGTATTTCCATTCCGTCAGATACAGGTTATGCACGCCTCCACCCGACCCGATCAGGAGGTATCGCTCCTCACGCAGATGACGAAGGGCGGCTCCGACGCGAGCGTGGAAGAATGGGTCCCAGTGAGAGTTCTGGGAGATAATTGTGACCGGGGGGCATTTGTCCTTGAACATCCCGATCAGCAGGGGGACCGTGTCGATCATCCAGTTGAAGTTGTGGTCCGGATCTACGTCAAATCCCTTGGCTCGGAGGGTGTCGATGACGCGTTGGCCTGTTGCGAGATCCGGATTCGGCCTGAAGTTTGCCCATAGATCGGGGAGGGTGTTGGAGATAGGCATGATGCTTGGGTTAGGATTCATGGCTACGTGGATCTTATCCTCCAGGCTGTTCCAATGAGCGCCCTAGATAATAATTAGCCAAGAACTGAGGAATGTGATGATGTGTGACCTTGGGTGTGTGTATATTTAAGATTATTATTTCTTACCATGATGATTACACCCTTAGCTCCGTGGCGCAGTGCATCACGGCCCAATGCCTCCCAATAATCCCGGGTTCGTGAATCTGTGCCTAGCATCATCGTTGTTCCATGAGAAAGGAAGAGAACGGGTGCCAGATTCGGTGCTGGTTTTATGAACAAGTTAGTGTATGAAGCCGTATATATAGGGCCCCTTGAATATACGAACTTTTCGATATGTTGATATCATTTGCCATGTTGAGGCCGAGGACACGCAGAACAGCGTATACAAACAGTAATGGTAGGTAAAGTCGTATATACAATCGAAATGGCTTTGGTTGTAGTGAAGATGGAGATAACTTCTTCTTTTCTTTTAACATGGCTAGGAGTGTACTATTCCCTAGAAGCTGATTAGGCTTATGGTGCTTCCTCCACATGCCGTACTATTGATGACGCACTGCCCCAGAGCAGCTGTAAGCCCCAGGTTCAAGGGGGATACAACACACTTCGGTTGCAGAAGACTTACAACTGGCACTCTCAGAGGCACTGGCCCTTTACAGTGTGTATCATTACGATCAAGACAGGTTACGGGCTGGCAAACAAAGCCAACCTGGACGTTCAATGGCCATTTTCATTCACCTTTCCTGCAATTTTCTCTACTTTTCCGTCATCTTGATTCCGGAGGCTTGAACAAATTCTAATCTTATTCCTAAGGAATGGCTACTAAGGAATGGCTACGTTCAAGAACGGGCTGAGAGGCTTTGAAATGACTAGGCCTAGGTACTCCGGGAGCAGTGGTAGCCTGGTAGTAGACTGCTGAAGACAATAAACATGGGCTTTCAAATGGGGACGTACAATCCGAGAAATATGATGATGCATGGGTGTTTCGACCAGATATGTATGATAAAATATAATAACTGATAGAAACCTCAAAGATTTACCACTCTCCAGCTACCTTGTATATGAACTTCGCGTCTGGTCCGTATTTGTGATATCCTAACAATCTGGGGACAGCATATGCACACTAAGACCAGTCCACATGTGAATCAGTATGCATACATCTAGATAGTTCCAGCCTTTGAATACTAACCTGAAGGAGCCGGCATCCACTGAACATATTCCAGAGAAAGAGTCTCATGGGCAAGGGCCCGCCAATATCCACCCACTGCGGATGTATCTGCGGGGGCCGATGAGGAGGCACCCGACGATGGTCAGTCGGCCAATGCGGTGGATTCGTGTTCGGTTCTCTTCCCGTAACAGATGCGTTGGCAGTGAGGTATTCGCTTCTGTGTTCTGTCTCTGCACGAGTGCTCCGTGACGTGTCTGGCGTACGGGTTGCTATGGAAAGTACAGGCTCGGCTTCGGACAGGGATGTTGTGATTGTCGCCATTTTGCTGATTCCACTATCGCCTGTTTTACTAAACGACGTCCTGGTAGAGTGGTTGAAGGGGAAGTTTGTTGCTCGAGGCATTTGTATGTATGCGATTCGGGATGTGGGCACACGGAGATGTGACGAGATGGCGGGACGTTGTTGATCGCTGCAAGCGATTTCTTTACAGTTCAGTAAAGACCTTATCATTACGTAGGCTTGAATTCCAAATACAATAAAATCTTCTGCCTGTGGACGTAATTTCCAATCCCCCCTCCCCATCGCCCCAACCGGTAACGTGTGTGACAGTCATGGAGTCCACAAGCCTTGATCTGGTCCTAACGACCGCGCTAGAAGGTCGAATGAAAGACTTGCGAACACGACAGTGCATACTCAGAGCTCTCCATGCGAAATTGGTTGAGAATGCGGATGATTTGTTAAGGGCTACGGTGGAGGATGATCGAGTCTCTCACGAGGAGGCCCAGGTTATACTTTCCGCTAGTCTCTCAGAACTTCGCGCCCACTATGACAGACTCGACCTGAAGGAAGAGTTGGAGGCGGAGTATAGCATCGCGAGAAAGGAATCGTGCTTGAACAATAGAGTCCCATTTGGCATTGCATACGTGGTTCCCGACGTATATGCGGCAGTGTTCAGCATCATTACGGCTCTCTCCGCGGCCATCACTGCTGGGAATTGTGTCGTTATAGAGGTAAGTTCGTCCCGACGATTGAGTCTGACGGACTAACATGAACATATGAACAGCTCCAGGATAGTCTCCGTCGCTGTCCAAGTGTACTCCGTCACTGTCTTGCAGATCTGCAATATAACGATGCCGTATCAACGGTCGCCAAACGACCTGGACCGGAGTTTTTGCGCCATTGTCTTCTTGTAGACCAAATGATGGAGAACAATTCAGAGCAATCTGAATGCCTTCACTTGTTGGCCTCGACTCCTCAGAGAACAGTGGCCATTGTGGACCGGACAGCGGATGCAAGTGCAGCGGCCAAGGAGATAGTGGCCTCTAGATTCCTATTCCAAGGCCAAGGCCGTTACTCTGTTGACCAGGTTTTTATAAACGAATACGTTATAGAAGCATTTCACATTGCCCTGATGAAAGAGATTGCTGCATCTCTCACAATCAGAGACTCGAAGTTGGAAGCCAATGATCCCCGTGGAACAACTCCGAGACCAAAAGTGGCTTCGGAGAAGCCTGGATTGCCAGTGCTAGAAATACGTGACAGGTAAAATGACAGCCTTCTTCTCAGGCCGACGGCACTTACCCACTCCATCAGGTCCGATACCCTCCTGCACCGCAGGCAGAAAACACTGGGCGTGATTATCCACAAGGTAACTAGCTTGGACGACGCTATCGACACTATCAGTGAGAGCGGTCAACGACTCGGTGCTCTCTATCTCTTTGCAGGCTCCGACGAAGCGAAGTATCTATCCCAATTTATTTCATCGCGAACAACCTTTGTCAATCACATCCCCCCGGAACTGCAAAGTATGTGCTTTCTACATTGATTAAGGCATGATGGCCATCCCCACTCACAGAATATAGTTGGACCTGCCTACCCTGAAGGGTTCGAGACGTCCAGTGCCCTTAGATATACGCGAGAGATGTTTGAGACCCCGAGGCCTGAAAGGGTGGATGATGGCAAGGTTCGACATTCGATGACACTGTGGAATCATATAAAAGATGGCAAATCTCCATTAATCTTGTCTAAGGCTTGTCGCCCACTGAAGCCCACGGGCCAGGGCAAGGCAGGAGCGATGGATTTCTTTTTGCAAGGCATGATATTGAACATGGTCGTGTGTGTCCTGCCCTTGGCCGCTTTATCAGTGGTTGCCACAGGTAAGGGTATTTCATTCCTATACCAGCGGTTCCTCAGCCATTAAGCAAGGTCTATTATGTATTCGCAGGGATACCATGTACAACCCATATCTGCTTCTTATCCACACAATGTGATATCTTCTCAGAAGACTACACCCGAAGTCAAGAAGCCCCCAACTCGAACTATCTACATTGGGCGTAGATAACTCCATTGATTTGATTAGGAAAGTAACTTTGCATAGTTTCAGGTTTGGATGCCTCCGTAGTAGCAAGCAAAACGCATGGACGCGAGTCGGGAAGTGGAGAGAGCACGACTCCACCTCCACAACGCCAACGAAACCCCACAGAATTTGTGGAGCACAGCAAAGGAGAGAGTTGCGCTTCTGCCCTTGTTGTCTTCGAAGGTGTCTGCGAGCTATACCTTGTCGTCGCTATCTGAGTGCTGAAGTCTCATATTTTTGACCATGGCATCATCATCACCTGTGAAAAATTACAAAATAGGGAAACCCGAATCCTACAGCTGTAATATCTGCAGTTCGCAATTCAGCCGCGGTGACCACCTCACTCGTCACTACAGATCACACACGAAACAACGACCTTTTGTCTGTCCAGTGTGCTGCAAGGGATTTGCACGTCGCGATCTCATGACAAGGCATAAGGCCAAGCATGTTCATGGCACACAGTCATCAGCTACTGAATCTTCAACGGATGGATTCAGGTATCGGGTTTCTCAAGCATGTAAACGATGTGCGGCTGCCAAGTTGAAATGCACCGATGAAAAGCCATGTCCACGATGTATCAAGAAATCAGTCCCCTGTGAAACAGTAGATAGTATTCCTATCCCTGGGGCAGCTATCCCTGACGGCATACAGAGCCAAAGCTGTCGAACAGGCGCCGAAGAGCCTGGGCATCATGCCCCCGACAATGATAAAGACACGTGTTCGGATGATGATGCTGTTGGCGATCAGGTGCCAGCGCCGATGCGCCAAGCGGGAGATCAGGCTCCGCTGACGGAACCAATGCTTTTTGACGCACGAAGTGCCGATACGCTTTGGACTATGGCGAGCTTTTTTGATATGGGTGATCAGGCCACTGAACCCGCCTCGACTGGAGACCTAACTGGCGTGCAGTATATGGACTTTTCCTTTCTAGAGGAGATGAATACGGCGAATGAGACAAATATATCGGCCCCTGAGCTACCGAGTAACACACACCCTTCTATTATGCCAATCAGCTCACAGGCGTACATCACCTCATCCGTGGCTCGGGCGTGGGTACCTCTGTCCACTGAAAATGGGAGTATGGAGCGAGCAAACCTAGCTTTGGCCGGTGATATCCACGAGCCACCCACAAAGGGGAATCTTGAGCATGTCTCCCTACAGCTTATCGCTCCTGCTGCTCGAGACCGCATTCTGAATATGGTCTTCACGGCATATCCAGAAAAGACTGGGCAGATTGTTGAAGGTTTCCCCTCCGCTGAGATTCTGTCCAAATTGGTGTACAGATATGTAAGCCAACGTAAGGTCAAGCGTGTTGATGACTTCATTCATCTTCCTACTTTCGATTGGAAGAGCCGACGCCCAGAGCTTCTTGCGGCTATGATCGCGATGGGGTCAATAGATGGCCCCTCCGCTGCTGTGAGGAAATTCGGATATGCACTGCAGGCGACTGTGCGACGTGCCACCATCCAGAGGGTATATCTACATCGGCAATTCCCCTCTAATTATTGCATTGCTGACGAGGCATATCTATAGTACGAGGAAGACCATGCGAAGATGCGAGACATGGACCTCGCTCAGGCATACATGATTCAACAATATATTGGTTTTTTCAGCGGCATATCTCGTAAAATCGGGTTAGCCGAAAGTTGCTCTATGATCACTTCGACTATTATTTCTCAAGCCCGGATGCTCTTGCAGGGCCCCGAAAGGACCGTCGAAGCTGTCCTGGCTACAGACTCTATCGAGCAACTTGATCATATCTGGCGCCGTTGGTGTCAGCAAGAGTCCATTCGCCGCCTCATCTACTATTCCTACTCGTTGGACTCCCAGGTCTCTATCACCCGCAACCTCAACCCCATCCTCCCATACACTGACATGGATTCGTCCCTGCCGTGCCCGGATGCGCTCTGGCACGCTGACTCGCCAGCCTCCTGGAGACAGGAGCTCCTCGAGAAAACAGCAACACAGCCGACATCATTACGGGATTTACTACAGTCACCTCGACTACTCAAGACATGCGCACACTGTTTAGATTCACCGTTCGTGCATCTGGTCTACGTGAGTGGACTCTGGTCAATAATACAGGAATATCGTCGGCTTAGCTGCATTGCTAGTAGCTCTAGCGCCTGGAACAACCTAGTCCTTATGTCTCGGCACAGTGAACTAAAAGCAATGCTGGAGCGATTCGGCAAAGAGAGCACCGCCGTTCGAAGAAAGTCCCCTGAGGTGGATCTGCTCTATAGCTTGGTGTCTATGCACCTACATGTTTCCTTCAAGGATCTCCAACCCATGGGTAGCAGCGGAAAGGGCGAAATATGCAACCATGAGGATCCAGCAGCGAGACAGTACGCACTGGCATGGAGAAAAGATGCGGGCTCGTGGTTCACGATCTGGTTCGCTGGACAGGTCGTACGGGCTGCAAAGGCGTTTCGTCCAGAGACGTTATGTGATGTCTATTCGATTGGGCTTCTGCAGGCCACAGTCGTACTCTGGGTATACGGAAACCTCAGCGACGGCCAGATCGCCCCGTCTCGGGGGCCTCCGATAATTGAGTTAAATGAGACAGATCCGGCGGGGCTGGAGAACTATCTCTGTTACGGGGAGGGTCAGCCGGGGTTGAATGTTTGGTCGCGAGGTTTTGTTCCGCTATCTAATTCACGGTCAATCGTGGAGGCTATTCAAGGTATTATCCAGCGGAACTGGCAGCACGCCTCTTTTCCCTCGGGCACCGATGAAGTCTATCAGGTGCTTAGTGACTTGCAAACGTGCTCCTCGATTCAGGGGTAGGGTGTCATTGAATATCGGGATGTACGCGCTGGTCAAATGAACCCAACATATCCACTCGCAATTTAGGAGAAGTGGCCCGAGTTAGGCTTCGCGGCCTAGGCTATACCTAAATGTCAACACATATGGAGCCAGGGGAGTAATGATGGGCGGGTCTACATGCCAACTCCGTACACAAACATCGCAATACCAAGGGGGGGGGATCTTGTTCAGTCGATGAGAAGCTGCCAGTCGTCTTACATGGCTTGTGAAACACCTACATACACTTAGACACCACAGATGTACACTGTAGAGGCCGGAACTTTCTACGTCACGTAAATTGCGTTGTTAAAAGCTCTTTCTTGGGGGTTTGACGGGTACGGAGAATCGGCATCTCCCCCGGAAGCTGACCAACTGCTGCCCTATTTCGTCAGCAATATGGAATCTTGCTCCATCTGTCACAGAGGTAGCTGTATAGATGCGATCCAGGGCATCTGAGTCGTAGATACAAGATTATGTGAACTTAGGTTTATAGGTACTCTCTCATTGGGCACGTGCTGAGAGAGCAGCCCACCGGCTAAACGGCTGCCCCTCCGAGTTAAACCCTAATCTTATCGATCAGTCCCGCCTTAGTCAGCACCGCATTCGTCACAAAATCTCGCGATCGGCACGCAAGATGCAGGAATTCGTCCATAGTCGAGCGCATTATCATCAATCACCCAATTCAACACGGGAGCCCTCTATTCAACATCAGAATGACTGACTTTATCCTCACTCTCTCCTGCCCCGACCGTCCGGGTATCGTGCACGCCGTGACCGCGTTCCTGGTCCAGCACAACCTGAACATCATTGACTCATCGCAATTCGGCGATCCGACATCGCACCGATTCTTCATGCGCACGCATTTCTCCGCCGACAAGAATGCCACCGAGAAGAGTATCGACGAGCTGCGTGAGGCCTTCGAGCCCACGGCCAAGTCCCTCTCCATGGACTTCCAGCTCGTCCCCGCCACCCAGAAGCCCCGCGTCCTGATCATGGTCTCTAAGATCGGCCACTGCCTCAACGACCTCCTCTTCCGTACCTCGACCGGCCAGCTCGCCATCGATATCCCCCTCATTGTCTCCAACCACCCGGACTTTGCCAGCCTTGCGGCCACCTATAACATCCCTTTCATCCATTTGCCTGTCAACAAGGATACCAAGCCGCAGCAGGAGGCCCGCATCCTGGAGCTCATCAGCGAGCACAACATCGACCTCGTCGTCTTGGCCCGCTACATGCAGGTCCTATCCCCCACCCTGTGCGAGGCCATGTCCGGACGTATCATCAACATCCACCACAGTTTCTTGCCCTCGTTCAAGGGCGCCAAGCCTTACCACCAGGCCTACGACCGCGGTGTCAAGATTATCGGTGCCACCGCACACTTCGTCACCAGCGATCTGGATGAGGGCCCGATCATCGAGCAGAACGTCGTCCGCGTCAACCACGGCATGAGCCCCAAGGAGCTGACCCACGCTGGAAGCAACGTCGAGAGCAACGTGCTGGCATCCGCCGTGAAGTACTTCTCCGAGCGGAGGGTGTTGCTCAACGGACACAAGACTGTGGTGTTCAACTAGATGTTTCATGGATATATGTGTATATATATACCTTACAAGGCTAGGATAGACAAAAAGGGCGGATAAATAAAACACAACCTTCTACAGTCAGGCCAGGTCTAATTTAAAGTTCAATGCCCTCGAAAGGATGATAATCCTCCTCCCTCCCACTGCGTAGCATGTAACGACTCCCCCATCTGTGACGCATCCATTCCCGCGATAACTTCCCTAGAACCTATTAGTAGTAGAATATTCCCACTAATACCCCAAGCAGAATAAGAGAGAACATACTCGTCCGTCCCCAAAACCAAACCCAGGAACACAATCCACCAAAGCATAAAAAACCATAAACCCCCCCTCCACAACCTAAAGCTCCACACAAACCCAATAACAGCAGCAATATGGGCGTAGCAGCCAACGGAAGGAAAGCTGGGAAGATTCATATAACTTGCATAGGTACCTAACGTGCTGATAAGATTGCTCAATGATAACACATATGATTGGGTTTTGCTATGATATCGAAGGAATCATGGAATGCTACATTGAGCTGGATGTTGACCAATCCTGAGCTGAGCACAGCATTAGTGCAGCTATGTTGCATAGCCGAGGTAAGGGAGGCATGCATGGCAGCGTTGACATGCAGAATTAGTTTATTGGAGTGGACAAGGGCGATATCCCTGCCCTCTTCGGCCACACTCCGCCTGCTAGGGTTAAAATATTTAGCCCTCAGCGAGCTGAGGGGCCATCGTATTGTTAAACAATTCATTCATGTAAAATCTATTTCGTGATTATATAACATAACGGAAGCTTTCAATTTCAAGGTCCGTCTTGTTCGACAGACCTTGCATCCGTTCCTCTTCCTCTGTCAACTCGGATGGAGGACCATACGCCGAGTCTCTGCGTTTATTCTCAAAAATATAATAAACGAACAGGCAGATTAAGAAAAAGGCCCCCAGGGCGAGGCCAGAAATGGCAGCCTTCATACCGGTCTAGGCACTAGTTAGCATATGTTTATGCATACGCTATCATGAGAAATAAACTCACAGGGTAATGAGGTTCTTCAGAGTCAAGGAAGAATTGAGGTCCAACAATATTTCCGATACAGTAGGCCACAAACATCAAGGCACTTGTCGTACTCCGCTTAGTGAAGCCGGCCACGTTGGAACTGATGATGCTCAGTGCCAGGGGAATGTTGACTGCAAAGACAGCCCCCAGAGCCAACCCAGTCAACCGACCTTTTTGGTTATCTTCATCTAATTTCCAAACGAGGATCATGCCAATCAATGAGACAGTCGTGTTGATGATCATCATGATGATTCGAGTATTAGGAATGAGGGTGGCGACACCGGCGGAGAGGAACAGGAAGACGATTTGGGCGGCACCGAGAGGCATTTGCATCAGAAGGGACTTAATTTGTGTGAAGCCGAAGCCGCTGATAATAATGGAAGAGAACTGACTCGTCAGTAAGGGTTGAGGAAATTCCAGGAGCTTGAACGACATACACTAGTGACACCTCCGTTGCACAAATTGACGGAGAATGTGTACAAGACAAGAAACCATGTTTGTGGATCACGTATGGCAAGCCATGCCTGGTTCCATTTGAAGTCTCCACCATCCATTACACCTGTCTTGTTCTTAAGGGTCCGTTGCACGGCGATTGTCCGCTCGGTTTTGGTCAAGAAGATCGCTTTCTGTGGAGAGTCGGGTAGGAGGATAACGAGAAAGACCGATATGGCGGCAGTGATGGCACCTAAGAAGAGGAATAGTAACTGCCAACTCGAGATGGCATGAACCTTGATGTTCCCGATACCATAAGCAACGACACCACCGATAACGGTGGAAACACAGTTGCCAAAAAACCATGCAGCTTGACTGTAGGACAGTTAGATTGAGAGTGCCAGATACTCAAGGCTAGTACTGTGCTTACCGTGCAGGCTGCTCCTCGCGCTTGTAGTACATTCCCGTGATTAGAGCAAACCCTGGGGCGATGGCGGCTTCACCGACTCCCAGAAAAAAACGCGCGGCCATCAAACCGCCAAAACTTTTCGCAGCCGCATGGCACATGAGAACCCCTCCCCAGACCAACCTGTAAGATATTAGTGAGGGATGGTGGTAAGTGTAGGTGGGTAGACGAACACCGAGGCGCTGAGATATTTGGCTATGGGAAGACGGACAATAAGGTAGGAGCTTGGCCTAATCACTAGTTAGTGAGCTGGGTGGGCGAACTGGTGTTGCGAACATCATACCAGCTCCACGCAAAGTATCCGAAATAAAAGATCGCTGAGGACCAAGAGTACTCTGTCCCTTGTAGATCCTGGGAAGGTCAGCACCATAGCTCAGACGTGATAACTGATCGTTCATACTAAGTCCTCTCTTAAATTGAACATTGTTGCCTGACTCAAAGCCAGTTTGTCCATATATTGCATCATATAACAGATACCCATTAAGGGGATCAATCTGAATAGTATAAGTTTCTGCGCATGTATTAATCAACATCAATATACTTACATTAAGTCTAGCTTTAGCAACACCTTTCTCTCCTGTTGTGGAGTAACTTCCATCCCCAGCATCTGTCCCAGGTCGACATCTTTGGCAACTGACGCCTGAGGTTCAAGCTTGAAGTCATCTATCTCCGGCATTGTCCCGGGGGGAGCATCGTGGTGCTTTTCCATGGTATCTGTCACTCCAAATTGTCGAGTTTAGTGGAACGAGAAAATATCCTCTCGAGCTATGAGCCCTTTTATGATAGGTATGCAAAGAATCGGTAGCAATTTTCGGGAATTGAATGATTGCTCAACGCGGAAGATCGCACACTATTTCCGCACCTAGAGCATGCTAATCAGACCTAAAATATCCAAGCCTTTTGCACATTCACCAGATAAGTAGGTAATTAGTGAGTCAGGTCATAAAGATAGCGAACTAGACAGATAGGATACACTACGGAATTGACATCTGGATTAGCGTGGCACCCAATACCGTGGATCCATATGAATTCCTGGAGGTATAAAATCCACCGTGAACCCACTTTTAATGCCGCGTAAAATCAACCATTCGCCCCAAACCGCGCCAGCGCCACTGGGGAGATACGAAGTCGGGCTTCGTCGGCAAAGCCACCAATGCCCGTGCCGAGCTCGGCAAATGTCCAACCTAAAGTTGCGAAGGTTATCAACATGCTTCCTTATCGTGTGGACCTACATTACTGGAATCGGCATTCAACAGGCCCTTGTTGCAGCTACCCCGCAAATTCAATCGTGCGGAGAGAATGCCATCTGGAAACCTGAGGTGGTTCACACGAGGACTGGGGCTGTTTTGATATCCACATCCCCACTCTTGGCTTCGGCAAATTGGGGTAGCGACTGGCTGTAATCTGCCGAGGGGGCCAGTGATAATGAAGATAATGATTGTTTTGTTAACACTGATATCATTCATCATACCGTTGGTCATCAAGTTTTCCCCCCTGATAGCCTGCTTATTCTTACCAGATAAGGACAATGATAAACATATCCAATATGTGGGGTGCAGGCGATGGAGCCGACGTGCAGCATGATAGGCAATGGCGTCGGCGATCTATCCTATCAAAGGGTCTTCTGAGGCGTAGCCCCGAACCATCCTTGCAATGAGTCCAGCCGGGGCATAGCCATGCTGTCGAAAGTGTTGTAGACGAATATATTTATAATGGCCTTCGCTAGCGTTCAGTAACTGACAGCTACCCTAGAGTACGCGTACAAATATTACAAATTATCACCATGGCAATCTCACAAACCAAGCCTAGTATTGCGGATGTAAAGGCATCCGTTGATGCGGCGTTAGAGTCGTTACAGACTACCCTAAGAGAATTAAACCGAGAGGTAAGACATATTGTTGTCCCTGGCGTCAGGTATCCACACACAAACGCTCATGGCGTAGATCTGGTCCAATCCAGAAACAGCATATGAAGAGTATAAAGCTCACGATGCGATTTGCGACTTCCTCGAAGCACAAGGCTTTACTGTGACTCGTCATGCATACGGCCTCGACACCTCATTTGAAGCCATCAGTGGCTCTGGTGGACGATTGATCAATTTCAACGCCGAATATGACGCATTGCCCGGCATAGGCCACGCCTGTGGCCATAACCTGATCACAACGAGCAGTGTCGCTGCGTTCTTGGCACTATCTGCTCTCCTGAAGCAGTATGGCATCCCTGGTCGTACTCAGCTGTTGGGCACACCGGCGGAAGAGAATGGCGGTGGAAAGGCCAAATTGATAGATGCTGGGGCCTACAAGGGTGTTGATATCTCCTTGATGGCGTATGCATCCTGTGACTCTCTACTACTTACATTATACTGACTCAGTGTAGGCACGCTGGTCCCCAGAAGCTCTTTCCTGGTGTTGAAGCCACTGGCGTGGGCGGCGTCTTGATGAATGCCCGCAAACAGATTCACTGTGAATTCACTGGAAAGAGTGCCCACGCTGGAGGCAATCCTTGGGAAGGCGTCAATGCCCTCGATGCCCTGGTAACCTCTTACAATAACGTTGCTGTCCTACGGCAACAGCTACAACCGGATGAACGTGTTCATTGTGCATTTTTGGATACGCCCAAGGTAGCCAACGTCATTCCAGCTTATACCAAGGCCTATTGGCAGGTTCGCAGTCCAACACTGAAGGGCTTGAATCGGCTGATGGTCAAGGTACGCAACTGTATTGAGGCAGGTGCATTGGCGACCGGATGTGAAACTAAGATCACGGAGTGCGTAGACCATATTCCAAGCTTTTCGTGCGGCTTAAGCTAATATGTGGAACAGAGATGAGCTGTACACTGACATTAAGCTAAACGACACATTATGTGAACGTTATCAGGCCCACATGGGTAGCTACGATCGAAATGTTCTGAAGAGCCATGAGAAAGTCTTAACTGGGTCATCCGATATTGGTATTAAACACTTCTTACTTTTTCTGGGTTATGTCAATTACTAATGGCTACAATAGGCAATGTTAGTTATATCATGCCCACTCTGCATACCATGTTCGGTATACCGGGACCGGACGGATCGTTCCCTCACCATCCGTCGTTTGCAGCAGCGGCTGGCACTGATGATGCTCATGTTGAGGCAGTGGTTGTGGGCAAATCGTTAGCCATGATCGGATGGGAAATGATCACAGATGAGGCCTTATTCGAACAAGCGAAGGCACAATGGGAAAGGTGTATCCGGGAATAACCCGGATGTATCCCTTTGTTAGTAAATGACGATTATTCGACCTACGACTATTTCGACCCGTTGAGTTTTATTGGAGTAAATTAGGTGACATGAGTGAGAGTAGCATAGCGTCATGCTCACGGCTACATTCAATCGCCTCGGTAGGAATGACGAGAATAATGCTTTGCTGCGATACAAACTTACTACCTGCCACGTAGCATTCATATCAACTAAGTTTATAAGAGCTGGTAAAATTAGGGTAGGGCTTTTATAGAGTAAGACGCTTTAGAATGGCGGGCTTACCAGAACCGACTCACTTCGTTCATAAGCATTCGTTACTATTCAATGATATCAAGAAACATGGGGTAGGAAATTTGACCATTGAACAGTTTGATACGCTGCAGACGGCAACAGCCTCAAGCTCATCAAGGCCTCAATCAGAAAGTAGCATCTCGCCAAGGTATAACCCACCAGGACGAGAAAGAAGACCGGTGCTGCGATGATATCCAAGTCTCCATTCCGAATAAGGTACAGCGCTTTAGATCTCGAGCGTACGCTTTTCCACCATAGAATCCATAGTCCACCCCAGACTGGAACTGTGGTGAGAAAAAGAGCCGACCCTCTCCACAGCCAACTCTCCAACGCGGTTGGAAAATCTGAAGCCCACCCCGCTAGGTGGCACCCGCCGTACAGGATATTGAAGAGCACATGAATCCCTTTCTCGAGGTTTGGTTCGTGGCCAAAGTCAGTACTCCAGCCCCCCCATACCGTCCGAATAGTGAAATTCTCGGAGGTGTGGCGAAGAAGCTTTCGATGACTGGGTTGGATTCCGCGAAACGTATTACATCCTTGACTTTCTAGAAGATGAAGTCCCTGGCAAGCGTCCTCTGCAATGGCGCATAGGATTTGCTCGTCGTTATACCGCTTTGTGCAATTGCGGATGGCATCCGATTGGTAATCATCGAGCAGTTGGTCGATGGGCTTTAACACGGGGGGTTTCGGGGGTGCACCAAAGGTTAAAACTCCTTGTGATGCTTGTATCACGCGCTCCTTCCAGTACTCTATCCTCTCCATTTCATACCGTTCACACTCTTTCTGGAAAAGGTCGCGACTTATATCAGAGAAGTTGAAGAATGCGCCAAGATAATTTGTATCTGGCCCGGCTACCACAACAGACTGCAACAAATTGTAAGGTTTATTAACCCATATTGCATAGACTATTATAGCGCATCCGACATGGATAGCTGTATGTGTCTCTAATGGCGTCACAGGTAAGCCCTGGCATAGTCGTCCCAATACCTGTAAGGCGAACCAAATGATCTGGCCAACGACTATGCTTTTAGCGAAGATATCTGCCTTGCTCCGTTCGGCAACATCTTCTCGACTAAGAGCGGGCAGATGGCCGGTCTTGGCCAATATGGATACCCCTTCGGGTGTCAGAAGGCGACGAATGATGCGCTTTTCAGTCGCAGAGTCCAGGTAATGGGTCTCAATTGCAAAACCGCCCATGACGGCAAACATGGCCTGGTCGTGAAACCAGGGGTCAGTTGTGGGCGGCTGGCCTTGAACAGGATCAGATGTAATATGAGGTAATGGCGCCACTAAGTCTGGATCTGAATATTTCGGGAGCAGAGAATGATCTTGACTTGCGGTCTCCAGGTTCGGAGAGACCTTCATCTTCCATGAGAAGGCTTGTTTTAACCGAAATCTCGCAGGAGGCTGGGAATCGTTTAGTGAGCGTAAGTTAGCATATTATAGCTTGTTTCTCGCAGTTTCCGCGACTCGCTAGATGCATCATAGAGCGACGAGAGACACCACGGAAAACTGCATATCGCTAGGTACTCTACCTCTGATGTGGTCTTTTTTGTTGTCCGCCCTAGGGACCGATTTACTTCAACAAGCAGGTTCTTCGCGCGTCTTCTCTGACCCCATGCGGAAGTGATAATAATCTCTGGAAAGATAATGGCCAGCCCCATTAACCCCAAGCGCTCGAAGAGCGTGGACCAGGCATTATGTACGACAGGGATGTTTGGATGAATGGCAGTCCATACACACAAACCAAGTGTCGCTAGACATGTCCACAGGATATCTAGGGTCCCTCTTGTCTGGGGTCCCAAAGTCCAACCCTGGACTTGAGACATTGGGCATTACGTTTGATCACTGAATTGGTCCTTGTGGTCAGATAACCGGCAACACAAATTATTTAAGGGTAAGAAGGGGTGGGGGGGAAAGGCTTTGGCGGTGACGGTCAGTGACGATCAGCATCTCGTCGCGTCTCGACACGTCCGATTATGAGGGATGTGGGGGGCTTAGGGCACCGATCCAGCCCACCTAATTAAATTTATCGCTGGTCACTCGTAGCGTAAAGCCTCCCAAACTAAGAGTTCACTTTACGCGTTGGTGGGCAAACTGTCCCGGATGACCCAGAAATCCGTGCTGTCTAATGCATTGTATTAACAACAACATAGTCCGCGTTGTGGATTCAGCATATCCGGACAAGAGGCTCAGGTGCCAGGGCCTCAGACGCTCTGTGCATGCTTCCTGCGGCAGAATCTCGTCGACTTCCAGGCATGCAAAATGCTATACAGACCGAATACCCCGTGGACCTGGATCTTTTTTGTTTCCATCTTTATTGAAGCCGTGGTGCTCATCACTCTTGAAGTGTATGCTTTGACGCTTATTACAAAGGCTGAGCATGGAAATTGCTGACCTATGGAACAGGGTAATATATACGAGTCTTCGGAACAATGTTACGCCTATTGCTTTGAGAGTCCCGCCATATAGATCTATACCGTCTTTCTTCGCTCTAGTAACACTTGGGCTGGTATATCAGCTGCTCCTTGTATATGACACATTGGCGCATCAAAACACTATCCAATTGATTGGGTTGGGCATATACTCGGGCGCATTAAGCGTATACAATGGCATTCAGTATAACCAGCTGCGTGGTATAGTAGAGATTCTCACAGCCAATGATGCTGTACCCCAAAATACATGGCCTCTGTTACGGGGTATGATCGTTTCGGTCATCGCTATAACGACATCCTTCACTTTTTGGATCCAATTTAGTGCGTGGAAGTTGTACGAAGAATTTGCCTGGGTTACCCTACGAAAGGTGGAAGCCGATTTACAAATGAGACGGCGGTATTTATGCTTCCAGGCAAGTGACGCCTTTCCGGTGGTTGACATGGCTCTGACTTTTGTCTCCTCATTAGCTGCTATTGTCTGTGCTAAAGTTCGATGGATTTTTCTTCCTTGGGTTTCTACTACAACTCGCGATTATACCTTACAATAAAAGTGGTCCAACTTTTGTTGCAGTAGTGGCCCTTATCCCCATTTCGTGTTGTCTATTGTTTATCACAGCGTGGGTCGTCAGGCACGAGTATCGAGTGGGGACGATTGTTATCTCCGTGAGTGCCCACCTTGCCATTGCCGGTTGACTTCTGCTAATAAGCTCGATCAGGTCTTCCATCTTGCGCTGATAAGCTTCTTCATATACATGTTTACCGCCTTCTATTTGCCCCGTACCTACGTGGAATATCTCCCGGCTCGAAGGACATTAAGCTTTTTCGGGATCATCACCACTGTATTGGCACTAGGTACAGTAGCCATGATATGTCTGTGCTTCCGAAATTTTGGACAAGGGCTTCGTCCGTATGTCTCCGGCGGCGCAAAGGCTAGACTGCTGGGGGAGACCTTTGAGATGCAGCTACGGGAGGGTTACTTGCGAGTTCCGCATGAGGCGACATGATTGGCAACGGGGACTTCTAGTTTTAAGAGCATTCTCAATATATGGGAAGGACATGATCCATTTAATCTGGCTATCATCACACCGCACTATAACTATAGCGAGAGCCGCTGGGCAACGCGGTGCGACTGTATGACCCAGCGGGGGGGGGGCATGTTAGGGCTCGCATCGATAACGCATGCAATCCAACGCTGTTCATGCACATAGATAAGTGCCAAATACGTGCGCAGCAGCTTTTTACAGAAATCAATAGTACTCTAAGAGAAGAACTTGCCACATTTCGGTCTCCTATGGACCGATCAGTCGCTGACTAAGCATTATCAACTCTTCTCCATTTTCCGGCATTGCTTTCCCTTCTCTATCGTCACTTTTCCCGACACTTCAGATTGTTTCCCGGTTGCCCTGCTACTTGGCATCCACTCGTTGCTAATGCCTCCCGGCTGATTGCTTCTTTTTGTAGCGTGGGCTCTTCAATCCATGTCGGGTCGGAACGCCCCTCGCTCCAAGAAAGGTATTTAGATATCTACGTGCATACATTCTCCATAACCTGCTACGGAATGCTCGGCTTCTCGGTAAAACAGGCAAACTAATTGCGACTTCGCCCAGGCTGCAGTACCTGCCGCCGTCGAAAAGTGAAATGCGGCGAAGAGCGCCCGGTCTGCAAACGCTGCTCCAACTTGCGACTCAGCTGTGAGTGGGGAGTTCCAGTAAAACGAGGCAAGTCCGTCACTCCAGCGCGACAACTTCAACCTCGATGGCCCAGTCGTGATGTCGCCGCCTCTGCTCCCGTCGCCGCTTCAACAATTGAGATCCCTCATCCACCCTCCGTAACTACCGCTGCCACGCTATGGTACCCCCTCGACGCTACCGCTGACCTCACGGGGATCCCCGTTGGTTCGATTTCCTCTCCCGGCTGGCTCGGCGTGCCTCCCTATCCCCCGCCCCCGCCGCTTTATCCTCCGCTATCTGGAACCGACTTCGCGTGTGCCAACTCATTGGTGCTTTCCGAACATGATCAGAAGTACTTCCAATACTTCCCGGCGTCCTCCCTGGTATTCTATTACATGAAATCGTGGCAATGGAGCAGTTTCTGTTATCTATACCAAGGGCCGGCAGCCACGAACAAGATCATAATGCGCATGATTCTCGCCTTATCGGCGAGTGACATGCATCGCAACGGCCTGATAGTGCGAACGCCCGGCCGGCCCACGGCGGAGGATCACGGTCGCTATCACTACGGGCTGGCCGTCAAGGAATTCCGCCAGTCCCTGGTGTCCCCGCGACAGGTCTCACCCGCGGAGCTGGAGGCGACCTTCGCCACTATGTTTCTGATGGTAACATACGAATGGCAATATGGCCATTCCGTGCGGCATCTAGAACTACATTTACAGGGGGTGAAGTCGTTGCTGGATTCTCACCCGGAGTTGTTTCAGATCAAGGATGTGAATAATGTGCTGCTGTCGATGGAGTCCGAAGAATCGAATGGGTCGGAGTCTCGGGTGTCATTTATTCCCGAGCAACTATTACTATGGATTCTGTAGGTACCATGGCTTTTCTTCGAAAGCCTGTCTAATGTAGCGTCAGGTATATCGATGCGAGTTGTCAACCCATGGGGTTGACCGAATCGCTCTACGACTACGTTCTGAAATCCGGGAACCCAGCCCTGCATCCGGACCGACTGTATCGCTGCGCCCGTGTGTGGGGTCGATGCTTCTGGGGTAAGCAGTACCCGGACCAGGAGGTATCGGATGACATGGAGAATTACCGGGGCTTGGAGCTCTTACATGCGGGCATGTCGCTACGGCATCGAACCTGGCAATTGCTATTCGACAACATTCCCGACTCGGGGTACCAGGCGGAGTCCTTTTTCAACGAAATCATGGCCGTCAGAGATGTATGTCCCCTGCTCGATCTACACACGACCAATCGCACTAACAGCTGCAGAAATTCTCCGATCTGTTCATCACGGCCAAATTCGCCGGTCCGGCCTCAATGCGACGCACGTTAAACACGATCAACATGGCGGTTAGCACTTTTTACGCGCAGATCCTTTTCCATCGACGCTTACTCTGCCCCTCCCAATCTCCGCGGACGCTTCACCGGCATGCCTTGAGCAACATTCTCGAGATTACGCATAAGCAATACACATCCGAGCCACGACTCATGCGTCGCCTCCACTGGCCAATCCTGGTCGCGGCACTCGAAACAGACGATCCGGCGCAGCTCGAATGGCTCCGTCAGCGACTAGCAGAGCTGCGTCAGTGCCATACCGAGATTCGGTGGGCCAACGAGATTGTAGATGTGGCGCTTGCGCAACAGGATGCGAGCAAAGGGGAGTACGTAAACCTGGCCGAATTGCTGCGCAATCGCGTCGCACCGTAGTAAGAATTTTCATGTGAGGGGGACATACTTTATAATGTCCCTGCCATGACTGCTTACCAGAAGATATATACCATAGAACACTTAAATAGATTTTAATAGAGCGAATGCATACATCAAACAATGTTCTCCAAGAAATACGCATCATACGCAACCTCGCCCTTACCTCTTGTCGCCCGTCCAACAATGACCCGGTTGTTCATCCACTTATATTTTTCATGTCCGGTTTCGAGCTTGATGTGTAAATGAAACCAGTACTGACTGGGATCCACTCCGTCCCCTTCCATCAATGCCTTCAAGACTTCGGGAGGCCCAGCGCGAGTTCCTTCCGTTCTATATATATAATGTCAGTCACCAAAGCTATAACTCCACAATGAAACGCCGCGCGATGAAAAACGAACCGGATATAAATATAAGCTCCATCATCACTTTTAAGAAGATAATTCGTATTTACATGTGTTGTATGATCCTCCTCAACCAACCTAGATATCGTTCCATTAGCATCCTATGCTCCGATAATAACGAGACAATTCTGCTCCATACATAAAGTCCGCTCCACCAGGAACTACTTCCCCATTCAAGTACTTTCCTCTCACAGTACCTGATTTAATGGGTACACAGCGACGTCGACCGTAAGGTCCATTCCCGATCTCCATCGGAGGGTCGACCGCGCACCGAAGAGTGAAAAGATGTGTTAGGGCTGGTGGCGGCGCGAGGGGTTCCATTTTAACGTTGTACTCCTTCGAATCCGTGGTGTGAAAAGAACTGTATAGCGAAGGATGGAGGGGATATGGTGGCAGCCTGGGGAAATGAGGAGAGAGTGGGTCGCAGAAGAAGAGACCCGGTTATATCATACTCCCCGGTTAGTTCTCCCCGATGTTCGGCTTTGTGGTGAGGACAGCCATTCGAGGATTGTAAGGACCCAGAGGTCTATACAACCTCGCAGAGCTTCTCGTCCAGGAAACTGCGCCCACAACACTCTTGTTACTTCCACACTTCAACCGCCACTAAAGAAAAAAAAAAAAAAAAGGATTAACCTCCTAATCCGCTTCAAAAGCCCCTGTCTGATTCTTACATAAATCAATACTAATTTCTACCTCGTCTTGGGCTGTACTGCTGTGCTAGCTAAAGCGGGGTTCTATTCTCGTATACCATGTTCCATTGTATTGATCGATAACCTCGACCCAACCTGCACAACGAATTTAGAAATGGTTGCAACAGTCTTACCTCATGGTACTTGGTCGTCGCCTCCGGCAGCAAAGTCGAAGCTGGCTGCTTGGGCGCCGGATATGGACTTTAGAAAGCTCGAGATTCAGAGCAACCCGGATAACCAGGGGCTCGAGCCCGGCAAGATTGACCTTATCATGGCATTCTTGGTCCTGCGCGTATATAGAAGGTCCCCCGGAAGCTTACGTGCCAACAAATTAGAGATGGTTGGGGATTGTCGACGTCAAAGACTGACATGTCTGCAGGTAGGAATATCCCTATCATCTCAAAGAAGTTTAGCCTAATGATGTCGTGGTCCGTGCACGTGCTTACATACATACTTACTTGCCTTTGCCTCTCTTGACTCTTAACATCCACTTTCCTACATACCTCTGATGTATGATGAACCCGATGCTACAGCGATTCCGGGTCTGTGGATTTGGTACTAATGAAGATACTCCTCATGGCTCGAATGGCACCGCAGCGCCATCGACAAGCCTTGACATACCAGCGGGGCCCCGACCGAATCGGGCCTGCGACGTGTGCCGGAGGATGAAAATTAAATGTGACAGGACGTACCCTTGCAGACATTGTCGCGAGTCTTTCAATGGTACGATCTCGTAACCTCCTCGGGTTGATGCGCCCTGCTGATTAGATAAAGAGTGTGTATTCACTCAACCACGGCGGAGGAAGAGGAGCCCGACCCAGCCTGACCGGATTGAACATCTTGAGAAGCGGTTGAAGGCAGTAGAAGAGTCGTGTCAACAGCGAGCTGCGCCAAAACCTGCATCTCCTCCCGTCGGATCTACCAATGTAGTGCATACTAACCAGGGAAATCTCCACGACAATCCTGTTTCAGACACTAGTGATCGTGTTCCCAACGTCAGACTGCCTTCGGCTCTTGAAAGTCAAGGAGAGGCTCGCTTTCTCCACTCTGCGGCGCACATGGACTTTGTAAGACGCTTGAAGGATGAGCTGGGAAATTGGCCCGGGGCAGATGCTGAAAACCGAGTGCGAGCAAGGAATGTGCCGGCACCAAAACTATTCCCGTTGGCAAATGGCCCGGATCAACCAATCTCATTGCCATCGCGGGACAGGGCGCGCCATTTAGTCAATATGGCGTTCAACGCGCACTTCTTACACAATTTTATACGCCGGCCAACTTTTGATTCCGTTTTCACCTTACTGTTCACCCTGAATGTCAGGGACTATAGTGGCGAAGAATACCGATATCTTCCACTCCTATTTTCCCTTATGGCTTTAGGATGTCTGTTTGAAATGGATGATGAGGGGTCCCGGGAAGCATACATATTGGAAGGGTGTGTTATTTCTGGAGTATCGCCTCCACGGTTGGGGAGCTGACACCGGTAGAACCCAATATTTCGAAACATGCCGTAGCCTGGCTGAGCTGCAAGACTGCAACGACTTGGTCACTCTTCAGGCCATCCTCTACATGAATATCTTTCTCCTATACACTGCCCGGATAAGCTCAAGTTTCTCAGCTCTCTCCTACACCTTCTCATTGGCGCTACGTATGAAATATCATCAAATCGCCGAGACGGATGATGCATTTACCCGGGAAGACAAAAAGCACATTTTCTGGACGACACGTCACCTTTTGGCTTGCGTCTCTATTACGGGTGGTCTACCTATGCCTATTGGGTGCGATGAACTTGATCTTGAGTATCCAAGTGTTGAGTGCGGGGGTAGAATACGTTCCACCGAGATGCATACCGACAGCCCACATAATGTGGTACAATGGAACCCAACTATTGCCAGCGTTGCATGTTTCCGACTACATAACATCCTAGGTCATATAACTAAGCGACTCTACCCACTAAAAGGCGTGAAGAAAACCAACAGCCAAGGGCCACTGCGCCATCTAGTGAGTAAAGAGACCGTCCGGGAATTAGAAAGCGAGCTTCGGTCCTGGCTAGCTTCACTTCCTCCAAGCCTCCGCCTCGGTCAAGAGAAACACCCACTACACATTGAACGGTAGGCTCAAATTCTCCCATCACAATGACCCAACCTTTTCTGCTGACCTGACATGGTGCAGCGCACAATACGAGCTATGCATGTCGTACGCACATGCTCAGATCTATCTGTACCGGCCTTTCCTGCACTACCTAGTCACTTCACCTACCGGCGAAATCAGATCAGCAGATGGTTTCCCCGCGTATGCTTCCGCCTGTGTAGATGCCAGTCGCAACATCATTCGGCTTGCGCAGGACATGTATCACAGGGGGCTTTTTCGCGGCGTACATTGGGATATTTCGAATATGATACTGGCCTCATCCCTAACAATGCTTTACATAATCTTAGCGAGAAAGGGTTCATCAGTTGAGGAAATAGCCCTAGCAGAGCTGCGTACTGCTCGCGATTTGATGACTCTTTTGGAGCCATACACAACGCTCGCAAAGAGGACGAGCATTGCAGTCAAGGTATGTGTTGCGTAGTTACACTTAGATGCCGAAGATTTTATTGAGAGGCTGTGCAGCTTTTGACGACGGCAATTCTTCCTACCGGAACAAGCGACCTCTCTTCACAAAATGTTGTACCTAGTCCGTCTGCACAGGTGTCTGACTCGTATACCGCCACTCTGGCTGAGGAAACGTTTGGTTTTGTACCGAGGACCGGCGTGTCGGAGCACCAGGGGATGGCACCAGTCGGAAGACAAAGTAGCTCAGTGCCAGTTCCGGCAGCGACTGAGATATCGGCAGGTAGCCTCTCACAGAGACCTGTTCTAACTGCAACTGCTAGTACAGGCGGAGACACCTGTCAAGACTCTCCAGTGCTCACGGCAGCTCAAAGTTTGAGTACATCTGCTCCCTTTCCGATGCTCTCGGGCATGTACAATACACCGTTCGTTAGTGGTGGTATTACGGAGCACAATACCCTCCAATCTACATTCGTACAAGATTACGGGATTGGTGGGGATGACTATGGATATATGGTTGACGGCACTGGGCCGATCGACTTTAGTGATATGATCGGTGATCTGTTCGCTTCAGAGGGCTTGCTGTAACGCCTGTGGGAAGGTCGGGCTAGCTGGTCCCTCTATGCGCCCCCAGGTATATCTGGTATCTGATAGCGGCCATCCTTTGAGGACGTGTGAAACTATTCATTTATTGAAGCCCATACTGGCTTGCCAAACATCCTATTCTAGATCAACCTTGAACTTTTGTCGGAGGGACGCACCAATGCGGCGAAAAAGGAGAGGCAGCAAAACCATCGCCAGGGTCACAAATCCCAGGAGTGAATTCCCCCAACCGTATCCGAGCTTTGCATACATGGGTGGTCCTGCCAACGGCAATAATGCACCAAAGAGGGACCGAGTAACTGTCAATGCGCCAATACCGGATGCCGCATAGCGAGGGTAGGAGTCGATAATATAAGCCTGCAGTGTTCCAAAGATGCCAATAATGCCGAAGGCGAATGGAAAAAGTCCGATAATGGGAACGATCCAATGTGTCTTTTCCTGAACAGACCAGCCGTACCAGAAAAACGAGATTGGCACGAAGAGCGCAAAGGGTAAGCACAACGGAAGACGCATCTCGGGTTCCAGGATGTTATTATTGCGTCGTTTCAGCCGGACAAGCATCCGATCGCTTGTCAGAGCGAACACTACCTGGCCTGCGAAAAAGCCTAACCCCAGACCGATATATGCAAGGCCACTGGTTTCTACACTCCACCCGTACTGGTCCTGGAAGATTGATGTGACAGTGGTGAAGAGAAGATAGAGACAGCCATAGACTGACGCAATATAAAGGGCCATGATCAGCACGATGGGCGAGGTTGCTAACAGCTTGATGACCCTGGTGGATGTTCTCAGTAGGAGAGTCGCCGGCCCACGTGTCTCGCCCTCTTTCTCATAACAGCTGCGAAGCTCGGGGCGGTTCAGCTGCTTGCGCAGAGCCACTGTCTTCCGCCGGATGAGCACGGTCGGATTTGTCTCTCGGTTGGTCACCATGACAATACCGGTCAATGTGCCTCCTACGATGACCAGTACCCAGAATGTCCACCGCCACCCGGCACGTTGCGCAATGTACCCTCCGCAGATTGGTCCTATGACAGGCGCGAAGAGTGGGCCGAACGAGAAAAAAGACAAAGCCAGTCCACGTTGCTCTGCCTCGAAAAGGTCGGCAATCACGCCGCCCCCAATCGTCAGACAGCCGGACCCTCCAAAGCCAGTGAAGAAACGAAAAACAATCAGAGCCGATAGATTGGGAGCCAGGGCACAGCCGATTTGAAAGAGCACAAAGATTGTGGTGGCCGCGTTCAACGTGATTCGACGACCACATACCTCACTGAGTGGAGATAGAACTAAGGGCCCGCTCTGACATTATGAACCCTGTTAGCGAACCACTATAATCTAACGACTTGGGACATACCACGCACAAAATAGCCGAACAGATATGCCGTCACTGCGAACGAGCTGCGTATGGAGGATGTATTGCCGAATTCTTGGTCGGCCAGGCTGACACCGGGTGCGAATACCGATGATGCAAATGGGCTACACACTGGTTATCAACGCCAAGGTCCCGAATGGTTGCAGGATATCTCGTTCTCTTACCTGATGAACGTGATGATGCTCACTGTCGCTAACTGGAACCATTTCCGAGATGACGGGTAGTTTCTGTCGTTTTGGTGTCAGTAATCTCGTTTGTTTCTTGTTATGATGTTAGCATCTCACCTGGGATTTAACGGATCATCCTGACTCTCCCATCCAACTATGCCATTGCCCAAGTCCATCTCCGGATACTTCTCCCGACTGACTGCCGGTTCCTATAGAGCTTGCTGTGAGCAGACATCAACTAGTACGGGTTCAGATAGCACCCACAGCCTGTTTGTTATTTTCCTCATCGGACATGGTGCAGTCTCATACCCTATGAATGCTCCGCCTTAGGAACAGTTAGTGAAAGGTTGCTGTCGCTAATGTGTCGCCCCGTCCCTATTTATCGAGTTTGTTCTCGACCGTATAGAACGAGATTCGATATGCCAAGGCATTATCCCGAGATTGAGGTTAGCGTAGTCTGGTAATGTCCAATAGGAGCGATTGAAAACACCAAAAAATGAAAAGAACTAACCGAAAGTTCGGCCCTGTCGAGAAACAATTCCCGATGCTGGGGTTAGCTCATGATATTTTATCGTAATTGGTGCAAGCATTGTTGACTGAATTTTCCAACAAACTGCCGGACAGTCACAACGGACCTTCTCAGAGACAGCGAGACTCAGACTTCAACGTATTTTTTGGAGATTTAGCCCTTTGCAATTCCTCGTATCTGCTGGGTGACCTACGTTCGACCATATTCACGAAATCTATATTCTAATCATAACAGAAATATGTACATATAAAACGGAAATGTAGTAAGGGACTGATGATATATCACCCCGATTGCAGCTACTAAACAATCTCAAATTGATCAGACCTATATTTAGAAGAGTCTGATAAAGAGGGTCTTAGCCCTTGTATAGTTTCTATTATCTATATCTATCAGTTGCGTTGTTCTATCTTAGGATAACTCATAGTTCAATTGGACAGTGGACACTATTAATGAGCTGGAGAGGACGACTATGAAATGCAGTTACCAGTGCGCTGTTCTATTTCCTACAAATAAACAACTTAATTACTTATTCCGCTCCTCAACTAGCTGCTGAAGTTGAGTTTCCAGGGAACCTAATATACTCCACTCGCTCTGGTTTATGTTATATGAACTCTGGGGCTGGTCTGTGTAGTAAATTTGGGGCTGACTACACTGGTATACTAATCTAGAGTGCCCTTGATTAAGGGTCATAAGAAAGAGGGGTCAGCTGTGTTGTGGACGAGAGATAGGAGCTCATCACAATTTGTGATGATTACGCTGTCAGATGCTGGCGTGAAGCTCTCGGCCCCTGACCATCGCACAAGCGTTGAGACGATTAGTGGGCGAATGTAGATAGGCGGCTACGACCAAAGTCACATAATAATTAAAGAGATTCATATTGCCGAATGACCCTGGCGAGGCATTGTGTTGCCAAGGGACAGACGTGAGATGAAAGCTAGTTAGGCTTCATATCTACCACGATGTAAAAAACAGAGGGACCTTATAACTTATGCAATAGCCAAGATACATGATATATGGTGTCGATCAAAGTTCGCCAGTGCCCGGTGCACATCCTTTATCGACGATCGAAGAATTATTAGAATAATCACTCATTCAATTGAATTTGTCGCGCATGGTTTTCCATAGTTGGTGCCGATGTCAAGCCGATCCTTAGTCGTTCACCTTGTCTCCCTCGACATAAATAAGCCGAGAGTCCATCACATCTGGGTCAATTCTATCACACAATCGGATATACCAGAATTCTGTTCTTTCTTGACTTCAAAACCCAGCATGAGTCTTTTCAACTTCGGCATAGCAGTGACGGCATTGTCCGCTTTGACACCCGTCGCGAGTGCTTTCTTTGGCGGTATCAAAATCCCGAAAGAAATGATACCCGAGCAATGCCAGGGCACTATGAAAAGGGCCCAGACGGAAGGCAAACTCTTTCACGATTGGCTAATAACCCACATCTGTCGAGATCATCAAAAAGTGACTTTTAACATGGTGAAAGATTATGTTGATCCGGTTGTTAAGTGGTATACCTTATATTCGTTTGGGCCCGAATGAAATCCCCACTCAGTCTGAAGGGAGATGTGTTACCGTTCGAAGAAGAAATTCAAAGGGACTGTATCATGAAACTCAACTGGGGGGTGGTTAATCATCCAAGCCTTTGTCTCGTCAAGGCTGGTGATACAAAGCTCACCAATATGGTGAATACCTGCATCATCCCTAAAGTGGTCGCGAAGTATATGATAAACTTACCAGAATTTGGTGAATGGGCAAAGACAAATTGTGAAAAAGGGGAATCGGTGGTAAAAGAACTACTGGTGGACACAAGGGTTAATATATTTACCAACCACGAATAACATATGGCTTAATTATAGCTGAGTGGATCGGGAGTTCTGTTCTCCATACCCTATGGTCGTACGTACTGCTTAACTAGTCGCAGAGGCTTATATGGAGAGTAGGACACCTTGATTTCCCTTCCTATTATTAGAGAAATTATCGTCTCATGCCTTGAATTTATTTTCCTGCGGGAAATAAGTATGGTAGACTAGATGCATTATGTGACTGGTCAAAGACTCTGACCCAACACTCGCACAGGCATATAAACCATGGACTACAGAAGTGTCGAAACGAGTACAGACACCCTTTGAGTAGGCGGATTCCGAGATATTTCAACTTCTGTAGCTTCACTGGAGGGTGTTGGAGGTGATTTAGTTCTTATTGCTTTTGAAATAATATCTAGATCTTTAGGTAAGACATGTTTGTGCACTGGGCATACTTTAACCAAATTCTATTTGCAATACATATATGTACCTCAGAAACGTATGTACTACGAGTAGATACTAATGTAAATAGCTGAAGGGAAACATTTATAGAAGGATATGTGCATTCAGCGAGACGCCGAATCTTATATTATAAGACATATATATCTATACTACACCAAGTAAAATAATTGAGTGGCCTGCGCCCTGGGTATCCATACACCAGAGCCTAACCCGCGATCAAGCATTTATCTGCTTTAGCAGGAAGCGCCGGAAGGAACGTTCTGGCACTCACCGGACTTCTTGCCGCCGGAGAGGCTGACACCCTTCCAGGTCCAGTCAGAGCAGCTGCCCTTGCCGCAGAGGATGTAGACGGGGGTGGCCTTGCTGGCAACGGAGCCAGTCACACCGTTGACAGTGAGGTCAGTGATGGGGACACCAGTGGTGGGCTTGCCGGTGGGGCCACCGTTCTTGTAGTCCTGCTCGATGACGATACCCTTCTTCTTGATGTTCTTGAGGGTGATGTTCTCGTAGGTCACACCGCTGACAGAGCCGGTAGCACCAGAGATGGTCTTGATACGGATACCGTTGTCGGAGTCAACGACGGTGGAGTCGGCAACCTTGACGTTCTTGACGGTGTTGCTGTCGCGGTTACCGATGGAGCCGATGGAGATACCGTGGCCGCCGGAGCAGGTAGCACCGGTGAATTCGATGTTCTAAGTCATGTTAACATCGGTGCGCGAGGCGAGGAGTGGGGATGTTCTGATCCAACGTACCTCACCAGAGTTGATGGCCAGGCAGTCATCCTGGTTCTTGACGTTGGCACCGGTGATGTAGACACCGTTGCTCTCGCTGACGTCGAAAGCATCGGTGTTGTGGCCACCCTTGCTGTCACCCTCGGAGTTGTCGATGGTGATGTCGGTCAGGTGGACATCATTACCCTGGACACTGAAGACCTGGACGGGGGAGTTCTTGACGTGCAAGCCCTTGATGGTCGAGGACTGGAGCTTGTGGGCGTAGATGAACTTGGGCTTGGTCTTGCCACCGTTGGTGCCCTTGCCGTCCCACCAGCGAGAGCCCTGGCCGTCAATGACAGCGCCAGAGGCCTGGGTGACGGTGATGTCCTTACCACCGAAGCGGATCAGGGGTCCCTTCCACTCCTTGTAGCCGAAGGTGGTAGTACCCTCGAAGGTGATCTAGACGACAAGTTGAATTAGCTACTTCCATCATGTACGGAATATTACGCGGTTGGTAGAACGTACGGTGGCACCATCCTTGGCCTTGGACAAGTCAAGAGTCTCTCCGGCGGGGACAGCGATGTTCTTGAGGACAATGTTGGAGCAGCTCTTGGCGCTAGCAGAAGCCTGAGAAGCGGAGGTGAAGGTGCAAGAAGAACCCCTCTCAACCAACTCAGAGGTACGAGAAGGAGCGGGGGCAGCAGCGGCGAGAGAGCCGAGGGCGGCGAGGCCGAGAAGTTGGAAATGCATAGTGAATGAACGGGTTCTGGTCAACAGAACGTATGGGAATGAATAAATGAATGTATAGGGCCTGTTCAACAGAGACAAGGAAAGCAAAGGAATGAAAAGCAGTGATTTGGGATTGGGGAATTCCCTGAGAGTCCTGGGCCACGAGACATTTTATACCTCATGGTTCTTCATACTTAAGCTTCGGATCTTGAGCTTGGCGGTAGCGTGGGCCAGTTTTTCATGATGCCGAATGAATCAAGTCATTGGTGGAATGGAAATCTCCAGTGGGGACGTTCCACCGTGATATTATCAGTATCATCAACCTCTAACGACGGACGGCAGCCCTAGGAGGCGTTTAGGGCATAGCGGACCCATGGGCCCTAGGGGTTCAAGCCAAGATCGGGTAAGGCTCGGCCCCACTAGGAGTCCTCTGTTCATCTTTGGCCCAATAATCCCTAAAGCGCTCGGGATAATAGGTGCTTATCTGCCGGATTCCCTCGCCCATATCCGGCGCTTTGTCTCATGCTTGTCTCACTCTGAGGGAGCTAGGTCCTCTACTTCCTTGAACCAGTGGCCATCGTGGTCCTTTCGGCACATCGGAAATGGTTGAAACTAGTCCACATGGTAACTCTGGTAAGTTCACTAGCTAAGTAAAAGGTTTTACCGTCGATTCTCCGGCGATGCCTATTGGTCTCTGTTTCAAGTCAGGGTTAATTGTTGATATCCCGGCGGTTGGGACCGAAGCTACCGATTATCCGACATCACGAATTTATCCATATTGGGCCCTACATTGTTGGTTTAATCTATCCTAAATTGGGTTGCCTGGAGTCCCTGAATCAGGGGTCTCATTTTTCTTTCAAAAAATAGAGAAGGATCAACAGTCAGAATCACCAATACGGATTTGTCATATTCGGCAAATCTCCGGATCAGCCTGGCGCTTTGACGCCTCACAAAGGGATCGTCGCATCATTCTCTAACCGAGTATTTTGGTGTTCTGGATTGATGAAATGTCGTCAATGTCGTCGGGCCATTGATTATGGCAGCCTAGACCATAAGGCAAAGGTTTGGCTCACTTGGATGCATGCTAAGAATTTTCGGAATTTTGAGTGATCCACCCAGTGGGTCAGTCCTGGCAGAGGCAAAACGGCTTTAGTGTCTCAGTTTCATCTGGATTTGGACTTCTAGAATTCGCTGTGGCGCGCATTTCTTACCATAGGTGGAAGAAGAATCCGCTTACATTAATTAACACTGCATTTTACTCGCCCCGGATGTACCGGGAGTGTGGAAGGGCGAGAGAGTTTCTCCAAATTCCCATATCGCATGATTCGTAGGAGAATTCTTCTCCTTCCCTTGACGCTGCTTGATCTCATCACGAAAGAAAAATGCAAGATTTGGAAGGTCTCACAGTCGGAGTCCGAAGGTCCTTCATGCGCTCTGCCCACATGGAGGCTTTGAACAACCCACGCCTCGAAGAGTGCATCCGGACATCAGGATGAGTGATTTCACACTAAACAAGCAGAAAGAACAGTGGCCTAGCCATGAGTGATACAGACATCCATCAATAGCCGACATTCTTAATTGTTTTTCCTCTTTGTAACAGCACAAAGCGTACCGGTGCACTAACAGAGCAGGGAACCAATAGTTTTACTGACATTTACTACCCTTCAGAATAGGCAAGAATCCAGGCTAGTCATATCCGGGATTGTTCCATTAACTCTGATGAATATTGGCTAATGTAGTAACAAAAATAGGAACATTCTCCCCTCTGCTGTACCGCTCCCAACCTCGGAAATTGCGCTTTTTTGTCTTGAATCGTGCCCAAACATTCTGAGGAATACCGCCCGTTTCGCTCTGTCTATAGTATAGACGCCTATAATATTGCTGGCATACTAACCCAGGAGTCGACTGGAGCTGGATCGATGGCCCATCCTTTGAAGTTTAGGCAGTGGCCTTTCTAGTTGACATAACCTTCTCTACCCGCACTGTTAGAGGAGCTATCCCAAGACATTGTAGCAGAACACATTAATCGCGCATAGAATCTCTCGAACAGAGCAGAGCATATGTCGTTTATATTCTCTCTCAGTAATGGAGGTGAAAGGTTCTTGGTGGAGCTGTTGGTGCGAGGATATGTGGCTGTGCTAGGCCAGTTTCTTACGAGGGCACCTCCTTTCACATCCGTTATAGTTGTCTGGTTTTAGTCCCGGAACAAAAGATAATACCATCCCATGCCATGGCAGGCACCGTAAGACATTTTCTCCCAGATCAGTAACTATATGGGATATCTTATGGATCAGGTGATGCCGGGCGAAAGGATCCTGATTTTTGAGAATCACATGCTCAGCTGGATACCGGAGAAATTCGGTATAGCAGCTACTTGTGGGTTCTGATATTGAATTCACTAGAATGTGGCCGGAAATTTGGTTAGCTGCAAATATCATTTGGCCATGTAAACCCTGTGCTGAATGCATCGTGTGGAGATTGATACTGTATGGATGCAGGAGGTTATCGATGAATTATCAAAATAATAATGGTTTTCTTTGGCAGAATAGAAGCTGTAAACTTGTTAATATATCAAAGACAAGAAGGAGGGTTGAGCAATGATCCTAGCAGTACAGTTGATTTCTATGTGTATCTATCCATCCATAATATATATGATTGATATAAAACATGCAGCACATATCCTCCAACACCCTGCTCTTGCTAAAACATGTCGACCATCCTTTCCCACGCACGTATATTTAGTAAGGAGACTTATATAATCATCAAAAAAGCCACAACAGAAAGACACAAATGAAAGACATAAAGGAGAAATATCTCAACACATCTTGCTGCCTGCTCTCTCCTCCTTCCTCTTCTGCCGCAGCTTCACCTGCCGTTTGGTGATGATATACCAAGACCCCAGGGTGAGCATCGTAAGTGGTACTGCTGCTACAACAAAAATCCAGAACTGCCTCGAGATTGTGAACTCTTTCTCATTGGAATCTCCGAAGTCAAAAAGATTCATTCCTAGAAGAGTCTGCACGTGTTGTTAGAACTGATATATGGATGGATCTTGAGCGTGGCTTACCGAGACGAAGCTAGCAGGCAGGTAGATGAGGGTGACTAGCGTGACGACCCGGACAGTAGCATTATCCTCGAATGCCTCGCTGGTGAGTTGTAGCATCTTGTCGTTAATTTCGTTGGCTACAGTTTGGCCTTTCAGATTGAGGGCAACTGCCATCTACATATGGATCAGCGATGTTAGTGAATCTGAGAATCAAGTCATGGAGTGCCGAGGCGAAAGGCATACCAAGTCTGAGATACCTTTCACTTTTCCTTCGAGTACTTCCACGCTTCTCAGGTACCCTTCGATAGTAGTTTTGTAGTACGCCATCTCGCTTGCCAGTCGTTGGGAGTCATCATCAGTCGTGAACCCCTTGGATTGAAAAAGTGTATTGATATCAGCCAGCTTGCGAATGGTTTCTAACGCAACCTGTAGTCTGGATGAGAGCGTTGGGAGCTTGTCTCCCAGATATTGTGGTGTCAATATTCCGTGGTTATCAGCCTTGGAAAGATTCAACGTCAAAGCGATATCAACCTAAGTAAATTATTAGCATTGCACGACTTCACAAAGGTTCGGTCGCATTTGCAGACTGACAGTGCTCTCGATCTCCTCGCCCAGACTGCGGATACACCAGCGCCAGTTACCAATATATGCCGAGAGTACGAGTAAATGCATCGAATACCAGCTCTTAAACACGCCTGCGTGCTGTGAAGTGATCTCGGATTCGATCAGCTGCTGCAGCTTTGATCGTGGTCTCGCGTGAAAGAAGATCCAGAGATTGCCGGACCCTGCAGGATTATACCGGTGAAATACACATGTCTGTCGGATCGTCCATGGAACACTCCCCTGAGGAGCATTGCTCTCTGCATATGTAACGAGGTATTGCATGTCTGAAGGATCAGCACCATCATCCTCTTGTTGGTTTTCGGGTTGGCCAAGTACCGCATGAGCCATCTTCCTTCTGTCTCACTGTCATTGCTCCGTGTCCTGCATCGGCGCTTTGTGGTTTGTCGCCGAAAGATACTATGAGGTCAAGGAGGGTTGCGTCGATGCCGTATGTGTTCATGAGCTTTCGCATCGCTTGTTCGGTGACTCCGAGGGGCCGCATGGAATTTTGAGAACATATTGATCTAGTAGATTGTAAGTTTGGGTTCTGTGTTGCTGTGTGAAGAGAGAGTCTAACACTATACGTGTGTGTGGTTTGGACGTAGTCGCGATATGAGATTCGAAATCGTCGCTATTGGTGAACAGGTGAGGACCGTCCGTTTTGGGACCAGATGAGGCTAATATAGTAAGTAATCCCGGCGCCAGAAGCTTGTTCCAGGAACTGAAAACATACATACGAAGTCAAATAGATAAATATTTGACTTTTCCGGGAAAGAAACAAATGTTGGATACCGGAGATGTGGTGCTATAGCACCGTAATGCTCAGGCTTAAGCGGATTCAGCCGGCAACTGTTGCCTTGCAGTGGTGCGATGGTATGCATGCTCACAGTAAGTGTCCAGTATATTCTAGGCGTCACACTAGAGCCCTTCTGGAAGCAAATTTAGGAATACCAAAGATACTAACAAGTCGTTTATAACCAGATTCGCTCACACATTCGACAATTTACAAGGCAGATTAGCCAGGCTAGGGGATGGTGGTCTAAGGCTGTAACATGGGATAACATCGCATGTAAGCAAACACAGCCAGTAGCGAATTATGTTACATAGAGTAGGGGCCTTGGAAAATAAGGTAGGATTGCTGCGGTATCAAAGCCACATGAGTAGACCAAACGAAGTGATCATCCCATCCATGTCCATATCCGTATGACCAAAACACTCATTCAATCCCGAAGATCGCTGTATGGCAATACAGTAAGTCATAACGTGGTAACTGGCGCGTGCTGGACTATCTCCACTTACTCGATCTCACTCTAGAAGAAAGAAAAAAAAGAAATGGACAAATTAGCTACCGGACTAGAAGCTAATCTACCACGCAAGTTCGAATGAGCTGCTTACCGGAGTTACTATCCTTGGGGCGTCAAAAACCCATCGCTCATTGATATGCTTTCAAAAGAACCTTGTATGTCAGCAACGTTAAGATACCAGCGCTATCAGCGAGGCTCCATACGCGAACTTTGATCCGTTTGCCAAACAGGCTTAGAAGCCTAGCCTCAAGCCTTTCCTTTCTGATGTACCCTGTTAAGTCAGGGCTGATGGTGTTCTGAACGGACCCGCTCATGGTCAAGGTTGGCTAGGATGGCCTGGATGTAAAAGGGAAGAGGTAAGTTGATCTGAGCGTGGGGCGGAGGGTAGGCTCTCAGCTCTCTCAATGCGGTTATAGGCAAAGAGAAACAAATCCTGGCAGTACGAAGGGGCGCAGAGCCTCTGAAAGTTGTGAGGCTGTGACGACGCGATCCAGGCGCTGATTGATGGTCGTCTCGATTCCGACTTGTGCGCTTGTTTGTTCCCAAAATCACGCGGAAGGTTTGACGGGCGCAAGAATCACAGCCCAACAAGCTGGTTAAGCCAGTGAGGCTAGCAATGGCTTGAAGGATCCAGTCATCTTCACCCCGGTTGGGGTACGGCCACGTCAAGGCGCGCGCGGGGAATGGAGGATCGTTACATGAGGAGCGGGGGATGTCAATCCATGCCGTATGGATTTTAGCACCATTCGGAAATCCCCGGAAATTCTGCTCTTCCCGTTACGTGACGTTCAACCTAGAATATCTGAGTAGTGGGTACCCTCATGACGAGAAGTTTAATAGATTCCCAACACCGGAATCCATCGCAGAATGATCCCCAAGATGGAGAAGAGTGGTCTCGTTGGCGGTCGTGATGCACAGCCCCTATGCAGGTATCCAGTAGTCCAAGGAGTGGAGGAGTGGAACAGGAAAAGAGAAAGAGGGCAAACAAATTAATTAAAGAAAAAAAAAGCAAAACCAATCGGGGGCAGTCCCTTGGGCGCTAAATCTCGTCCGAGACTGTCAGCTCTTACGATCTCTATCTCACGGCAAAAGCTTTGGATAACCACCACAGTACTAAACTTGACTCTTCTCCTGATTCATGGAGGTCAATGTAGGATGCTGATTAGAACCGCTACAGCGCGGTTTATGACACAAGCACAGTAGCTCGACAAGGAGTTTCAGCAACACTGGAGAGTGCCAAGGCAAGGCTGTACATGATGATCGAATACGAGTGTCGCAAGTCTTTCGGAAGACGGCACACCACCAGGTTGATTAATCCACAGAATGAGCCTCATTTTCCATCATGTAGAGTCTATTTCGTGTGGCTGGGCGCTCATTTATGGCTTTATTTCTTTTCTCTACTAGAATTTGGTTTATTGGGCAAGTCACCTTCTTTCTTTACCTTCACCTCAGCTTCGGAATATTTTGTGCCAATAAAGTACTGTTTGTAAAGCTCCTTCTCTTTTCGAGTGATATAAAGAAACTGCAGCTCAGATAAGCCTTGTATGCTCCACTTGATCCTTTGTTAGCCTTAAGGTGTGGCTCAAAACCATCGTATCTTCCGAGCCCCTTACTTCGCACATACTGAATGGCTTAAGGTTGAAGGACTTCATGTAAGGGACAAATATGCGGGTAAACAACGCAGTCAGGCGGTAAGAATTCTCTGCTCACGTTTCATTTGCTATTAACCTTTTTATCCAATGAAATTGTTGAGCCTCCCTCACTCCTGCTTGCGGTCGGTTATCATGCTCATCTTACAATGAATCCTTCAGGCCTCGGAACCCGCTACTACTGAGAACACCAGACGAGCTTGAAGATGACGTTCGCAAATTCTATGACCGGAACCACCTGCAAGACGTGATCGACGTGGAGTTGCTTATAAGAGGAGCACGCATAGCACAGGAACCCGACAACCTGTACACCCTCGACTTAACAGCAGCAGAGTTCAAGGCGATAAAGGATGAAAAAGAGTCGGGCTTTTGGCAGCAAAGTAAAGATCTCAAGGTGACCATCCTCACCACAGCATGTGCGGCAATCACCCAGTAGGTACGCCCTGGAGGAAGTGAAATTGTATTTAGGTTCCTGTTAACTAATTCCAATAGAGGCTGGCAGCAGTCCACGATCAATGCGGCTTCAGAAGGCTGGAAGCATGATTTGCAACCCAAGGAAGGATACTGGAGGCACGAGAATCCTTGGCTGGGTGGCTTTATTGATGCTGCGCCTTAGCTATCGGGCAGTATAATGTGAGTCGCCCAACAACCGGGAAACCACACAAAGACACTAAAGAAAGTGGCAGTGGAACGTGGTTGAGTGACCCTCTCCAAGAGGGCAATTATGGGAGGCGACCAGCACTGTTCATTTCAGCTGTTTTTTGTGCTGCCTGTGTACTTGGTAGAAGGAGTCTTAACCTCCGTTCATTGAACCCAATTCTGACTTCGAAACAACAGGCACGGCGCGCTGTGTGACATGGCAGCAGCTTCTCGCTTGTCGCGTAATACTCGGTATTGGGGTAAGCCATTTACTCTGTTTGCTCTTGACAAAAGCTTACTCGATACCAATAACAAGATCGGCGCAAAGGCGTCAATCGCCCCCGTGTTTGCCGCAGAGGCGGCGGTAGACCATCTGCGAGGACGGTTATTGATGATGTGGCAGTTGTTCGATACTTTGTACGTTTTTATTGGTGTATCTCTTGATTTTCTGCTGAGTGGTTCTAACACATATCAATACAGTGGCGTTTTTGTTGGCTTCGCCTGTGATTGGATTGTCGATCGCCAGTGGAGGGTGCTTTTAGGGACAGCGTCGATTCCCGCTCTTATCCTCCTATTCCTCGTCTTTCTATGCCCCGAGTCCCCACGGTTTCTTATCCGTAGAGGAGATTATACCGGGGCATTCGTGAGCCTCCGACAGCTACGAGGTACCGACATCCAGGCGGCGAGAGACCTTTATTATATCCATAGTCAACTACAAGTCGAAACGGAGATGTTTGATGGGGAGAGACCGCAGAACTGGTATAATCAAGAGATATACCAGGAGAGGGTCCGTAAGACAGGGTTCCTAAAGCGGCTTGGTATACTTTTCAGTCATCCACGCAACCAAAGGGCATGTGTGGCTGCATTCTTGGTAATGGCATCGCAACAGTTGTGTGGTGTAAGCCACTCCTCCCTAACATCAAGCATATTGACATTGTAAGCATCATATATCTGATTATCGGGCTAGATCAATGTTCTTTCGTTTTACTCTTCTCGACTCTTCAATGGCGCAACCAACCCGGAAGACCCTCGCAATACAAGTGATTCCCGGCTGCCTGCTAATGTAGTTTGGCTTAACTTTGGTAAGTGGAAGGAAAACCATATCCAATCGATCTGTATCGGCGCTCTTCTTAACTGAGATTAGGATTCGGCTTGGCGAACTTCCTCTTCACCATTCCTGCCTATCGATACATTGATTGGCGTGGGCGTCGACTTCTTCTACTCATCTCGCTAGCGGGAATGTTCCTCAGCCTGCTTGTCATTGGGTTTTTCTTTCGAATCGAAGCCGACAAGGTCAAGCTGGCCCTCGTATCAACTTTTACCATTGGCTTCTTCACATTCTTTTATGGTATCGGTGCTGGACCAGTCCCATTCACCTTCAGTGCCGAAGTCTTCCCACTTGCATTTCGCGGTGCGTATTGGGCTTTCCTTTCTTGCTTTCTTTCCCGGCTATTCTCCTATATAAGGCCAAGGGTTGACTAGTTGAAAATCATGGGATTGATGCTAATTCTGCATTTTAGAGGTCGGCATGAGCTTCAGCGTTATGGTTAATTTCCTAGGTCTCGGGCTTCTGGTACTATTTGTACCTCAATTGGACTCGGCTTGGGAACCGAATGGAGCATCCAATATATGTTTTCTCTTCACGTGGGCTTCCCCTATTCTCCCAATTGTAGATTCAGTCGGATTCTAACCGTGTGTCAGGGGACTCAATGCGTTGGCCTTTGTTCTTGTCTTTCTGTTCGTAAGTGCTCTGCCATCTACGAGCCACCTGACAGCCGCTAACGCTCGGTGTAGGTTCCCAGTGGCACTGCAAAGGTGGGCCTGGAAGAAATGAACCAAATATGTACGATCTTCATCTTCGCGGCTCTTTCCTACCTTGATACATACTGACTGAGCCCGCAGTTAACACCAAAATGTCTGTTCATATCCAAGAGCACGTCGTTAGCCTGGGAAATCTGTGTGGCCGGCAAAAGGTGGAGGACGATCCGCACCACCTCCAGCAACTTCATGATCATGCTTAGAGCATGGCATAACAGTTCGCCTTCCATTGAGTACATAGAATGCCTGTAGGAGAACTTTATTATCCTTGATTCATGACTTTGCTGGGTACCAAATACCTAACAAGCTTGATATTTATGTACTTTGACTTAATGAGTCAAATATTTTCACTCTCTTTTGCGAGGGCGCCGAAATGCATGTGTAGTAAATTTATGCAGTAACTTGGGAAGAGTCACGACTTCCAGTATTTTCCCTCAGTGGGCCGGACTGTACAGCCACATTTTACAGAAATTAGGGGTCGTCAGAGTAGACCTCATTCGCCGCCTCATTCTAGTCCTGACTAATTAGCTCCATGACCAGTCGCATTGCTCCAATAAATTCTATGGTGTCGAGGCGTTCGAGTCATTTCGATCGGGCATGGAACCCCACGGGGAAGCCCCCATTCGTCCTTGGCCGAGGCTGAGAAACTTAAGGACTCGAGATCATTGCGGTGTAAAGTAAGCGGAATAATTGATAGCAAACAGTCAACACGTGAATCAACGGGGCTAAGAGGTGACGTTGCCTAATCACTGCGTGCTTTGCAACCCTTTCCACTCTTACCTCCGTTACTCATCCTTCTTCCATGCAGGCACCGGTAACCCTTCTGCCAGCGCATATGTACTGCACATACTCACATTGTACGTTATTCATTTGGACTCTACTACTGGCTTTCTGAATTTTAATTTATTGTAAATGTACACGGTTAGCTTTAAACGCTCGCAGCGACTCATTTGGACTGAAGCCTAGCCGTCCGTTTGAGCGTCGCTCGCGACCTCGACGCTACGGCTCATCTCACGCCCAACATGAGTCGTCATGATAATCTTCGCAATGCTTTCAATCTACGAATGTCTGATGAAGAAATCAACGCCATTCTGAAGGCAAATGGCTATAGCATGATTAGCCTTCACAACTCCCTCAACTCGTATTCTGGCGATCACAGCAACGACTCGTCACATGGATCCAGCCCTGAGGCGGACCGACAATTTCCCAGAAGACTTACGCCGACAGAACATGCAACACCTAGAACAATTCCTAATCCACCCCAAAGTCCAGAAGTTGAGACGTATGGGATATCTCCGCATCAGACTTACTTTCCTGATGATCGCCCCTATTATGGCGTTCACCCCAGTCCTACCAAGTCAGTATAAGACGTGACCATTTGGACTTCATCGAGGTGTCATGTTCACTGACTGGGCGACTTTATAGTTCAAGATATAGAACACAGAATACCATAGTCGACAGCCATCTATATCACCATGATTCACCGCTCATCGAAAGCCTTGCTGAAAGGCGACAATCTATTCAACGGGAATCGATGCTCAAAGAGCTCTCCCGTGCGTTGCAAACTGAAACCCACCGACGAGACAGGCCATCAGAGAAGGTCGTAACTCGGCATAGCTTGGCCGTTATTTGGAGTGAATCTCGCTTAGAGAAATTCATAGACCTCGTAAGGCCCGGATTCGATCATGCCTGGATACCTGTCATTCGGGAGGAGTGGCTCCAAACACTATCTATACTAGTGGATATCGGCTGGCAGGATTGGGCGAGGTTTGCAGACATATTTCTCATGCATCACGACGAACATTGCGAATGGGACCGTACGGATCGGATGATCCCAAAGTACAAACTGGCGGTTCTGGAAGATGATTCATTCTTAGGATCCCCTTGGGCTGAAAAATTCCAGGCTAGCCAATATACCTTCTGTCCGATTGATATCGAAGAGGGCAAGAGTCTATTCTTTTCAAAAGAATGGAAGCTCCCTTTTATCAACGAAGAATCGACAAGCATTGGGAATGGTGCATATGGCAGGGTCACCAAGGAGATTATCGGAAGTGGACATTTTCGATCTCGATCCGAACACCACCTGCCAGGAGCGCCTCACAGCGTAAGCCCCATCAGTTCCACGCATATCGTATTATCCATCCCGGGTAGCTAACCAAGCCCACTGGTTTTAGAAAGATATCGCGGTCGCTTTAAAACAGTTCGAAGCTAGGGGTGACTTCCGCTCCGAAACCAAAAACCTCGACGTACTTCGCTCAAGTCTGTCCAAGCATGATCGCATTGTTCCTTTCCTCGCGACCGTCACAATTGGCAATTCGTTCAACATTCTTTCCCCATTGGCAGAGATGGATCTAGATGTTTTCCTTCGCGAAGGACATCAAAGATGCCCCGACTTCACGGTACGTGACCTGATGCAAGAGGCCGCGCATCTCGCTGGGGCTCTGGCCTTCCTTCATCAAGGATTAGACAGCTATCCACCAGGTCTTAGCTGCTGTCACATGGACCTCAAGCCAGGAAACATACTTGTGTTTCACGGAGACGCCCTAGACTTTCCAAAAGTGGGAAAGTGGAAGATCTCTGATTTTGGAATTTCGATTATGTCTAGACCCGAGAGAACTGGCACGACTGTAACAGAATTCGTGGATTCAATTACCCATCGAGAGAGGTTATCGCCGCCTCCTGGCCCATATCAATCACCGGATGGTGCAGGGCATGGCCTTAAGAGCGATATATGGTCCTTAGGCTGTATTTTGACCCGGGTCCTTGCACTCGGGTTAGAAGGGGCAGATGGAATGATGCATCTTGATCAATTGAGGGGGAAAGATGATGATGAAGTATCCCCTTATGAGAATGACTATTTCCACCGTGGCTCGCCTCCTGTCCTGAACCCCCATGTCCGGACTTGGCTTTCTGGGCTGGTGGTCAGCGGCCGGTGTAGGTACAACCCGGACTTTCTGGAGGGCTGTCGGTCTTTGATCCTTTCTATGCTCGCTATCAGCCACGATGACAGACCGAGTGCTAAGGATGTCCAAGAGCAACTACATTACTTGGTTGACATTGCTCAGCCGGTTGTCTGTCGGCCACCCAGCACTAACACCAGTAGTCGAGGGTCGGCGTCAATTGGCAGTGGGTCAGACACCATAATGGTTAGCAAGAGGGAAATCCAGCTTGGGGGGGAGCGATTTCTGTTGCATGCGATTAGCCTGTTGAATGGGGACATCGATATTGAGGAGAGAGTTTGGGCAGACGATGATAGGCTACTAATTTATGTTATTCGGTCGGGTTTCGCACTGGCCCTTAAGGTTCTCTTGGCTCGCCAGCCGAACCTCGACCTCGAAACCCCAGATTCTAAAGGAGACACGCCTCTCAAGATAGCTGCTACTGCTGAGGGGGAGCGTTACACGCATGTTGTTGAGATCCTTCTTAACGCTGGTGTGAACATTGATGCCCCATCCCGAAAAGGTGTCACTCCACTCATGTTAGCATGCAGGCATGGCCATGTGTCAACCGTCCGACTTCTTCTAGACCGTGGAGCGGACTGCTCACGCCATTCTGAGGATGGCTATACAAGCTTACACTACGCTACGTATGGTGAGAATGGAGCGGAGATCATTGAGCTCCTCACAGGGAGAGTGTCCTTTGATATTCGCCGTCCCGGCATTGATGAAACCCCTCTGCTCTCACTGGTCAGACGGTATGATGGCACGGAATCGTGGTGGGCCAAGTTCGGGAAACTTTTACAAGGGTCCGCAGACATCAATTTGGCCGATGCAAACCGTTGCACGCCTCTGTCACTTGCTGTAGAGGAAGATCGCTCGCAATTAGCAGCCATACTCCTAAAGGAGGGAGCAGAGTATGGCGAGCGCCCCAAGCCTCGCCACTTATCTTCTGATATGATCCGGGTGCTCAGAAACGCGCGGCCACAAGGACGCCGGCAGAGTCAAGGCAGCTCTGAGTCATCGACTAGGACTCATTCGATTCTTTCTCGTCGTTTCTCTGCCCTTGGATTTTTGAAATGAGATACTCATGTGCTTCACTATCTCGGTCTCCCTCTCTATTTTCTTTGCTTTCTCATGTTGCCCTTTTCGTACATTTTTTATTTCTTCATTCTTCTTTCTTTCTTTCTTTCTTTCTTTCTTTCTTTTTTTTTTTTGTAAGTCACCGAGATCCCCAGCTTGTTCCTGTTCCAGTTTCTGTCTTTGTCCCTCTATCTGTGTCTCTAATTCTCCATCTGACTCTCTAGTTCTCTATGTCTGTGTCATTATTTTTAACCTTTTATCTTTGCATTTCTTTTTCTATTCCTCTGTCTGTTCTTATATCTTCCTCTCTTGATGTTTTCGGAAGATTGTTAGATTTGCTTGTGAGGAAAAGCGGGTTGCTGTATCATGGAGTAGGGTATACCAGGTCTGATCTATTGACATAAATATATAATGCTATATGAGTGCTATGGTACTAGGACCTGATCAAATTCCCTATACAGGGCACACTAGGTAAACTACTGTAGATTCTACTACCACAGACAATCCAACTAATTCTAGTAAGTACTACACTCTACATCCCAACATCACTACCAGTTTTACTGGCCCTTGGTTCCTGATCACGAGTCATACAAACAAACCATAAGAATATGATTGGCCAATGGAACCCCCGAGCACACCCCCGCAAACCAAGCAAACCAAGCAAACCAAACAAACCCCTCTCCTCCGCTCACGGAAAGATATACCCAAAGCGACCGGTCAGGTGTCATCATCAGCAAACGCAAACAACCCTAACCATCGCAATCCAATCCATGAACGCCATTAACACCTCAAACCAGATGTACGCACACACCTCCCGACCCTCTTGAATCCCTCTCCCGCCGCCCTTCCATCAAACAACCACCACCCCGGGGAAGGCAAGACCTGCCATTCCATGGCTTCGTCATCACCGGACACAACGCTCCCATTCCTCCAATTCCCCCCGGAAGTCCGCCTCTCCATCTACCAGTACCTCATCCCGGACCTCCCGATCCGCAATTTCTCGCTGCTCCGCGATCGCTCGAAGACAATCCACCTCCGACACGATGGCTCGCGTTGCTGTCCGGCGATTCTGCGCGCAAACCACCAGATCTACGCCGAGGTGATCCAGGAATGGTACGGGTCGACGTCCTACGAAGTGGTCCTGGATACGAAATACATCTTGTTCTGTGGGAAGGTTATTCCGCCGTATGTGCCGTTGCCGTCGACGATTCAGTGGGTCCAGTCCATGCGACTGTGTTTGTCGATCCAGGGGACACCGCGGCATATACATAGTCAGTCGACGTTGGAGCATCTACTGGGGTTCCAGGATCGGTTGACGACGCTGGCGGTTGCGTTGTCGGATAAGGGGTATCGGAAGCTGAGTCGGCTGCAGATCGATATCGGGGTGAATATTCCGCTCTTGTTGAGTTTGAGTAAGACGCCGAGTGAGTTGTTGGAGTTGTTGAATTGGAATCTTCTCCCGCTGAGGGAGAATGTTCGGGATGTGCCTGATGTGCGGTGGGAGTTGCAGGAGCAGAGTTATGGGATTCAGAGTGAGGAGTTTCAGCGGTCGTATGCGGGTATGAAGTCGATTATGTGTGCTTTTTTGCAGGATATGAGGTTGGATATGTTGGAGAGGCCGGATGGGTGATGGTTGGTCATTGCTTGCTGTCTTTTCAAGCTGACTAGGTATATGGGGATTGGTGGTGCTTCCATCTTGTACTGGTGAGCTTGTGCGATTGGTCTGTAATTGCGTTGGTGTATGACTCGTTGGTCCTTGGGGCTTGAGGAGGCGAAGGGGGATTCTCTTATACTACGTGTATATTTAAATATGCGCGCGACGTCATGGCATTGTTGCCGAACCCGTTCATCATCGATTGGCTCGATGAGGAAGGAAATGGGAGTGGATTGCCAAGTGATCGGTGGGTCGTCTCCACTCACTAGAGCTTTTCACAGTCCAGGTCCGGTATCGGTAGTTGAGCGCCCATCTTTTTGTTGCTGAGCAGAGACTCGGGTGGCTGGTGGGTGGCAGGTATGACAACCTCCGGGGTCTATTGAGACAATTGCTTAATTGTGCAGGTTTAGGATCCAGAACGACAAAAGATTTAACTTGGACGTTTAATGTTACATATTAAATTTCATGCCCTAAATATTTTAGACTATCATGATAATCGTCACATGACATCACTTTTTAGTTAAAAGAAAAATGAAGAATATCCAAGCGTGGGAGGGGGAATCTAAGCCCGGCTAAGGTTCTCGCCCTCCTCAGCCTTCTGCAGACCGTACTTCTTGAGACTGTTATGGCGTTAGCGCGGGAGAGCTATGGGACAGGGTATAAAGAAAGACATACCGGATGGAGCTGATGGAAATGAAGCCAGTGGTGTCGGTAGGCTCGAAGTCCTCGAGCGAGTCCATGGAAGCCTCCTCGGCATCGTACAGCTTCTCGGTGCTGCTGGAGCGACCAAGGATGTAAGGGTTGCCCTTGTAGAGGCGCACACGGACCTCACCGTTGACGCGCTTCTGACTGAACTTAAGACTGTTCTCGATGAACTCACGCTCGGGGCTGAAGTAGTAGCCGTTGTAGAGCTGGATGGACCAGTTGTGGGTGACGAACTGATCGCGGAGAGCGCGGACCTGGCCGTCCAGGACGAGACCTTCAAGGTCAAGGTGGGCAGCACGGAGGATAGTCATAGCAGGGGCTAGAACATGGTTAGCTAGAGGGTAGAGTGTGACGGGGTGAGCTGAAGTAATGCATACAGTCATAGCAGCCACGGCTCTTGAGACCGATGAAACGGTTCTCAACAATATCGATACGGCCAACACCGTGGGTGTAGCCGAGCTTGTTGAGAGCGTCGAACAGCTCAACGGAGTCAGTGTACTCCTTCTCGGGAGTGACGAGCTTGGTGGGAACACCCTGCTCGAACTGGATGGTGATGTCGGTAGGCTCGTTAGGGGCGTTCAGAGGGTCGGCAGTCATGGTCCACATGTCAGCGGGAGGGGTGTGGTTGGGGTCCTCGAGAACACCGGCCTCGTAACTGCAGTGGGCGGAGTTGGCGTCCATGGACCAGGGCTTGGCCTTGGTGGAGGTAACAGGGATGCCGGTCTGAGCGGCATAGTCGAGGAGATCGTTACGGCCAGCGAAACGCTTGAAGAACTTGGGATCACGCCAAGGAGCGATGATCTTGATGGAGGGCTGGATGGCATAGAATGCCAATTCGAAACGGACCTGGTCGTTACCCTTGCCGGTAGCACCGTGGCTGACGAATTGGCAGCCTTCGCGCTGAGCGACACGCATCTGGGCGCGAGCGATGACGGGACGGGCCAAGCTAGTTCCCAGGAGATAGCGACCCTCGTAGATGGCATTGCACTCTGTATCACAGGTTATTATTCAACGCCCCATGCCTACGAAACGCATTTTGGTCGACTTACGGATGGCAGGGAAGCAGAGCTCTTCGACGAACTCCCGGCGCAGATCCTCAATCACCATCTTCTTGGCACCGATCTTGAGGGCCTTCGCCTCAACAGCGGCCCAGTCTTCCTCCTGACCGACATTGCCGAGGAAGCAGACAACCTCGTAGCCCTCCTCTGTTGCTCATTGTTAGCGGCCATTGGATAAACGGATGGGAATTGGGGAGTTGTACCGATCAACCAGCGAAGAATACAGCTGGTATCCAGACCGCCTGTTCAAAGTCCGCCAGTGTTAGCGACATAATCTTCCGGTCAATTGTTTTACTACGGAGGGATTAGTATACCAGAGTAGGCAAGACAGACACGGGGCTTCTCGGTAGCCATTGTGAATGAAGGAAGAATTATAAAGGGAAGGGTAGAGCGATGGTGGATGGGCAAGGAATCGGGAGGTTGTTTTTTCTCTTTGAATTGGGAGTAAAAGAAAAGAAGTTGTGGTCGACGATCAATTAAATTTAATTCAACAAAAGCGACAATCCATTGAGTCACGGGGGGTTGAGTCATCTGACTGGGGCAAGCGATATGTTGGTATCGGAGGGGCTACTCCGGATCGGGGTTAACCCGGCCCATGATTGGCAGCGGATATTATGTAACAGGAAGTGAGCATACCCACCAATCGCATGCTTCCGATAAAGAAAGCGGAACCACATAGTCACGTGTAAATACCCCGCATTGCCGTTTTGAGGATTCTTCTTATATAATAGCTCGACCATGCCCTATCAAACTAGTGCTATACTACTGACGATATGCAGTCGTCAGCTTGTTTGCTTTTGCAAGTCTCGCATACGCATTGTGACTATCCATGCACCTGGGAGAATCTTCCTCGTCAAGTGGTCCACTTCCACTTGTAGAATTCCAGACCGTTGTCATGGCTATTATAAGAGTGAATCTGCAAGTGCAAGAGACATGAATGAGACCCCCGGACAGTCCCATCCAAGGACTAAGAGCATCCGGTATCTCCCCCTGTCATGTACAGAAAGCAACAAAGGCAAAGGTCTCGGCAAGCCTCATAGTAAGAGCCCTGAAAAGAATGCCGGTACGGATCAAAGAGCTTGTCGCTTCTTATATTTTAACAACTGATGTCGCCTCCCTACCCTCATCGGGATGACTGAGACTTGAGAATGAGCGATTGTTCATCTTTGGCGCTGGGGTACTATGGTACTCAATTCCGAGATGGTGCGGAAATCTGGTCCGAGGAGATAGTGAAAACAACTGCCCCTTGTCCGAATATGAGACACGTAGCTTTGGTCAGATCTAGACCGATGTTCTCCGAGGGACTGACGTGGACATCCAAGTCCTTGCAGATTTCCATGAGCAATGACAGACACCAAATAGCAACAGATCCCAGTCCCTGTAAGCTTGGCGTAGCGGGCCAAGACTTCATCGTGACCATTTTACAACGATAAATTTATATTGGAGCATTCATGTCCTTCGTTTTGTCAGGATAGCCCGCAGATCTGTGAGAGTCGGCATCATCTGCATGCTGTTGTAACGGAGTCATGGGCTATATGTAAGGAGTAGGTTGTCGGCAAGCTTACTTCCTCACTACCAGCCCTGATCTCAATGGTCCCTTTGCATGACTCTGGCAGTGTTTGGAAACCGTTGACGCTATCTTATTTACCTGACTCTTAACATATCACATTGACTACCCACCCTTTTGCACGTCTACTCTGCTAGAACCCTGATGTCCTGCTTTGTGCCGATATGTGAAAACGGTAACAAACAGAAAGGCAATTGTCCCGGCAGTGAGGCACGGAGAGGCTCTATGAATAGATGGAGCAAATCCAATGGAAGAAGCTGAGATTCCGGCAAAAGATCTTCCTATAAGCCTCGTGTTCGGCAAATAGAGCTCTCCGGAGGGAGGATCAAAGCCGTCTGAACGCCATTCGGAGAATGGTAACCCCCCATCCGTACGTAAGATGACTATGTCAAGTGCGGCACATACCCAGCGGTACCCTGTTCATCAGTGAATGCAGTAAGTGACGCCAGTGCAGTCAGGTAGTGAGGTGACCAAAAGAATGGAACGTGGCATTGTCAGTTGTACACTACTTAATTGATGAGTAGGTTCGCCCTGGTCTCGACATCGTCTATGGTCGAGCTTTTACGTACCAAAAAGTTCTCATACCTTCCATTACAATGACTTCACACGAGCGTCCACATATCATATTTGGCACTGCGGCCTTTGGAACTGGATCACCTCTGGCCAAAATTCAAGATGAGGAAACTGCAGTGCCGATTATTGCCACCCTCCAAGCTAGAAATGTGACCGATGTGGATACAGCTCGCGCATATCCCGTGGGCTCTCCAGGGGCAGCAGAAAGACTTCTTGGTGAGTTAGGAGTTCCTACCTGGGCCAACCTCTCGACCAAGGTCAATTCTTGGGCGCCTGGCACCCACACTGCGGAACGAATCCAGCAAAGCGTGGCGGAGTCGTTCGAAGCATTGAAGACGGACAAGGTGGACATCATGTATCTGCATTCACCGGACCGCCTTACTCCGTTCGAGGAGACATGCCGAGCCATGGATGCTGAATACCGCAAAGGAAAGTTTGCCCGTTTTGGCATCAGTAACTACAAAGCAGATGAAGTCGAGGAGATCGTGACGATCTGTGAGAAGCACGGCTTTGTCAAGCCTAGTGTGTATCAAGGCCGATACAATCCTGTCATCCGATCTGGGGAAACGCATTTGTTTCCTGTCCTTAGACGCCATGGGATTAGCTTCTATGCATATAGGTATGAGTTATCTTCTCTATCAGTGGGGATTCCTTAATAAAACACTAAATTCACGTTTTACTCTTAGTCCAGCTGCCGTGGGTCTTTTCACAGGAAAACTCTCGCAGGACCCGAGCCAACTTGTCGGATCCCGATGGGATGGCAGTGTAAGTCTGTCTTAGTGCTATGCCAGATAGCTATAATTGACATAGAGACCATGCTGTGTAGACTGCCTCGGGAAAGATCTATCATGACGCTTATTACAAACCGGCAGTGATTGCGGCAGCTCAGAGAGTAGCAGATGCAGGTGCAGCAGCTGGAGTTAGTGGACATGAACTAGCATTGCGGTGGACGGTCTACCACTCGGCATTGAGCCATGAACACGGGGATGCGGTGCTTATCGGCGCGTCAAGTTTGGCACAGCTGATTCAAAATCTTGATGCCGTCGACGCGGGTCCCTTGAATGAAGAACTGGCGAAGTTGGTCAGCAACGTGGGAGATCTTGTCGTGGATGAAGCAGCTGCATACCACGTTTAATTATGGTACCACCTCCCCGGGGGGTGTCGATTGTGGTAATAACCATCTTAGCAAAACCAGGGAGATAGGAAAAGGAAAAAGAAAGAAAGAAAGGAACTTTGGTTAGTTCATTGAGCTATCCACCTAGTACACTATAGAAAATGGGCCTTTAGAAAACATAGAGTCCTATGCACAATCTGTGAAGTATTATATGTGAATCGCACTCGACCAAAATGCCATGACATCAAAGGTTGCGCCTTGAACACTTTTATCCCCGAACATTATATGGTCAGTAAATCTAGGGCAGGTACGTATATATCTGCCTACTATATTCCACGGATACGAATGACCTTCTAAGAACATCCAGGTAAGTTCTTTATATATGATAGTTTTGAAGATCATTACTTCAAGCGATCAAAGCAAAGCCGGATATTTCTTAAAACGAGATAGGCAAATTGTGTCATGTTCTCGTTAGCTGTTGTCGCCATACTGTCATATTAATTCTCATACCTCGCTTACATCTGAAATATACTCTCTCTCGCTCGAGGCTGCGGGAGGCCGCGGGTAGAAAGCACGGTAGGTGAAAAAGGAGAGGGGAAGAACTAGTGTTCGCGGGGGCCGACGGTCGATCCTACGGTTCTATGCCGTGGGACATTATAGAGCCATTGTTATCACTATAAAAGTGCAGATTATGATTGCATGATAGGCTCCAATATATGACGTCCAACGCTAGTAAGAGGGAGGCAAACTAGACTCAGAGAGAAGGAGCCGACTAATTTAGCTTGACTCAAGACCAAGTGAGAGTTACATGAGAAAGAGAGAGAGAATTGGCACGAATTCAATGTACCACCGCAGGCTCTTGACATCATGAACAACAGCGACGGCTATCATAATCTAAGCATACTAAATGATTTTACAAAAGTCAGAAGCTGAGGGGGGAGGAAACTTTCTAACCGAGTAGGTAACGTGCAACGAGAGAAGAAACGACTAAGGGCTAGACCAACAGACCATGATGTGCCACAATATATCCGACTCCAGGGTTATTGGTTCTCAAAAGAGGGGGGATCATTTGTTAGTCGGGCCGGACCGATACTGAGAGGGGGTCTATTAATGAATTGATATTAATATACATAAATATATTGAGGAGTGGGGCAGAAATGACCAGATGAGAGGTTAATCTAAGTCGTGATTCGAGCCATTGGTGGTGATATGAAGATGGCTCTCTATCTAATTGGCATCCAGTATCTCCGTGCAGTAAGCACAAGCACCGTCATTCCTCACGACACTTTTGCCGAAAACCCTTGCACGGATTTGAATCATGCATTAGTGCGGGTCTTGGTTATAGCCAGAGTAAACAAGCACTACTGATGAGAGTGCCAAGTTACGCTGCCCCACCGGAATGAAGGCTTAACAATAACTCATTTAAATTCTTATCTCTCCTCAATCATTCCAGTCACTGGCCGGGCTGTAGGCGTGGTCTGATTGGAGGTAGCGAATGGCATCACAGACGCTATCTGTAACTTACTAGTTTAGCATGTATTGTGCAAATCTGCGCGCTCGCAAAAGCGACTGCGCTAGTGGAAGTAGTCTGAAGATTTATCTTATGGTCAAGGCGGAGACCTAATGATCTTACTGAGTCTCAGCATATTATTATTTCAGTTATACAGCGACGAGATTCAGTAATGCGTCCAAGGTGTTCCCTGCAAATTGCTCTTCTATCGATTAATCAAAACAAAAGAAATACAAAAAGACCGTAGTGAGTTATACCACCGGGGACAGTGTTCGCCTAAGACATGCCGAATGTCGCGAGACCGCTAATGGCAACTAAGAAACATAGCTTCATACTAAATGTCTCTCCTGAGCACGTCCGTTTAAGTCTCAAATTTAGCCGTCGGAATCCGATGCAACTTGTCATCTTTCCTCGGTCTGTTTCCATTTCCCCTACTGCGACAACTTGCACATCGATAGTGCTACCATGTTGCAATCTATTGGGGGAATGATCCTGCATGGTGTGATCTAGACAGAGTCAACTAAATGAGAATAGAACATGGAGCAGAAAATGATAAATACCCCCATCGGCGCCGTGAATATTCGCCATCATCTCAATCACCACAGCTCTCTGGTCTCTACAGTTCCTTCGGACTCCCACAGTCAAACAACAACCCGCAATCATTCAAGATGAAGTTCACTACTGCTATTGCTACTGCAATCCTTGCTGGCACCGCACTCGCTGCCCCTGAACGCGGCCTCGCAGCTCGTGTCAAAGCTCGTGGAGCTGCCGCTCGGGGCTCTCGCCCTCTCCAGACCGTTCAGGAACCCGCAGGCGTGACCAACAAGACAAATGTTCAGTACAGTTCCAACTGGTCTGGTGCTGTTCAGGAGAACCCTCCCTCCGCCGCGGCCACCTACACCGCAGTTACCGGTACCTTCACGGTCCCTGAGCCCACTGGTGGATCCGGTAGTTCTTCCGCCTCGGCGTGGGTTGGTATCGATGGTGACACCTACAGCGAGGCTATCCTCCAGACCGGTGTCGACTTTACTGTAACGGATGGCCAGGCCTCCTTCGATGCCTGGTACGAGTGGCTGCCCGACTATGCTCATGACTTCACCGGCATCGACATCTCAGCAGGTGATGTGATTGTTGCTATCGTCGAGTCGCACTCCTCTACCAGTGGAGTTGCCATTATCGAGAATCAAAGCACTGGCCAGAAGGTCTCTAAAGAGCTTAGTTCCTCTTCACCCCTCGGCGGGATCAATGCTGAGTGGATCGTCGAAGGTAAGCCATTCTTGCTCTGGATACAACTCTGCTTCGGGAACTCTGCGTGACCAGCTAACGAACAATTTTAGATTTCGAGCAAGGCGGCTCCCTGGTTGACCTGGTTGACTTTGGCACCGTTACCTTCACTGGTGCCGAAGCAAAGGCTGCCGGTGGTCAGACTGTTGGTCTGACCGGTGCCACTGTCATTGACATCGCCCAGGGCAGTAAGGTTGTGACCGATGTGACCATTGACAGCGACTCTGAGGTTACTATTCGCTACGTCTAAGCTATTCAGATTAAGTTGCCTCTGAGAGCTTGTGAGCTATTGTTGAGGAGTCATACCGTGACTTTCACCTTGAATTCGTTGGAGGTTGGTTGAGGAACAGAGATAAGAAAGGTGACACTGCGAGGCAGAAATGCAGACTGGATTTGCTATTATGCGGATATTCTTGACTTTGAGTTACAAATTTTGTCGAGGACTGGGTAGATGTCTCAAAATGAAAGATCATGATCCTCCCTATACCCTTCGCTGTAGATCCCTCTGTTCTGTCACTGGAACAAAAGCATGACTAGAGAAGCGTATCTTCAAACTCTATCACTAACAGGGCTGAAAAGGAATAATGTCCCCTTCGGATGAGAGTGGGTTACTGAAGCCTTGTGGGGATGGCTTCATTACCAGTTGCTGCCATTCGCATCTTGAGGGCTCCTGATCATGTTTGCAACTCTGACTACTACGATTGATGCTGTTCATGTACTGATTTCGGCGTTCCCTCCTACCTCTCTTTTGGAAAACTTGCTGGTAGAGCTCAGAATGATCGGCAGCAATTAATTAGAGAATACGAGCTCCCAAAGCTTCGCAGACATGATGACTAACCTCAGGCACCAACCCTTGCTGCCTACGAGGAACTCCCAATTTGAGAGCAAAAATCACCACACCCAACTGGCGCGATCTCAATCAAAGATAGAATCTAATTTCTCCATACTCCCGCTCAGAATAATTATTTTGCCAGCCAGCCAACGCCATGGGACAGGACCGGGTCATACTTCCCGGCTTCGGCCAGCCCCTGAATGATACTTTACCGACAATCGAAAAGGAGGAGGGCCCGTACAAAGGTCAACGTCGACGATTCCCTCATGCATTGCGCGACAGCTGCTATAGTGTGGGCGTCTCTGTGAGGGAGCGTCGAATGTTGGATTTTATTAATAAGATTACTGATAAGCCAGAGTGGGAGAGAAAGGTCTTCGATGAAGACATTGTGGGCAACTGGAGGAGTGAAGCGTGTGTACACAGCGAAGAGCTCGATGATTACTACCTATCTACTGCCATGTTTGACTATGTGGGTTCTTTTTGGTTGCTGTCCCTGGACTGGAATACCTGTCTAATAATATATAGTGTCTCGAAGAGCTTCGCGACAAAGCGGCTTACTTCAAGGACTCTCAGATGGTGTCTGCGCATGACAGTGAGACTGCAATCGTGAAATCCGATACAGCAGTTTCATCAATCCTGGCTGAGTCGCTCCGCAACAATGTGCGTGTCTTGGAAGACGTCCCGGAGCATTTGAAGGATTGGCATCCCGGATCAGATCAAAAGGTGTTGGATCTGCTTCACCCGTCACTGTTTCCCTTGATTCACGGTCGGTCTCGCGCGTTGCCTTATGGAACTGTGCCGCTGGATGACTGTGCCCGCTTCACTGGAGAGGGCGAGGTGGTTGTCCCAGAATTTGATGGGTACCATATTGTCCAGCGTGAGGACATCTCACTGCCGGAGTGGGGACACTTCCAATGGCTCCCATCCAATGTTGAATTTAACAAAGATGGTACCCCAAAGATTGTCAGTTATATCAACAACCTGCACCCTAGGCAGCACAAAGAGCTCTATGGAACTCTAGAGCTATTTGTAGCAGCTGCAATCCCACTTTGGAATGAGTGCCTTTCCTGGGATCACACTCGGCTGAGGATCGAATTCCAGGGACCATCAGACAAGGACTTTTATATTCCTGATGGAGTTACCTTCACTCCAGATGAGGATGATGTAGAGTCGCCCGAGCAGGTCCGGCCTTACACATTCCAAGAGGCCAATGAACATAAAGATATCAGCGCGACTGATGCCTTTGATGAATGGTTTCGGGAAAACCGAGTTTTCGCTGAGAGAGAACCTGAGCCATTCCGGTCTCGCCAGCAATGGGAGGAGAATGCTGAGCACCGCCCCGTCGACCTGCAAGCGCAGTTTGCTACGCCTGGGATGCAGGTCATCTTCAAGCTCGCAAATATTCACCTGACCCCGGAGGAGCCAGAGTACGACGGCGGTACGTGGCACATTGAAGGGGCGATGAATGAACATATTGTCGCCACAGCTCTATATTATTATGACGAGGAAAATATTACACCTAGTCATCTCGAGTTTCGGCAAGCTATGGATGCGGAGGATTTCACGTATCGCCTTCCTCAGGTACGCAACCAATCTCTATGACCCATATTGAACTATAATGTTGATGGAATCTCCTACAGTATGAGTACGCATCTACGGAAATCTTCTACGGAATTGAAAACGAGGAGGCTGCAGTACAAATACTTGGCAGTGTTCTGACCAAACCTGGTCGACTACTTGCTTTTCCAAATGTCCTACAGCATCGGGTTCAGTCATTCAAACTGGCCGATGCCACAAAGCCCGGTCATCGGAAGATTCTCGCTATGTTCTTGGTGGATCCGTATATACGAATACTCTCCACGGCAAATGTGCCTCCCCAGAGAAAGGATTGGTGGACAGAAGAAGTTCGAAAGGTACCCCCGTTTCGAAGCTTGCCATTGGAACTGTTTAATATGATTATCGACGAAGTCAGAGACTTTCCGCTTAGCTGGGAGGAGGCGGTAGAAGTGAGACAGGCTCTAATGGATGAGCGAGGAGCACTAATTGACTACACCAATGATGAGATAGAAGAGGTATGCCACAACTTACATTGGCTGTATTCAGGCCTACTTGGAAGCTAACTAGCTGCAGTCAACTTTCAGCTTTTGTGAACATTAAACTGGTTGTGCGCTTTTAGAGCGATCTGCTTTTGGACTTATCCCGTATCAGGCCATAGCAATGTCGATCTTATACCACAAAAGTTAATGCAGGTGGATAGCCAACGCGGAGGGAGCATGTTGAATTACTGGTAAAATTATTCCGCGACTTTACGAAATACATGGAAGTTTTGGCCTCCTTCACCTAGAATAGGGAACCCCCGGGGAGGAGTGGATTCTTCTCTGTCATTCACTATAGGAAATATTAATTATTGGCCTGCGTTGTCTGACTCCATGGGAAAAGTCCATAAGAGAAACAAGACGGCGTTGAGGTTCATACAATAGGGTTCACCACAAAAAGCGCTAAGCATGATCGATAGGAGATGGACCAGCACCAATGGGATAGGTGAAGATGTAGTTGGGCCCGTCGGCCATTAAGCCATCACTGCCGGGACGCATCTGAGAGGCAGGCAGCCAGAGCTTCTTGTCCGCTGTCACCCACATCAAGTCCGTCCAGAGAAGAGCGTCATCTTGAACGAGAATGCTGGCACGGCCCTCAGGGGTGACCTTCCAGATGGCGAGGAGGTTGGTGTCGCTGACGTAGATGTTGCCATCGCCATCGATGGTGGTTCCTCCAGTGCTGGGCGTCAGGGCAAAGGGCTCAGCGTAGTCCCCGAGCGAAGCAGCCAGGGTCGCGTTGGTTAGAGTGGCATCAACATATGTGGCCTTGACTCGGTATAGACCACCATTACAAGGTTGATAATACAAGTAAACCCCATCCGGCGATACTTCAATTTGGTCCAGACCGACAGCAAGAGTACTGCCATCGCCGCCATATCCGGGTACCAGTGTCCCGTTGTACATCATCGGATACCAGGCAGAGGCTGAGTCGTCATTTGAAAGGACACGCACGCCGTTCCCAGTTGTCATGTTCAAAACCAATAGGGCGCCGGCCGTATCACTCAAGTATGCAACGTCTCCAGCCGCATTGAAACGGACATCATCAATACCACTGTCGTCTGCCTTGATGTCGTCCAGGTAGTAGATCTTGTCGACGGCATCAGTGGTGAGATTAACACCCACTAGCTTGGTTGAGCCATTGATGCCTTGCGAACCGCCATCGACCAGCCAGTACCGCCCGTCGGGTCCAATCCGCGCGCCGTCAATACTGACGAAGGTCTCCCGAGGGTTTGAACTCGGGTTACTCGCATTGTACGAGTTCCATGCAGCATTCGGATAGAGGACAGTTGTATTGTCACTCAGAAGCTCCACGGCCTGGGGTGGCTCCGTCGTGGAGTACCGCTGTGAGAGAAACTTGCGCCCGTTAGCGGAGATGCTGATGCCCTGGGTCGCGCGTTCAAGTGAGTAGGCCAGCTCAAGGCCAGGTGCATATGCAGATACTAACGGAGCTGTGATGCTCAAAAGAGAGGTAAACAAAAGACCAGACATGGTAGGAATGATAAATGCTAATGTGTTTCCGTCTCCCAGATATGGCTTGGAAGACCGGAGCAGGGGATGGAATTTATACAAACTTCCTCCTTTTCTCATTTCTGGTCACCGGCATCCGTAACAAGTAATTGTGGCAAGGTGCGGGTTGTTTCTAACGGAGATCAGACGACGACGGGTCATCTTCTTGACTCTCGGGCATAGTGATCTCGATATGCTTGCGTACGAAGAATTCTCGGGTTCTCCACATTTGCCTCATTTAACCATTTATTAAAGTATTGATGCCGCAAGCTAAAGCAGGAAACCATTGTCTATTACGCAATACGCCCAATGCCAAGGTTACTTCTCGGGCATATGGTCCATGATAAGTATTTAAAGTGCTTGCTGATCTTCGTGATCTGGTCCAGGCCTCGGCGTTTAGGGTCCACCGTACGGGCGAGATTAACGAAACAGGACTAGCCTCCGCTACGTGTGAATATCAATCTACTCTATTTGGCTGTCGGAGTGCATCTGGTTCATCCCAGGGGCCAGAAGACAAAGCATGCATCCTCCTGTCTATCTGTGTGTATGCTATAGGGTTTTAGAACTCCACTTAACTGTAGTCGCGTGATTAACATCTCGTTATGCTATCAGTAGCCCTATACAAGTGTCTATGAAACTGCCGGTGTTCTGCTATTCACTTCCCAAGTATGACGTGGACATTATTGTTGATATTTGTCTTTCCTCTGGAAGATTTGTGGATGGTAGACCTGTTCTGGTACGTTGACACGAATCGGTAGAAAGATTCAAGGCCGACAATCGGAGGAAAGTCAATCAAATGACGGTCATGACGAAAGCATCTAGGGTACTTTCGTTTATTGCAACCCACGTGCTGCTCACTTTTGCGATTAAACCAGACTAATATAGCCAGTGAAGAAGCCATGTGCCCATCCTTAAGTTCACACCAATAACAAGCAGCTGTCGAGCACTGGCAATGGACCGCGATAATTGCTGTTTACATCCGCCGAATTATGGTCTCGTTGGTATTTCGCTCGAAATTCGGGGTTCCCAAGTCCACCCACCACTTGAACAGCAATGAATCGCATATTAATTTGAACCATGGAGTGTATTGCAGACCTGGCGTGGCGAACATGTTCCTGAGGTCCTCAGGTGACACCCAGCGAACGTCTTGCACCTCGTTTCGATTAACCGCAAGGTCTACATCTGCTTGAATGAAAAGAATGTAGTCCACTATACGTTGTTAATATGCATGTCCCGTATACAGAGGGAAGATGATAGTACTGACTCTCATGCTCGCCCCACTTTCCATCACTTGGTGCCTTATAATGCACACGGGTCAAAAATTGAAAATCCTCAAGTGGGACTTGTTCAGGCCTGATGCCCAGCTCCTGCCCCAATTTCCTCCGTGCCGCCCTTTTTACTCCTAATATCGCACTCCCGAAGTCCGTACCTCTCTCGTCGGGAATATCAAGGGGATGAGAACAGCAAGTGTTCGTCCACATCATGGGGAAGGTAACCTTCTTATCGGCACGCTGTTGCAATAGTAACCGCCCCTTGGAGTCAAACAGGAAACAGGAAAATGCGCGATGTAGAAGTCCTTTATCGATGTTCGTCATGAGGTGACCTGGGAGGTAGTTAGGATTCTGGACACTGTCGTTGAAGAGTCCCTCACAGGGTGCACTTGCAGACTCTTTTGCTGACCCGTCCAATCGGCTCGTCGTCGACATCTAGAACGATACAAACTTCATCCATCATTCGTACCTGTTCTTCATCGTAGCCTTCGAAGTCCCCGCTTTCGGCTGCTGATACGCCACAACTTGCTGGGGACACCACGGACAGGGCTTCGACATCTGGAAAGAGCTCGCGGACATTTTCTGCAGTGATGGCAGGGCTACCTATGTCGATGGGGCCCATTTTGAATAGTAATCTCAACTTGGTGGTAATGGTACTTGGTTCAGGAGTTGACCTCGAGCTTTGTAGCAAAATAGCGGTCAAATTCAGGGGAAATCATGAGTGGGGGGAACTAAATGGGATTCATCCAGGGTGTCAATTAGAGAGGCCATTCGCAAAGCGTGGAATACTTATACAGAAATACGAAACACTGTCTGTTTTTGTATGATCTCTACGCATTCATTATAGACAAATCAACGCAATGAGAATTGCCCTCATAAGCAAAACCCGAGGTTGGGTTTCGACGTTACGAGCAAATGTCGAACTGTTCTGGAATATCTGCCGATCCTCGGAAGATCGACCGGGAAATAGGCCGAATACCGCTGTTTGGTCAGTATGCTGAAGTAGTATATTGAACCAAAGCCCTGGTTTCGGTGAACGACTTAAGAATAGACAGCGACACTATCTGTCGACTTGCAGTTTCAATATAAACACAATTTCCTCGGTAATTAGAGCATCCACCCGTTTCACTGCCCGTGCAACTATCAACCGCCAACCATCGACAGTATCCGTCCACGTGAAGATGTCGACAAGCGCCAACAACTCACTTCAACTCAACACTACTCGCACATATGATTTGATTGTCCAGCCCTCCGATCTTGCAAGTGGTATATCCTCCAACGCAGAACTTGACAGATTCCCTCGAGTCCTCGCAACATCCCGCATGATAGCATTCATGGAAATTGCCGCTGCTCGAGTTCTTCAACCGTTGCTCAGCCCTGATCAGCTGTCCGTGGGCACTAGCATCAACATCACGCACTCGGCGCCTACACCCGTCGGGGCTAAGGTGACCGCCGAGGCAAAGTACATTGGTCAGAAGGGAAAGCTTTATCAGTTCGAAGTCATTGCCAACGATGAGGTGGGAGAGATAGGGCGCGGAAGTCACGAGAGGGCTATTGTGGAAATAGCGCGCTTGGAAAACGGCGCGAAGAAGAGGGGGGCATCTCAGTGATCAAGGCTATTAGAAGGATTAGGTGACTTGTTTTCTGTAGTCAAAGTCTCTCTCGTGGGATGGTACATATCGACATAGGTGGTGTTTCGTGAGCGGTATTTAACCGTGGCTCCGCCGGACATCACCGCAACTGTGATAGATCCAACCTGCCTTCCTAAAGGAAGTTTATAATACAAGTTTTTAAACTACTAAAAGAAAGCAACATGATGGCTGGGGTGCTATCATATTCGAGGAGGATAGTGATGACTGGGCCAAAGGCTCTGTACAGAGATTTCCTGTAATGGGATGAGAAGGTCCACAAAGACGAGGTTTCTGTGTACGCTAGGCGTATGGACTGTTTCCCCAGACTTCCTGTAAGCACCTATGGATGACTGATAACCTTGTTTCTTCGTTGCAGTCGCAAGGTCAGTCGGACTGCTCAAGTAGTGGATCCAAGGACCCTCTGAAATATGTCTAATGTGTGATCCCATAGCTTTGTCAAGTACTCCCTATCGCGATAGTTCCTCATCAACGTCTGGTTCGTCACGTCCTTTCCGTCATAATTAAGCAGATACGAGCCACCACCAGTTTTGCCTGTCGATGCTACTGCGACCCCAACACCATCAGCTGACATTTCTCTCGCGCTAATTGCGGGCGGATAAGCAGTGGATGTGGCAATGAAGACATTGCGCTCCCCGCTCTCCTTCTCCGATATCGACATCAGCTTGGTCACAAGGCCAATCATCGACCCTAGTATGTATCCAAAGCTCGACTTCATCAAGGGTGTCTGTACAGCTCCGGGAAATATGTGAATGAAAGTGACAGAAGGGTGTTTGGCTGCCAGATATTCCATCGCCAATGAGTTCATGGTCGCCCCGTACGTCGCCGCAGTGCCAAAGGAGAACGAGACCTGGAGATCAAAGTTGCTTTCATCGATTTCACCCTCTCTCCCTGCCGCTAGCACACTGACTACTCTGGCAGGAAACTCCGCAGCTTCTAGTTGAGGGAGGAGGTTGTAGATGAATCGCATTCGGGCATAGTAGCGGAGCACGTGGTTGTTGTCGAGCCCTTCCACTGTATCTGCAACACATCAGCCGTGGTTTATTATGGAAGTGTAAGACGATGCACTATTGTTTTCGTACCATTTTTTCGCGCCGCTAAGTGGCCCGGTGTCATGAATAACAGGTCCACCATGCGCTCTTTGCTTTTAATCGCTTGACAGGTGGCATCAACTTCGCGGAGGAGTGATACATCTGACTTAATGAATTCGAATGTTCCATGGGGGTTCAACGTATTAAGCTCTTGTATTATCCGCGAACCGGCTGATCCGTCGCGACCGACGAGGTAGATCGTGGGAGACTCAATTGTCTTCGCTAACTGTTTCGCTGTTGCTTCGCCAATACCACTGGTGCCACCTACAAATACTGCCACAAACTTCGAGCGTCGCCCACGCACGGACTTATTCACTTGACGCGCTCGTTGTAGACTGACCATGATATCGTTGGGGAGGTGTCATGAACCAATACTGACAGAAAGAATACTCAGAGGGCAGATGGACAGAGAGCGAAAGGAAGAAAGGGATAGCAGGCACCACGCGATGCCCCACCAACAAGGCATCAACACAGGGATGAATAAACACTGTGAATATCAACAACCCTTGACGCATATCGACGAATCTGCCCAATGTCCCACTTGCAGAAAATCTCTGAAACAAGGCGTGCATGGTTGCAGATCCATACTAGAGGCCGTTTGTATCTCATGTCCTCTGGTGGACATGACATGCGGGCGCGTCAAGGGGGCCCTTCAGTCGCCCCTTGCTTCTCTATCATGGGAATACATTGGCCGTCTGGCAAATGCTTGTCTGACGCGAAGAATCTCACTGCAAAATACTTCAAGACACTAGGGCCCGATTGTAACACTTGCAGATTGGGTTCCCTTGGCATTATTGTCCAACAAACCGGGTATTAGTGTGTATATTCTAGCTTCTGCCAAGGAGGTACACCTCCAGAGGTGAGAGATGTAAACCGTGTTATCCCATTGATGCCCAACCCCAAGAGGGTATTTCCAGTTTCCTTTGGTAACCCTCGTTCATTACCATGTTTTCAACTCTCCGTGCTTGACGGGTGCGTTCTCTGTCAGCAACGAGTTGGGGATCCGCCCGCCAACTCAGACTATACTGAAACGTCTGCTAGTAGTAACCTACGAGATAAACATTATTCAGTGCATTTTCTAGCTAGTTGGGAATTTGTGATAGTCTAGCAGGTTTTTTGGTCTCTGGATGAACAGTTCGTAATCATTAGACTCTTCACGATATACCACCTAAGTTCTTCGAGTTCCTTTTGATCAGTAGTTTGCGGTATAACCGTTTGTCCAAGGTTAGTCCTGCAAGGATCCGAAATCTTTCTCTCCATTGGCGAGATTAACAGAACTGTCAGTCCATCTAGCTCAAGCAGGAGTTCGGGGTAAGAACTTGGCTGAGCATTTTCGGGCATATGTCATGACAGTCTAAGCACTCATCCAACCAGCGTCTACCGGATGCGATCGCTCCTTTGAATGGAGGGGACGAACTCCTGTTGTGGATTGTTGGGTTCAACGTAGCTTGGTATTGTTAGTATAGGGTAGCAGACTGGTCTCGGATCATTTTCTTTCATCCTCCACAATATCTCCAAGCGGCCAATCGATGTTAAGGCATATCTGGAGCGTTGGTTGAAGAAATGTCATTATATGTTCATGTCCGGCCGGAAGTAGTCGAGAGTACGTACTCGGTTAAGACAGTGTTTGCCAGGAGTTCTCGGCTGGTTTTAATCTATCAAATCAGACTTTCAATCCATTCCGAGTGTCGTGTTATGTTCTCCAGATTGCTAGCATTTCTTAAAGAAACGAAAGAAGACAAGAAGACAAGAAGACACGAAAGTTAGAATGGATATAGATTATAAAAACTAGTATAATTTCAAAGGAGAAAGGGGAGTAAATGATAGAATATCTATAATTAGTGAACTATAAAACTAACATAAATCCAAGAAGAGTAAATAGAGGATGGTGCGAAAATCAACATACTTCCAGATATTTATAATCATGACAGTCAAGTTAATACTTTTTTTAAAAAAAAAAAAATAAAATTAATTAAACAATAATGATTAGAAGTATCAAAATATCATAATGCTAATATATGGGCACCTATTACAAGATCAATATAGGTATATAGAAGCCAGCACAGTAATAAAAGTTCAACCTCCTTTCGCAGCTCTATGGTTTTTTTTCCCTTTTCCTCGCTTGGAAATTTACCTGAAGGAATAGCCGGAGCTTAGTCCGAATAGCACTGAGCAAACAATGCAGAACAATTACTGAATAAAGTTGAGTTGGTATTCAGTCCCCCGTACTACTTAGGTTTAAATTTGGAAAGTTGGGCAGGGCTCCAGGCTTAATACTTTTGGTATATTAATTGCGACTAGAGGGGACTGCAAGGCGAAAGCACGAAATGGAAGCCTCGAATAACATCAACCTCGAGTGGCGAAGTACTCGAAGATTAATGAGCGTATCGACTGGCATGCTTTTATGCACTGTATGAACCACCCCTGCATAATTAGGGCAAAATAGCTGCCAGCTGGTCCACCCCACAGTTTTCATGGCCGGGCTGTTGCTTGACGAGTATAATGATTGGTCTATAAGACCTATATTTAAGTTTAAACTAATCTTAATCTGTCTGTAGTAATCCTTGGCTGCTCAGTCTGCGTTGTGTGGTGTCGCGACGATGCGAGGATGCCTCCTTGCCAGGCCTGAATCAGTACTCATCTCCGGATCAAAGGCCTGTGAATTCGCAGCCTCGGGGGTTAGTTGGAGGGAGGATGGTAGTTGTGGTAGGGACTATCTAACTTTCAAGCCCCCTGACATGAAATCTCATAAAGCCCATCGTACTATGAGCCCAATCCCCACGCAGGGCAAGATCATATTCGGTTGGCCAGAATTTAATCTCAGTTCGGGAAAACCCGCCCAAAGCCCGCTTACCCGCTAACCGCTTTCGATGCAAATTGCGCGACTCACGAGCCCCAAGGACACTAAACATGCAGCTAGGCTCCCCAAGCGCAATCAGAACCCTGATCGACCACTCCTGCGAAGTGTTTCAACTCAAATACGAGAAGGCTCATTTAGATGGAGGAGCCTTACCGGCCTTTGCAATGATTGGGCTGCAGAGCTCTAGATAATGTTCCGAATTCCCACACGATGGAGCTCTGTCGTTTGCGTTTCCATCTCCCCGTGGGCATCTGGTGTCCATACCTACCATGTCTTCTGCAAATGTCGTCTACACCGGGGTCTGGACCAACTGGTCCCATGGCCAGATTCGCGGTGCCACCCTCACCCTACCCCAGGAATACGCTGGACTGTTGACCGCTTTCCTGGCCATCTTTGTGTCCTTTGCGGGAACAATGATGTGGCGGATTCTCTGCTTTATCATACATCAGGCCAACACAACACCCGCTTCGGAAAAACGAGATTTCCTACATCACAGTCGCCAAGTGATCCTTCGAAATAGCGGGTCAGGAACGGCAGCCGCATGGGCATTCACAACACTGGCATGGAACGCTGGTAGAAAAGCACCTCGAGGCCTACTCCGCATCCTTCCCCTAGCGCTCCTAGCACTCCTTAATGTAGCCTTATTTGGAGTCTCAGGTGTCTTCACCTCGTATGTGACCAAAGTCCCGGGAAATACAACAATCATTCTAGGTCCCCACTGCGGTGGAGCTGAATATAGCACAGCAGTGGATACAGGTGGAATCTACTTCTCTAAGTTGTTGGAAGATACAAAACAGGCGGCAGCCTATGCGAAGCAATGTTATCAAGGCAGTTCAGCCTTAGCCTGCGGCACTTACGTTCGCCAAAGCCTACCTTTCACCACCCAACAAAATGTTTCCTGCCCGTTCGCAAAGGGCTTGTGCAGGTTCAATGACCAGTCCGCCTTTGCAATGGACACGGGCTTGTTGGATTCGCATAATGATTTCGGGATCAACGCCCCGCCCGAAAACCGAATCAAATTTCGACGACTCACTACTTGTTCTCCGATCTATGGCGCCGATTTTGGTACTGATAGGGATGAGCCTGGTCTGGGTACAGTTGTTTATATCAACGCGGGACTCACGCCGCAGCTGGTTGAGATTGGTAATAACTGGACATTCTCCTATGTTGTCCGCTCCGCTTTTGACAGGTTGCATGGATACTCGCTGAGGTAGGGAAGCTCTGCTATCGAGGATTCTGAAATTGTTACTTTTAATCTAACAAAGGATATAGTTCTGTTTATGGACAAGCCGACCCGACTGGTGCCCTCCACAGCACTGGGGCTATGTGGTATCCCGACCCAAAATTGAACCAAACGGACGCAGATATCACCCTAATGATGCTCACGCAAAATGATGTTTATTATCGAACGCCAAGTGACGATCCTTGGATAGCAGCCCACGAAAAGCTGAACGAAAGCGATGTATATACGGGGGACTACACGATCAGTTTGCTGGGGTGCATCGACCAATATCAATTCTGCAACCCCAACGGAGAGGGCGATGCGGCATGCAGCAAACTGGGAGGCATAAACTCAGTTGCCAAAGACATGATCGATCGATTCGTGTATTTTAATATGAACCAACTCGCGACCTTGAAGCGATTCATGACAATGTCGCACCTACACTCTATGTATCAAGCGGTACAAGGGCGGGGAGGTTCAGCGCTAGACAGTAAGTTCGCAGAATGCTTCTACCGATTCTACACCACCCAAGCTGTCGCAGCAAAGCTAACCCAGTCATCCCGTAGTCGGCCAAAAACTGTACAACGGACACCAGTACTCCGTCCCCCCTAACCAATGGCAAATCGAAGTTTCCAACTGGTTTGCCCTTTCCCTTGCCAAGGAGCAAGCATGGGCCGTCGAATGGGCGACCGAACCCCAGAACTTCGACTCCCCCAAAGATGGCGAGGATTCCCCATGGGTGTATAGCCCACCCACCACGCCCGAGGCCAAATCCCAATGTAGAAATCAACTCGTACACAACTCGGGAGACTACAAGAGCTTATCGATCTTGGGAATGGGCCTGATCCTTGCCGTCGGGGGTATTATAATCATCCTTGGCTTGTCCTTGGATACCTGTGTGGGGTTGTTACAGCGTGGGAAACGGGCGTATTTGCGAGAGCAGTGGCAGACCGAGGAGACACTGGGATTACATGGGGCTGCTTATCGGGCTTTGGGGGTGTCGACGAATTGGGCCGATGAAGTGCCACCCAGCTCGGTGTTTCAGGGTCTTAATTCTGCCGCTGATGGCTATCGTTCTGTCCCCTTTGAAGGAGCCGATGCTGAGGGGAAGTCTGACGGTGGCATAACTGTGTCAGAGAGATATGGATCACATCGCGATATAGTGGCTTAGGTATTGGTATCGTTGGTCTGAGGGTATTTACCTAGTTTTATTTGTAATATTGTTCATGTTGGAGTCTGTGCTTCATGTATATATCAACCCTGGAACAGGGGATGTTCCGACTACTTATGAATTATCCTTTGTTGACGATAATAACGTACTCTGCAATGAACTACCTGTCTGCTTGACTGCCCTTCTGTTTGTTTCGCCGTGGAACAGTATGGTAATAAGAGGAGAGGTGCAAAGTATCTGGCGGACGGCAATGACAAGTGCAGGAATTGTTCATACTGATGAAATTAAGTAGCAAAACCACCGCCATAGTGACTTGAGTATAAAAAAAAAAGAAAAAGATATGACCAGACAGGGGTTCGAACCCTGGGCCTTATCCGTGTAAAGGATACGTGATAACCAACTACACCATCCGGCCGATATCGGTAGAAGTGGTATCTGTAAAATAGATTAATACCGGCATGTGGATCGTGCTATGCGCTGTAACATTGTTCGATACATTTAAGCCCTGAAATATCACAGCCTTCATCTGAAACATCTTTCAGTCCGATAACCCCATCTGATCTGCATCTTTTTCGTTTTAAGAAGTAGTGTAGTGTGTCTAACAACTCCAGCGTTTTGTGTTCGGTCATATGTATTGTCAAACAACCTTGTAGCATCCGGTTATATATTTCCTGGAATGTCTTTGGACAACGCACTGGTCATTATCTCGTTTCGACACTTGGAGAACAACATTATGAGAACCACATAATGCGTTGGTCGAGTCACACCTTTCTTTGTTTTTTCGGTAGACAAGCAGCTCAGATCGCTCAGACTACGGGTATTTGGAAAACATTGTATCAGCCGTTGAAGCCCAAGATCTTAACAGAGCGGTATATTGCGGGAGTCTGTTCCCAGCCAGGCAGTCGATATAGATTCGTGGGGTAAGAACTGTTATTGAAGTGTCATTATGTTCTGGTCACCCGCCTTACCGCTGTTGTTGTAAAGGAATCCCATGTTGTGTGTCTCATCTTTGTTTTCTTGGTGAGATTACGGGGACTGAAACATTCAATAGTGATAACCGGAATAAAGCGTCTCATCTGTAATCCACGTTGAAAAGATTCGGACGGAATATAAGTTCCAACCCTCACCCAGCCTAAAAAGACAAACGAAAATGTCCCTAGCATCCTTCATATTCGTACATTACTGTCACCTCTGCTATATATATACTGAAATGAGTCCTAAACAAGAGCCAGATGAAACCCTTGAGCCTACACTTAGGAGGCCCAGAGAAGCGCCCCCGGAGTATGAGAACAGTTCAAGACAGAATTTTCTGACAGCAAGATCAGAGATTGTCTTAAGGCCAGCTGAATCGAACATAGATGGAGGCCCTTCGGTAAGATCAGCCACCATCAGAGAACCACGGGATGATGAAGAATATGTGATGAGGAGATACGAGAAACATAATGATGGCTGTAATGAATGTACTCCTGACAAAGTACATGAAAGGGGGTACGGTGATGGGCCCAATTGTGAAGGATATGCATTCGACGTGATTCAGTACTTGTGCTGTGTCAACAACCAGGTCTATTCTTTAGTGGATACCAGCCAACCTGGACCAGTGTCAGTGAGAGTCAACGAATCGCGGGAAGCTGTGTGGACTCTTCTACGCGCAATGAAGGATGGTCTTCACTTTGACAGTATCGATGTGCATAAGATCCAAGGGGTAGAGAAATGGATTTGTGAGATTCAAGACGGGCTACAAGGACGGGGTTGGGGGGAAAGGAATGAGCATGTTACCGCCGCTGAGCCAATCCACAGGGACAGTGGTAACTTGGGGAATAGGGACATGTTTTTTTAGTCACCAAACAACATACCCTTCCGCATTTAATAAGGCTAGGGGTGATGATTCCTATCTATAGAATGGTCATCAAGCACGTGACGCAACTGAAGGAACACTCAGGACTCGATTCTTGAGCATAGTCGAGCACGCTCTCGGTTGAGCAGTTTGAATTTCGCAAGGTCGATATAATTGCATCAGAGATCTAGAAAGATCAATAGCTAGATCGTGTGTAACTATAAATAACACCCTAAACCTTCAGATACATACCCTAGTCTTCGATGTACATGTCGTATGTCGTGATGTATCATTGCTCCCATGTAAGTCAGTCTACCGCCCTGGGAAGAGTGTAGAAACTCTATTGATCTAGTCTAACCCATCTCAGCATGTAGATTTCGAACTAGAAAGATCGTCTACCTAACTCTCCATCCTAAGGGCTTGTTTATAAGTAGTTACAGAGTGTTTGAGTTTGTAGACCGAGATGATTATACATGTGATTTTGTGATGCGGTCATGAACCTTCCTTGAGAATAAGATTATAATTGACACGCAAGCAAATTCAGGCTTTGTTCTGGCTGTTCCCATAGTTAGATGACGTGCGGGATCACGCATATACCCCAGAGTAAGCCTGGGCGGTTGATGTATCCGGGAAGTACTCCGGTCCGCTCCGTACTAAAAGTAAAGGAAATACTAGTAGTGAGATTCAGCTCAGACTGTTTCCAGATTGAAATATCAAAGCAAAGTTGGTATGGTTTTCTTGTCCCACATCCCTAATTAGGCTAAGCGTATTCGAAGGGGGTAGTACGCGGGTTCCTGATTGATATCTAGAAATCACACACTCTGTTCCATAGTATCTACAGCCTTTTTACTCCAAAGATATCACCTACTAGTAGCCATGCACTTCCCTAAGATTATCTCCGTTACCGTTCTTGCTGCACTCACCACTGCAGTAGCGCTTCCTTTCAACAGTGATGTACATGCTGTGGTATGAGTTATACACCGTACTACGCCTATTCTTGCTAATTTAATCGTGTCTAGGAAGCCTCGAAGAATCATTTGGAACGTCGCAATCCTCAGCAAGTCGCTCAGCAGATCGTCCGGAATGCCGTCACCGCTGCACAAATGCAGGCAGAGCAAGACGCAGCTGCAGATGCTGTAGCGAGACCAGGAAACAACCTATAGTATGTTCAGTCTATGGGATGATAACTCGAATCTCATTGGCTAATTCTATGCTATTTTGGCGGTAGTGCTCATCTCATTTTATAATTGAATATTCCTTCAGACAAAATTGGGACACCCTCTCAATGGCAAGATTGGTCGGGTTGGTATCTTACAATATAGTGGTAGGCTGAAGGAGTAGGGTCCAATGTGTCAGATGCTGTTTTGATCCTTTCCAAAGGGGAACTCAGCTTGCTGTTCACTTGCTTAACGCCGTGAACACTTGATGTGGATTTTGTTCCTTCAGAGTGTTAGCTTTAGTTAGAAAGATAATGTAGGTTTTGACTTAGTTCCTTGCATGATGTATTTTGAGTTATCTGAAGGGATATAGCAGGTGCTAGTGTAATAGTCAATCTAGGGGCTACAACGAGCACTTTCCTGCCTTAGATGATAATCCTCAATTTATACAAACTGTCGATTTCTTTCGTACAACCATTCACATTCCACCAAGAACCACCTGGCTACTATCCTGGGGCCAGCTGACCCTCCCATCATTGCCACCATCCTCCACCACAAAGAAATCCTTAACAATAACATTCCCAGCCACAACCCTCTCCCAAACCTCCGGAAGACACGTCCCAGGATCCAAGACATAGCACCTCGGCTCCGGCATTGACGGAGCAATATTCTTAATATGCCATGTATCCTTCGGACCACTCGTCCTGAACTCCTCCGTAACACCCAGACGTCCAGTAGGGATATCGCTGTCCAGCATAGCACGCATAAAGATCTCATAAGCCGCGACCGGCTGATACGCTGGTACTTCGTGGCCTGCCTGGTAGACGCGCGTGAAGCTATAATTGCCGAGCTGGCGAGTCATGCCCTTGATGCCTTCGGGCGTGACTAATGGGGAATAACCGGTGTTTGCGAACTCCGCGGCTCGCGAATACGGCACGGCCAGACTGGCCTTCTCGCCGCCGATCCAGTTACAGGCGTAGTCGCGGTCGCCGTACATCATGTGTACCTTCACGCCGCTGTCGAGGAGGTAGGCTATTGAGTCGAGGAATCCACCGCGAGTGATGCTGGGTCATGTTAGTCTATGGTAATTACATTTTTGTGAAAGACGGGGTTGGGGATGCATACTCGTAGGTCTTCTCGAACTGTTTGTGGACGACGGGGGCAGCCTCGGTGAAATTGACAGGGACGCCGAGAGCCTTTAGTACAGACTCTTGAGTCAAATAGCCCAGCATATCTGGACGTTTCGATTGGGATCAGAGTCAACAGCAGGATAGCTTTGGGTGGTTGGACTTACGGTGAGCTGGGAACGGGTCATTTTTGGGGTGAGAAATGTCATACCAACTGCGCTATCCAACCAAAAGAAATTATTAGTACTATTATCGGGGCTCAAAGACCTAAGCACATACGTTCAGCTGCTGGTATTGAGCAGTACCCCCTCCCTCGCAGTCTAAATCGATATTTTTACATATTTCCGATATATTTCTCTTCTGAGAAGTTGAGTCCCAGTCCTTCAAAGCTGCTTGGCACGCTATCGCTCTGTCGCGGCAACCTCCAGGACGTGCCCATTCGTGCATTAGCGAGTCATAAAGAGACTGGTTGAATATTTGTAGGCCATATGTCTGTTTATATTAGCGAATATCAGAATAGATAGTTCCAAATGCCTTCCTCTTATTGATGACGCGTAGGGCTACAGGAAGAAACATACGTTATTATACCCGATGGTAATATATGATTCTCCTTGGACTGCAGCATCAATAAGACCATTCACAATCCCCAACGTATCGAGATGCAGATACTGCGCGCCCTTTTCCGCAGTCCCCTTCGCAATCCGATCATTCTGTTCCTGGAAAAAGCTGAAGATCGCCGGACCATAGTGACCTCCATAGCTCTCAGTCCACAGAGAAATCCGATCATCAACAGGCTTATAATGAGGAAACTCGAAGAACCAAGTCTGGGCGAAATGCCATAAAGCATGAGCTGTAAGCGCACTGCTGTTCGCGGTTTGTGATAGCGTCTGGCTCGCAAATGTACCGACACGGTGTGTGAAATTAGATTCGGGTATATCCACCGAGAAATCCCCAGGCACGATCGTAGTCTCCACTGCGTCGTAGTCCATGACTAATGTACCGTTGGTGGCGACATCATAGGAGAAGCCAACCTGCATGGGCTGATCGAGAAACAAGAGGTTAATCTCATTGTTCCAACTCCAGGGGTTTATGATAGTGGTTTTGGAATCTGAGGCCACGGAACAGGGGCCCAGTTCCTCGAGAAGCCCCATGAACGAGGAGCCACCGGGACCGCCATTGAGCCAGATAGCGACGGGCGCGTTCTTGGGGTCCTTGCGCGCCTCGAAGAACCAGAAAAATCTATTTATGCACAATTAGGCCTCTCTGCATCCGTTATTGACTTTTTGGGGTACGACTGTACGTGTTCATGGGGTAATCTTGTCGGTCCCCTGTATCATCGGCAAGAAAACCGGGTGGGAGATGAACATAACCCGAATACGACCGAACACCAGGTGTTGTTTCACATATTCCGGGCTACTGATTAGTAAACAGCTATAACCTTTGAAGTGGAATATCTACCTCTTTGAATGATATGGACACATTCTCATGTAGCTTAGACTTGACGACCGTTACCCCCTCAGGCGTGGGGGGAAATTGCGCCGTGGCCGCACCGAGCAGGGCGCCCAGTACCAGGCTGAGGAACATCATGGCGCGAAGTGGTATTGATACTACTCCAAGCCGGTGGGCCCTGCGGCTTTAAGAGCAAACGGATTCACAGAGCGAGGCTGGAGATAAGCTTTTTGGAAACGGTGCGATAAGCCCTAGGGCTCCCGGAGTCCGTCGGGCTACCTCTCAAATGCTTACTTCGTACCAAAGATTGTACTAACAACCGGGTTAGTGGCCCCCTAAGTAAAACATGTCAGCACTAGTAACCAGTGTCTATTTAGTTGGTTGACGGTCTAAACAAAGAACTACAGCCACACTAGGCTACAGCATTGTAACCCTGTCGGTCTAGGCCTCCAAAATGCTAGTTGCCATTTCCCTTGTAGTATATGGGGTAGGAGTAAATATCCATGTCCAAATAAACCCGCATTATCTGGGGATATACTTGGCAGCCTCTTGCGGCTTCCATTGGGGGACTACATAGACTAAACGCTCCACAGAAGTCCTTTAATAGTATCAATGCCTTAAGATACAACTAGGAGAGGAAAGGAGAATAAAGCAAGAAATTGAATATCCCAACACCATGCAATTATGTAAAAACAGGTCGCCTAACGATGCTCCCAGGGACACGTGGGTACAACATAGAGATCAAAGAACAGAAGATATAATATAAAATAATATAAAAAAAATGAAGCAAGTGTCACACCGGTTGCAAAACACATCATGCCAGCCTGACCATGCACGGAATAAAACAGTAGATGGCAGTGTAGACTTAGAATGGTTGTTAATTCCATTTATCGGCATGATTCAGCCCTAGTCTCTGCTCGAGCCCAGAATTCACTGGACTCGTACTTTCCCCATAAACTTGTCCCAGTTTCAGTGCTCGGCTGTGTAGCCCGGATAAACGTCATGAGCCCTGCAACATGGACATCTCTCTTGTTGCCGATGAGCCCTTGTTCTTCAACAATGGTACGGGCTTCCTGGACTTTGCGTCGCTCGCTCGCAGAAAGGGTGTTTTTATGTCCTCGTATTTCTTCGAGGATGTGGAGGATATCCAGTACGGGGTATCCTTGAAGAATTATTGTCAGACCATTACAGTATCTGGAAAGGCTCACATGATATTGACCAAGGGAAAGGACTCAAATGGTGACGAGATGGCACTTACCAGAGCTTTTCGGTGCTTGCGATTGCATCGGGAGAGCTGGGGATTTCTGTTCAAGGTCGGTCATATCTAAGTGAAGATAAACACGCTCTGCCTATATCACGGCGTTCTTCAATAAGTAGAATGATATCCTCCTTTCATTACCCAGATAATGCAGCTCGCTTATATACATCGAGTGGATGCGGTCAGACACACGCAAACCTCTGCAGGATTTCTCTGACAGGTATGCACAATGATCCTTTAGCTAGAGTATAAGCTTGGCATCCGTGGACCATTCGATACCCACTAGCGGGACGCCTGAATGAGGAATCTATTATGAAACAAAAATGATCAGCCGGACCGGAATATTAATTGTGATCAGCATGATGATGAGTCAATTGGAGTGTGAGGCTTCAGAGATTGGTTGTCCATAAACCACAGTGATAAACATTGGCACACCGCCCCAAAGCCCTGCACATTAAATCCGAGTCTAGGCTAGGATGATAATTCCAAATGAGAGATGTTCCGTATGCGAGGTTGAGTAATAAACGCTTCAATCACCATATTTTGGCAAGTAGCGAGCTTCGTTGTCCTGCGACCCTGACTCACGGCAAATGTGATATATCGAATAAGGAGTCGCTGCCTAGAGCGTTGAAACAGCATGGGGCACTTGCCACTACTTTGTAGAAGACAATGTCTTTCTGTCTTTCATTCATTCTTTCTTGCTTTACTTTCTTTCTTTCTTTCTTTTTTTTTTTTTTTCCCTTCCCATTGCTTACAGTCAACTTACTCGACACTCTACTCAATCCAAAATTGGGAGGAACGGGAAAAGTTGATAGACAGGAAAGATTGAGAAGGTCAGGGCTACTTTAGGGCATGTACCAAGAAATCTCTACCCTCATATCCCAGGTTGAGCTGCAAGGTACTACCGTCTTTCTCTCGTGGGTTCGTGCAGATCAAGCCGGGGAGTTCGGACCATCTGTGGACTAGTCACATTCAAAGGTACGTACAGCACATGCCGACGAATGAAAATCATCTGTCTAGCTAGACCTAAGTTACTCTCTATGTGTCACAATTCTGTCTTGCTTCCAGAATCACATCGGATAACGAGCCGCGCGGTAGGCAGCAGTCTGCTATTCCCTTACCAGAAGTGAGGCTGCCCACTTATTAGGGTTGGTTCTCAGACTCAGACCGCCAACTGCGGGTGTTCTGTTGCCTTTTCCCGTTTCCCCGTATTTTCCGCAGTCACCAATCTGACCGCAACGACAAAAGTACCCAAATACCCAATGTCTTTGAGATGATACCAATGATGGAGGCTCTGTTTTCCCACAGATCACCCTCTGATCCGTCTTGGCCTCCAGTGGTCGTTTCTTTGTTTTTTATATCCACAAAAAATTAACCTTTGTGTCGTGGTTTATGCCAATCCAGTACATGTGGTCTTTTGTCCTAGTGGATTATATTGTGTATGACTTTCAACAGGAATATAGAATAGACTTGAATAGGCACCGTCATTCAGCTATAGAGATGTCCATTAATAGACTTGAGTTTCTCTCGTTAGGTACCAATTTAAAAATTTAATTTCTTAACTTTTTTTATTAATTTTGTATTTATTTATCCTCCAAAAAAGAAAAAAAAAGGAAATAGAAGAGGAATGTTGACATTGAAACTCTCTGTAAACTGAGCCAAGCTAGCCATCCTACTTCTACACCCGAGACCTGGAATCTATGCCACTGTGGTGTTGATTATGCGCAAAATACGACCTTATAATGTAGAAATAAGCCAGTGCACTGTAGACAAATCATGGCGTACGGGGATATACATTTCCTTGGAGATTTTCAAATACTGTTCATCGGCGTGACGACTTCCAGGAAGGACCCCTATAAGGCACAACGTCCAGCTACAGTAGCCATGGGATTAGTATGTGGCGGAGGTCTCAAGTGAACACATGGTTGCATTGAAGTAATAATGAGCAAGGCACAAATATACTGAAAGCGGTAACAAATAATCTTCGTGTGCAAGAGATATGTCAATTAGGTGTGTGGGTTCATGATCCTGTAGAAAATATTGCAGAGATTTCGATGGCGCGTATGAGAAGGGACAAAGATTTGTCCAACAGAGTCCGATCCGTCGAGAACCCTTCCACAACTAAGATCTGGGAGAATGTGAAGACAAATCTGATGGGTTCCTTGTGATGCTGATTAAAGCAATGCCACAGCACATCTATATTCTTCTGGTCGGCTTTGTGTAGTGGTATCGTCCTATGACACACTGTCCAGGGCTTGCCCGTGGACATCCATTTAATCCCCCCCTCATGTCTCTTTGCGTCCTGCCCAGTATAAAGAAGGGGCAACCACTCGGATGGGGGCGAGAATAATTGATCTAATAATATAAATGCATTTGCGATCACGTTGACCTTGTACCAGTTGTTGTTGAGTGTATTTGGCTCGAGTCGTCTGATGCTCTGGACTATGCACTGATCATCTCGGGGCCAAATGATGCGGTGCATTACGTAGTTGCTGATGCTGAGGTGAAGCGGTTCATACTTGCGGGCCAGGGCCATATAGTCGCTCGTCGGCGTGAGGGATATATCCATGTTCCTCAACGCGCCCCATAGCTCCTTGGGTGTATTCACACGAAGAGCCCTAAGTAACGTAAAAAGTGACTGAACATCTCCAAGATTATCATCTCGGCGCTCCGGAAAGTTTTCAATCCACTGACCCAACGAAGACCCTAACTGATACACAGACTTAAACGGTGTACCATCAGATTTACTTCGTGAAGTCTGGCTGTCAAATAGCTGATCCAAAACAAAATCACCAGCGTATAGCAGGCTGCTCAAGGCGTCCAAAATCCGGATATCTTCCCCAGTAGTCGGGATAAGTTGTTTGTACACCCTGTCATGTTGGATTTGAGCCCAGACATGCCGTAAAACAGAAACCACTTGTATCTCAATCATCCTTTTGTCGAGCCTTTTATCTTGAATCGAGTCATCCTTAAAGAAGACGCGGTAGTGATCGGCACAGTACCCCGGGAACAGACGAGGTTGCGTTGCTTGGGCATTTTCCTTTTCTCCCAAAGAGAGATTCCATGGCACTTCGAATTCCCTCCGCAGGATTTTCTCAACATGGGACTTTTTCCGCGGCAGATAGAGCGAGATCCGAACTCCAACCAAATCTGCGATGTCACTTCTGATGTCGTCGATGCTGCCGTAGCCTTTCTTTTCTTTACATGAACTAGCTGCAGCCTCTTGGCGTTTGCTCAGTCGTTCGTGAAGCTTCCTCTCGAGACTTTCTGGGTCTTTTGCTCTGGAGGTAACGATACACTCCACCGATTCACGTTTGAGGACCTCTGTGCATAGCTCCTCGGCCCGCTGCGCTGCTAAGGCGTAGATCTCCTTATCCTTCTTGTATTCCCTCATGAATTCATTAATTATCTTAATACTTTTGTCGGCTTCGGAGGGCATATCAGAAAGCGGCTTCATGGTTGACTTATATAGCACTGTATAATGGACCCTAGCCCAGCCAGAGAAGCAAAAAAAAAAAAAGGATCAAAGAAAGAAAATGAAATTGAAATGGGCTCAGCGTGAGCGAAAAGGCCCGTGAATTGACTGCAGTGTGATAGGAAATCGAATACAGGCAATAACCAACGCTATTTAACTATCTCTACTACTCCTTACCACGAACACGATGGACCAGCAGCGACTGGATACTTCCCAAATCGGCAACAGCCAAAATTAAGCGGTGAACATTAGGTCCATGAAGCATGCCAGCCAGCGAACATAGAGATGCCCGATACGCCTATCAGCTGATACTGTAGTTTTTGCGATCATCCGACTTGGAGCCCCCAAAGCGTTGATAAGGAGGGCCGGGAAATAAACTCATTGAATAAGTTCGTAGTATCTCCGGTATTCTGCGAGTCATGCATGGGCTTGCATTGGTAGATTGTCCTTCAGAGAAGTGCACCATATGAGTTGGCTTGCAGGAGTACGCAGATCGCGCGATTGGTGCCCACATGCTTATCGGATATCTGGCCTAAGATTTAGATGAAAAATTGATTAGATGCAGAGCGGTGTATAATTACCCAATAACTGCACGACAGTTGGTGCTCGTTCGTCTGGGTCGGTTGGGTTCAACTGGCAGCCTTGCATAACTACCTTTCCTGCCTGACGCTTCCGAATAAAAGTATAGGGTAGTTATGCAAATAGTCTGAGTGCGATCCAATAACAAAAACTTCCTAGTATTATAATACAGCTCTGCATAAATCAAGTCACTCCAGAATAGGGTTATTATCAATCCCTGGTTACCTGGATGTCAGATGGGTGTCTGCCATACATTCGACAATCACCTTGAAACACCACATTAAATATCTTTCACTGAAGTGGAAATAGTAGACAAAATCAAGCAAAAAGGGTTAGCATTATACTTTCCAATATATATTCCCATACGCCTCATGTTCGTTAGTATGGGGCTCCCGAATTCTGCAGTTCAGTAGCTTTGCTGTTGACTTCTGAGGATACTCAAATTACCCAAACACATTTTCAAGTGTCTTAATTGGCTCCTAAAACGAGGCTATACGTATCGCGTCATCGCTTCCCATGCTATACTTGGAGGGAAAGGATCTGTCCATGAACCTAAATGCGTGGGTGTCTGAAACTGCTAGGACAGGAGATTTTACACAGTACTCCTCACCCCCATTGCCTTCCGCATGATAGAGAGGGGATGGCCATTTCGCACCCACTGAATATTAGAAGGACCTTTGACTCATCCGACTGGCTGATCCCATAGTTAGTTTGCATTCGAACTTGTGGCATCCATGTTACTAACCTGAAAGCCTTTCTATGCTAACCAAGTTTGTGAAAAAGTTGGCCGTACGGCTGGATTATTTACAAATTGGGTAAAGCGTGCCGTTATGGGTGATTGCTTGACCCTAATACTGTGGCTTAAGATTCCTTTCAGCGTAGACAATATTCAATTCTACAGAGTAAGAGCTTCTAAGAGCTAGCTTGCACGATTCTTTTCTTGCTTAGCGGTTCATTTCGAACGGGGCATTACCAAGTCATGAAAGTCCTCAGCGAACTAGGCCATGGAAAACACAAGATCTCGCTGCAAAGAGTACAACCTCAATACTGCGTCCATTACCTGTTTTTGACAGTTGTGTACTCTAGACAAGAGAGTCTTTAATTCGGAAATGAGAAGTTTACAAGTGAACAGAAAGATCATACAATCTAGTGTTTAGTGGAACCGTCAAGTAATATAACTCTGCATGGTAAACACCTCATTGCCGAGGCTCTCTAACCATAGACGCCAGCCCAACCGCCGCACTCGCAGAGTCACTTCGGTCCACAAACCCAAACTTCTCATAGACGGGCCGTCCATCGGCACTTGCGTCGATATAAGCAAAAGCACCCTCTTGGTCAGCCATTTGACACCCCCATCCAATCAGCATCCGAGCAGCACCCATTTTCCGATAGTCGGTATGCGTACCCAACATATCAAGATCTAGTATCAATGTCAGCAATTCCTCCACGACCTACTTCACGGAGAAAGTCGACATACAGAAATTCTTCTTTCCCCCAACCAACCTGGCCCGACCAGTCTCCATATTTCCGATAAATGCATCGTTACGCTGAGGATCCATGTCCGGGTGCCATTGCGGAAACCGAGGGCCACGCTCTTCAGCCGTCTGAAGGGACCACTTTGCGTATGCTGCAATCCGACCGTTTCTTGTATCGACAACCTTGAGATATTTCTCTTGTGGTTTGTGTAGCATGTCATGGCGGTTGGCTTGATCCCACCATTCTCGTACTCCAGGGGTGTTTGGCCAGATGGCTAGCATCTCCGGAGTATCAAACGCATTGTACCAGATTTCAATTAACTCAGGGATGTCTTCGGGTGTAGCGTGCTCGAGTCTGAGAGGGGATCCCGATGTCGAGGTGTTCTGTGTTGCTTTCACGGTCATTATGCCGTACAGCCTTGGCGACTGGGGATAGTCAAGAACTGCACAAGGATTAGGAAATAGATTGCAGTAGAGCCAAAATGATCCCGGTCAAAGGGCGGGGTAGTCTGGCATTTAAATAAATCCAAAGGTTGGGGGTGGGGCAACTATCAGACAAGAAGAAATGGGAAAGCCAACGATTTCTGTCGAGTCAGATTTAAATGCATGTGGCTGGGAAACGAACGCAAATTCTTGCAGCGGCGGCTCCACATTGTAGGGACCTTTCATGCTACTATCCCTCTTGGTCACAATGACCGGTGAGCGGTTTGTCGGATGCGACATGTCATATATATTAGCGGTAAGATTTATTTTACATGGGCTTCTCTTTTGGTTATAATAAATGAATTATTAGAGCCCAGCATCGCTGCTGACACCTCGCTAACGTGGTGATAATTGGTAAGGCTATTATTACCAGGCATGGCATTGTATTAGAGCATTTCTAGTTGGACATGAAGGTGGTCGTCAGGGTTGGGCGATAAGGATGCAAGGACTGTGTCGCTTAAAAAAGATCAGCGTCGGTGAGATAATCCGGGGCCTCAAGTGCCCCCTATTATACCATTCTGATGAGCAGCACGAACAATGTGGCAATTTGGTTATGTAGCATGTTCTAAATGGTTATCACCAGGACTGTTGAGAGGACGTCTTGAGGTCACGCTGACCGACTCGCACGTCTAGCATTGCCCCTTGGGTCCCTAGGCAGTCTGTACAACTTGATACGTGTGATTTCACCCACAGCTAGTTAGCCGAATGCCACTATGCTAAGTGGTAGGGTACAGGCTGAGAAGACCATGAATATCTCGAGCATGCGTTAGAAGGACACTTATTAGTCACGTTCTATAAGAACACGTGGTCACATCTCATTATAAAATTCGTCCAATTCCAGCCCATTGTCCTGAATCCTGGTTGATTTGCGCTTGAATGGCGTTCCGAATGAAGCTGAATGTGGTCACATCTAGAGAATATGCCAGAAAATAGACAATTTGATCCCTCGCTATGTGACCTAGGGAGCAAGGTACGGGAGGGCTACTTATACTTTGTAGAACACAGAGCCTAGGCTCTAGGCATACCTGAGGAAGCTGCGCACACGGTTTTCTTGGCATGATATGAATACATTTGCCAGGATTCTGCGTATACCCTAAAGTGTGCATTCACATAACCTCAGTTTGTGCGAACAGCTTAAGCGTGTACGGTGAAAGCCTACGTCATGTCCAGACTCCGATATCCCAATTGCTCGCCAGTCTTGCCCACTTGATGAACAAGTTCTGGCTCTTCCTGTTCTCAAGCTATGTTGCCCAGTATTAGGGCAAGCCAGTGGAGCTTTGAACTCTCCGATCTATCAAGTCACAGCTTGAGATTCTAGAAAACACTAACCCTCGGCTTCGGAATGGGTCCCGGGCCGTTGTGAGACTTGGCTACTATTTATATACGTCAATGTGGGTCGTATGGATACCATGGAGGAGGCTGATTATGGGCTACAATGGGATGGTCGATCTTAAGTTCATGCAGAGAGTCAGTGCAAATGTTTATTATTATAGGCTCCGCAAGTGAAGGGTATTCAATGATGCTTGCGTGGTGGACGAGGATTAATAGACTATTTTAGCGCCAGGGTCATAGAATTGTGGCAGAAACGATGGCGATCCGTGCACGTCTCCGATTCACAGCGAACGTAAGAGACAGAAACGAATCAACTCCCTATGATATGCTATTTCTGGGATAATTTAGTATGACAACATTACTAAGCGGAATATCCGGAGATCTGAAGTGATCTTGTACTCGCGAGAGCAACTATTTATATCGATGGGACATATTCATACGACTTTTTTCTATTATAGTATCTTCAACAGGCGCAAGGCGCAGTTTTACACTCGAAGCTACCCTCCCCATCACGAGACAAGTCAAGTTGACCTTAATTTCGGGCTTGGAAATACGGTGAAACAAACGACGTGGCCGGGTTGCAGTAGGCGGGAATCCGGCTGCACTAGTAGAAGATGGGCGGTTGAGATTTGACAGCATTCGCCAGCAAGGAACTGTTAGCGGAGTATTTCGGTGGGGCAAAGCAGGACTGTGGTTCCTGGGCTAAATTCTTTTCCTTCTCCGCGAAGGGTGGAGTCTTACGTTCCTTCTCGGAGATAATGGGATATCGTGACCTGCAGAGAGCAGATGCAGCCACTGTGCAGTATGTTTGTCAGTGACATGTACACTAGGATCTAGGGGAACATAGTAGGATCATAATAGTGCCGCTGATCAAGCAATATTTGAACGTGGTTCGAAGGAAACAAAAATACATAAGACGTATGGATCCGAAGCCGCGTCTTCCGCGTGGCTGTTTGAACTCCACTCCCCATCGCCGAGCCAATCAGGGGTCGCTCCGCCATAAAAATAACTGTCAGCCCTAAAGTTGGTCGCTGAGCACGTACGACGCCAACGACCTTAGACGAAGAAAATTTTGAGATCATTTAACTCTAAGTCACTAGTATTTGAAGTCGCGTCGCCATGCCCGCCCCCATGGATCATACAAAATATTGCTTGCTCCAAGCTTCACCTCTCTTCCTCCCGACCCTTTCCCTACCCCCGTAATCCACCTTTGCCGAGACGCCGTGAATATGCGAATACAATCCCTGTTTGTGCTAGGAACGGTCTTCTCGGGCGCAATTGCTCACCCTGAGCCTACTGCTGAACTGTCGTCGAAATGGCCTTCTACTACAACTACCCCCTCGGCAGCACCGACACCCGCAATACTCCATGGCAATAACGGCGCGAGAAACAAACGTTATGAACATGGCCTCCTTTTAGAAAAACGAGATACAACTACGGAGGACCCTGCTGAGGACCCTGCTGCCACCACCGAAGAGACCACCAGTACGACTAAAGAAGCAACAACGGAGGCGACCACGCAAGCTGATACCACCACTGCCCCTACAACCACCGAAGCAACAACAACAACCGAGGATGCCACGACTACGACGGAGTCCTCTACGACAACAACTTCAAGCACGACTAGTACGACTAGTTCCACCAGTTCGACGACCTCCACAACCTCAACCACATCCTCCACATCCTCCACATCACAATCGACGAGTAGCATGTCAACCACCACCACGAAGAGCACATCGACTACCGCCACAAAGACCAGCTCGACGTCCACTGCGACAAGCACAGTTAGTGCTGAAATGCGAGAATACAATCATCGTGGAAGCATAGCCGCCATCATCACTTTTAGTATATTGGGGGCTATCTTCTTTGGTTATGGATTCCTTCACTGCTACTTGGATTCTCGAAAAAAGCGCCAGATTGCAGCGACAAAGGCAGCAGCGGAGGCCGGATCAGACTATTCTTTGGTGGCATTAAACCAGAATGCGAGATCTCAAAGTGAAGTCAACTTTGACCGGTCCTCGATGATGTTCGCTTCTCAGTCTCCGTCCCGTACGGATTTGTCTTCCACGATTCAACAAGGTGCTGGTGCGCAAGGGTATAGCCAGCCACTGGCGCGACCTTCATCGCTGGCAGTCAGCGAGACACTCCACCCAAGTTCAGCAACAGGTTCACCCTCTAATAGTCCTCGAGGAAACTTCATCTAATGCCAGAGAGGAATGAAGAGCATTCTCAACCTGGTGGTGTCCCGTTCAGTCAATATAATGTGTGATACGATACTAATGTCATTTGCACGTCCCGGCCGCCTATCGCAGCAGCCATGTACCATTATATCCAATTGTCTTCCTCTTCTGTATTCTCAATATTCTACTTCTTTTTCCTATTTGCCATGCATAATATTCTCTGACTCGTAGAAACTGCATTATTATCGACGTGGATATTCCATGTATCCATTTGTGAATTCTCTGTTCTTTACAATCTTCGCAGCGACATAAGTTGAAGTACGTTGTTTGGGCGGAGCAAAAGTGTGAATGTTAGGTGACGGGAGTCATACCTTCGCTTTTCGTTACATGTTTCAATATATACCCCATAGAAGTATGTTTGTATGGGTAATAGGATAGCAGCATGGATCTATGAGACCCGCGTGTGGGCCGAAAACGTCGGTAATTTACAGGTGGGCGTGACAGCATGAGAATACGATGTGACGATGGGAGGTTATTGGCTGATAGAGCAATGAGGAGTGGGGCTCAGTATGGAGTCTACTAAAGAAGCCCTGTCTTCGATAACAAAAGGATCCTGGGATATCTGGCAGCAAAGGGTATATGCTAAAGATGTGGCCAGTGTAGTCAAAGGTTGGCCAGATATCCATAGCTCATGTCAACAATCCACTGTTGGTGGAAACCTTCCATATTCACTGTTCCCGCTTGATGCATGCCTGGACACCTCCGATATCAAATTGGCAAGTTCCAGCATAGCATGCTTCATCCATTATCAACAGAACTCAATCCTAAGCAGCCCCTTTACATGCCAAATGTAACTGCGCCAAGTACGCCTGGTTTAGAACAAGTTTTCTTTCTCATCGCCTTATTAGACAGCTTGAGGGGGCGGTCGTCCCTCACAACCTTCGGGCGTGGGGTATCCTGATCTTGTGCTGGTGAATCCTTGGCTTGATTGACAGGTCGCGACGGCAGACTTTGGGAGTCGGTCTCTTTTGAGGAACGGAAGCACATTGCAAAAATGACGGTGGACAAGAGGTGATGAGAGGGTACCTGTTGCTGTTTCGAAACTTGCTTGCTTTGCTGTAGTAGGTACCGGTCAAGTCCTCTCTTCAAGATATTAAAGGAATTTCATTCAATAAGGGCAGTGTGTTGTACAGAACTGCAGATATAGACTGGAATAGTATATACCAGGAGCAATTATATACATAACTTCCAGACCTTCGCTCTACGTCATCTCTGGCCATTCGAGGATCCAGTGTCTTTCTATTCAGATAGTTCCGGCCAAATTGTGTACAATGCCTTGCCAAGCCACCATTTTGAGTATTGGGAGCAATTGAAGGTGGTCGAAATAGTAGATCTATTGCCCGGAAATAGGGCCGAATTCAAGCATTAGACTTGGCAATACGACTTATACTCTTCCAACTTTCTAAACTAATACGTCTTGTGATATTAGGAGCAACTGACTCGAGGGAGGACGTAACCCAATGTCAAGAAATCGCCTTATCATGCCTATGCACGTATGACAACACAGAGATTTCTATGTCTGACTCGATTTCCCACGACAGGCACCTTTTCAAGGGGAGCCCTCAACATAGTCACATTTCTGATTGCGATCTTACTCCACATCGGAGAGTCTGGTCTTAGCATGGGGCCATGGTGTAATCCTCCACCGGAGATCCACAGACTTGGCGCTGTATCTTGACATATGAGACCATGGTGTAGATGCCCGTGTTGTAGCGTACTCCCGACAGCCTACAGAGGGTAGGCAACATTGAGATTCCCCCATTGGCTACATCTTCATCCCCAATTTTCAGTTGTTGGCTGCCCGAATAGATACTTCATGACTTTTGGAATCAGTGTCCTGCTCAGCTGCAATTCACTCTCGTCGCTGGTTATAAAGGAATCCATTTGGCACCACACCTGGTTAGAGCCTACTGCCTTTATTCATATACCCCCTTTGCTTTTTTAATTGTTATACAACCTTCATGCGATCTTTAGCAACTAGGATTGTTTATGTTATAGCGTCTATTCTGCAGAGATATACAGGCTTTCTTTTGCAGGTTAAAGTTAAAGTAGAACATGCCTATATCTCCCTTTGATTATTTGGTATGTTGTGGCGGTATAATGGAGCAACGTATAATACAACCAACAGGGGGATTGAACATTGGACAAGGGCGAACGAAAGAGGATTCGCAACCCTGAGGGCACCCAATTGGCTGCGCAGTGCCTGGATAAGTCGAGAAAACCTTTTGAGAACCTCCCCAGCAAAAGGATATTACGTCTAATCGCACGTTTCTATAGCGGTTTCGCACCCCACGAGAGATTCCATGCGTCGATGTCGAGACATACCGAGCTATGGTAGATACTCAGGGACCCTTAAACAAAGCCCATTCTTGGATGTCTATATTCTACGACTTTGACGACAAGGATGAGGAGCTGCACTGACCGGGACAACTCATGATTCTTGTTCGTATGGAAACATGTCTGATGGATAGCAAGCTTGAGCAACATTTCATGGTTTCTGCTCAAGTCCCACGCTCGAAATGTCGGTATTCTTTCTCCAATCACTCGCCGCTGAGATTCATTTGCTAACCATTCAGTGTCGGACTGTAGGTTATACTCTTCTCGTTTGTGGGGACACGCCACAGGAGGATTTTCCTTGCTTATTTTTGCGGCACGAAGCTAAAAGATTCGCAGGTCCAACCTTTAACGCTTCCAGTCATTTGGTTCCAATGCTTGCTCCTGTTTAGGATCTACAAAACGATTGCGTCGAATCCAAATGGAGATCCCCCGCCACTTGTCTAACAAAATTAGCTGATGCGAATGCCACAGGAAGCATTCCGAATATAAAGACTAGGCGGGTCCCTCTTGGCGTCGGGATTTTGCTTCGAGTCGCTGGATCTCCAGACGCCCGGTTTGCCTGCCCATTTAGTCGGGGCATCGGACCTCATGACTCGGATACGACTCAGCAGACAAGACAAGTCAAGGTGAACAGAGTTGCATGCCGGCGAGCATGCAGAGCAGTGGAGATGTTTGAGAAAACCCCTGGTGCCTCCCCGCCTATTGGAGGAACCGCGAACCGGCCGATGAGGGTTCGTATTCGGCAATTCTAGCCCACAGACCAAGGCAAACGAGCATTGGCAAATGTGCAGCCTGGCCAGAATTAGGTTCCTGCCGGATCACTGTGATTCTCAATCGCCAATCATTACAAGCTAGATATACGGCACCTGCAGTAGGGTGTCATTGCAGAGGATCTTTAGCATAATTTTCGGAACAAGACCAATAGATTTCCGTGATATGTCTCAGATATTTCATTGGAAGTGCACTATTGCCGTGAAGAGCTGAGCTGAAATTTTAGTCTTCTGGTTTCTCCACTTTTACGGTCCCCGATTGAGTTTATAAACGGAGCTCAGGTGCCGATATCGATTTTTTATTTGTCTGGACATTGTTCTTGCAATTGCATTTCGTCGTCTCAAGTACGCTTCAAGATGCTGTTCGCAGTAGCCTTCCTCTTCTTGAGAGCTGTCGGCGCCAACCCAGGTTTGTCCTGCCACTACCGTTTTCCCATAACAAGTGCTAACTCTTCGCCAGTTATACCGAGGGACGATGGTAGTTCTACTCCCACTCCCACTCCCACTCCGACTACGTCAAGCAGTATACGCCCATCCGGGCCATCCGATTCATGTGGTACTTCATCAACAAGTAGCCAGTGGTTAAGCGTATGCGATACCACTATATTCTGGCCAACATCGACCAACTACTATTACGGTCCAACTACCGGCCCCGAGGCATCCGCAGTCTCCTGCAACGCCGAATGGGTCGAATACGACGGACGCGCCAGTGGCCTGGAATCTCTCGGCGCCACTTCCACTTCCACCATCTACAGCACCTATACCACCAGCACGGGCGCCTGCAACACTCAAATCTGGGGTGAAGGCTGGGATGATCCCCATTCAGGCCCAGTCACCACTCTATGTGACGGGATCCCCCGCGCGCTCGGTCCTCGAGAATACTCAACCACATACTGGCCAGGCACCGGGCCCTGCAGCTCATTCATAGCGACCGAAACGACCACGACCCTAGTCTATCGCTCTCCATCACCCACCCCAAGTTGCTCGCTAAATACCCAAGACTGCATCCCCATCTGGCAAACCTACACCAGTCTCCAGGCAGCCTATTACAGCTCCATCACAACCGCAATCCCAGGCGACACCAACAGTCCCATCCGCCCGGGAAGCTGCCCATCCACCAAACGGAACTACACCGAGCAGGACCCCTGCACCAACTGTCACTTCCTCCCCGGCACCGCAACGCTCTTCTACTGGCCCGTAACCACCACCAACGGCGACCTCTGTCTGCAGAACGGAAGCACCGTCCCCGCCACCCAGACAGGCGAGGGCCCCAACACAGCCATCGTAAACGGAAACACCTTCGTCTCACCCAGCATCTACGTCTCCTTCACGAGCATCTACGCCCGTAGCAACCAACGCGCCCACCCCGGCGGCTCCTGTGGCGGCGAATACGAAGACGTGATTATCTCCGTCGACCCCAAGGCTGTATCCTCCTATCGCAGCCACGTCAACGCCAAATACCCGACTATCGGGACCGCATACCCCTTCGAGTACGATGAGTTCCAGCCCCACGAGGTCGGGAACTACACCATGCCGCTGATACCCTGGGAGAAGTACCAGGGCGCCTCGCAGTGTCCGTTCCGCGGTGGGAACAAGTGCACCATGATTCGCGATGATTATATGCCCTGGATGGGCATTCCGGAGGGTGTGATGACGCAGATTGATCCGCGATGGACGGAGTGTGATCGTGAATGGTATATTCCGCCTGTGAGCATGGTGCCTCTCGTTGGTAACCTGGAGTCGCTGCCTACTGGGGTCGCGGAGGCGAGGGTTCCCACGCCTACCCCGGCGGTTCCTGAGTCGGGGGTTGTTGCGCCTACGCCGGAGGCTACTCTGTTGTAGGTTTGTTGGCTGTCGAACGATGTAGATAGCGTTCCCGTAGGTTATGCATCGTCCCTAATATAGGACTCTCCTGAACAATACAGCATAATCATCAAAAGAATGCCAATATATTAAATATGAAAATGAGACATAGAAATTAGAAACTAAATCCCAGCAAAGACCACAAAACTCAAGAAGTTAACCACTTCTCCACTCTCTTCGTCAACGCCACACACTTGTTATCTACATAAATCGTATAATAATGCGAGGCATAAACCACCACCGTTCCCAGGATAATCCCCGAAGCCCACCACGCCACATGGAACGACATCGGATCGGTCGCGGCCGCCTCCACACTCCCAGGGTACGGAGTCCCGTTCCCGAGCAACCAGAGATAATTCCGCAACGGATCGCGCAACACATGGTAGGTAGCCTGGTGCACCAAATACAGCGAGAAGGAGATCTTGCCGAGATACTGCACGGGTCGGGTATTAAAGGGGCGCTGCAGGAGTCGGGATTCGCCGATCGCGTAGACTAACAGGGCTGAGCCGACGGATTTCCAGCACCAGTGGATGACTTGCCAGTCGTCTCGCCATTTTGCCGGGTGGAAGACCGACAGCCATTGGTAGCCTGGGGTTAGTTTGCCGTCATCTCCTAAGCAGAGGAGGTGGTAGCCTAGGAGGAACGAGAGGGTGGTGGTGATGCGGGCGAGGGTGAAGTTCTTGCGGTTTAGGAGGCGGTCTTTCCAGTTGGAACGCGATAATGGGAAGAGGGACAGTTTCTCCTCGTCGTCGTTGTCGGTGGAGCCGTTTCCGTTTGCTGGGGTGGAAGTTGCTGCTGCTGCGGCTTTTTCGGCGAGCCAGAGGCCCCAGATGAAGCCGAAGGTATCCCAGAGGCCATACCAGAGGAAATAGAGGGATAGGAAAGGTAGAAACCAGAGCCGGAGTTTCGGTCTCCAGGCGGATAGGCCGATGATGACGACGAAGACGATGTTCGATCCGCGGAATTCGACCGGCATGGTCCAGAGCTGGCCGTTGAACCCTCCGTTGTATGCGAAGGCAATGATATTCAAGCTATCCGTCATATAGAGAAAGAGCCATTTGATATGGGCCCACGGTGCCTTCCAGGGCTCGAGCCCCTTTAAGAGGTCTTCGTCGAAGGTCCAATTGTAGAGATTAAAGAAAAAAAGCAATTGACTGATCGTCGCCATGACCAGAACCGGCAGGTAAATTCGGAAGGGTCTCCGCAGGACGGCGGAGGAGATGCGCGTGTAATACTGCGGACTGGGTCGAGCTTTCAGGATATTAATGGAGATCGCATAGCCCGAGATCACCATGAATAGCGTCACCATCGCATGAGCGGAAAAGAGAATGCGGATCGGAGGCAGTTGAACGAAGCGACGATTTCCCTCCGGGGGCTCTGCCCAGAAGGACACGAATGGGTGCCAGACCTCTCCCATGAAATAGTGGTCAAATGCCACGATCGCGGCTGCAATGCCGCGGAGGCCGTCTAGCCATTTAGTGCGCTCCATGACAGAGAGAGGGAAATGATTTCCCTCGCGGTGCGGTATAACGAGTGGTGTGTTTACTAGGATTCCTAGGCAAGCTTACATAGCCATACTTTAAACGAGTGAATGATTTTCGAAAAGGGACTCTTCAAGGTCCAAAGTTTTGAGCGAGGGGTTTAAATCTCACCCAGTGAGGCTTAAAAAGAAGTGGATGACTGGGTCCAGGGGAAAAAAAAATGTCTGGATTTAGTTCTCCTTATTTTTAGCCTGGCCCTCGGGTTTTTTATGCGGTGGCCCCCAAAGGTTACAGAAATAATCTCGTATTGGCACCAATAACGGCCAGTCCCGACGCGAAACTATCGTTCTAGGGTCCAATCCTTGAATAATTCGGACTAATTTAAGATCACTACGGGTCTTATTGATCTTTTCACTGCCCCTGATTGCCCACTGCAAGAATTTCCTAGTTTAGTGAAATTAGGGTTAAGTGGCCCCAACAGCCAATGGTTTGTGATGCATCGTATCCACTGACTACATATCTCGTATCGATGATGGTCAGGCCTGCCGAACAACCGATGGGTCCTCCGAGAATGCTAGGGACCAAAGAACAATGCCAAGTAAATAAGTGCCGAATGGCAGGGCCATGGACAATTTCTCCCCAGATTGATATGAGACCACCAGGAATGCGGCTCTTGGGCGGATCTGCAATCTCAATGGATTTCTTTGCGGTTGAAGGATTGGATCCGCCCCACTATTCAGACATTCAGCCAATCACATCCATGGGATTCTTAGGGCTATTGCTTCTCAGTCTTCATACTTGTTCATCCGACTCGGAAAGGCTTGTTGAAGATGATCATGGCTCTTGAATCACCCTCTCGTATATGGAGGGCTGTTATACTATCCACTCATCTTGAAAAATGTCTGTCGCATCGATGTGCAAGGGCGAAATTCCCAATCAACAATCTTCACCCGATCCGGTATATATTTTGAATATCATGGATCCATCCTCATGCATAAGAACATAATATCATGAAGACGCTAAGGAGGCGGGGTTACATTCCACCACCCTCAATCACATGGAATCCGAATAAAAGGAAAGAATCTGTTCCCCTTATCCATTTCTCTCTTCTATTTTCTCAGAGGCCTCAGAAAATGTCACTGCAAGTCCCCCGGGAACCACTCCTTTCCCTCCTCTTCCAGGTATGGAAGAGCCATCCCACCAAGACTATCATCCGAGATCTCGCCGATGGATTCGAAACTACGGTGGAAAGGTTCTTGCACGATGTACTGACCATGCGAGAATGGATTCTCGAGTCTCTTGACCCAGAGGTCAAAGACCGTCTGGGAAGCACCGATACAGATGTTTTCATGGGGGTTCTAGTTGGCCCGGGGCATGAGTTTGCCGTCCTGGCCTTTGCTCTGTATAGTATTGGCGCAGTCATTGTTCCTCTGTGTAAGTCTTTTTGCCGTGAACTTCCCGCCCAGCGATACGGGACTATAATCCTAATACTTATTATTGGTAATGCATCAGCACCGGCGCTCCATCCAGAGGAAGGAAAATACTTCTTAGGGCTATGCAACGCGGCACAAATAATCACGGTGCCGGCCACAAAGGACAAAGCTCAAGCCATCGCCCGCCTCACCGGCATTCCAACCCTCGATGTCAACGTGACAGAGTCAGTTAAGCCCGCCACGCTTCACTTCTCACTGCAACCGGAAGGAGAGCCCCTGATCAATGCGGACAAGGGATTCGTGCTTCTCTACACGTCCGGAACCACCGGGACCCCAAAGGGGGTACTTCATTCCCGGCGAGGGGCCGAAAGCGCATATGTCAGCAGCATCCAATTGTTCGGCCTGAGCCCAAGTGACACCTGGGCACATTATTCTCCAGTTCATTGGGCTGGTGGGTGGCTAATCCTGTTTCACACTATTCTGGCCGGTGCGCGCCTTGAGTTTTGTAGTTCGGTGTTTAGTCCGGATTGGCTGGTGGAACAATGGGAAAAGAAGGCGGGACCAGAGGATGGCTTAACTGCGGTATTCCTTGTTCCTTCGGGGCTTCAAGCAGTCGGCGAGAAACTGGATACGGTTCGGAAGGAAGGCCCACCAGGAAGGTATGACCGTATTCTTCAAGGCCTGCGGGGAATGCGATTAATCGTCTCTGGAGGTGCGAGGGTGACGCCGGAATTGAGAGATGGGTGGATGGAGCTGCGAGGCGGCAAGCCATTGATGGTAGCATACGGGATGTCTGAGGTGTTGATGTTCGTTGTTGCGGGTGACTGGGACTCGGAAGTGAATCTCCCTCTGGTAAGAAAATACGTCTGTCGAGTAATATTTTTGAACTCCGTTGACTGACAGGAAGAAACTAGGATTGCTGTGGTCGGATCTGTCGCTATGTTGATCTGAAAATTAATGAGGCTGGGGAAGTGTGTATCAAATCACCGGCGAGATTTAAGAGGTGAGACATCCGATCCTATACATATTTCAAATGACTGACATCTCACATCGAAGGTATATATCGGAGAATCCCACTGAAATGAACGGTATTTTCGATGCCGACGGATACTGGAAAACCGGAGATATGGGTAGGCTGGAAGGAGACTTGATTTACGTCTTTGGCCGGGCTTCTCAGGACAGTGAGTGGGACTCTGTTGTGCGTACGACATGTCCAGGAACTGACAATAGTAGTCGTTCGATTCTCCGGATGGAAGATCCTTGCACCGGAGGTCGAAAGTGAGCTGGCTAAACACCCACTTGTATCAGATGCGATCGTCCTTGGCGTCCAAGATACCGCCGCCGGCCAGCTCATCGCTGCGCTCGTGGTCATAAATGAGGAGGTTTCCAAAGAAAGTAGTCTGGATCTCTCAGAAGCGCGCAGGTGGTTGGCAGTGGAGAGAGGAATGAATGCATATAAACTGCCAACGATTATGCGACTGGTCAAAAAGAACCAGGAGCTGCCAATGACACTATCAGGGAAATACATCAAGCGAAAGATCCGAGATATCTTCTTCAACCAAGAAGAGCTACAGAGTGATCGGGTCGAGGTGCATGACTTTTCAACTCAAGAGCCAGACATCGGCGACCGCCCATTTGACTGGGCGGGAATTCAAGCCAAATGAGAAACAGCTGCTGGCATAAACGTTTTTAAGTACAGGTCGATATAACATAGCACAGATCGATGAGGATAGATATGGCGTAGAAAGCAAACCCCGCAGCAGATGTTGGATGATTTTCATATGAGCTGATGAAATGTATAGCCTGACGAAATGTTACCTCGATATGCCACACTTGGTAATGTACCTCTTAGTAAGAGAAGCAAGAAAAGAAATTGAAATTGAACCTGAAATTGAAAAGAGAGAGAGAGAGAGAGAGAGAGAGAACAGGAAGGCAGGCTCCATAGATAACATGAGGAAAATCTTTCAATGACCGGACAAAGCTTTAGTCATACTCCTTTGCTCGTCGTCCATATCTATCGCCCAGGCCATGAGCCCTCGTAATCCCTTTTTACTGGCGTAGTCAACCTTGATCTTAAGCGTCTGGGGATCGTCGTATCTATAGTATCGTGGCCAGAGCATTAATCAACATCCCCACAAAGGAAAAGGTTCACGTACGAGACCCAGTTGTCCTCGCCCCATGTGAGGTGCTGCACAGAGCCAGCCCGGTCAAAGACTGGCTTCGCTCCGCCAGATATGATATCCTTAATCTCTGTTCAAGCCAATCTAGTTAGGATGGTGATCCTGGAATGGAGCTTTGTCACATACCGGTGTAAGACAAATAGCCTGCGGTCCTGACGCACCGTCCCTCAGCTCCTGGACCGATATATGGACAGCCAGGCTGTGTGCATCTTCCGCTTGCCAATTTTACGCTGCGACCGTAGAAAGCGGTCCCCAGAACAAGTTTATTTGGTGCTACACCAGCCTGGAGGTAAGTATCTACCCCGTTGTTGACATCGGTCAAGTTTGTATGCCCGGCAGCCGTTTTATCTCTTTCCCATGTGCCGTGGATATCATACGCCATGATGTTGATCCAGTCCACAGCCTCAGATGCCCCCTTGAGGTCATAGTTCCTCAAGTAATAAGAGGCCAGTGGTGCCGCAAATGTCATAACGTATTTGCTTTGGACTACCCGTCGCATCTCCTGCAGAAGTTTCGTGAAATTCTCCTTGTCGGTTGGGCGGCCACCTCTCTCTTCGGCTCCGGGGTATTCCCAATCGATATCAACACCGTCAAAGCCATATTGAGTTAAGAAGCTGAGTAGGTTCGTGATGAAAGTTTGACGGTTGGCAGGCGAAGATACCATGGTAGTAAATACCTCCCGGTATGGGCCGGGGTCAGTATGTGTCCATCCCTAAGGGAATGTCAGCAAGGAGTATGGGCGTTGAAACGAAGTCATACCCCAAGAGCGACTAAAACCTTCAGATTTGAGTTCTTCCTTTTGACATCCGTGACCTGCTTGAATAGGGCTTCTTCGGTATCCGGCATAGGTAGGACTTTGTAGGTATGTGGCGCGATAAATCCAAATGAGAAAATGAGATGCGTAAGCGATTCCACGGGGATTTCTTCCGGCTTCATCGTAGCACAGGGCTTGCCCATGTTCCATCCCTGCCAGTAACCCGCAATAACCTTACCAGTACTGTCTCCTGGATTGTCCGGTGTTGGTGGAGACATAGGGGGAGTACTCGGCGGGGTACTGGGCACGGTTGTCGGTTGAGTGGTTGACGGGGAAATCAATGCGGAGCTTGACATGCTACATGGTCGCTTACTTGACGAAGTTTGCTGTTGGACTTGCTGGGCAGGATCCGGCTGATAACCTGACGTACCCTTTGGCAGGGCACAGTTTGATCGGCATCCTGTGCCACAATGCTCACTAGTCGTATCACAGAAGCCCCATTTCCTATATCGCTAGGGTTAATCATATGAAGGACACGGAATACTTCCTGAACATACGAGCAACAGGCACTTCTAGGGCAGGTAGCACCTGGTGCAGCAGCGCCTGGACCACACTCAGCTACACTATGCCCGACAGAGCGACTAAAGTTAAGTTGATGACGCAGGGCGTTCTCGTGGATGTTATGCATAATAGGGTTGCCAGCAACCTCTAGTACTCCGAGGAGTACGAAGAAAGTAATCAGACACTGTAGAAGGAGCGACATGACCTAACCAGGGTTCTCTCCAAGGAATGTAAAAAGTGAATCGTTTCCCCCTAAGTCCCAGACCTTCGAAGGGCTTTGAAGAGGCAATCTCAAAGTTGGGGTAGACCGCGACTGATGTCCCTTTTATGGGCTTTAACCCCCGCAGGCAGAACATGTTCTGTACCACTATGCTTGTAATGTCACCCCTTCATTTCGGGCTGCTGATGAACCCCTATGAGCGTCCAGTGAGTGCAGTCGGACACGAGCGAAGGGATCTATTTGGCTTAAACTTCTACATCCACCACGGGAATGAGGATCTCGCATCGTTGTTGAGCCAATAACCGTTGGTAATACCGTGAATGGCAATCGATCCGTGTGAGACTGTTGACTAGGCAGTTAGCATCGCGTTTAACCCACATATAGCGCTTTAGCACCGCGGATACTTGGATCGCGAGCGTCTTGTGGCTAGGGTCGGTACCGTCCTCACCTATATTACAACAGGCAAATGATCCATACACGCGGAATGAGAAAGATTACAGGGCCAGCTGTGTAACAAAGAGATTGACAGGGTCGTTGATAGTCCCAGACAAAACAAAGAGATGATGTGATATGTATCTCTTTATTCGGTTGCACGACACCGAGCTTCGCTAGGCACGTACAACTAGAATTTACCCTCTCGGCAATTAGCTTATACCTTCCATATATATGATCAACGGCATCTGGTTCCGTATGACACGTGCGGCGACAACCTTTCTATCGGGCTCCCTCCTTATGAAGTCGCCTAGACCCGTCATTGGAAATCCCGGATTCTTCAACCCTTGGTACAGCGCCAAGTATGGTTATACGAGCGTGTTTAGGATACGCCAATCCTCATACTATCCATCAGCCGGCGGTGCAGGGACTGCAGGGTATGCTTGAGCAACCAAAGGTGACGGTCAGATGTATAAGTCATTCATTCCCTTTGTCAAGGGGGGAGAAGGAAGATACGAAAAAGCTGCAGGTGGGCTGTAACCTCTGGTGGCTATCATTCCTGTTAGTTTGTGAAGTCTGGGCCTATCGGTTCTGGAGACATAGCGCAACTCATCTGGTTTTATGAGAGGCGAGTATTGCTACCATTGACACACAGTGCAAGAGAGGCACCGTCGGCAGGAGTCCTATGTAGTATGGAGATATTGCACCAACGAGTAGACTACACTGCAGGTTCAACCCCTAACGCATGAGCAATGTGATGATGCACAAGAAATCCGTCACATTATCGGACTAACACGATGTGATACCCTCGAGACCTCAATAGATGAACAAGGACACAGCAGTAGACAAGTTATACATGTGCCCTCACAAAGGGACACATGATGGATTTCCTATTATTCATGGGTATAATACGCGACGTGAAGCTAGTTATTGGTATTGTCATAGCCGGTTTCCGGCATCAGCCATAATGTGGCTTCGGATATCTGAGCCCATTCATGTCAAGACACAATTTTCCATCATTCATTCCCTTCAACAATTATGCTCGGTCGGTGATTGTCATCCGCCACAGTAATCATATCAAGTCGTGACTGCATCCAACTAGGTATTCGACGTATACTAGGAAACTGCATTTAGTAGCCGCCGTAGCCACTGTTACCGCCGTAGCCCTGGTAGCCCTGGCTCTGGTAGTCACCCTGGTTGCCACCACGCTGGTAGCCACCACCACCGTAGCCACCACCACCACCGTAACCGCCACGGGATCCGCCGCCACCTCTAGCGTTGGCCAGGTTGACCTTAATGCGGCGACCATCAAGTCTAGATCGCATGATTCGATTAGACGACTCATGACCAAGACAACCGGGGTAATGAAAGGCTTACTCTTGATCGTTAAGCCCAGCAATGGCAGCCTCAGCTTCCGGTTCAGCGGAGAAGGTGACGAAGCCAAATCCTCTGCTGCGGCCGGTCTCGCGATCTCTCATGACGATCTAATGATTTTAACTTAGCGACAAGGGACTTCACCAACGAGCGAAACAGCAGATCAGAGTCAATAAATAGGATCGCGAAGGCCAGCTTACAGAGTCGTTAATCTGGCCAAACTCGGAGAAAGCCGAACGGAGAGTCTCATCAGTGGTGTTCCACGAAAGGTTTCTTTTAATTTGAATTCAATAAGTAAGACAACATTCCATATGTGATTGATTGATGAAGAGATTTTTTTTTTTTTTTTTTTTTTTCATAAATCTCTGTTCATGCAATTTTTTTTATTTTTCTGAATTCAAGAACTGACCCGACGTAAACTTTCGACATGGTGAAGGATTTCTGATTCAGTACTGAGAGTACTTTTTGTTTTGATTGTGGTTTGGGGGTGGAAAGAAAGAAAGAAGGAGAAGGAGAAGAAACTTGGTGGTAGCGGGGGAGGCAAAAACAGAATTTTATTTAGTAAAGTGGATAAGGGCGGTTAGTGTATTGGATTGGAGGGGTTGCCGATTATTTATACGGGCGAGCGAAGAGAACAGACGACACGTATCAACCCGTGATGAGATCATCCCAGGTCACGTTGGGCATTCTTGCAGGGTGAAAATATGCCCGCACATCCTGACTCAGCGGAGGGATTTATGTACATAATCTGACCGGGAGCACGTGCTGCGGTGCCTCAATGACAGAACACGTTCTCACAAAGAATCTCCTAACAGAAAATAACCACCTTCTAAATTACACTACTATGAAACGCTATATACGATGCATAGCCCCTACTGAGCCCTAGCATATTGTCGGTACGCCTGAATAATCGCTTCCCATCCGCCGGGATGGTTATACTCGATAGGATTCGATTCGTCGTCTAGGACCATGACGTCGGTCTTCCGGGTGCTGATTGAATACCACACGAGGTTGCTGGGAGAGTTTGTTACGCGCATCATGTTGGTTTGGCACGAGCCGTTGCACTGATGGCTATAAGTTCCATCCCAGGGCCCGTTGAAGAATGCCCATGCGGCGGAGTTATACAGAAGTATATCCGACCCACCGTCCACGTTGGTTGCAAGCGAGGTACGGCACTTCTGGTCCTCTTGGTCGCACCAAGCGAAGTCGGGGTCACCGAACTCGGACTCAGCTGCCCATGGCGCAGGAGCAGTCTGTATGGCTCCATCCCCTTGCATATATGGGGACTCCGACTGAAGTAGGCCCGCGTACACCTGCTGTGCGTTGTGGAGGTTGTAGTTATACAACCAATTATGTTCAGACCCGGTACCCGTAAGCCAGGTTCCCTGGGTGGCCTCGACCAGAATACCACGGCCCGTGGAGATGATCGTGATGGGCCCACCGTCAAGGTTATGATCAGCCGTCCAGCCCCAGAAATTCTCAATATACGCGGACGACGTCTTCGTCAGATGGAGGACCATGAATGCCGCCATACACTGAGAGGTATCCTGGTTGGTACAGCTGTTGGCAATAGTGGTCTCCGCAGTACCTCCTACAGTGGCCATCGTGTTCCATAATGCCACACCGCCGGGTGCACTGCCTGCCATGTTAATCTCGAGAATCTTCGCGCCCGGAAGAATCTCGGCCACACTGAATCTCATGTTTTGAATTTCAGCCACACCCACGTCCCCCTCTTGTCCAATCTGCACAACCGCCTTGGGATTGTCCGCGTTTTTGAACGCATCTCCCGCACCGGTAATCACCGCCCAGGCCTCGCCTACGATACGAGAGCCTGGGGGAATGAAAAGTGTATCCTTGATGAGATATACGCCGTATGGAAAGTAGGTAATCTTACAGTTTGCTGCATTGTTCGCCAAAATAGCGTTCAGGAACGCACTATCATCGGTGGAACCGTCTCCCTTGACAGGGTAGCCGTCAACAGCCTTCACATTGACGATCTGATCACTGCTGTATTCGGCGTAGGTTGGTTGCGCCCGTGTGAAGTACTTGTTATTCGCAAGCAGTACGTCCGGGCGTGAGGTACTAAAGCTGGTTCCACTCTCGTACTGGCCGGGGGTAACATTTCCCCAGACCCAGGTGTCGACATGCGAGACAGCGCCCATTTTGACATTGCCTTTGCTGTCAACAGCGATGGCATTGCTGTTATCGTGCGACAGGTTCTGGATCAGGATTTGACTGTTGCGGTTTCCACTGTCATTAGATGAGTCATGGAATCTAACGACCGGTCCAGAGTTGATAGAAGATGAGTCGAGCAGCACAAGACTACCCAGACTGTTGCTAGCCATATTGATGCCGGTGCCACAGGTGTCAAATGTTGCTCCTTGTAGTAGAACCGTGTGGCCACCCGCTGCTTCGAATGCCGTCGTGCAGTATTTAAATGAGATGTTCTTGAAGTTGACTTGTTGGTTAGAGTTCTTGATACCCACAGCACCGCCGGTGATTTGCTACTTGGGTCAGTATTGGTCCGACCAAGGCTCAAATCTGCAAACATACCACATCGGTGACGGCAATTGTCGAACCCGCCTTGATGTATATGCCGGTGTGGCCCGTGGAGCTGGTCGGCATGTCAATCTGGACGTTGGTCAAGCCGGAGCCCTGCGCTACACCCCACTGCAGCGCCGTGATCTTGGTGTCAGCACTGAGAGCCGTGGTGTCCAGCACCACATTTCTCATCAGGGTCATGAAGCTGGTTTCCGGGTTTCCATTGCCCGAATCATACCCCATGATCAAGGTATCCCCATCAAAGTTCGACGCTGCCTTCAGCACGGGAGGATTCAGCGGGTCTCCGGTAACAATGGTGCCCACGCGTAGTTCGAGTGTACTACCCAATTGATAGGTTCCCCCGGGGAGGAAGACCTCTGCAGGATAACGAGTGACCCCGCTGCTTTTCCGACTGCCCCCTGAACCGTTATCGTTGATGGCGCGTTGTAAACTCGATGTCTGGTTACCAGACCCATCATTGCTGGCACCGTAATCCAGGACATTGCGCCACACCGGATAATTCGTATTGTTCACATTGGGGGCATAACCACGAGCATTTCCGCTGTGATCTTGATCAGCGAGCCAGTAGCGTGTAGGAGAGCTTTTAATCGGGCCTGTGCACGACCCGCTGGCTGCGACAATTATACTGTCACTGCTACTTTGAATTTCCGCGGATGTCACCGCAGTCGATGTTAACTGAGACACTTGGTCAATGGACGAAGAAATTGCTGCGAGCGTTGAAGGAATGACGGCAGCGGAAGAGAAGGCGACTGTGCTGGCCAGCCCGAAGAGGGGGAGGAAGTCGCGCATGCTCGGAAACGAATGACTACTTTGGCTACAAATCAGACAAGAAAAAGAAAAAGAAAAAGGAACGGACGGGTGTAGTATCCCGACGTGCGAATATTGGCCTACAGCTGAGACGTGCCATGGCGCCTCCTATATATGTATGACCCGCCGCAGCTGGGCTGTCACAATATCAGCCATCAACATTCGACAAACCAGACGAGCGGGGGGCCATTTGGATGCAAGGTCTAGACTGATGGCAATTGCGCTTGGGCTTGAGGCACTTCTAAACATTCCAGAGTACCGCTAGTCTATTCGCCATACAAGGAAGGAAGTGGATCAGCTTGGGGCTGCAAGTCTGGGATATCTTCTGTGGTGTCTGAATCGTGATAAACTCACATGGCTGCAGAAAGTGGTCCTGTAAGTAGCAAGTGGGCATCTCGAGAGTAAAAGATCGTCACTTCTAATTTCCTTTTCTTGCAAGGGATTTCGCTAGTTTTCCCAATAGGATCTGGTGAGATGCAGGATCAACTTTAGGGCTCACTCTACGGGCCAATAAGGACCGTCCCGCACCCACGCGATGTTTGAATTATTGATCACCCCTTTTTTTCATTCATAATATTAGGGCATGATCAGACTAAGAACAGTTAGCTGCCCTGAGTACAGAGTACTTACTCTGTACCGAATGTCATCCGGCAAATACCCTTTTGGGAAACTGGTGTTCACTGCCCAGAGATGTATGTACTTGGACCATGTTCTTCCGAAGGTCTGCTTCATTTTCTTGCGCCGGACCTGACTTTAATCTCGGAAGAGATAAGAAATTCACGGAGCGCGAAAGCTTGATGCGGTTGAAACGATTCTCCTTTCGGTCGTTTTATATTTAATCTTATTCTAATTTTCCTTTTATTTTTTTTTTTATGTTTTTCTTGTGCCTGGCAGCGAATCGTACTTGACGATACTACAGAGTACAGTGGCTCTGTCAAGGGCAAAACTAATCTGGCGTATTATATATCTTGTCCAATGTGCCGTGTGCGCTACGGATCTCTAGCACAAAACCTCCAATGCTGAACAAAAAGGATTGTTGTTTTAGAAGCGTGGGCATACCACACTCTCTCTATATCATATAACAACCCCGCAAACCTCCCTTGCAAAAGCATCGGAAGCGTACGACGGTTACTTACACGACTTATCCTGGAACATCCTATAGCGCCCTCGTTTTGGTTTAAAAAGGCTCTTTAACCCGCGATTGACCAGCTGGCCTTAGCAAAAATGTCCCTTACGGCTTGAAGATCACGACCATGGGCCACGTGGAGGCAACTCTTATCGTCTCTTGATTACGTCCTATCTGGACATAACATAGCACTTCCATCTTTGCTATTCTATAATATTTACCTTGGAGGCCGTGATATCCTCACCATGCATACATACAACCGCTCAAACCTTACCTACGGTCCTACCTTGCTAGCTTCATGTTCCAGATAATGCCAGCCTGAAATTAGTTAAACATACGCGATACTATGGTCATGTTTATGGATGCCATTAACACCAAGGAGGGGAAGGAGGAACACAGCACGAAAACAACCGCCCGCACGCTGTACTTGCATAATTCATGCATATAAGATCTCAGCTCTATCCCCGCGTGGGTCTACACAACAATCGGCCGCAGTTTCTACTTCAAGAATAGTAAGTTTCAGAAACAATGATCCTCCCCATATCGTAGCCAATATACACAACAAGTTTTACTCGACGATGTAACCGTAATCTGCACTACCGTGAGATTGCTCACCCTCAATTGCCGAAGTAGGACAATGATCGACATGCGCCGCCCGATAGTATTGTAAACAACCCTTGCATGCCTTCTATCATAACCGGCCAAGTTCCAGGCCCGATTCTGTCCAAGGGGGGTCCAAAAATGCAGGCAGATCGGATCGTGCAGCGCCCTATATCTATGTCATTCTCTCTGTTATTTCATCTGCCATCCTGTAAATATTGCCCAGCAACGTTAATCCGGCCCAAATGAAGCTTCAGTCGTTAGTCGCGCTTTGGGGCATTGCCCCTCTAGCCCTAGCCTGGCTTCCCACCGACCAAGGCCGGAGTCTCTCAACCTTCACCAATACCCAGACGACAAAGATTCGTGGCGTCAATCTGGGATCCCATTTCATCATGGAGAAATGGATGGCCAGTACCGAATGGTCCAGTTTGGGTTGCGGGGACTATAAAAGTGAGTGGGATTGCGTGAAAGGGATCGGACAGGATGCGGCCAATACAGCTTTCAAGAAGCATTGGCAGACGTGGATCACTACGGATGATATCACTCGGATGGTATCATACGGTCTCAACACAATCCGCGTATGTGATAGGTTCATGATAATACAATCCTCAGTATCTGACAACAACCTACAGATCCCAGTCGGCTTCTGGATGCACGAAGAGCTAATCAATGACAACGAGTACTACCCACGCAACAATGCGATGGAGGATCTGACCAATGTCTGCCAATGGGCGTCCGACGCTGATATGTATATCATTATTGATCTCCACGGGCTGCCGGGAGCTCAGGAGCCTAACCAGCCTTTTACCGGTCGGGTAGGGTTGCCACACATATTTATTTCCATGTAGTCATTTCAGTTGACCTTCCCTTGACTTGTAGTATGTGGACCCGCCGCAATTCTACCAAAGCGACGAAAATGCCGAACGAGCATACAAATTCTACGAATGGATACTCGAGCAAATCCACGCCAATCGCTCCGCATTCAAGAATGTCGGGGCCCTGGAACTCGTCAACGAGCCTCTCCAGAACACGGAGAACGATGACACAAACTGGATGGTCGAGCATTTCTATCCGACCGCTATTGATCGCATACGCGCGAAAGAAGCAGACCTGAGTGTTTCGGATGCGGATGCTTTGCATGTTACTGTCATGGTATGTCTTTTTCTTATTATACTATTCCATGGGGAAGTTAACGAAGTATATAGGACGACAAATGGGACTCAGGTGGTAATCCCACTCGCTCTCTTAACGACACTCAAAAGAAGAATCTCCTGTTCGACGATCACAATTATGAGATTTATCTGGTTCGCAACGCCGAGACAATAGACGATATGATTACGGATGCATGCGGTGATAACCGCACCTCCATCGTTAGTCCTAAGATTGTCGGCGAGTGGAGTTTGGCGTTTGATAATACAGGCGATAATTTCCTGCCCATGACCGGGGACCATGCAAAGTCGTACGCGAAGTGGTTCTCAGCACAGCAGAGACGGTATGAGGCGCTTGATGGGTGGGTCTTTTGGTCGTGGAAGACTGACGACTTGCCCAATGTTGAGCAGTGGAATTATCAGAGTACGCTTATATCTTGTCATCCATGGACCGTGGAAGTGCTAACTGGAATTATCACAGAGGCTGTTGACGCCGGTATCATTAACAAGGATTTGAATGTGCAGTATGATCAGAATCCATGCTAGCTCTGGACAGCCCTGGTGCAATATGCATGAATATCACCGGGCGAGCCATTTACTCTAGGTGACATTCAATGTAGGTATTGGGATGTAGCTATCGTGAAGTGTGCGTTCGTTATATTTCCCAAACGCGTCATGTGAACAAAGGGCTTATACGGAATGAATCATGAAGGTTTAATTGTAGAGCGAACTCTAGGAATATGACGACTTCAAACAAAACAGCATGGCATGAAAGAGCAAGCGGAGTATCAAATCTTCTACCCTCGTAGTCAATCAGTCTTGTCCTTAGCAAACCGCCCAGTAAAAGCCCGAATGCGCTTCCCCCAAATAAATATCGGGACGCCCACCAGACCGAGAAAGCCCGTGAGAGCGGCAAACGTATTAAAGGTGCCATCGTAACCATGCAGCTCAACAAAAGGAGCGGTACCATAGCTTGTTCCGAAGGAAATAATACCTCTGAAAGCACAGACAATCACCAAAACTGGGCCCGCACGCGCAGGGTAGCTATCCAGCAGGTACGTGATGGTAACAATATTGACACCAACGAAGCAGAAATAATAAGCTGCTACAGCCCAAGCGTAGACAAACCAGTGGTAGTCATATGGATGGGCTGCCCCTTCACCGTATAAAGAGCTTGTAAATGTGCCCACCGCGGCTGGCAAGATGAGTGGAATCAGACGAGTCTCAGGCTCGTGAAGACCGTTATTGCGCTTTGCGCGGAATTTCACTAGCCAGTCCGAGCCATGACCTAGTAAAGGGAGGGCGACAATGGCGACCAAGATCTGCCCACAGTTGATGTAGCTAGCACTGCTATTGGGCCAGTTGTAGGGCGCACCGGAGAGGATGGTGCTGTATGTCGTGCCGATGGCAACGTTGACACCAATTACTAGGCCGTTGAGGAGGAGCGCCCAAAGGACGTTCGGGAAAAGGAGAAGTTCTGCAGTTTGCTGTGTACAATATCAAGGTTACTACGTCCTAGAGGTGATCGCGTGGAGGATGATACACATACCCTGAGCACTTCCCATACTTTGAACCACTCCGGCTTGCCGATCCACAGGCGTAAGTCAGACTTAAATGTCCGCGGAGTGTAGTTGACAAAATCTAGCTCTGGGCGCTCCGTGCAAGGTGCGGTCTCTGGATGATTCGGCTTGCCGTCGTTAAAGCCCTCCGTGAGCATCTCATCGCCTGACGAGGACTCTTCCTGATACGCTGACAAAGATCGCTCGTATTTGGTTTCGGGCAATAGAAAGAATGTAAGGACACATAGAGCGCCGGCTAATACGGCACCAAGACCATACCACCATTGGGGGGTGATGGCCTCCGCAATAGGGCTGGCGAACAGGACCCACACGGTAGTAAGAGAGACCTGAATGGCCTGTTGACCCATGAGAGCCTTACTTCGTTCGTGGAGAAAGAATATCTCCTATGCATGTCCAAAACAGGATTAGAGAATGATGTTCCTTACAAAAACATGTGGAATAGTGAAATGGGTGCATCACTCACCTGTGAAATCATCGGGACGATCGACTCACTTTGACCGGCAGCTAGGCCAACCAGGATTCTTGCGCCAAAGTGCCACTCATAGGTCTTTGCAGTTGCACATAAAATAGCTCCGACCGCAAGAATCGCAGTAGAGACTAGCATCACAACACGGCGCCCAACACCAATAGCCAGAGGCATCCCAATCAAATTCCCGATACCCCTGGATAGCAGACACGTTAGACATCCATCAGCAAGAAGAGATCCAGATGTATACTTGAATGACAAGGTGCTTCATACATGAAAAGTGTTGGGTAGGTCATCAAGTACGTGATTCCATTATATGATACCCCCTCGGCCTCATATTTAGGAATGTAGAAGCCTAGCAAGCCGCCGAATCCCGACACAAGAGAAAGACCGAGACATGAGACTGATTTGACATTAGTAGGTAGACATTTATGTTCAATGGAAGTAGGCAGCCTACATATTGATATAACGACGAGGATGGTAATCTTGCGAAGCATGGAAAGATTCAATGGGTCTAAGAAATTGAGCTAGTCAGACAGTGCTATAGATCACAAAGATTCAGACGACTCACCCTGAGGATCGGCTGTCGGAGTCGGAATGTAAACGATACTGCCTTCGGTCAATTTCACCGTGCCCATCACCTTGGTAGCCTGGTGTGTCTTCATTTTGCCAGCGCTAACTGCCTCAATGTCCTCCACATGGCCAACAGAGCTTTTATCTTTCTGAGACATGGTGACTCCAAGATGTCCTAAAGGACTCTCTAGTCTAGCGTCAATCGCCCAGGTATAACAGAAAATGAAGGAAGGGGGGTTTAAAGGGTGAGGGTGAAGGGGAAATGCAACAGCCCCGGATTCTGTAGTGGAGAGTTCACTATGTGTGAACAGTGCTCAATGTTTATATGCAAACAGCAATAATTGCCATGCATACAAAGGTGAAATAAGGTTGACGAATTCCTGCCACGACGACAAGCAGCTACCCCGGGCCCCCCACACTTTCCGGGGGTTTAATCCTGGGGACCCTGCCGAAGCTGGCTTGGAAATGTTCGGCCACTAGAGTTGCCCCCTCGCTGTGCTCCGAGGGAGGCAAATGCTATTTGATACGAAGCCCTCCGAGGTTGTCGATCGCTCTAGACTCTCTCTCTTGTCCTCTCTGACATCTTCTCTTCCGTACCGAAACGCGTATTGTCCATTATTCAATTAGGTGCTTGAAGCTATTCATTTCAGATATCTCGATCGTGCGTTTAAGAATGAGAAAGCTTTCGTACAACCATGCCGCTATCGTCGAGTGGAATTGAGTTTATTAGGGTATATAATATTGCATTATGGAAGCAACAATAAACTATGCGATCTCCAACGTAGAGAAGGTATTCATGGTAAACCGTAACATTGTAACTAACAATTCTCAAACACTAGTACATAAAATATCAATTACATTCAGTACGGCTTGACTCCCGCCAGTTTGAGCACCGTGTCGGTCAACACGGGCTTCTCGAATGGCTCACTTCGGTCCTTCGGGCACACCTTCCCATCTCTCATGGGTTTTTCTGCGGCAGGGCGAATGTTGCTATAGTTTCAATCTCTTAGCTATCCATCATGTCGTGCAATATCGGAGGGAACTCACCAATGGGGCCAGTGGGTAGTGCCCATATAGTTCTCGAAGCAGGTCTTCTTCAACTCCAGTGCCTTCTCGGTGGCAAAACGTCTAGGAGTCATGCAAATGTACTGGGCGTGACGGATCTGATCGGCCTCAGGGAAGCAAGCATAGTGGAGCGACCGGGAATCCCAGAGAACAAAGTCACCAGGTCCCAGGTTAACTTTGATGAGCTCGCACCCCCGTTCCTGAAACCACTTAACATCCTTCTCATGGAAAAGGAAGAGGTCCATGTATTTCAGCTCCGGGGGTGGGGCATCTTCATGGTCATACTGCTCTCGCTTCTGAGCAAAGAACTCATCGAAGAGCTTGGCAGATCCCTTCATCAGCATCAAACCACCATCCTTGGGGCCATTGGGGGCAAAGTTAATAAGGCCTTGGACGGCTTGCATTCTGAAAGACGATTAGCATACGCACAACTTGAAGAGCGGGTAAGATACGAACCCCTTCCGATTCGGGTTCTGATCACAGTGCGGCCATGGGCTCCAGTTGAGATCCTTTCGGCGGGGGAGGGAGATATTGATGCCATCAAAAGAGCAAAGCAACTCCTTCGTTTCCCATAGCTTTTCGAAGATTTCAATGATAGCCGGCTCGGTACGTGCTTCCCAGACACTCTTCTCATGAGTGGAGCCGTAAGCAAAATACATTCTGGTAATGAACATGGTTGGTTAGTCCTTTCCCCGGGTCTGTCCGAGATCGTGGAATGCTTACCCGCCCTTGAAGCTCACTGGCAGATGCTCTCCGGTCCAGGTGCTCTCATCATTCTCATCAAAGCCAAGCTCGAAGTTCTTCAACCATTCAATCTGCTTATCGGCATAGTATTTGGCACGCTCCGGACTGATGACATTTTTCAGAACAACACAGCCATTGCGGTGAAATTCATCACGCCAATCACCGTATGTGCGGCCGCTGAAATCAACCAAGTCCTTGATGGTGAAGGACTGTTGGGTTGCTTCGGCGATTTCTTGAATCTCGGTAGTGGTCGACATGGTTCAAAGATTCTCTGTCAAGGTTCACAATATTTGGTATTCGATACTGCTCCGAGGACTGTGGTGCGTTTGCTGGTTCAATTTGACGGGGCATTTTGAGAACACTTAAGTAACTGAGCACTTAACCGGTCACCATGCTAGCAATCATTGAAGCGCTCCTTCGGCGCAGGGTGCGGGGACAAGCGCCGAGCACGTCGGGAGCAGTCTTGCTAATTCATGGCTCCTTTTCAGCCCTTGGATGTGGGTGATCTTGTTGGTCTCGGCCTGCTCCGAGACGCTCGGAGGCTAAATTAACCTTCGGCGGGTTTTGACGACGTGACCATTACTGACCCACTACCATATTCCACCGAACTTTACCCACAACTGTGTCTGTAGCGCCCGAATGGGTAGTGCATTGCTGATCGTGATCGATTGCTGGGGCAAGTATACGAACTATAGGTAGCGGTACGCGACCGGTACAATCAGAGCTATCCTATGAAGGGACGTTTCACAACAGGTAGACAAGGCCAGGTGTCATCTTGTTGCTCATGACAGCTGCAGTACTCCGTGATATGCCTTACTTACACCACGCGCTTCCTATTGCTATGAATTCTTTGATGTTCCTCTGCCAATGCTTTTGACTACGATTCTTCCCCTGTTCCTATAATCTTCTCCGTAGGGTCATTAGCTCTGTTGGGCTTGGTAAACTATATACATTCATATTATTCTATCTTGAACCCAAACGTAAAGCCCGATGTGACACATAAAAGCGCAAGTCCAGACTATGGCTCACGATTGAGAAACACCAATTGTCCTCGAAGGAATACTGCTGTTCCCTGACTGGCACGTGGTAGAAGGTGGAGGTGCTCTAACTGCGAGCGCCTAAACGTCTTGTTGATAGCTATTTCCTGTCCCCATAGTCAATGACAAATTAGCCCGTTGGCTTCGAAATCTGAACATGAACCGTGGACCTTTTACCTCCTGTTGTCGCTCGAGCTTGCCGTAGCTCCTTAGACTTAGTGTAGGGCAGATAGAATGGGCCGCATATCAAGACGGTTAGTGAGGTCTGAATAGCAAGTCTGGTGAGCGACGTGGATGGATACATGTTAAAGGGCGTGGAGAAGTGCAAATGATACTAGTCGTCATCCCTTGGCGAGCGACAGCGATCGTCGAGGGTTTATATTGAGGCTGTTCGTAGGCGATCCATAGGGAGAGAAAGCGTAGCAATGACCAAACCTAGCCTTGCCAAGAACTTCAAAGCGGCAGCAAGCACCAGACTGACACTCATAATTGTCTCTTGAAAAAGAAAATTTTGTCCACAAGAGATCGCACGCCTCTTGAGATGAAGCGCACCGATTGGACCCGAGCCATCTTCGGCAAATGTGGAGGACTCTGATCCGAGATCATTTGCCGCACCCAACGCTAGGGTTAATTCCTAGCGAGATCGGCATTCGAGCCATCTCCTCGCTTCATGACCATAGCTCCTAGCCAAGATCCTGCGACAGTTTCCCCCGCATTCATTCTAATCCCCCGCTTTTCTGGTGGGGATTCCAATCGTGAACCGGGGATTACCAAGACGTGCATTGTCGTTGCTCTTCTATATCGTCATATCGCGTATCCACGCGTGTGTGCGCAGCCATGGTCACACGGATTGCTTCTTCATGCCAATGCTAATGGTTGCTACTGCCTAGTCAGTATCAAAAGTAGGCCACCAATATGCCTTGTACATTCATTGTCACCTCTAGGATACGACGCAGAGATTCATGATGGACCGACCTCCCGCGGCCAAGCGGCCTCGGTTGTCCATGGCTTGTAACATTTGTCGGCAGCGAAAAGTAAAATGCGATGCTGAATATCCAAAATGTCGCAATTGCCGAACACGTAACCAGATTTGCGTCACGACTGATCCCCAACGCCCTGGAGTGCCAGGAGTAAGAGAATGGCTTGAGATACCTGAGAAGATCAATGGGAACGGAGTTACGCAATGTGACGGATTACACAAAGACACAGCCTGTCGCCAAAATGATCAAAACTCGCCGCCGAATACGTCGCCTCAGCAGCAACCTCAGTCGCAAGAGGGTCAACAGCCCTCTCCGTCTGTCGAGGACAACCCGGCAGATGAAAAGCTCAACGAGCTTTCTCCCGTTCATCAGCCGTTCGATACATCCCTCAATGTGGAGCGAGGAACGAATCGGATGAAAGTTCTGGGTGGCAGCAGCTCGCAATGCCTCGCGAAATCCTTAGACGTTTATTTTGAAGCTGCGCGCTTAAGGCCCGTGTCCGCTTCTTTTAGTCACGGCATGAGGCATGCAGAGGAGCTGGATATGCCCTTGACGCTATCTCTACCACCCTTGCCTGCTCGAGATTGTCGCGATCGATATGCCTCTATATACCTCACCCGAATCCACCCTGCCTATCCTATCTTCTCGCCTCACGCGTTTCGCGAAAGTATGGAGCAGCTCACCACAGTCGCCGATGACAGGCGCCTTCCACGGGACAATGTTCCGGTACTCGTGCTTGTATATCTTGTCATAGGGTTGGGGTCGGATGAAGAGGCCCAAAGTGTGACAGAAGCGGGCGAGAAATATCTTCAAGCTGCGGCTGGGCTCGTATCGCATCTCGTCGCAATACCATATCTGCCCACGGTGCAGGCCCTGCTCCTTCTGACGCTGATGTATCGAGGTCGCAATCAGGAGGGCCTGGCGTGGCAAACCCTGGGTATGGCGATCCGCATCGCATACACTCTGGGAATCCACCGACCCCAGACAGGACCCACGCCGCCCACATCTCAGAACTCACACGATGAAAGACACCTTCCCACTCAGATATGGGCCGTTTGCTGCTGCTTAGAGAGAATGATGCAACTGGCGTGCGGTCGCCCTTCCTCCATTGATACCGAACACGTCAATCCCGTCGGCAGTTTGACTTGTCACTCACCTTACCTGCAGTGGAATCTGGGGTTAGCTGAATACCAGGGAAGTATCAGTCAGCATATCTACAACTACCATCCTGGCTCGAGAAATGTGCGACAGATACTCCTCGATACTGCCCGACTGGACCGGCTGCTACTCTCATGGGCCAATGTCATTCCCCCGGAACTGCGGCCAGGAAACGATATTTTCTGTCCTGAAGAAGAGTACCACATGGCTGCATATTTATCTATCCAATTCCACGAAACTCTTATTGCTCTGCATCGTGCGGCGCTAATAGCCCCGACAGCGAACTTTGACGCCGAAATAGAGAAACACTGCTCCGATGAACCATCAAAATTCAGATTGCGCAATGGAGAATCAATTTGTGTCAACAGTGCCCGTTCAATCGCTAAGCTGAGCATCGAGCTCTCCGAGAGAGGGACGGCTTCGCGCTTGATTCCCGTCGGGTCGTCCTTATTAGCATGTATTGTCCTCGCTATTTATCTGATGAAGAACCCGAAGTCGCGTCTCCAGACGATGGACCTTGAGGTGAGAAGGGTTAGTATGCTATCCACGGGAGTTCCTGCTAACGATGGCTAGCTCCTAAAACTATGTCTCGAGAACTGCAGTCAGCAGCTCGCCCGCTGTAATTCGGACCCCCGATTCATGGAGGGTATGCTCTCAGCCTGATGATATTTCTCCACTCACTAAAAGTACGCTAACCTCATCCCATGAATAGGTCTAGTGGCCATGTACGACCAGATAGTGACCCACCAACGTGTTTCCTCAACGTCTATAGAAAGAAGGCACGCATTAGCCACAACACATCAATCAGATCAACCTCCACAGAAAGCCTCGATATGGCCACTACAGAATAATACTCTAACGCATACCTCGAATATCGCTATACCCCAGGACGCCTCAAACTATCCAATACCCAATAACTTCCTAACTCCTGCAACGTACGACGATAGTGCTCCGCCAATTAACACCGTGGGACATGTATCATGTAGTGAAGAAGCTCAAATCGTTTCACGTCCACCCGATAATACTCAGAGAGGCCCTCTATTTGATTATTTGCCGGCAACGGGCAAGGATCACCCTCACCATCAGCAGGGCGATCCAACCCTTCATGATACTGGCTCTTTGATCGACCAACTGGCCTCTTCTGGGGATGGCTCGAATGAGGTAGACCGATTATTTCCTTTTGAGGGATATAATGTAGAGGATTTGTGGAATTGGATGCTGTACTTCGACGGACCCCAGCCTGCATAGACCTATATATTACACTAAGATGTTATGTATAAACACTTCTCAATTTTTAGATTTCATCATAATGTTCAGATTATCAATCTTCATGCCGTAGTATACGTCAATCGAGGCACGTAGTCCACAATCTCGAGGAGAAGATTCAAGAAGCATGTCCTCAGCGGTTCGCCTAAGTGATACGGACGAAATCACGAGTAATACTGATGGTATTTTCCATGAACATCGTATCAACTACCATTGAAACCGCAAACTGTCCAGCGGGCTACCCAGAGTTATGTAGCGCTGTGCTTCATAAACAGTAGCTTTTCTCAAGACCAACCCTTAATAATCTTAAGCGTCCTCGATTGGAATGCAAGCAGTTTCTCCGTTAAAAATATATCAACGGGTCACCGGATACGCGAAAGAAATACAATTCCACAACCAAATATACATTCGATCAAAGCAGAGTGAGCGACAAAACTATGTACTAGAACTCCCCTACCACGCTCACTCGCGAAGTAGTACTTGGACTCCTCCACTAATTTATGCCTCTTGCTTGATATACGGAATACCCGTAAGCCGGAACGCACGCTCACCAAGCACAGGATCCTCAATGGGCACCTCACGAGCCTTAGGACAAGGAGCACCATCACGCATGGCAATATTAGTTGGAGCGACGTGCTGGGCATTCGGCCAATGCGTAGTGCCGAGACGTTCTAAATACAAGATTAGCGCCACTGCACTCTGACGAGGTTGAAATATAGGGTCGAACATACTTTCAAATGCCTCTTTCTTCTTAATCAAATCCGCCTGCGAGGCTTCGGCAACTGGCATGTAGCAAGTATAGACTGCCAGGCGATCATTCTTGCCGGCGGGTGGAACATTGTAATGTGGGGTTCGGCTGTCCCAGACGATCAAGTCGCCTGGCTCAACGCAGACCTTTTCCCATTCCAATCCGTGATCTTTCAGCCATTTCATGCCGTTCTCAGTGAACCCGAACCACTCTTTAGTCCAGGCGGGGATACGTGGCTCATCGGCCATCTCGCGGTGGAATTGTTCGGAGAACTTGTGTCCACCTTTGCACACGATGAGACCTCCATCGTCGGGTCCACCGGGGTTGAGGTTCACTAAACCTTGAAGGCCTGAGCGATGGGTGGAAGGTTAGTAAGATGTGGAATGATCAGGTACGGTGGTTAATGAGATACGTACAGCGGAAGCCTGGGGATTCAGGGTCTTGGTCCTGGTGTGGCCAAGGTTTGCTGGAGATTGTCAGCATTTATGTCTTCCGGGTGTCATATTTGCTTACTTTTCGGGGAAGTCGCCACGTCTGTAAAAGAGTAGCACGTTAGTTCTAGAACTTGAAAGCTTCAACGAAGGTGTTGACCAGCTTGGAACTTACCCTGGGAACTGAACATTGACCACATCAAACGACACAATCAAGTCCGAATCGTCATATACCTTCTCAAAAGCCTCCACTACACCAGGCTCTGCCCGGATATCCCATACCCATTGCTCATGGGTAACACCATAGCTGAGAATCATACCTTTCTCGTTGATCACAGGGAGCGTAGCCCGTTTCACCGTGGAGGGGTCATCGCGCTTGTAACCCAAGTCACTGCGAAGTATTAGCATACGGAAACACGGGATGAAAGGGAGTTCCCGACGGGGGAACCATACAAGCCTTCAAGATAACCATAGAATGAATCTGCATATTTCTTGGCTCGTTCTAAGGGAATAGCGCCCTTAATCACGGCGTAGCCGTCTCTGTTTAGAGCATCGCGGAAGTCACCGTAGTTGGTTGGCTTTCCGTCAAGGGCCATTCGGCCCTTGGGCTGATTGAGGGTGACTGTCTCTTGTACAGTGGTTGTTGTAGACATTGTGTCTATTGTTTGCAGTAGTAGTCACAAATGGATGTTGTAGTTCTGGTAGGTAACTCGGTCATCGACAAGAGACTAGTGATGCTTATCACAATCGCTGCATTGCAGAGCCTTTTCTATCTAACCTAGGCGGCACTTGAGTGTGTGTAGCTAGGTGCATCTCGGCGCAAAAGGTGCGTTCCGAACACCTTCCGAGCCTTGCAAGGACCAACCTCATGATCATCTATTTCTTTTCCTGGCAACATTCTCGGGGCAGACCCAGTGTGGGCGGCCGACTCTAGCCCTTCGGGGTCCACCGAGCCCTCGCCGAGGGATGATCCCCCACGCAATAGATGATTACGCTCCATAGGGTCAATCAGAGCACAATCAGCTAGCATAAAGATTGACGCTTAGTCTTTCTACGTCGGGGGAGCCTCTATACTGTACGATATTTGTTAAAGTCATTAGCAGAAAGATGAGTCCATTCAAGATAATCATCGTCGGCGGAGGAATAGCCGGTCTATCTGCCGTAGGTTCCTTTTTGCTTACTAGGCAAGAACACTAGCATGTTAACAGGTTCTCTAGGCAATCGCGCTACGAGGGGACAAACGTGATATACTCGTCCTGGAACAATCCTCCATAAGCCAAGAAATCGGGGCATTAATCTCACTCCAACCTAACGCTTCCAAAATCGTCGAAGACCAATGGGGACTTGGCTCACGTCTCCGTGAGCAGGGCTCTATGATTGATGAAGCCTTTGAAGTCTACAATACCAAGGGAGAACTTCAATCACGGATTCCCCTCTCGGCCGTGTCATCCAAGTACGGCGCCGATAGAGTGTGCTACCATCGGGCCGATCTGCACCAGGCCTTGAGGGAAAGGGCAACATCGCCTGACTACCCTGGCCGGCCGGTGGAACTGCGGCTTTCGAGTAGGGTCCTAGATTGTGATTATGAGAGCGGTACTGTTCAGCTTGAGAATGGTGAGACTATTCAAGGAGAACTCGTCATCGGTGCGGATGGCATCAAAAGTAAGCTTCGCCAGGCCGTGCTTGGTGAGGATGTGGAGGCTCGTCCAACCGGTCTATCGGCGTATCGGATGATGGTTCCGACCGATGATCTTCTCAAAGAAACGGATTTCATGCAGGTCCTTGATCCTCGGATATGTCGTACCGCCATGGTCGTAGGCCAAGACCGCCGGCTCGTTATGGGCCCTGCAAGAAATGGCTCTGTCTATGGTGTGGTCGCTCTCGTCCCTGACGAGAGAATGAACGAACCTTCCAAGGACACGAGCTGGACGACAAAAGGTGACCGTGAGAAGATGCTGAATACATTTTCTAATTTTCCTAAATGGGCTCAAAGGCCCCTTCTATCTGCCAAAGAGGTTGGCCTGTGGCAGCTGCGTGACCTTGACCCTTTGTCCACCTGGTGCCGTGGTCGTGTGCTGTTGATAGGCGACGCTGCACATGCGATGCTCCCTACTCAGGGACAGGGGGCAGGTCAGGCTGTTGAAGATGCTGAAGCTCTTGGGGCATTTTATAAGGACTTTGAAATGCTTCATCCCGATAGGTCTCTGAGCGATCTGCAAAAGACCAACGAGGACATCTTTAACTGTCGGTATGAGAGAGCTACCACCATACAGATGTATAGCCGACAAGCAGCAAAGCCGGGCACAGATCCTACTGAGAAAAGAGTAACAATGAATCCAGCTGAGTTCATGGATTATAATTGTCTTTACAATGGTGCAATGGATTGGAATCGTCGACGAGAGGGGCAGGGTTCAGCAGCAGCAGTATCTGCCTGATCGTATCTCTAATTAATACAAGTTAATGCTCAGAATAATACAACTTCTATTTTAGCTCCATTTCGCAACGTACCTTGAGAAATCCTATTTCCTTTCCGCTTGGGACTGTCTCTTGCCCCCCCCCCCCCCCCCCCCCCCCCCCCCCCCCCCCCCCCCCCCCCCCCCCCCCACCCCCCCACCCCCCCCCCCCCCCCCCCCCCCCCCCCCCCCCCCCCCCCCCCCCCCCCCCCCCCCCCCCCCCCCGTCTTTTTCTGTTTTAGCACCGAGCATCGAAGCTTGGAGAGACATTCCGTTCTTATCTTCGTTAGTTGGGCCTGCTTACGTTGCTTATACTGCTTCAAATATGCTATCTACTGCTAGAAAATATCACTCTGACTCTAGAGATACCTGCATGTGTACAAATGTTCTATTGGTGCTGATAAGGATATAATAGAAAACATGAAACTACAGCTCATCAAAAGCAGCCATTCGCAAAATACAGAAGGCTTCATTCCACCATATACCAAATAGGAACCACAGGTCATGTGCCTTAGATATAGAAGTGACATACATGGACTTAATTCATCTCTCGCCAAGCTCAGATAAATGGAAGGATAACGCAGCTGGGATACTCTCCACCAAAATGAACAGTATGTTTCCCTTTATTGAGCTCATACGCCGGACGGGGCTTAGAAAAGGACGTAATATCCTTTGCAATGCTAGGATACTGGCCGCCAACCTAGGTCAAATATGTCAGTACACGAAGACCAAGAGAAACAAGACCAGAGGGGCGACATTCGACTAACCTGTAAGCTAATAGACTCTCCAGCATCAAAGTCCACACCCATTGCCCAGATACCGATCTCGAGCTTCGTGACTGTTCCTGGTTCTATCCGCTCCTGTTTCGAATGCGGGTGGAAGGGGAATTGCAGGTGTATACTTTTACTGGAGTCAATCGCACGATGAGAGGCACGGAGGATTCCAACAGATCCTAGGTGTAGATTCAGACTCGCTTGATCCTTGTCAGGGATTTCGTCAATCGATTTAACAGGCGTAGCGTGGAACGGGAAGTTGAGGTGCTTCAATTCTTTCCCATTCTTATCTTTCTTGCGTAGAATGACGAACACAGTAAAGTCGTCCTGCTCCTCGGCGGACACGTATAAGATTGCCTTTGGCAAACCAATTAGGCGTGAAGGTTTCTCGAACGTATAGTTAAATTCGGCAATGCTGGTCCGGCTCTCGGAATCATATGAAACAGTGGAATAATCTGTGGTGGCTGTGCCCAGAAGCTGTTGGTTACCCCCTAGGTATAAGCTCCTGTAGTCTGTTGACGGAACAGGGAAATCCTCTAGAACGATGTTGTCGATAGCTTCACGGTCGCCGAATTGCAAAGCAGACCAACGGACTTTGGGAGTCTTTTCCCAATCATTCTCGATGCCTTTCAGGTAACGGTCAAAGAAAACTGTGAGTTCTTCCATTGACTCAGGCTCACTGTACAGCTCATACCACTCCTGTTTGCTTCCCCAGTGGATCCACTTCTTGTCGTGTGGGATTTCGAGATAGCCACGAACGGAACCCATGGTATGAATTGAGCTGACATCTGAACCACGAATATAGGCTGGACACTGGATCTTCGTCATATCCACCCGCTTATCGGCCCAAAAGGCATTGGAGACAGGGGACCGGCGATACATTTCCTCGTAGTCCTCCAAGCCCGAATTCTCCGGTCCTCGAACGATCTTCTGCGCAATGAGATCGAAGTTGCTCATGAAGAACCACCCCCCACGGCAGAACTGCTCACGATAAAGATCACCCAGACCTTCCCAAGGAGCAATCGCCTTCAATGACGGGGGCTGCTGGGCCGCGATAAACCACTGCGCAATCGCCAGTGCAGAGTTACCGGCCATACCGATAGATCCATTACACCAATCCATAGCAGCGATCGCCTCGACTATATCATAGCCATCCTCCGCATCCTGACTGCCCATGACACAGATCTGCCCATCACTATTTCCAGCGCCACGTGTGTCCACACTCACAATCGCGTAACCCTTCGGGCACCATGTTTGGGGGTCCAGTCCCTCGAACTTTTCCAAGCCACTGAGATCGGAGCGTGGAACACAGCAATTCCACACGCACATTGGTAACATATCCAAGGCACTGTATTTCTTGCCATAGAATGACCAACTCAATACTGCGGGTACCTTCTCAGTTGTGTCTGCCGGGCGATATATATCAACGTAAAGTCGAGCGCCGTCGCGGACCACGATTTCAACGTCATGTTCGACCCGAATGTCACTTATCAATGGTTTCGCGTTGAAGCCATTCCAGCCTTTGGGAAGGACTTCGGTCTTTCCCGGTTGGAAGTCGACATACCCATTCTCGCCTACTGTTGGTTTGCCGATTTTCTTATATGCGACTTGTACGGGGGGAGGCATGGTCGATGATTAATTGGTCAAGCTGGGGTTGACCTGACGATATTCTAATGAGCAAGATAAATGAGTGATCTTTGTTGAGATTGCAATTGGAAGTATTCTCGGCGTGTAGAATTCCAAAACCTTGGAGCTATATAAAATAACAAGACACTAACAAGGTCCGCCGGAGCACAACAATAGACCCTTTGCTTCCCCGCATGGTATCGCATAGACCCAGCAGATAACCTGTGGGGTTTGAGCTGTGTCTGCCGAAACGAGCTGTAAAGGGATGCTTTACTCGGAGCATTTAGCGTAGGTTTAGCGCCCGAATTTCTTCGTGGGGTTGCGCCGAGTCGGGGCTTTTCTAAGACACATTTTACTTCGGGGCTGCGCTTCTGGCGGTTTGGCACTATTCCAGAGTAAGAATAATAAGTGCGCTTTGGCCTACTATGCGTCATTTTATTCGTCAACCCCGTAATATGAAGAGTCACCCTGTGATAGAATGATGTGGGGCCGAATTAGGGCTCCGAACCAACACCATCCATCAGTCACCATTAGTGTGGCTTTCCATGGTCAATAGAGGCCGTTTCAAAATTAACTAAAGCGCCCCAGCTCGGGTCTTTATACCCCGTGCGAAATGAGACCAAGTGCTGCTTTCGAAATTACTAGCGATGAGTGTGTCGAGATGTCGAGATTATCCGACTGGGGTATCCGTGCTCTTGGACTTCGGCTGCCCACCGAAGCTCCGATAGACAGATGGCACGACGAACGAACAAGCATGGGATACGGTGTCTATTGGGCAAAAGATCCTGAAGATTGCTATTTACATATGGTCGAAGTCAATGCCATATTTAAGCTTTCTAATGCAAGGCTCAACGTAGCATGCAATATATATAAGCTTATAATTTCTCATCAGGAACATGGTATGGTGTAGTGTTCAAATATACCAACGCCGGATGCCACCAGTCGTTCCCGAACGGTTATCCCGGTTGATGGTGGTCAACAATTGAACCTTAGCCGAACATACTATAAAGCACTGTTGGACTGTAAATGATGCGGGCATACTTGAACATTTAAATATAGATTCTCTATTAGCTCTATACTTAGAGAAATTGCAATACCTTGCACCATGACTGTCACATCAGGCTTCGTTTCTCATCCATTCCCGATACCAGACGACTCCCCGTTCCCCGTCTCAAATATACCATTTGGCATTTTCAGCACTGCGGAGGATGTAAGTAGAAAAATTAGACCTATTATATTACATTCTAGCTAATACAGCATTGTGCCATGTGCCTAGCCCACACCACGCCCGGGAGCTGCGATTGGTGACTATGTGATCGATTTATTTCGGGTCGCAAACCGCGGTGCACTGACGATCGAACATGCCAGTGGACCAGAAAATATCTTCCGCGAGGTATGGAGCAGTATCCCGGAATTGTTAATATCTTCTCACTGACAGTGTGGTCGGTAGCCGACGCTCAACCGCTTCGCCGCTCTTCCTCGTCCAGTCCGGTCGAAGATACGGAAGGACATCCAGGAGTTGATTAAAACCGCGGATTCACCATTATACAATCAAGGAGAACAACCGAAGCTACTTATTGCGAGAGCAGCAGTATCAATGCACCTCCCATTCTCCATGGGCGGTTTTACGGACTACACTTGCTCTCTAGAGCACGTTACTAATGTAAGTGCCATAGCCCTTGGAAGCTCTAATAGTTCAAAACACGATTGCACCTGTCCACTACGCAAGGATTAGCACTAACATGAGTCTATTATCTATAAAAGGTTGGTCGCGTAGCAGGCTTCGGCGATATACCCCCCAGCTTCCGCAACCAACCTCTAGCATACAACGGTCGCGCCTCATCAGTAGTCGCAAGCGGCACTCCAATCCAACGGCCATACGGCGTTGGCTCTGATGGACTGTACCCCTGCCAGAAACTAGACTACGAGGTCGAACTCGGTATGTTCGTCTCGACCAAGATACCGATTGGTGAACTCATTCCAGCATCCCGCGCCCGAGACTACATATTCGGCTTCGTGCTGCTGAATGACTGGAGCGCAAGAGATGTTCAGTTCGCGGAGATGATCCCCTTGGGCCCATTCAATGGTAAGAGCTGTGGAACCAGTATCTCTACCTGGGTTGTGACGATGGATGCGCTTGAAGAAGCGGGTGCTATTGTTCCGGCTAAAGCGGATGTCGCTACGGCGGGGAAGTTCACGTCGAATCCGTTCCTGAAATGTGCGGAGGATGTCTCGATTGATGTTTCGACTTTTATCTCTAGTATGTATCTCTCTGACTTTGAGTTCCTGGGAAGTGTTGTTGACAGAGGATACAGGAGGGGATAGTCATCGAACACCCATCAGCAGGAGTAACTTGAAACATACGTACTGGTCGGCGTTCCAGATGCTTGCGCATCATACCTCGGCGGGCTGTGGACTTGCTCCTGGGGATCTAATTGGGACGGGGACACTCTCTTCATCCGCCAAACAAGCAGGCGAGGACTTGGAGCAGGCGTCAACGGGTCTAGGACGGCTTGGGTGCATTCACGAATTGACCGCGGGTGGGAAGAACCCAGTTCAACTTGCAAGCAACCTTTCATTGGCCTGGTTGCAGGACAACGATGAGATTACGTTAGAGGGATGGGCGGGTGAGGGTGATTCTCGCATCGGCTTTGGTCAAGTGGTCGGTAGGATTGCTCCTGTCGCGGAGGTACCGGGTATGGTTACAGTCGCTTCCACCTGATATACCTCTATCTTATAAACATATTACTACTTTATATCTTCCTATCTTCTATTTCTTTTTATTATATTGTAATTGCCCTTCCGGTATACGTAATGTGACTGGCGGTATGCCTTCGGAGTGCTGTAGGCCAGCGGACTGCAAGATGTATAATGTTAAGGAGGTCGGAGATGTTCGGGATTCTCAGGAAGAATGTATGGAGAATGAAACAAAATTAACTGACTGGGGCCCTGAATAGGGGTTTGATATCTGTCCGCGTTGTTTAGGAGACCATAGAAAGCAGCCTCAATGCTAACTTCATATGCCCCCCTTAAGGCCTCCAGAAGTTGGAGCAATGACTACCATTAGAGCCACCACTGCCATTCCTTCAGTCACGTAAAAGCGTGGTCATTTAAAATTAGCGCCTCACACTTCATCATGGGACGATTGAGGACATAGGCCGGTCCACTACTCTGCTTGATGTTCTAGTGCATATGCTTTTTAATGAAGGTGTAGCTCTCATTATAGTATCAAGAATGGATTGTGCAGAATGTGTATTCATCTGGAGAAATGGACCCTAGAGCATCACAAACTGCCAGGTAACCACGAACCGCGAACCTACATGTATCGAAACCGACGTTAAGGCGATTTGATAGATTTCTCCACGCAGCCAGCTGCAGCAAGGAGCATCTCATCACCAAACCGCGGTCCTATCAATTGCAAGGCAATTGGAGCATCCTTGAACTTGTGCACAGAGTCTGCGAGTCTATTAGAAAGATGTTGTCGCTGGAAATGTAACAGGACTTACACTTTGCATGCTCAGCAGCATCGAGTTCATTACGTGGCACGTAAGAGGATTCCTCCGGATCCAGAGACGGGTCAACATGCAGCCCTGTTGGTATGATGACAGCAGGGTGGTCCAACGCATTCCAAACAGAGGTATACCCGATATATGTCCCTGTCTCATGCTCTGGCGCAACGCCAGGATAGGCTGGAGATAAAATCACGTCCACACCCCGGAGCTTCATCAGTCCGTGATATTGTGCTCGGAAGACTTCGCGTTTGTAGTTTAATTCCCAATTCTTATAGACCGTCATTTCCTCCCCCCATCCATATACAACCTTGGTCAGCGGCAGGATTGGCTCCCCACTAGCTTCCAAAGCCTCTGTCAAATTTTGAAAGCCATCCGCTGCGAAGAAAGCATTCTGTTGTCGGGCGGAGGGCTGCATTAGTAACCCACACTATAATATAATAATAGTCACATGCAGCACTGGGGGTTAGCCTCTTACCGCGAGGTCATATATTTCCCTATGTTGAAAAGGCTCCCACTCAACAACGTTGACACCAGCAGCACGCAGCTTGTCCTCTGTGGTCTTGATCGCACGACTAATAGGGGGGTGCGGTCGGACAACGCTATTTGATAGTTAGCAGGTGGGACCAGACGAACGATTTTTCGTAGTTTCAGCTCTTACCCATCGTCTTTCAGTATTCCGATGGTCAGGTTTGCCAAGCCACCCACGCTACGCCAGGGGACAGGTGTAAGGCTTGCATCCTTTTGCCACGGCTCTTGATCTAGAATACTCTTCATAAAGAGCTCCAGGTCTTCAAGGCTTCTGGCAAGCGGCCCTACCACACCAGGGAGGGATTGTTGTCCAAGCCCAGCAGCCTTGATGCCAGCCAAAGGCAGTCGGCCAGCCGTTGGCCTGAGCCCGTAGACTCCGGTAAACGCAGCCGGCATCCGAATGGAGCCCCCCATATCAGACCCAATTCCCAGAGGCGAGCATCCAAAACTGACTGATGCACTCTCCCCCCCGGACGACCCTCCCGGCGACAGGTTGCGATTCCAAGGGTTCAGCGTTCGTCCAGTAATGTTGTTGGCAGAGTCAACATGCTGTCCAGAGTCAGTGTGACAAGACTTGCAACTGTTTCCCTACAACAGCTACATACCATGAGAGACTGCGGTTCGTTCGTACGGACATGCACTATAGCCCCGGCGTTCTGTAGAAACTGGACCACATATGCGTCGTCTGGTGATACATGGTCGCACCATGAAACAAATCCTGCGTTACACACTCTTCCCTTCATTCCAATATGTTCCTTCGCGGAGATCGGCACGCCGTGAAGAGGCCCGACGATTTTGCCAGTCTCCTTGAAAACCTGGTCTAGGCGCCGAGCTTGCGCTAGAGCGCTCTCCGCCAGAAACTCCGTTGCGAAATTAATCTACGAGATGATTAGTGACATATGCATGCGATGTGCTAGAAGGGGGTTGGGGGGTGGGAGGAAGTTTACCAATTGTTGGCCCATGGTGGCTCGCTTCAGGAACGCTCTCATCACCTCTTCAGCTGTCCATATCCCGGAGCCCATTTGGGAGACCAAACCAGCGGCTGTGTTATCGGTAATAAGCAGTTCCTTCTCGGACAATATACCGCTTTCCCTGGGGTAATCGATTACTCTCGTCTGGGATGCAGGGGGGATCTGATCCGGAGAGAGGAGGTAGGACTTCGGGAGAGATTGCTCCAAAATCTCTCTGCATCTTGCAGCCCGGGTTTCCCAATTTGCGCCGATACAAGAACTCATTATGCCGTATTCAGAGGTGGGCTGGATGTCGGAAAAGGTGAAATGAAGCTTTGTTGAATGAGATGACATTCTCAAGTTAGCCTCCCCTTAGTTCGACAAAACGGAGATAGCAATGTCTAACTCGCACGTTATTGGCGCCAGCCCCTGCCACCGTGGGTCACAGGCGTATTTACTTAGTTCCGAAGCCATCTATCTATATTACATCGAATGGGTGTCTCCACCTCAGCTGCCGCTGCTCGTGCGGGGCTGCTCACAGACCTTGATATCTGATTACAAGTCTAAGATACAAGTAGTATCAGACATAGTTGAGAGATGCCCAAGGCAATTGGGCGGGAGGAACTTTATAGAGAATGAATTGCTACCATGTAACTCAACACTGTTCTCGGAATCTGTCCTACTCACAAGTCAAGGCAAACTCCTGTCTCACAGTATCCCCCAAAGCCTTCAAGGCTTTTTCAAACTGTTCCGCAGGCGCAGCCGCAAATGTCAACCGAAACTGCAATTCCCCATTTGGCTTTTGATTGGAAGTGAAGAGTAATCCCTTTGTAACCTGCACTCCATTCTCGATTGCATTGATGTTAATTCTCTCGGCGACCTCAGACAGTAACTCTTCCCTCTCTGCTGCTTCCACCTCGCTCTTGAATAAAGGATGTATCTCCCAGTTCAGGCGGAGCCACACGAACATGCCATATTCAGGCGGGTCCCAGGTACAGATGTCCCGAGGTAGATACTGATCGCAGGTATGCAGTAGAGCATCTCGTCGGGTGCGATAGGCCAAAGATATATGGTCCAACCAAGCGGCAAAGCCTTGATGGCCCCATTTCTGTTCTAGTAGCGCCCATAGCATTAGCTGCGATGGGCCGTTGACCTCCACGGTCGTGATTTCCTGGTAAGCAATGAACTTTGCTATGATCTGTGTATTTGCAGTAACCCAGCCAGCCCGGAGGCCAGGAGCTAAGATCTTAGACACTGAATCGAGACGGACAACACGGCCTGATCGATCGAGGGCGAGATAGGATGGGAGCTCGGAAGTCTTTTCTGTTCTTCCATGATCGGCTCGGCAAGCGCCCATCCGAAGGAAGTAGTATGGGTCATCTTCAATAATGATCAAATCATGTTCTTCGGCGATGTCGTAAATAGCTCGTCGTCTTTCTGTCGATTGCGTGGCTCCGGTGGGATTCTGGCCCGTGGGAATGGTATACAACACGCGGGGCTTGGGCCCTCGAGATAAATCCCACTCTCGCAGAGTCCTTTCCAGAGCCTCCGGTCTAAGACCTTGTACATCCATTTCCACGCCCTCGAACCGCAGACCTAACAATTTTGCCCCTTCAATGGCTCCGGGGTACGTGAATCGTTCGGCCAGAACCGTGTCTCCCCGGTCGCAGAAAATGCGGAATGCAATCTCTAGAGCAGCCGTCGAGCCAGAGGTTAAGCTGATACTCCAGTCTGCATAGGACGGATGATGCGTGATTTCCACATGCTCAGTCAAAAACCGGACTAGGGATGGGGACCCCACGGTTGGTCCATAGTTCAACCCGCTAGATAGGTTATATATATCGCTGTGCTTCGTAACCGTATGCTCCACAGTTTTCACACTCGTGGTAACGGACGCTGGTGGATGAGGTACCATTCCCCGAAAGGTCAGAGACTCCCATGGGTAGAAATCGGCGGTTGGTCTCCCAGTTCCGAGAGAGATAACCTGACGCCCATGCAGCTGTGCACTTAGCTTCTTGAGAGATGAGCCAGAGAAATCTTTGCTTTCGCTACTGAAATGGTGTTGCATTGATTTTGATAAAGGTTTGCCATTGTTGTTGGATAGTACCTTGAGACTTGGTGCTGTATTGGCCGGGATGGTGGAGCATGACGGAGCTAGTTGTATGGGAGAGTGCACGATAGAGACAGTTGACATTACCATAATGTAATCGCCATAAATAATTGTAAGAATGATTGATCGATGACTCATGAGCTTGAGTTCATATTTTCGATCTATATATATTGGGTTGTCGGATTCACACATCTTCGGACCGGAGAAAGGCTGGACAGTCGGAGTGATCGGAACCACGGACACGGCCATTATAGAGTGGATCGCATCATCGCCTGGCGCGGGAAAGATGTCTCACCTCTTATCTATAATGTAATCCAAGAATGAGATATCACAGGCTAGGCAAGGTGTCTAATGATGGGTGATCGGCCAGATTTTCCCAGAAGGAATACTCGAAGTCCCACGGATCTTGGCTTAGAAAGCCAGTCCAACTCTCGTCCACACGGCGATGAGTAACCTGAGGGTGCATGGTGTCAATAAACATCCTTATCGTCTGTGATGCTTTGGATAGTAGTGCATAATTCGGATCCCCTTATTTGATAAACGACCCTGCTTCGATTTCCGCTACAAAGACGGTCAAGTCCTGTACCGCTCGGGTCCAAGAAATCTGTGATGAACTGGGAATATCTTGCTGTCGCAACATGGCTAGAAGAATAATTCCAGCTGCTGGGAGGCCGTAATATGCAACCTGGTTACGGTTAGTGTTAGTTCCTCGTGAGGAATAGGATGCGCGTACTCTCCAAACAAGTGCAGTCCCTGAGTTCACAAGCTGATCTCGGAGTAAGATGCCTTCTACAACTAGGGACATCATTTGTTGCGCCACCTCTGTTATGGGCATATCTGGTTCAGCCGGTGTGTTCAAGAGGAGAAGACGCAATAAGAACAACACATGTAGGTGGTTTAGTCGTACAGCCACCACGAAATCCCTCTCGAACGGATTCTGAGTGCATTGCTTCAAGCTTCCTTCTAGTCGAAAGTGGGGCGGGAGTGCCTCCCAATACGCCTCTGCTTTCTCTTGGAGTACACTGCCGTCGTTAGCCACGTTCGTTTCAACGTCGGTTAGAACATACCTGGCCCTCTCAATGAACGTGTCCTTTCTATTGTCGCAAAACATTTCCATAATCTCTTCCTTGAGCGACGCACACAACGCAGACCAACGTGTCTCAGCTTTATAGCTCGCCTTTGCATCTTGCAGCCCTCCAAGAGCTGCCGTGATATGCTCGGGGCTGTCACTATCGAATCCAGTCCAGCTTGAAGAAAGCTGGAAATGGCAAAATCGCTTACTCATTCGGGGTGGGCGCCCGAGGAAAATGGCTATGTTCTTGTCTGCCGAGTAAAGCCGAGCAGAGGCCAGTTTGCGAAGTTCAACTAAGAATGGTGGAAGATCTGGTTTGTTTTCGATATTTTCGTGGTACCCTAAGGCAAATGTAGAAGCTATTGCATCTCCAAGTCTTCTCCAGGAATGGTAACCTGTCCAGTTAGTACCAGGCCAAGTCACATGGAGGTATAGGCTTACGTACTCTGGTCCCCATCGACATTTGAATGAACAATAAAATTCTCGTACTGGAAGATAAGTTGTAAGTCGTTGAGACAGTCAAGAGAAAGAGATATTTCCAAGGCATAGTCACTGAGCTTGGTGGCAGATCTTCGCAGTGCATATTTCTGCTGTTCAGATAGATACAAAGAGGGAAAATACGGCACATCAATGGTTGCTCGGCTAACTGCAGCAAAGAAAATGCCAACTGTTTCCCATCTTGCGTTTTCATTGAAGAACTGGGCCGAGAAACTAGCAAGGTCGGATGTGTGGTTGAACTGAAGTGGCTTCGCTGAGTTCTGCAGCAATTGTCGTGCGTATACCAAGTGCCCATCTTTATTTGCCACTAGGGGTAGCAAGTTGTTCATGCTCTCAGCACATTGCTCCACAAACGGCCCGGCCAAGGCCAGGTTGATACCTGTGGCTAGCCAGAAATTAACGAAGCTTATGGTGGCCTTCAGGGGATATGTGCTGAGAAATTGGCTTAGAGCGTCGGCACCCCGTTGTGTCAACTCATAGCTCTCAGATGAGTAGCCCGGCATCGTAGCCGTTGAAATATCAGCACCGCTGTCTCCATCCGGTGCGATATGATTGAATATAGATACATGACTCGAAAGCCCCAGATACCCAGGGTTGGGGTATGGGTGCCGCCTCAGACTCGGCGATGCAGGCGGCTGGTCTGGAGAACGAGGGCTACTTCGGTTTATTCATCAAAGGGACATACTGAACAACGAGCAGGAAGCGGACTCACCTTTCCGCAAGTTCCACACCCGACGGAGAGGACACCTGCACTCTTTTCCGCTTGAACGGTGCGTCCCGATAAACGCACATACCAATTCGATTGGCATTACGGCAGCGAGTACACGCCGGCCGTTTGTGGTCGCACGCCAGCTTTGACTTTCTGCATGCTTCACATGCTGCTAGTCTCGGCGTCATTGCTGCTGTCGGTCCTCGATAAGATGTTGGCTTGGGCGTTGATAACGGGAGAAAGTTGACATTTTCCTGTTGCGGCGTAATCGGATCGGAGTGTCGGCGAATTGGTTGCTACTTTCTCCGAGCATAACCCTACAATCATATAAACCACCGATCTTACGCAAAGTTCACGATACTAGTATACAATGCACTGGTAAATATTGAGTCATCTATTCGTTATGTCAGTCAAATTAGCCGATTATCTCTTTACTCGCTTGCGCCAACTGGGCATCCGATCTATCTTTGGCGTCCCAGGCGACTACAACCTCCACTTACTTGATTTCGTCGAACCATCTGGCTTAGCCTGGGTGGGCACCTGCAATGAGCTCAATGCGGCTTATGCTGCTGATGGATATGCCCGGATAAATGGCCTCTCGGCTCTGATAACCACATTCGGTGTCGGGGAGCTCTCTGCGATCAACGGCATTGCCGGTGCTTATACCGAGAAAGCACCGATCATTCACATTGTGGGCACGCCTGCACGGACAACGCAAGAGGCACGAGCCTTGGTGCATCACACCCTCGCAGATGGAGAGTTCCGACGATTTGCAGACATGGCCTCCCATGTAACAGTGGCACAAGTGGACCTGAAAGACCCCCGGCTAGTACCCGATCAAGTCGACTGGGTTCTCAGGGAGGCGATAATTCACAGTCGGCCTGTTTACCTAGAAGTGCCAGACGACATGGTTGATGTTCAGGTGGACGCGTCGAACCTCACATCGATGATCTGCCTCCCCCCGGCCCCAGCCACTGGACATAAAACAGTTGTATTGAGTCGCATCCTGGAGCGAATATACACTGCCAAGCGACCATTGATACTGGTAGATGGGGAAAGCAGACCTATGAATGTACTGGGTGACATTGATAGACTGGTAAAGACAACTGGCTGGCCCACGTGGACCACCATCTTTGGCAAGAGCCTAGTGAACGAACAACTACCGAATGTGTACGGGGTTTATGCTGGGTCGCTCGGTGATCCGCAATGGAAGAAATATTTTGACTCAGCAGATCTAATCATCAACATGGGCCCCCACTATAGCGACACCAACAGCCAGAACTTCACGACCATTCCCAATCCAGCCGTGACTATTACGTTTTCGAATACATACGTCCAAATCGACAATGATATCTACCGAGATACGCATCCTAGCAACATCCTCCCTCAAATACTAGAAGGGATCGACACCAGTAGAATCCCCAGAGTAACTGGGCCTGCTAAATTAACTAAAGAAGCAGGCCAACTTAATCCGTCTGATCCAATCACCCAGAAGGACTTCTACAAGACTACGAACGCAATTATTCGTGACGGTGACCTTGTCCTCACAGAAACAGGCACTGCAGCACACGGAGCCCGCAATATGATCCTACCGGAGAACACTCGTCTTCTTGGCCCTGCCACCTGGCTATCAATCGGGTACATGTTACCTGCAACTTTGGGAGCCGCGTTAGCCCAAAGAGAACGCGCAAACAATCCAGGTTCCCGCGTCATCCTTTTCATCGGGGATGGAAGCCTGCAGATGACGGTTCAGGAGATCAGTACGATGATTAGGGAAAACTTGAATGTTATCATCATCGTCATTAATAATGAAGGCTATACCATCGAGCGGGCTATTCATGGGAGGAAACAGTTGTATAATGATATTGCTACTTGGAGACATGCTCATGCTCTGAGCTTCTTCGGTGCGGATAATAGGCATGCCATGCAGAGTTACTTTTCTGCCCGGACATGGGGTGAGTTGGATGTTGTTTTGAGAGATAAGAGGATACAAGATGGAACAGCAGTGAGGATGGTGGAAGTATTCATGGGAAGGGAGGATGTTCAGGGGGCTTTATTGCGCCTCATGGAGAAACAAATAGCTGATGAGTAGTTCTTTCACGATTTATAGAATTCTATCTACATTAGCTCTGATTGCGGAGAAGTAGTATATATACGGAGTAAATTGCGTAATATATCCATTGACCATATATATCGGAAGTGTTAGCTTCAATGATCTATCAAGGAAGATACTGCTAGGGTTTTGCATAGCATATAGGGTACAAGCACGTCTGCTTTCATCCAGTTGTAAAAGTCAGTCAAAACTTGAACTATGTCATTGCCCATAATCGCCGTAAGGGCTTAGCCTTTGGGTGATATTTTTTCATGTTTCCCAATGGATGGGCGAAGAGACGCATGACAAAAAGATCGTTTATTAAGCAGTCTAAAGCCCATAGAAACTTAAGGGCCTTCCTTGGAATCCAAACCACATAGACTTTCTTCATTTACGGTACACAGACCCTACATAATTTTGGCCTTACGCGCCATATCCGACAACACTTTTCTAGGAACCCCAAGAAGTTTGAGCCTGGCCAGGCCTGGCCAGAACAAAGGCAACGTACAAGGATACTGAGGCGGGGTTAGTCAAATCAACCGATCATGGTCATTAAAGGTAAATGTAGTTAGATGTCGAAACATGGAGTGCATAAAAGTTCATATCATCTCAAGCGCACGGCACACGCATCCGAAGACCTATCGCAAGCAATAGGCAACAATGTTGAATGCACAGCCACAATCTATTTCCAACTGTCAGTGAATTGTATATACATATGACGTATTAATCTCTTTAACCCATGGATGGTGATTGGTTAGAGATCGGGTGGCTCAGAAATTGAGTTATCTGCAACTCAGTCGCACACGCAGTCAGACTTCAGACTGCATTGACAGAGCAGACATGTACAACGCCGGCTTGGCAAGGGGTGAAAATGCTAACCGAGGACGAACCAAGTCCATTAATCCTTGCCAAGTGATTCATTCTTAAGGTGCCAAGCCGCGCATTGATTCCATTACCAACAATAGTGGACGAAGTGTCCAATGCGACCCCCCGACAAGAAAGCCGCGAGATATATCGTTCAATTGCCATGGATTCCTTGGTTGGGTATAGAAAATTACCTCAGAGGAATGGAAACCTGATCTAGAACTAATTGCCGAGTAATGGTTAGTTCGGTGGTAAGAGTGGAGCAGGGGGCGTTATTGCGCCGATCAATTGAGCTATTGAAACTTCCAGAATGCGTGGACGGAGAAAATTAGGAAAACTCCACAGTCCGTAGTGACTGTTATTTGGATTGGGTATTGAAGTGTGTATTTTTTATTTTATTTTTATTTTTTTTCTCCCTGCCAGCCTGATTCTAGCATGCATTTCTCTCCTGACTGAGCGAAGAGACTTCCACTCTCCACAGTAGTATGACGCTAGATTGACAAGGCCCCACAGAGAAGAAGGGCAGGGTTGAGTCTCAGTGGCCGGTATCGTTCATAAACTCTGCAGATTAAGTGATGACAATATCCACGCGGCGTCGTTGATATCACGAAGTAGTACATGTCCAGACGACCCCATCATCAATGATTATCCAGCGGTGCTCAGCCACTGATACGCGTAGTGTCCGTTATTTCATCGGCTTGCTGTTGCTCCCAGCCCTAAAAGCACGCCACCGCTCGCAACCACCAGTCAAGGTGATTCCATCAACCGAGCAATTACCGGCAATCGGCACCCATACGCATTCACGGTGGGGAAGAAAACGTGCCAAGATGGCTAAATCTTCAGCAGACCACTCATGACCGACAGTCTCCCAAGAGCTCGTCTATCCAACGACCCACTGCGGGCTATCTTGGCAAAGCCCGGAGAATGGCACGATGGTCGAATTATATTCCCTCTTCTGGTGTACCACTCTGCTCTAACTCCGCCGCAATGGATTCGGAACATGAAACCACGTTGTATGGTGCGTGAACGGGGCATCTTGGCAATTTTTATCTGGGTCTTGCGTTTGAGAAACTGTCCCTCCTGAGTGCTGAACAGGGGCCCCGATACGATTACGATTGCGTACGTACCTGAATCTGAAGCATGGACGCACGCCTTTGGGAGGGGGGTTAATATACCTCCCCACGACCCCAGTCCGTTATCCCTTTCCCTATTATCCCGGACACTTTGCGCCTTGTCCGTCATGTCCCAATGTCCTCTTGGACTTGGCCTTCGAAGAATGCCCGTCGCTCGCCGTTGAGGCTCGTCACCGGCCGCCATGTCGCTACGGTCGGCGTGGTCATCAGTCTTTTCTATCTATTTTACGTCTTCGCGGTACCGCAAATTTCACGATTTCGCTTTCGCACGGACTTGAGCCAATATGACCTAGGTCTGTATGGGTTTGGTCCTTCAACTGGTTACGTTTCCTTCGACTACGAATCGCCAATTGTCGAAATCACGGCATCAGAGTCAGGATGTGACCCGCGATACACATTTCTTGCGCCGCGCGGTGATTCGGTGCCCCAAGCAGGTCCTATGATTCTCGATGCTCAGGGCAACTTAGTTTGGATGAAGTATAACTGGGAAACCACCCAGGATTTCAAAGTCCAGCGATATAAGGGTGAAGACTACTTGACCTACTGGGAAGGTCGCGAGGTCGAGACTCGCGGCTATGGATCGTGGTATATGGTACGTCGTATCTGAGCAAGGAGAATACGTGCTTGACTGACCATCACCAGCTTGATTCTTCCTACACCCAACGATACGTGATTAATCCCGTCGGCAACTATGGGGGTGACCTGCACGAGTTCACAATAACCACCGAGGGAACAGCCCTGGTGACAATCTACGACCCCTTGCCAGTGGACCTAACACCAGTCGGAGGTCCAGAACTAGGTTGGATATTTGATGGCGTCTTCCAGGAGATCGACATCGAGACTGGTGCATTGCTATTCGAGTGGCGCGCTTCCAAACACTACCCCGTCGATAGCTCGTACGAGCCGCTGGGTGAGGCTGGAAAAGATCGTGCGTCGGCCTTTGACTACTTTCACATCAACAGCGTCGAGAAAGATGACCAAGGAAATTACCTTGTGTCTTCCCGCCACACGCACTCGGTCAGCTGCATTGACTCCAAGACGGGATCTTTACTATGGACACTCGGGGGCAAAATGAATGATTTCACCGATCTCTCCGATGGCGAAGCAACGAATTTCGCCTGGCAACATGATGCGCGGTGGCACGCGAACAGCACCTTAACACTGTTTGACAACGCCTCCCACTCCAGCAATGATCCAGACAATGAGAGTCGCGGCATGGCTATTCACTTAGACATTCCCGCCCGCCAGGCGAGATTACTGGCTGCTTACTACCATCCTCAACAGATGAAGTCTGTATCGCAAGGCAACGTACAGATGGTGGATGATACCGGCCGGGTTCTAGTTGGTTGGGGTCACAGTGCCGCCTATAGCGAATTTAGCACCGATGGACAGTTGCTGTGCAATGTCCATTTCGGCGCATCGGCCTTCTTCACCTTTGGGCGGGTTGTCTCCTACCGTGTCTTCAAGGGTGACTGGGTGGGACACCCTCAGACGACTCCTGACGCTGAGGTCGACGGCGATAAAGTGTACGTGAGCTGGAACGGTGCAACGGAAGTTAAATCATGGCGGTTAGAGGTGTGGGATTCCGACGATTTAACCGAGTCCTCGTTTGGGGTCGTGGCGCAGTTTAAAAGGACCGGGTTTGAGACGGAAATCGATATTCCAGAGGATCTTGGTCCTTTATTCCGGCTGGCAGCTCTAGACGTTGAGGGGAATGTCCTGGGTGTCACCGCGGTGCTCCAGAAAGAACAAGTGTCGAGTTTCGACAAGTTTTTTGATCTGCACAATTGGATTCTGGGCTTTGCCATGGTAGTAAGTGTCGGTGGGCTGCTTGCCGGTCTGTATCGATGCTATTGCTATTGCAGACTTTTGAAGCTATATCGCTCTCGCTCCAACGATTACCAATTGGTGGCTATGAACGAGAATGCCGACCATCCGCCGCCCGTTTAACCTCAGAGGCTGTTCACTCGCCATGTATAAATATTGGCCTTGGGCACCAAGAAACCCCTGAACCGTCCTGCTTGTCTCCTCTTCCTTCTTGTACATAGTCACTGTAGTACCTGTATATACTTCTAACAGATCATGGAATCCTTTTCTTGGGTTTCAAAACTTTCCAAGTTTAAGTCACAGAAGCGCATATCCCCCCGACAGCATACGATCGTGCAGGAACTGCATTTAACAGGGTCAACTACGCAAGGCCTTGTATACATATAATACAATGAAAGTCCTTACCAGCTGACTAAAGAGGCGAAACATGGTCTTGGGCGTTGTCATGTCATATGACCCCATGAACTCTGGTAAACTGGCTACTACAAGTCCTCTGACACTCTGTTCAATAGGGAACAAAAGGAAACTTAGCCAGACGTCTATTTCCCATGACAAGGGTATTGGTACTGGAAGAACATGACTCCGCTACATCATGATTATGCAATCTTAACTTAATCGCGTGGCCACGATCCAACTATATAATTGGCTCTCATACGCACACCCAAAGCGCCTGCTTAACATTAAACTCTACTATGGAATTCCATCCAATGTAACATACGTTCAGTCAAAGGAATCCTATCTCTTACACTTTCACAATGTCTTTCCACCAAACTGCCTGTGACATTCACCTAACCCCCGAGCATGGACGGAGGAGAACTTCCCTAGTCGCTATATGCAATAACGAAGAAGGATCGGGTCTAACCAGCGACATCTACCTCGATGACTTCCTTGGTAATGACAACGGTAAGGTCTCCCGTTCTGTCTTTCTAACGGGATTCCAGGCGCGCATGGTAATCTCCATCTTCACTAGGGCATTTCGTTTGGGGTGGAAAGAACGTTACGCAAACGAGTCGTAATCTTGAGATTTCGAGAGAAGGGCCGTCTCGACTGCCCGTACTTCATGGCGATCTTCTAAATAGTTCGGGGGATTATGTATCAGATCATTGCTATCTGGATGAGCATATTTTCAACATCAATGGCGAGCTTTTATTCAAACCGGATGAAGGGAGGGAATGGTAATGGCCTCAAGTCCAAAGAGGATTGTGGGAATTGGTTGGCAAAGTCCAATTTCTTGATTGAGTTTTTGTTCTTCACGATGTTCTAGATTGGTATAGGGATGGTAATACCCTCCTAGCTGACGTATAATGATGGTTGCAGGTGCAGATTTCACCAAAAGGAAAGGAGAATCAATGAATTAATATAAGCCCTTCTGCATCCAATGCAATCCAGTGAGATCTGATTGATCCGCGGTAACAGATGAGCGCTCAGGCTCACTCTTTATGTAGATGACCTTTCTGGGAGGCGAGTCCCTGCATATATTAAACATTCACCTAGCCTGCCTGCTGCTGCATGACTAGGTGTGACCGATACACACATCCTATTCTGCATATCCTCACACCGATGTCAACCCTTGAGCGCAGTGATGTATCCCCAAGAGACTTTATAATATCCATTAATCATCACGAATTCTTTGTAAGCTCGACGATCTTTTTAGCTGCTGCATCGAAATCAGCCTCGAAGAGTATATTGTCTAGACCAGATGTTTGAATCTATACATCGTATTAGTCATTGGCAAATGGAGATAGGAGAAGTTGTACTTCCCAATTCAAAGCCTTTCTCATAGTTTGTACCTTGTAACCGAACCACAACTGGAATCCTGAACCCGCCCATGGCAGCAGAAGCGGCCAGGATTGACTCGGCAATCATATCACAGCGAACAATCCCTAGTATTAGCTCTGATTAGCTAGAAACCTTCTAAGCCGGTAAATACTCACCGCCATAAATATTGATGAACAGTGCCTTTGTGCGGGTATCACCCTGCAGAATCGAAAAGGCTTTTGACAATGTTTCCTTTGTTGCACCTCCACCGATATCCAAGAAGTTCGCACAGTCCCCACCGTACAAGGTGACTAAGTCATTGGTTGCCATGGCTAAACCAGCACCGTTGACAATAACACCAATATCACCGTCAAGACGAACGTAGGACAGACCCAGTTGCGAAGCTTCATATTCGTCTTTCTCCTCCGGCAAGTGTTCCTCGAGACTAACCAGTTCAGGCTGTCGAAACCGGGCGGAGTCATCAAAGTTAAACTTCGCATCTAGACATATCAAGGACCCTTCCGTTGTACGCACGAAGGGGTTCAGTTCAAGGAGTGTGGCGTCTTTTTCTCGGAACAGCTTTACGAGCTGACGCAAGATGTGTGTGACGACGCCCATTTCGTTGTCGGAAAACCCAAACTGTGCTTCAATATAAGCCGCAATCTCAGGAGTGATTCCGGTAGAAAGATTGAACCAGAAACGCTGGAGCTGATTCACGTTCGACTCAATGTTCACACCTCCATCATCAGACATGAGGAGAACAGGCATGTACCGTTCGCGATCGAAGGTAATCGCTACGTAGAACTCCTGCGCAATATCGACCGATTTATAAATGTATAGCTTGTTTACGGGAAGGCCGCCGGATGGGGTTTGCTTCGTGACGAGAGAGTAGCCGATCATTTTGGATGCATTGTCAAAAGCCTCGTCCGGTCTGCCGTTGGTCAGAGCTGGTAATAGTACCCCTGGTTGGTAGGAACCCACGAGTCCACAATGCGAACGCCACCCTTTCCGTCGCTGCTATACTTGCCCTTACCTCGCCCACCCGCGAGTATTTGAGCCTTCATGACTGACGGAGCCCCTGATGTTGTCTTAGCATTGACGAATGGCTCAGGTGTTCATCCCCATGCTCAAAACATCACCTCCCCATCAGGAACTCACCAATGTTGTATACAACATCTCGAGCTGCTTCAGGACTCTTGACTACAAACCCATTGGGGACGGGAATCTGGAACTAGCAGGGGTCTCAATAACTTCATACTACTATGAAGGCGACCTGCCTTACCTGTTTCAAAAGCTGATGCGAGTGGTGTTCTAAGAGGCTGAACTGGCGCACATGTTTTGTGAATGGACCATGACGCTATTCAGACATTAGCTTCCGGCGCATGCAATTCAGATACTACAAGGATAGCATGCCTCTCGTACGAGAGATAAAAGGGACCGCCAACGCATCATCTTGTATTGTTCCAGTTGCTTCTTAGGAAACTCGTTCTGACTCTCTCCCAGTCCTTACCCAGCGAGGTGAGACGACATTAGATGATGGAGAATAGTTTTAACTTCACAATGACATCAGCACTATGAATTGTTTGTCCCTCCCGTCCTTCCTTTCCGACTGGTGCGGAATGAAGCCCAGAGTCCGGAACTTGAAAGCTTAAAATCGGAGATCCGAGGCGGTTGAACCCTATCTCATCGGGAGCACCCATGATGGTGCTAAATAGCCACACCCCATAGTTTCAACAGTGAGCGAGCGAAGCCATGAAGTACTGTTCATTTTCAAATACAAATACAGACGAACATCATCTTATGTCACGTGCGCTCTTTGGACACTGATAGCGTGTCATCGTGGGGGCGAAACCCACGCCTCCAACTTCAGTGAGGTTGTCAGAAAGAAAAGCCTCACTTCTCGAGGGCGATACACTCAGCCCCAAATTATTCCCCTACCTTCACATTGAGCTTCTACTTTGACGCAAGTGAATCAGCAAAAAAACTCACTGCTTCGATGCCTCATCTGACCACAATGTTGTCACGACTCCCAACCCTCTCCAGATACCTTCTCTCTTTCGTCGTGCTGCTTGGTGCCTTCTCTCGATTCACGCATGGCGCGTATACTCCGGGATGGTACGCATTCCAGGAGTATCATGCACCGGATGACGGTTCTACTCTCGCAATGATTACGCCAGTTATTGACACAATTTTTGGAGTCACGTTACTATTCGGGAACAAGGCCTCTCGATACGCGGCTGCGGCTGTTAGCCTTATGTTTTTCATCATGGGACTGGCTATGCAGGTACTGGCAGGGAAAGACTACAAGGGCGATGTGGCGTTGGTTGTACTCGCAGCGGTTGTTGTTGTTGGGGCTCTCCGAAAGTAGGGTTTAGAAGCAGTAGGGTAAAGCAGCTATTGCAAGAGTTTATGTGGGCTGTATGGCTACATGGGTTTGTACTATGCGCTCCATCGCTCCGCCGCAGTCCTCCGTATCGATGGAGCCACGGTCCACGAATATTAGAGAGGATAACACGGCGTTATTGAACCGTTGTTGGGGAGGGATGTGAGGTAGTGAATCATTCTGGGGGCGCCATCCATGTAAATAGACCTGACAAATCTGTGTTTTGCCTTTCTATTAAAAAACTAAATAAATAAATAAAATAAAAATAAAAATAAAAATAAAATACGTGTATCTAAATGTCGGTGTTAGGGTCTGCCGAACCCCGACACAGACCGACATTTATAAGCAGTCATCCTTCGGCTAAACCGTATCGGGCGAAACCCGCGAGCAGAAGTACATCCAGTTAGGGCAATCCTAAGTAGACGACACTTTATCTTACTTACTAATGTTGTCAGAGAGTATCGAGCATTTCTTGAACTTGAATTACAGGGTTGTCACAAGTTAGCACTTGGGTATTGTAGCTCTTCCCGATCCAAACCAGCAACATCTCAGAACAATGCCATTTCCCGGTGGCGGATGCCAAACATGTAGGGATCGACGAATCAAGGTACAATACATACTACTGGCAGCCATGCGCCGACATTACCAAGGGCCCCCGCTGATACGCTCTACAGTGTGATAAGACGCAGCCAATCTGTCAACGATGCATAAAGTCCCGGCGAACATGCTATGGCATGCGGGATCAACAAGTCTGGCATACCGAGAATGCCTACGCAAGCCGTGAGAAGAAGCGCCCTAGAGGGCCTCGTTCAATGAAAATGAATCGAACCGTGTCATACAAGCCCGCCGATATTAAAACATACGCAATTGCATACTATATGCACAATTATCTGCAGGCTCCCCATAATGTTCCCGATATTGTCAAAGATGTCACTAGAGGATGTCTCCCCGTGCTTCCATCAATGCCGTGGTGTTCAATCCTAGATCTGGCGGTGTCCTCTCTGGCTCTAGCACTATTTTCGAGGACCCAAAATTACCCGCATGCAACTGTAGTAGCGTCTGCCACGTATCATCGACTTCTGCAGGTCGCTCAAACTGTGATTCATTACCTGACACCAGATAATATTGACCCGTGTCTACTCGCGGTCTTCTTCATGGGTCGCTATGAGGACTCGATATACCGCCCAGAGACTAAGACCCCGCTGGTACACGCCTCGCCGAGCTTCTCACATCACGATGGAGCGTTGGCAATCTTAAAGGTGTGGAACGACCGTTTCAGTCGCGATCGGCCCGCAACGGACGTTATTAAGCATACCAGACGGGGGGTGGTCAGATCAGCCCTCCTGCGAAATATAGCACTACCACATTGGATCCATGATGGCGCATTCTTCGGTGAGCACGGCCTCGAACTTGAATACGACCGAGTTATCATAAGTCTCGCCAACATCCGCCATCGGTTGTTCGCACTCGCCGACGAAATCACTGCTCGGGGTACAACTCCACAACACGAGTCAATGTTGAAACTGGAGCAAATCGATAATGAATCACACACCCTCGATCTAGAGTTAGAAACCTGCCTCTCCCACATCCCAGATGCATGGCGCCAATCTCAACAACACACCCTATCAAACGTGGACCTTCCATCCTGGCCGTCCGCAAATTTCTATTCCCCAATTATACACAGCTATCCCAGTCCAACATATGCCGCTCTTTGGAGTCAGTATAATGCCACAAAAATACTTGTCACAAGTACCCGGCTGAGAGTCCTCGCCCTCCATAATCCAAATAATCTATCCCTGGAGCAAAAGCTTCTTTCCGAGATGCAGTCTGTATCTGAAGATCTGGCAGCGACTGTACCCTTTGCTCTTCAGAGAGTCAGAGTAATCGGCGACACGCATTCATCATCCTCTCCTCGTTCATGTGTCAGGCTGAACCTAAAGGCCGAAGTCAAGCCCACCGGCGCTTCTTTGGTCATATGGCCGCTAACCATTGCGTCGGGGCTTGAATATGTTGGTTCTAAGCAGAAAACATGGTTCAAGGCTCAGCTAGCTCGTCTGGGCAGAGTGGTAGGGTTTGGGGTGTTCGAATCTGTGGAGACGGATCAATGGCTGAAGCTGTAGTTAGACGATAGAAATAGCCTAGCCGTGCTCGTTTATCCTTCGAAATCGTAAGCTAATGCTCACTAATTCACCAGTGAAACTTACATCTCCACAATACATGTATCATTCTTACAGCAAACACTTCTGTATTTTTCGTTTCAGCTCTGAAGAACTCTCCAGGTTAAACTATTCCACTTTGGGCGATACCAGCGAGCATCCATCAATGACGGACCCAATATCAGAATGTCAGATCCATGTGCCCAAAGTCAAAGATAGATTTGTAACCACTTATTTGATATTACAAATGTAGACCTTCTTTCTGTTTCTATATCCTCAATCCCAAAGCTATATAACACTGCTTCAACTCCCCCATCACCCCAATCCATCAACACAACCCGCTCTCACACACATCGAATACTAAGACCAAGCTAATCACCTACAACCAAATCACCAAAACCAAAACTAAAATGACCACCTCTCTCCAACCCCTAAAACTCTACGGCCACCGCCCCGGCCCCAACCCAGTCAAAGTCCTCATCCTCCTCAACGAGCTCTCCCTCCCCTACACAATCGACGCGGTCCCCTTCAGTGAAGTCAAATCCCCCTCCTACCTATCACTAAACCCCAACGGCCGACTCCCCACCCTCCACGACCCAAACACAGGTCTCACGATCTGGGAATCCGGCGCAATAATCGAGTACCTTGTCGACCGGTACGACACCGCCCGCCGCCTGAGCTTCGAGCCGGGAACCCACGACTTCTATCTCGCGAAACAGTGGTTGCATTTTCAGATGTCCGGGCAGGGGCCGTACTATGGGCAGCTGGTGTGGTTTAAGAAGTTTCATGCGGAGCAGGTTCCCAGTGCTGTTGAGCGGTACGCTAAGGAGGTTAACCGCGTGACTGGGGTTTTGGAGGGGTGGTTGGAGAAGCAGGCTGGGGTTTATGGGGAGGGAGATGGGCCGTGGCTTGTTGGGGGGAAGTTGTCGTATGCGGATTTGGCCTTTGTGCCGTGGCAGAGGATACCGGGGGCGGTTGTTGGTGTGGAGGATTTTGATCTCGACAAGTTTCCGTTTGTGAAGGGGTGGTTGGAGAGGATGATGGAGAGGGAGGGGGTTAGGGTTGGGGTCGAGGGGGAGAAGGAGTGATTTGTCTTCGTTATGGGGGTGCGAGAGTTTGTTTTTTGAGTTTGCTTTGAGTTTGTTGTTTGTGTTGTTATTTGATATATGGAAATTGGTATATAATATTACTGTTTTGAAGTACGCCTGATCCGTGAAGCATCTTCGAAGTCGTGAGTAGGGTGGATGATATGTAAGTCTATGCTACTATTGAGTAATGGAAAGCTAGAGTACATTCTACATGCCATAGCTTTGTGGCTTTAATAATCTCTAGGGACCTAGGTTTCTTCTTCTCTGTCATGTTATAGACAATATTGCTTTTGATGACCCTCATATTAGTTTAACAACCAGCTATGTGATCATGTCATCTGCCTGGTGTTATCTCATGGACTTGGCACGTTAGTATAAAGAATAAGCTTGAGATCAGAGTATTCGAAGCACAATCCCATGCATCAGCTATTACAGTCCCGGCCTCACATGGCTGATCCCAAAAAGTGTGAACAGGTAATAGATAAGATAATATCAAAATCCCAATGATAGGGATAATCCAAATCAACCTTCTAGTTCTTAATACTATGCTTATCTCCCGACTATCAGTCTTGACATGTCGATTATACTAAAGGCACAAGCTTTATACCTCGCTTCACGCAGAAATTAGAATTTTCACCTTTTCGTATAACAAAATTGATCGGTGGGTGCTTGCTTGCGAACCCCGTCGATCTCTACTTTAATATCAAAGCCACGCTCACCCGCCGCATTGGTGGGTATGTACCCACGAGATCTCACACCCCATGGCCGATCGTAGGGGCGTTCAATATTTTCTTCAAGATCTGGCTGAAAGTGATGGCAAACCGGACAGTCTGTCACTATGCTGGAATTCATGACGTTATCATTGTGGTGAGGGATATTCCAGAATGCAGTCCATTGTTCATAGGCTGAGAGCGCTTATACAATATTTACTAAACTATAGTTAGAGCTATACTACTTTGGCATATAATTAGTGGGCTAGCCGTCTAGTTGGATGGGTTGAAAAGATGTCTACCTAGTACAGAGTAGACATGCCCTTCTATCCGGTTCTGATATATATTCTACGATGTCTCCACCGGCTCGACCTAACAATGGGCCCTCTACATAACTCAATGCCTCTCTCAGTTTGATCTGGCCTGAGATCCTCTTTTGAACTAGCCATTGATGAACATTATCAACATTATTCTTCTAATTTTCACAACAAGAGAGGAAATAGTTCGTGGAAGAGCCCTGTGCAGAGAGTCGTGTGTCCGATAAGATATAGCGTTTTCAGAGAACATCAACAAAACCTGACAATGTCTCCGCCGTCCGACTATCTCGCTGATCATGGAAAATGGAATCTGAAAATCTGGCAGGGTTTTATAACCCGCGGGGACATTATTGGATGTAACCTTCAAAGGGTCCAGGCACCGAGGCCACCCATGCTCGGTTATCCGCGGAGGAAGGGCGGAAGAGAATCCCCGCATGATGACATTCTGGGGAAAACGGAATGGGATATAAATCAAGGGGAGGCATTTCTTTGACCGACTGCGATTAATTACACTCTCCGCTCCTCTTCTCCTCCTCCGCCTCAACTCCCACCATGGCGTCCCTCCGCTTACCCCGACTAATACGCTCGCCCGGTCGTCGACTATACTCGGCCGCGGCATCGCCATCGTCACGACTGAACCTCCCCATCGACTACAAATCCACTCCGCTCCTCCATCACACATCCTCCACGCTCTCCGAAAGCCTAGAACTCCCCGGCTCGACAACTTCCAAATCCATGAACCTCTACCAAGCCATCAATTCCGCCCTACGCACCGCACTCACCAAGTCGGAGAAGGTGATGCTCTTCGGTGAAGATGTCGCCTTCGGAGGTGTTTTTCGCTGCTCGATGGATCTCCAGACGGAATTTGGTTCGGAACGTGTTTTCAATACCCCATTGACGGAACAAGGAATCGTGGGATTTGCCATTGGGGCCGCCGCACAGGGCATGAAGCCGGTCGCGGAGATCCAGTTCGCCGATTATGTCTTCCCAGCTTTCGACCAGATTGTCAACGAAGCCGCAAAATTTAGATATCGTGAAGGTGCCACGGGGGTGAATGTTGGCGGCATGGTCGTGCGCATGCCCTGTGGTGCGGTTGGACACGGCGCTTTGTATGGTCCCGGCCCAATGAGCCCTCCCCAAAGGCTATACTGACCCTCCCCCTCCCCCAACTAGATATCATTCACAATCGCCCGAAGCGCTTTTCGCTCACGTCCCAGGGGTCCAGGTTGTTGTTCCCCGTTCTCCGACGCAAGCAAAGGGCCTTCTCCTCGCTTCTATCTTCGAGCATAACAACCCCGTCATCTTCATGGAGCCGAAATGTTTGTACCGTGCGGCGGTGGAGCATGTTCCGAATGAGTATTACACAATCCCGCTCAGCAAGGCGGAGATTCTAAAGCCGGGAAATGATGTCACCCTTATCTCCTATGGCCAGCCGCTCTATCTGTGTTCCGCAGCTATTGCCGCCGCAGAGAAGGCCCTCGGTGTCAGTGTGGAGCTGATTGATCTGCGCACGATCTACCCGTGGGATCGGCAGACGGTCCTCGATAGCGTGAAGAAGACCGGCCGAGCGATCGTGGTGCACGAGAGCATGATCAACTATGGAGTCGGTGCTGAGGTGGCTGCTACTATTCAGGACCAGGCGTTCTTGCGGCTAGAGGCGCCCGTCAAGCGAGTTGCGGGATGGAGTACACATACAGGACTTCAATATGAGAAGTTCATCCTGCCTGATGTTGCTCGTAAGTCAACGTATCAACATTTTATTATGAATAGCCATACTAATTGAACACAGGGATATATGACGCCATTAAGCAGAGCATTGAATACTAAGTTATCAAAATCATAAACCCCAACAGTTCGTTTATATTGCATGGATGGTGATAACTATACGCCTTCCCTTATGTATTTAGACATTGTACGAGCGGAATATAATGAACTCCAGCGCATGTCCATAGGCGTAGCGGATATCCCAGAAGATATCCGGAATTGATCTGACAGGGCACTTTTGCTACATGTGTAGACCGGAGAATAGATCCTGTTCTAATAGCTCATGACCTTGTCATAAAATCTATAGAAGACTAGTAGGCCAATTGCCTCGAGTCTCCTGGCTCTCTTTACCACCCCATGTACGAGAACTTGTTGAAGCGTGGATTAGTAGTGTTGATCAAATAGTAAAAGGCCACCAACTCCAGTCGATCCCACACCGGACAAGACATACAATCGACACTTTGGCCATCTTCTAAATTAATAAATCACTAACTCAATCAATTCACCGTCGACATTTCCATTCCAGCATAGCGCCAAAGAGACAACCCCAATCAGGAAAGCGGAGCTCATCTCAGAAGGAATACTCGACTTTCTTGTTAAAATCCTAAAATTCAAGAAGAATAATATGAACCATCCAAGAAATCTAGTTATATTTGTTTTCCTTCCCACAAAAAATCGCGTCCCACAGGGCTAACGTGGATAAATCCACACACAGTAAACAATAACACAACCCAATCAGGCAAAACAAAATGTTGTTCCAATGAAATGATTCTGCCAGGTCAAATCCGGAGATAACGCGCCAGTCCTAATTAGGACAGGTGTCCCCGTGCCCTTACCCCGTGATTTGGGGTGTCTCCATCACAAAGCGCTGATTGGTGGATAACGCCAGAAACCCTTCCTGAAGCGGTAAGAATAGCCACGGTTGCCATCGGGGTATATCTTTGTCCGTGTGGAGGTTTTGTTTGGATGCTTCCCGTTGCGTCGGCATTGGTGATTTGTATCATTCATGTCGGGTGGTGGGGGCATCTTAACGATTGATTATGGATATACCTGCTGTTTAGGAAAGGTTATACTTTGATCAAGACCCTGTGGATATGGTCAGAAACTATGAGTAGGGTGCAATTATGGTGAACTAGATAGAATTGGATCTGACTATGTTAATGGGATGCTAAACTGAAATATATAATGCTGTCTACGCTGCGCAATTAGTCTGGCTGTTAGTACCACTTTGAGATTGGATAGAGAATTTGAACTCCGTAGAGAATCTGACTATTTACTTAGTTTCTTAGTTTACACGGAACTTTCTACCTGGGCGTGAGGCGAGTTTTCTGCACGGAATGCAAAAAAGGGAAGTGAAAATAGCCTCCAAGCGAAGCTTTACTCCAAACGAGTTGCATAAACTAGGTCTGTGACGAAACTTACTAGTGGAATAGCCGCGATGGCAATGTTTATCGCGGAGGTAACTCGTATATACTATACTTCAGATCCAAGGAAACGTAAGAGTAAATAGATAGCCTTCCGATGAAGGTAACTTGGTAGGATATTCACAAGGCTCCTGATAAAGTGAGAAATGTCGAATCTTATATCTACTCTACTCCAAGGGCACATGAACCCGCACGAGACCAGCAAAACAAGAGCAGAAAAGAGTCGGAGTAGTGCTAATATGAATACCATGAATCTCTCTTTCATTCGCTGACCGCCACATTTCCACCGCGACTCTGGGGCTTCAAGTGGCCCAGCATAATCTGCCGTGACCGCCAACCTGCCCACTCATTCACCGGGCGTATCTCCTCCTCTTCCCCTTCGGACAATGGAGGAATCTTGCCACCCCGAATGCGTCGCATAGATGCCTTCTGGGCAGGCCGAACTAAGTACGCCACGCTTTGGCGCTGCACCAATGCCTGATCTCCGGGGGCTGTCATCACCCGGTGCAACGAGCTACGCAGCAGTTCGCCCGTCCATTCCACCAGCGTATCGCCCACATTCACCAGCGCACAGCCCGGCTCAGGTCGTACGTACTCCCAGTTCTCCATCACATTTTCCTTCCCATCCGGAAGGATCTGGAGTCCGCCCACCACGTGGAACAGGATTGTCATGGTACCGATATCGGTGTGTCCGCCCAGGCTGATGCGATCATATTCTGGGGCAGACTGAGGCGGACTACAGAGAAGACGCACGGAGGTCTCGGACTCGTCGTCCAGTGGACTGAGTGCAGCCAGTGTGCCCTGCTCCAGGCCGATCTGACCGTCCAGCGCACCTAGAATCACCGCCAATGCTGCAGAGCAGTGTCGAATAAACTCTTGGAGTTGGGTGCGCTTAGATTCAATCGGACCGGCGTTAGTCCGTGGAGGACGGTTGCCTAGAATGTCGTCCCATCATCAGAATCTCGCAGATCGATTAGAAAGAAACCCCATTCTCTACAAGCTTCGAACAACTTGTGTCCTTCAGTGGAGCTCCCACTCTGTAGTCCTTGAAGCGAGATAGTCGGCAGCCTCGCGACGGGAGTCTCGGCAGGGAAGGCCGGGGCTTGGGCAAAATACCGGGGTGTTGGCATTGTTGGTCGCCGTGGGCGGACGATCTCGATTACCGGGAACAGGTACTGCGAAGATGTAGACAACAAGAGTACAAGAACTTGAGATAGAGTAGTATGCCTCTTAGTTCGGCACCTTCGGAGGCTTCTCATCTGACCAAAGAACCACGCAAGCATCCGTTGGGGGCCAAAAGGATTAGTCATTAGAGTACTTTCTTCTCGTTCAATATCATTCATGTATAGCTTGGAAAACTGCACTCATTTATGATGTTTTGATGGTTTAAAATGCGAGATAGATACCAACTTCATACGTGTTGCCTGGTTCTCAAACACAAAGCCCTAATGATGGAAACATTGAAATACATGGTCCCCATAACCCGCAATCCATGGCACGCCACATCTCATAGTCCTCACACTGGGTTCCATAGCAGTTCCTACTTAAAAATAACGACACTCCATGGTCTTTCCGGTTAGAAATAGCCTTGACTCAAAATAGATAACTATCAAAATACAGGTCTCCTTGTCAAACAGAAACCGGGAACGAGTGTCGCGCCCTGTGGGCTAGCAGGATCCAAGATAGACTCACGCATTGCGAACCCAACAAACGCTATTAAAAGGGGAACCACTACTAAAGCCATTATATTTCACACCGATATCAAACAAAGGACCTCCCTGTTCACTATCGACACGGAGAGCCGAGACAAACCGAAACATAAATACCCAGCCAGACTGCTCAGCATCATCATCAATCACCCCGATTCGGCAATAGCAGCCATTAGACCGCTAGCTAGTACGGGACCAGAAACATGGATCAGCATTGCAGCGGTTCGGATCGGACCGTTTGGCAGTCTTGTCCGAATTTACCATAGTGTGGTGCGTAAGATTCCATAGTGGTACTAGCTGGCCTGCCTGGTCAGGGCATGGCCTAAACCATGCCCTATTACATTGGCTGGAGAAACCCTCAAAGGGAAGGATAGACGAGTTTCAATGAGGTAAACACGTCCGCCGACCCACCGTACAGTCTTTGCGGCTCCTTCGTCAAGGCACTAACAATCACGGTACCGGTGCCTGTCCCACTTGGTTTGGCTCTCTAGGGGGTCAATATTCACTAGAATATTGAACTTTAACCTGGAATATTCTAGACTGGAGCAGCATTTTCTGGCACTGTACCAGCTGACTAGGGTTGCTGGCTTGAATGAAAATATCATAACATTCACGAGAGCGTGGTATGGTTTAAAAAGAAAATGACCATGCTATATAAATTCAATTTCTATATGCGTCCACAAAGGACAGATAATACGAGAGATAGAAAGAATGTGATTGTGCAAAAATATCAGGAGTATTACTGCTATGATTTACTTCTGAGATGGTTTGATATGCTGCCTGGTAGGGCTAGCCGGCTGAGAGGGATGTGTCCACAGCTTCTGAGAACAGATCAGTGCAGGGAGAAAGTAGTTACGTGTAAGCTATAAAATGGGTTCTTCCAACACATTCGTGAAATTTTAACTTCAAATCCAAGCCAAGTAGCCTTCGTAACTAGTCCTGATATCAAATTGTTACACACTTCGCACTCTATCATCAACGCCAAAACGAATGTAAACAAGACAATCCCCGCAAATATAACACTACAATGTAGCTTCCACCTCGTCCACCACCAAGACCTTGATACTCGGGTTCTTCGGGTTAGAGCACAATTGCAAAGCCGACTCAGCCTGTTCTAATGGGAATGTATGAGTAACAAGTTTCTTGAGATCGAGGATTCCGCCGCTCATGCACTGAATAGCTGGAGCCCAAGTGTCGCGGTAGCGGTTGATGAAGCGTAAGTCAATCTGTAGCGAGAATGTTAATAAGAGCGTAATAGGATATAGATATCCCGGTATCCTACCTCAGCCAGCGAGATATGCATAAACGGCAAGTTGTTCATCACAGCTTTACCCACGCCAATGACCACGACCGCACCGCCTCGGCGGGCAGTGAACGCAGCAGTGCATACACTGCTTTCAACACCGGTGCACTCGAGAACCGTCTCCGGGGCAAAGTATTCTTCGGTGCCGAACAGCGCTCGGATTGCCTTGGCGTTTCCTTGGGCATCTAGATCGCGGTTCACCTGGTATGTGATACAGCTCGGGACGAACTCCTTGGCGAACGCCAGCCGACTAGGCTCTAGGTCTGTGATAACGATAGGATGAGCGCCTGACGCCCGTGCCGCAGCCAAGGCGATTAGTCCAATGGGTCCGGCACCGCAGACGACGGCCCCGCGACCAAGCTGCAAGCCAGCGACTGACATTCCACGCATAACAACCGAGAGGGGCTCAAGGAGGGCACCCTCCGCGTAAGTGAGATTATCGGGGAGCCTAGGCTTGGGGTTAGAAATGTAGAATGCATGAAAATTTGGCTAAGTCTCACTTGTGAACCCATTTTGCTGGGTGCGTCTTGTATCGTTGAATTGTTCCAGCGTAAGGGTATACACCTGCGAACTGGACATCTTCGCAAAGGTTATAACGGCCGTCGAGGCAGAGAAAGCAGTCCCCGCAGGGCACACCCGGCTCCACAGCCACTCGGTCACCTAATTTTTCTGTGTCAACACTATTCAGTAGAGAGGGTCAATTACGGTGAACGAACCTGGATGGAGGTGAGTGACTCCCTCGCCACATTTCAAGACAACACCTGCGGCTTCATGTCCGATAATGCAATCGCCCTTGAAGATTAGTTCTCCAATGCAACCGGTCTTCCAAAAGTGAAGATCAGAACTTTTGTTCAACTGTTAGTAAATGCTGGCGCACTGAACTAATACGATATCCTTACCCGCAAATTCCAGTTGCCTTGATTTGAAGTAGAACTTCACCGTGCTTTGGGGCATACACCGGTGCATCAATGGCCTTGAGCTTGTGATCGGCTGTGACTTGAAGAGAAGGGTTGGGGAAAGGCGTGACAATAGTCTCTGTAGATTGTTTGGCCGGCGTTGCGGCTGTGGGGGGATTGAGACTGGGATCAAGGAGAGAGGGCGCCATGATGGACCAAAATTAGTATTTTTGTGTTTATTGCTTGATCAGGATATGAAAAGCGAAAGACAGAGGAAAACATGGTGTGGGGGGAATTCGTGGATATTATATTGAGGGCCTCCGTATTGCAAGGCAATGCTTAGTGATATGGGGTATTGTGGGGTATTCGTGCAGGAAAATTGAGGAGGGAAACTGCAACCACTGGAATCACGAGACCCGCTCCTAATGTGGATCGTCTTATCGATAAAGAGGAAATGTGGGTCACCATTCGATTGCCTTTTTCAGCCAGAAGTGCCTCAACTTTCCAGATCGGGCAAAAGGGCTCACCCTACCCTATCTGTAATGCGCAGAAAAGTCCCCGGTCGCGCTTCGAGTTATAAATATAAGTCCGATCGGGTCCTGATTGCGAGTTGTTGAAGACAAAATCGGACTAAAGATCCTCGCGAATACATACATACATCATGGCTGTTGGTCCGGTTACCGTCAACGGCAGCGGCAAATCTGCCCTGCCGCTGGTTCAGCAAATGTCCAAAGACCATGATATCGTGTTGAAGACATTCCGTATGCTCATTTCGGACTTATGCCAGCAATTCGGAGGAGGCCACCCTGGGTATGTTAGCCAGCAGACGTTGAATACGGAGGATACTGACATCAAACCTCCAGTGGCGCCATTGGTATGGCCGCTATCGGTGTCGCTCTCTGGCGATATGTGATGCGCTATGCTCCACATACCCCCGATTTCTTTAACCGCGATCGTTTCGTTCTCTCCAACGGCCATACATGCCTATTCCAGTACTCCTTCCTGCACTTGACCGGATACAAGGCGATGACCTTTGACCAACTCAAGTCCTACCACTCGGATCGCATCGACGCACTTTGCCCTGGTCACCCTGAGATCGAACACGAGGGTATCGAAGTCACCACGGGACCCCTGGGTCAGGGTGTTGCTAATGCCGTCGGATTGGCGATGGCGACCAAGAACTTGGCTGCGAAGTTCAACCAGCCAGGATACGATGTTGTTAACAACCACACCTGGTGTATGATTGGAGATGCCTGTCTGCAGGAGGGTGTTGGATTAGAAGCTATTTCGTATGCGGGTCATCTGAAGCTTAATAACTTGACTATCATCTACGACAACAACCAAATTACCTGTGATGGATCGGTCGATCTGACCAACACTGAAGACATTAACGGCAAGATGCGCGCCTCCGGGTGGGACGTGATCGACGTGGAAGACGGTTGCTACGATGTCGAGGGCCTTGTGCGCGCGCTGGAACAGGCTCGCGCCTCCACAGAGAAGCCAACATTCATCAACGTCCGCACAGTCATTGGCCTTGGTAGCAATGTTGCCGGTCAGGCCGCAGCCCACGGTGCTGCATTTGGAGCCCCCAATGTGGCCCAGATGAAGAAGGACAACGGGTTCAACCCAGACGAGCACTTTGTTATCGGAGAAACGGTACGAAAGTTCTTCGAAGATCTTCCTGCACGCGGTGAATCTCTTGTCCAGGAGTGGAAGGACCTTGTGAAGCAATATACCGCTCAGTACCCTGAGCTCGGCGCAGAATTCCAGCGCCGCATGAGCGGAGAGTTGCCATCCAACTGGAAGGACCTGATCCCCGCCAACTTCCCAGAGAAGCCTACCGCTTCACGAGCTTCGTCGGGCTTGGTCTTCAACCCCATTGCTAAGGAGATTGAGAACTTCATGGTCGGTACTGCTGATCTCTCGCCATCTGTGAACATGATCTGGCCTGGAAAGGTAGACTTCCAACACGTAAGTCGTCCAGACCCTAATCGATTAGTTGAGCCATTCTAACTTGTATAGCCTGATCTGCGCACCACCTGCGGCATTAACGGCAACTACGGCGGTCGCTACATCCACTATGGTGTGCGCGAACACGCCATGTGCGCTATCTCCAACGGCTTGGCCGCTTATGCCCCCAACACCTTCATCCCCATCACCTCGTCCTTCTTCATGTTCTACCTCTACGCTGCTCCCGCCGTGCGTATGGGCGCATTGCAACACCTCCAGATCATCCACGCCGCGACACACGACTCCATCGGTATGGGAGAGGACGGCCCCACTCATCAGCCCATCGAATTAGCCGCATTATACCGTGCCATGCCCAACCTTCTCTACATCCGTCCCGGTGATAGCGAAGAAACCGCCGGTGCCTGGATTGCCGCCATCGAAGCCAAGAAGACACCCACCATCATCTCCACCTCCCGTCACACTCTGCCCCAGTTGAAGCAAACCCGTCGCGACGGCGTCGCGCGCGGTGCATATGTTCTCGAAGAGGCCGAGAACGCAGCTGTTACCCTCATCGGTGTGGGCGCAGAATTGTCCTTCGCCCTGGAGGTCGCCAATAAGCTCAAGGAGAAGGGCATCGTCGCGCGGGTAATCAGTTTCCCCTGCCAGCGTTTGTTCGAACAACAATCCCTCGAATACAAGCGCTCTGTTCTGCAGAGGCACCGTGGTATTCCTGCTGTGGTTATCGAGCCTTATGCACCTAACGGCTGGGAGCGGTATGCGGACGCTGGCGTCTGCATTAAGCGCTTCGGCCACAGTTTGCCTGGCAAGGTGGCGTACAAGTACTTCGGTTACGACATTGATGCTTTGACCGAGAAGGTTCACGGTTATCTGGGACAGGTTGAGAAGGATGAACTGTTGAAGCATGAGTTTGTTGAGCTGTGATGACTTGGTTATGATGTATATAGAAGGCATTCCAAAATGAATATAGATTAATTGTTCTGTTTAACATGACATAAAGCTCAAGCATAGTCAATGACACTGCGTAGCGAGACCTTGAATCGTGCGCTTTGGTCGAGTTCTTAATCCAGGAATTCCAGGCACAAGAGGAAGAAGGTTACTCGGTGTGCAACTCTTGGTCTCTATGATCTTTGATATAGCGTCCATGTTCGGGCCTCATGTATATTACAGAGGTTACAGATCCTGAAACGTCAACAATGCCACTGTCTTCCACCTTCTCTAGATTATATCGCCAGACTTTGGAACCAATGGTATCACTCATCGGGTTAATGTGCTCTCTTCTGTTCTCATTGCTCTTGCGCTACCTAAGCGATGGGCTCACGTTCTTTATCAAGATGGACCCAGTCACGATAGTCGGGCTCGTTTCATGTGTACTAACTTTCATCGAATTCGGGAAGAGGATCAAGCAAACCACGCATCAAGCCGAATCGAAGGATGGCACCGAGGCCATTGATGTTACAGTGTCCGAGCTACAGATGCTATGCATGACCCTCCATACAGATAAGGATCCTCGGAATGAGAATGAGAAGGCTCTTCTTTGTCGCCTTGCAGAGGTATGCAGGAGAACACGCGCAATGCTCCCACATTGTTACCATGGCACATACAGCGGTGAATGGGGTGAATCACCGTGCATTAGTCGAAACCCACTACTCCAGACGGAGTACATCTAGTTTCCCCCGACATTTCTCTTTCGCAATCGCTCCTCCAACTGCTCTTTCGGTGACTTCAGCTTCACCTCAGGAAACCTCGTATCCTTCGTCCACGGCAAAAAGTCCGACGACTCGACCAACCATCTCAACACCTCCGCCTCCAACATCCTAGCCACAGGCACATACTTCGGCTCCGCGGCCAGATTATGCATTTCCTCCGGATCCCGTTGCCGATGATACAGCTCCGCCGGCTCATACAACCGATAAACAAACGTCCACTCCAACGAACGAATACTAACCGCCTTCCCCACCAGCGTCGTATCCTCATGTTGCAATGCAGCCTTAATATCATACGGATAAGGCGCTTGCTCCAGCAACGGCTCCTCAGCCGTCAGGAACCCACCCTCACTAAACGCATACTCCTTATGCCCCAGACTCGGATCCCGGAGGACAGGAACCAACGACCGCCCGTTATGCGGGAACTGTTCAGCGATGCCACAAAGCTCAAGAACAGTGGGCACGAGATCCACCATCTCCGCCATGCCAGTATAAACCTGACCCTGGGGCAGTCCTCCACCGGCAATAATCAACGGCTCGTGCACAAGCGAGTCGGATAGTCCAGATGGCCACTTCTCAATCAATCCATGATCTCCAAGATACTCACCATGATCGGTGAAAAACATCGTAATGGTCTCATTCCACAGCCCCAACTCATCTAACCTTCCCACGACCCGTCCAAACTGATCGTCCAATCTCGATATCATCCCATAATATGTCGCCTTCAGTTCCCGCCAGATCTCCCCCGTTGCTCGCCCCGTCCCGTACCGCTCCCGAATCACCTGCATATACCGCGGCTCATACCCGGTCTTCTCTCCCGGCACAGCCCCGGGCTCGGGGATGACATTCCGGTCATAGAGCGAAAAGTAAGGCTCCTCAACCTGAAACGGACAATGCGGGAAAATCAGCGGCATAAAGAGGACCCAGGGCTTATCCTGAGGTGGACACTCCAGCCACCGCAACGCAGACCGTACAACGGCATCATCGTAATCGCTTGCCTCGGCCGCATTCCTCAATCCCTTGTAGAAAAGTCGACCCCAGATACTCTCATCCTTGGAGTCATTGGCCTTGTCACCCGAGAACCGGGGTACGAATTCAGGTGTCTCGAGGAACCCGTACTCATCTACGGAGAGTTCTGTCACGGTCGGCGCGAAGGTATCTCCCCGGGGAGCGAGACAGGCAACATGATAGCCGTTTTCTTTTAGGCTGCGGAGGAGGTTGGGTTCCCAGGGTTTGATGAGGTTTTCGAGACTGCGGTGGCCGCTGACGTGCGGGTAGGTTCCGGTGAACATGCTGCAGCGGGATTGGGAGCAGACGGAGGCTTGGGTGAAGCAGTTTGTGAAGAGGGTGCCTCGGGATGCGAAGGAGGAGACGTTGGGGGTTTTGAGGAAGGTGGTTTTGGGGGTCGAGGTGCAGGAGAGGCTGTCGTAGCGCAGTTGGTCTGGCATGAAGATTACGAGGTTGGGTTTGGAGGGCATTTTGGTGGTGGCAGTTGTTGGTGTTACTGTCATCTCTGTGGTGTAGATTGGTGGGCCTTTTTATTATCTATCTACTTAATGTATGGAGTTGGTGGTTTGCTTGAGCATATATGTAGTTAGGGTTGCTAGAATGGCATATCGGCTGTCGGTCTACCGATCGTCGGTTATCGGGGTGGAGTCCACTAAGTGCAGCGTCAAACATCCACCTGATGACACCATCCGCAGTTTGTTAGAGCTCATGTGACGGTCAGTCAGTATTGGCCCTAATTCTTCCAACACCAATGAGGCTAGCAAGGTAAAGTGGACGGACGTCTCGAGAAGTGGAGGGCCGCTGTCATGGATGACGAGTTAATCGAAGTCTACACAGTTGACAAATGAAAAGAATATACTGAAAAATCATAGTTGGGAAGTATATATGTAAGATCTCTTTGTATTGTAGTGCCTTTGTATAGGAACATTGGGTATCTAGTAGATCTAGGCAGGTCAAGTTCCACGACCGGAGTGCCGAAGCTCCTGGAACACGATTACTCTCGACTCTGAAATAGAACCACAGACTGGGGATAGAATGAGCATCTGTTCATCAGAAATGGCTTTCTCGAAAGGACTGGTGAGGGTACTAGATAAAATATCAGTTACTACGTAGTATTGAACTTGGATGACATCACAATAACAAAGAACATCAACAGAAATACCCCATACCATCCCATTGCATCTGTCGGATCAAATCAAACCCTATTCCGGGTTCATCCCATGCTCCCTCAAATGCATTGCCACCCTGTAGCCACGTTTGGCTTGCCACAATTGAGTCTGGAGTCATATCCTCCGCAGGATCCAAACTGGGCAACGAGGGTGGTAGCTCCAACGTGCCTGATGGTCCGCCGTATTCGTGGTTATGCTTCTCATAGACAGAGAAGTTGTCACCAGCATGTGCACCCTGGAGTGCTAACTCCTCGCTATCGTCAATGAACTCCGATCTAGCAATTAAGCTATGAATGGAGAGGATCTGGCGAGGGCCTTGCTGTTGGCTGTGCTTAAGGCAGTTCTCTGGATGATCGTTATGATCCTGAGTTTCATCTATGAGATCTTTGAAGTCACGTTCCTAAATATGTCAGCTACCTACTTACCTACCAGCTAGTCACTGACTTACGATTGTCTGAACTGAAGGTGAAGTCCGAGCTACAGTCTGTATAATTTGCAAACATGATCGTTGATAATGCTTGATCATCTCCCCGGATACTGGTATCTTATGCTCATGTGTCTTCTGGCCATGGAGGAGGAGGCGTATGCACTGGTACGCACAAACAGCCACGTCCAGTGGGAGGACTAAGAACTCCAACCTGAGATCGGTCAGCGAGGTAAGAATACCTGCAATCTGTACTGCATGGTGCGTGCACTGTTCCCGACACCTGAGAACAAATGCAGTATCAAATTCATTCAAGGTGGATGCCGGAACAGACTCGATTAGTCCACTAGTAATGCAGCGATACAGGTCGCAGTAGCATTGATGCCATAGGACATGTAGAACAATAAACCGAGGCAGCCAGGATGAATGAGCACGGAGTCTTAGATTCCTCTCTGAATAGGCACTTGATGGAGGCAGGCGGAGATAGAACTGCTCGAGCTCAGTTTCCAGCTCTCGTATCCCATACATTATCTCAATGGCACTGCAATTCCCGGCGGCAAATCGCTTTGCATGGCTAAATCTGTTAGTATACCCAATACGCGCACATTGTAAGACCTACTAGTAAAACGTACCGCAGGACCTTGTCCCTTAAGTAGGAGACACAGACATTTGCTGCTAGTAATCCAGGAAGTTTAGTCTGTGACTTGAGTTGTACTTCGGTCTCCGGAGAAACATCCAGCTCCCATATGTCCTCGGGACACGGAAGGCCAACATAGATAGCATCTACTGGGCAGGTGGTGAATTCTAATAGTCCCGCCGCCCAGGTTTGGTCAAGCATATAGATGGCCCACATAAGACGACGACGAGCTTCCCGGGCCAGAAAGCAAACTCTCTGGTTGTCGTAATTCAATCGTAAACTAAAGGCAAACCGAGAAAGTAGCGACACAAGCGGAAATGCAGAGGAATACTGCCCAAGGCACATCTTACACCGTACTATCAAAAGTAATGCCTGCGTTCGAATAATGGACGGTTGAGAAAGATTGTTAACAATAAGCTGTTCTGCCTTGGTCAGGCATTGAGCCGCGTACTCACGCTTCGACGAGTCTGTCTCCGTTAAACAAGTCGAAACAGCGATAATTGAGAGAAGGAGGCTCTGGTCGGCCTGTCCTCTGTGAAACCGGTCATACAGCGAGGCGCGGTGCAGAAAGGCATATCCCGGAAGGGGATAGATGCGCTCAAAGAAAATGTCCAGGGCTACTTGAATTTGTATATTGTCTGGATTTCTAAAGACATCCGTACTAGGTCCGTCAGTTGCATTAGCGTAGAGAGAAAGAGCATATAAGATTCACACACGTAATGGTTGTCGAAGGCTCGGCATTTGTCTGCTCCCCTTGCTCCACAGACCGCTGTGGAGCATCCTTGGGACCTTTTTTTTCACCAGTGCTCCCAGTCTTGAGTAGGCTCGAGGAATAGACACACTCCCTTCCTCGCTTTTGACAACGGAGACATGCAGGGAGATGCCCACTACAGCGAACTTTCAAAGAATGACAACGACTACATGCTTGTCGGGCTCGAAGCCGCTCCGGTCTTTCTAGTGCGGGAGACGATGAGTCCAGGTTTTGAAAAGAGCAAGCGAACTGAAGTCGGTCGCAGTTGCTACAAATGCTCTTTCGCCCATCGCAGCGAACCTATATCACAAATGAGCTTGAGTGTATGCGGGCCTTAGGTTCTCTGAGCACCTTTCTTAGTCTACACTGCTGGCAGGTCCTGTGTCTCTGGCTCAATCCTGCTGTTGTGAGTGTAGCCATGTCGTGCCAAATCTGATATGGATAATTTGTAATTCAATGGTAAACGGAGGGACATTCCCATATTTAGAACCGAAGGCAGACATGTAGCAGCACCGTGGATAGTTTAATTGGTCCAGCACGAGTTGTGATTGCGGGGGTGGGCCACTAAATTGCGTGATCTGCTGTTGATCCACAATGCGAACAAAGCCGTGAGGGTATACGGGATATTCTTCTAGTCAAGTTCAGTTCACCAACACATAGTTACAGCAACTTCCTAGCTAGAGAGGAATGCAATTCAAACCGCTCAGATTACACGATATCCGAAAGAGAGGCATTATAAGCATGTCAGTACACAAGACACCGGACATCGAAGACGAGATCCAGATCTACAAGTTAGAATCAGTTAAAGTCAGTCATTTCCTCGAAATCCATGTGTACTAGCTCCAATGCTACTAGTAGTTAGGGTTATCCATCCCCGCAGCATCGGCCCCGACAGCCGACATCTCTTAGCAACGAAATATCGCCCTGAAAGCCGATCGGCATAGAGATGGTGCCAATGACATGGGATATTGTCTCATCAGACACTATAGCAAGATGGTTATGATCTGGTGTACATGGCAATATACTTATATATCCCGTTTACGCACACAATTCATCTCAAGATGACCATTGTAGCCCATACCCTTTACAGATATCCAGCATGAAACGTCCACAGTTCCTTGCATACTTCAACACCAGACTAGCCCTAGCCTGCATCCTCATAGCCATATCCTCCTTCAACTATGGCTTTGATAACCAAGGTTTTGCTACGACGCAGGCTATGGACGCCTTCGACAAACGCTTCGGCGACTATAACCCTAGAACGAAGCAGTATGCACTGGACCCAGCCTGGCTATCGCTGTTCAACAGTCTAAACTACATCGGATTTGCTGCTGGTATGTCCCACTGCAACGACAAGCGCCGGATGTGCTAACTAGTCAGGCGTGCTCATCGGCAGTCAGATATCCACCCGGTTCGGTCGACGTTGGTGCATGTTTTCGATGAGTTGCTACGCTCTCATCACGGCCACGATCACAGTTACCTCGAGAAACCGTGATCAGATCCTCGCTGCTCGAATCCTGAATTACGTCTATGTTGGGATGGAGTTGGCTGTTGTCCCAACCTTCCAATCTGAAATAGGTGAGCCCCATCAGATTTATACTACCTTTTAGTTCACCAACACTAAATCGCTGTATAGTCCCAGCGCAAGTCCGAGGCCTCGCCGTAGGTACCTACCAGTTCAGCATCATCCTAGGTGGTCTAATCATCAACTCCATCTGCCGGGGTACAAGCAAAATCGAAGATGACCGAGCCTGGCGCATCCCCCTTGGTCTATTCTACATCGTCCCAACAATAGTTCTATCGTTGATATGGTTCGTCCCTGAGAGCCCACGCTGGCTCCTCCAACAAGGCCGCGTAGAGGAATCCAAGGCTAGTCTCCGGCAACTGCGCCAGGGACGTTTTACTATCGAACAGATCAACGACGAATTCCATGAGCTTCAAACTGTTCTCGAACAAGAGGTTGAAAAAGGCCATTGGGTCGACCTGGTCAAAGGAGTTAATCTGAAGAGAACGGCGCTCGTTTTCATGGTCAATTTCTTTCAGCAAGGTACTGGGCAGGCGTTTTCATCTCAGTATGGAGCGGTTTATGTTAAGCAGTTGGGGACTGTTAATCCGTTTGACATGACGGTTGTGCTTTCGCTTTTGAATTTGGTGTCGATCATTGGCTCGTTGGCATATACCGATCGGGTTGGGAGGAGGTATGGTTCACCTTTTCCTTGTTTTATACCTTTATGTCCTTGAGATATTAGCTGACAGGTTATGCTAATGCCTTTTCAATGCAGACCCATGCTCCTAGCTAGCTCTGGAGTCATGGCAGCAGGCCTATTGACGATGGGAGGTCTAGGGACTCCGAATCCCATGACAACCGACTTGAAGAAAGGCGTGGTGGGTATGTACGTGGTCATGGCACTGGGATTCTCTCTCGGTTGGGGACCGCAAACGTACGTAGTCGCCACCGAGCTACCTGCGCTGCGGTTGAGAGACATGACGCTGCAGTTGGGGTTTGTTGTCAATGTCGTTTCTAAGTATGTTGTTCTCTGCCCTGTCCTCCGTTTACCCTGTGTTTATCTATTGTCTCAGAGGCTAATATGCATCATCCAGCTTTGTCGTCAACTTCACCATCCCTTACCTTGTAGATGCGGAATTTGCAGGTCTAAACTCCAAGGTTGGATTCATCTTTGGTGCCGTTGCGGTTGTCGCGTTCGTTTGCACATTCTTTTTCGTGCCCGAGTGTCGGGGCAAGACTCTTGAGCAGATTGATGTCATGTTTCATTTGGGGGTCAAGTTGCGGGATTTTGGATCTTATGATGCTAGCACGTTGTTTGCTGAGCAGGAGTTTAAAGGGGTCGAGGTTGCTAGGGATACTGCTAAAGCTGACGGGAATGGTGTCAAACAGTAGACTGTTTTCTGGTTGAGGGTTACATGTGATAAGCGCAGTGATATGTCAATCATATTGTTCCTGGCGTAGATGCTATGTTCATGCCAGGGTGTTGTACAATAATACCGGCGTTCAAGACGGTCAGTTGAGAAATCTATGCAGTATTTGAACATTAGCTATATTCATGATAGGTACTTTTATCCTCCTAAAAATCATAAATTCGTTGGGCAGCCTTCAAATCAATAGGTATACCGAAAGTGAGCCTGCGCAGATTAGCAATTAAATCAGGCAATACTTATTCTAAGCGGGAAAACGCTTACTCTATTTTGGATAACTCGCTGCCCCCTTTTCTGCTGACGGTTGCAACTGTAAAAGGCGAGGGTAAACACACCCACAATGACAATCATGAGAATATGAGATCTGCTTCAGTAAGCCCCAGCTCAAGCCTCATAAAGCACTTGACGTATCAACACGTACCCCACCGATACCCATACAGCAGTCTGATACTGCGGGGCCTCCTGTTGTCGGACAATGTAACTACCCGCTACTCCTCCCAGACCGTTACAGGCAGACACTGCAGCCGCGGTGGTGGCGCGTTTCCACTGTCCTACCACATTGTTTGCCATGAACGCGTTCAGTGCCGCCCAATTGGAGACGTATGCTCCAGTGGCCAAGAATGTCCCGATATACCGCACGGTCACCTGAGTGGAGGAGGGGAGGCCGAACATCAGGAAGCCCGCTATTAGACAAAGGGCATTGAACGTGATTAGTGGCCCCCGTAATCGGTACGTGTCTCCAACAAGAGAAGTGAAAAGGACCGGGACGACCGACCAATAATATGGCTGCTCAGGTTAGAATACGCATTGCAACATACAAAGAAAGAACACAACGTTAGAGAAGATGGGACATACTGGCGTCGAAAGGAGGATAGCTGCGTTGCTAGAAAACCCCATTCCCGATTGAAGAATGATCGGGAGAAAATACGACAATGCGGTGGAAACTAAATTGAGAATAAAAAACATACATGCAAACCCGTACAGCTTAGGGTCCAGAAAGTTCACAGCGACTTTGCTCCATGTAAATGGCTCCGGCACCACATCATTGCGATCGACCTGGATACGCTGTACGGCTAACTGCGCCTCCGCCTCAGATAGGAAGTAGAAGCTTCGGTGTGCTGCTTCCGGGAAATCGACCATCCACCAATACGTGACGACCCCAATGACGCATGTGATGAGTCCCTGGACAAGGAACATCCAGCGCCAGCCGCTCAGTCCCGCCCGTCCATCTAAGTGATTCAGACCGTAATTGACAATCGTGCCCGTCGCCATCACGGTGACCTCTCCCGATTGGAGAAATGCGAATCGGAGCTGTTGCTCCCGTCGGGTGTACCAGGTGCTGATAAGATACGTTAAACCCGGGTATATACCGGACATGGCCATGCCTAGCAGCACACGAAGGGCAATAAGCTGTTTCCACGTTTGAACAAACGCCGTACAGAGAGTAAGCAGGCCGAAACAAAATGTGATAGACGCAAACCAAATCCGCGGGCCGACCCAGCGCACTGCAACCGTGCAAGGGAGTTGAAAGACGACGGAGGCTATGGTAAAGATGAAGATCGATACCGAATATCGAGTACCTTCCAGGTCAAGATCGCTAAGCATACTAGTCACGGAGGCCGATGAGAGGATGCCGGAGTCGAGCAGATTGAGACTACAGAGAATGCCAGCAATGGTACAGAGGCGCAAGTCCACTTTCCAGCGAAGTCTCCTCTCCAGCTCTTTCAATTCCTCTGGAAGATCTGCCTCCACGATATCACGGTCACTCGACTCCGGAATATCCGGCGTCAATGGTGAGGCGGCCATAGCGAGCTCGGGAACTTTTTCTTCGGTCATAATGATGGCTTTTCCCTCTTTGTTTTATTCAATATCGCTTTCCCTTCAATGGTTCCCACATTTGACCTTATTGTTCCACGGTCCTTTACTGCCGAGAAAAGGTAAAAAAAAAGAATTTGATCGTGAGTCAAATTTTGGCAGGGTGGCAGCTTATCGGCACTGTTTCGTGCAGGTTATCTGCAGACTAAAGCAATCCCCGACGGTAAGCACCCAATAGCGCTATTCAGCCGCAGCAGTATTGAGTATTGACCTTGCGAAACGTGTTCTAACATGGGTGCCGAGGTCGTTTTCCAATAATGGCCACTTCAGTCCCAGTTATGCCCTCAGCTGACGGGAAAAAAAAAAAAAAAGTTCCAGTGGCTTCTAAAAGGAGTACTTCTGGCCAGAGTTGTCTCTCCGATCCCACAGGCAATCCTTGGGCGAGGAACAAGAATCCCTTGCATCACGTCGCTCATGAGGGTAACTGTAAGCACTTGTGAACGCTTGTGGAATGTTCATTTGGGATTTATTTGCCTGCAAACAGCTTGAGTCGAGGAGATCACATGGTCAGCCTGTCCGCGATAAGCATCAACAAATCATAATTTCAATTAAACTAAATTTGAAGAATTCACTATAAATGGCTCAAATACTTAATTAATTGGTTAATTATTTTTTGACCCCCTTGGCCCATGTTGATTATGGTTCAGTCATTCAAATTTCTCCTAAATATTTACCCATTATAATCTGAAGGGGGACGTCGACCGTACCAATATATATTGCCAGTATCGACTGAATACTCATAGTCCAGTCCACCAGGTCCGCGAGTCCCATGACTCCCAGACCGGATGAAAAACAGTCTCACTCTGTTTTGATCTGCCAATATTTCCAAAGCCAATCTAATTCATTAGTACTCCTCCATACCGTGGCTCCCAACCCCGCAAACGTGACCCCACCCTCTCTCCTGCACGCTCTTCGGGCGAAGGGAGACCAAGCAGTTCGAGACCATGCGAAGCTTCTCCCTTTCCCCCGACTGGTGGTGGCACAAGTACCTGGTCAGTGGTAGCTTGTTCAAGGCGATCACGATGCGCTCCTTTCCTTTTCTTTATTAGAACTCTCCTCTCTCGTTCGTCTCTAGCTCTCCTTCCTCCCATTTGACTTCTATGTATGCACAGTTGTTGGTTCACCGCCAACGAGAAATTCTTCCGCAGTAAATACAGAAATTAACGAACCAATTTACTCCGGACCCCCGTTACACGTCTGAGGTCTCCTCATTCCCACGATCAAGTTCTAAATTGGTCATTCAACCTTGAGAAACATCGTCCGTCGCCATGGTCGACCTCATCTCCCCTCCGGATCCTCGCACCCTACTCCCTCCTCTGCTGGCGTGTCTCCCTACGGCTTTTGTGTCGCCATTGCCCCCGCCTGCACTTTTGCCTCTGCTATCGCCTGTGCTCCGTCAGCGAGTTCAAGTTCTGAGTGCCCTCGCCGCTTCTCCGAGTGAATCATGGCTGCGACTCCTTTGTTGGGATTCTGGTCAAGCTGAGCGGCTTCAGACGGTAGTGGATGAGTCCAGCTTTGAACCTCACCCCGTGTCGGGGGAGATCGAACTACCCGATGAAGTCCCCGTGGAATATAAGCGCGTGGACGAGGAGACACTACAGTCTCGCATCATACTCTCGGACTATCGCCTAAAGGCGATCTATCTGTGGTGCCCCAACGACAAGGATGGTGGAGGACCCGGGTGGCGAGTCGCAGAACTTCTGCCCCACGAAGGCAGTCGGGCAGATGGTGATGACTGGTCAGCATCGATAGGGGAAGCCAACTCACACTCCAAAGAACGGTTGATGGAGGATGCGTTAAGAGCGGCGGAGAAGGAGGAGGAAGCCGCTAAAGACGAAGACGACGACGATGATGATTACTGGGCTCAGTATGACGCTACGCCTGGGAGGACCCCATCAGTAAAAACGCCCGCTCCTAATGCGCGGTCTGCCCTTCAGCACCAGGGCATGTCAGAGGCGTCCTACTTCTCGCAGTATGCCGATGTGCAGCCAGCGATGGACAACCATGATCCGTCGGAAGAACAACCGGAACTCGGACCATCTTCCCTAGGCGGAGATCTGCTAGCCAATCTCCTGAAGCCTCATGCTGATAACCAAGCGCCCGAGAACCTACTGCATCTCAATGGTCATGGAGACCCCGACAGAACATTGAACCATCCACGACCGTCATCTGCCTCCTCTAACAGCTCGGAGGCTGTTGCCAAGCTGGAGTTGGAGGCCGAAAACCAGTCAGCATGCGAAGTAGGCGTCAAGCAGCATATCAGTTCTAACATTAAGAGTCTGTTCCGGCTCGCTAGAGCCACAGGGATCACGCGCGCCGAGTTTCAGTCGCTCGTGAGAACGGAGCTGGAGTTGTTGAATGTGTCTGATGATGAGTAGTATTTTTGTTGGGGCAGACTATGATGCACTGTTTCTTCTTCTCTTTATTTATGGAAACTCGCAGGGTCGATTTGTACATAATATTTCATTCAGTCATGATGATGTTTGAGCGTTGGAGTGTGATTATTATGTTGCATTGGATATCCCACCTTGCTTTGCTTTTTGATTTTCATTCATTTTCTGTCCGTGTTGTAGATTTAAAATAAATAATTTATGTATTTTGATTTTAACTTTCAAATTTCTCTGTGTTACATGAAACAAAAAAAAAAAAAAAAAAAAAAAAAAAAAAAAAAAAAAAAAAAAAAAAAAAAAAAAAAAAAAAAAAAAAAAAAACATTTCGAATCCGTTAATCCACAGGTGAAACCCGAGGTTAAATATAGAAGAACAAGCAAACGGAAATTCTGGGTCAATCAGGGAATAAAGTTCGGATGAGCGCCTTCTTCCGTTCCGGCGTGTTTTGTATGGGGATGAAGACACGCAATCAGTGCGCAGCTCCCCTCTTCGTTCTCCGTACGACAACAAGCCTCTCTCTTTCTTTCCCTTGTCCTTTCTTTCTCTGTATGATGTCCTTTTCCTGATTGCTTTCTGTAGGTCACCGCATGGAGAATATTTCTGGATTTCTATTCTCCCTGCTCTAGCTAATCAATTGCTGCGTGCTCCTCGTCGCAGCTCCTTAGGTGATCCTTTTTTTCTACTATCAATTCTCGTCTTCGATTGCAGTCACTGAGCATGTCTCAATCCCCTCCACCGTCTCTCCGGAAGAGAGGCGGAAAGAAGGAGGCATCCCCTGGACCTTCGGATGTCTCCTCTCCTTATCCCACCAACCAGGGTGCAACCCCCAAGCCTCAGTCAGAATGGGATTATCGGCTGGCCATAACGGTTCTGACTGTGCTGGCATTCATCACCCGGTTCTATAGGATCTCATATCCTGATGAAGTTGTCTTCGACGAGGTGCACTTCGGAAAGGTAGGTCATACATACATAACCGAAGAGGGACTGGACGTTGCTAACGCGATCGTGTGCTTCAGTTCGCCTCGTACTATCTGCAACGCACGTACTTCTTCGATGTTCACCCTCCATTTGGCAAGCTTCTCTTCGCGGCGATGGGCTGGCTCGTCGGCTATGATGGTCATTTCTTGTTTGAGAACATCGGCGACTCGTACATCGATAACAAAGTCCCCTATGTCGCTCTTCGCGCCTTACCCGCAACCCTGGGCGCACTAACGGTCCCCGTGGTTTTCTTGATCATGTGGGAGTCGGGATACTCGTTACCGGCCTGCGTTCTGTCTGCTGGTCTTGTGCTGTTTGACAATGCGCACATTGCTGAGGACAGGTTGATCCTTCTAGATGCCACCTTGGTCATCACAATGGCTCTGAGCATTCTGTGCTACGTTCGCTTCTACAAGCTGCGCCACGAGCCCTTTGGCCGGAAGTGGTGGAAGTGGCTGCTGCTGACTGGTGTTTCCCTCAGCTGCGTCATCTCCACAAAGTATGTGGGTGTGTTCACCTTTGTGACCATCGGCGCTGCAGTCCTGGTTGATTTGTGGAATCTGTTGGATATCCGCCGTTCCGCCGGCGCTCTCAGCATGCTGGAGTGGACCAAGCACTTCGCAGCTCGTGCCTTCGCCCTTATTGTGGTGCCTTTCTTCTTCTATCTATTCTGGTTCCAGGTTCATTTCGCCATTCTGACTCGCTCCGGTCCCGGTGACGACTTTATGACCCCCGAGTTCCAGGAAACCCTCAGCGACAATGCTCTGGCTGCCGAGTCTATCGGAATCCAGTACTATGACGCGATCACTATCCGGCATAAGGACACGAAGGTCTTCCTGCACAGTCATTGGGAACGGTACCCGCTTCGCTATGACGATGGACGTATTTCCAGCCAGGGCCAGCAGGTGACGGGATACCCATTCAACGATACGAACAACCAATGGCAGATCCTTCCCACTGTGCCTCTGGAAGACAATGAGGGCCAGGGCCACAGCGTGAAGAACGGCGATCTCGTCCAGCTGCTTCATTTGGGTACCGACTCGATCCTGTTGACCCATGACGTTGCTTCCCCCTTTTATCCGACCAACCAGGAGTTCACGACTGTGACCAAGGATGTAGCCGGCGGTGAGAGACATAACGAAACCTTATTCGAGATCAAGATTGAGAACGGCAAGGCCGGTCAGGAGTTCAGAACTCTGTCAAGTCACTTCAAACTGATTCACTATCCCACCCGAGTGGCCATGTGGACACACACAACTCCTTTACCCGAGTGGGGCTTCAAGCAAGCCGAAATTAACGGTAACAAGAACGTCCTTCAGGCCAGCAATCTGTGGTACGCCGAATCCATCGAGTCGCTAGAGGAAGACAGCCCTCGTAAGCAGAAGGAAGAACGCAAAGTGAAACAGCTGCCCTTCCTGCGGAAGTACCTGGAACTCCAGCGCGCCATGTTCTTCCATAACAATGCCTTGACTAGCAGCCACCCTTACGCGAGTGAGCCTTTCCAGTGGCCCTTCCTTTTGCGGGGTGTCAGCTTTTGGACCAAGAACGATACCCGGGAACAGATCTATTTCTTGGGTAACCCGATTGGGTGGTGGATTGCCAGCAGTCTACTGGCTGTTTTCGCTGGTGTAATTGGTGCCGACCAGTTGTCTCTCCGCCGTGGAGTTGACGCCGTTGAAGAAAGTAAGTGAAGCTGCAGGATAGCAAATGGCGAGCGATAGAAACTGACTTCATGCGCTATAGTTTGGGGACTCGGTGCCCGTTCCCGCCTGTACAACAGCACCGGCTTCCTGTTCCTCTGCTGGGGAGCCCACTACTTCCCCTTCTGGTTGATGGGTCGTCAGCGGTTCTTGCATCACTACCTTCCTGCTCACCTTGCCTCCTGTCTTGTGACGGGCGCTCTGATTGAGTTCATTTTCAACCTCCAGCCGGTCCAAGCCGTTGTGGATAGTGAGGTTGACCCATCGGGCAAATCGAAGTCTGTTCGTCCCCGTCATTTCGTTACGGCCAAGGAACGGATGAGCCGCAAGTCCCTTGTTGCGGGCTGGATCGCCACCATTTCTATTCTGACCATCACAATTTGGGGCTTCTGGTTCTATGCTCCCCTGACTTACGGTACCCCAGGCTTGGACGTTGTCGGTGTAAACGCACGCCGATGGTTGGGCTATGACCTCCACTTCGCCAAATAAGGCGTTTAAGCCTGGGGGTGCCAGCAGCTTCTGCGAGCATGTAGGCGCCCCGCAACTAAGTAGTCATCTGTGTTTGATGATGGTATAACTATAGCATGTAAGATAGTGAATGAGTGCGTGTGCATCACGATGATCTGAGTAAGCTTCGGCGAAAGCCAGTGGCCCCAAGCCCGACGCAGTTACGTTGTGAAACGGTGCTCCTTTGGGGCTCGGTTTTGTCTTTTTCTTTTCTTTCTCCACTGGGGCCGGAACCATTCCTTGTCATCTTTTAATGTCGCATCTCCTAGAATTGTTTACCCTACTCCTTTTGGTTCTTGCGCCTGTGATATCAACAAATCCATAAAACGTTATGAATAGAAAAGCAAAATCTTGGCATGATTCTAATCCATACATAGTATACTGGGTGCAAAGGAAGAATCCAGCACAAAGATGCTCTATTGAAATAGGAACTCAGAAACACCATATCCATGCGCGACATTTTCAATCTTTACAAAACGCAACAGGAAAGCAACGCCACATTGAGTATCATCAAACAGTACGAAAAATCCACATCAAGAACGCAGATGCAACCTCTTATCTAGAACGCCATTCTCTTGCCGATTTCACTCTCCCACCCACGGACTCTCTCGAATCCGTTCGACGCAGTCTGATAATCAACCATTGCCTGGTACACCTCCTCCTGGCTGGTCAAGACAAACGGACCATACTGCACAACCTTCTGGTCAAGAGGCTGACCCGCCACCAGAATGAACCTGGACTCCGACTCGGCATTATCTGGCACCGAAGCCTCCACATAATCTCCGCCCTGGTCAAAGACCACATTGTGAAACTCCTTCACTAACTTTGTGGAATCATTCGACCCAAAGACCGTCGTTCCCGAAAGGGTATAGGCAAACGCATTCCACCCCTTCGGTAGGGGCTGCGCAATGCGACCACCCGGCCGGATCGCAACATCCAGGAGCCACACGGGCGTGTAGGCCAAATCGCGCACCGAGTCAACTCCATGCGATTGGCCGGAGATGACCTTCACCGTGACCCGGTCGTCATCCACCTTGGCGATCGGGATCTCCGACGCGCGCAGATCGCGGTACCGCGGCTCGCACATCTTGAGATTCTTGGGCAGATCGACCCACAGCTGCATACCAACGTTGGGGCTGCCGTCAGGGTTCTCGTGGGGCATTTCCGCGTGCATGATTCCGCGCCCCGCGGTCATGAATTGCAGGTCGCCAGGCCCGATGGTGCCCTTGTTGCCGGCGAAATCTTCATGGTCAACGCCGCCAGACAGGAGGTAGGTGATGGTCTCTTGGCCGCGGTGGGGGTGGTCTGGGAAACCGGCGCCCTTGCCAATGGTGAAATGGTCGAGCATGAGGAAGGGGCTGAAGTTGCGCAGCTTGGCGGTACCGATTGAGCGGCGAACGCGGGCACCGGCACCCTCGGCTTGTTCGATGGCCAGAAAGACTTGGCGGATTGCGCGGGGAACGGCCATTTTGTTCGTTGGTGGGGTTATTGTTACTGGGAAGGAGTCTGCGTTGAGTTGGTCCGGGGTAATTGTGTTGGTTGTGTTTGTGGTGATGTTGAGGCGAATAGACACTTCTTGTTGTATGTAGGAAACTAGCGCTTTGAGATGGCTAGAATATAACGATAGGAAGACAGCTGTGATTGCGATTGAAAACGAGAGAAGGAGTTTCATCGGCGCTGGAAGGGGATATTTATATCGAATTGACAATTAACGAGAAGGTAGTAGAAATTCCTGGAGCCATTGGGACATGGTCATTTAGTCAATTCTTATAATCGACTAATAAGCATCTGGATATTAGCATCTGGGGCATAAAAGCTGTAGATCGGCAATGCGATGGAGCTTACAAAGATCAAGGTCAGCAGCCGCTAGTCCGCTTTCGGATGCTTCATGGATTTCCAATCGCTGATTCAGTGGGTCTGTGGATTTCTTCCGGGTCCCTCATTGGTGACTGACTCAGAGTTCACTCAGCAAAACGGTTCATTCCTCAGGTGTCTTTGCTCATAGTGTAAGTACTCCTACTGTGGTTTTAGGTAATGCTCAGTCATGGCTGAGTTGTTTCTTTGGCCACTGCAGTGCCAAAGAACTCCTGTATAATGCCATCTCTTAGTACAACTTGAGCATATTCTGTATTCTGTTAAAACATTTGATACTATAGTTCGTCGCATTTTATCGGGTTGATGTACATACACTTTCCGTACATCCAGTTACGTAGTACTCGTAGTACTAGATGGACGCAGGTACGACATAATGCCCGCCATCAAGCAAACCAACAAACAAACATCAAATTCATAGTGGAACTGTCCAATCACTCTTATTTATTCAATGCTTGTTAAATTATGACATGCATTGATTTGGTTGGTCATTCCCTTCTGGCTCTAGTGCAAAGGGCACGTGGTGATAAGCTGGAACCCCAACGCAACCGTTTAATCGGATGTTCTTCACAGCTGTCATGTTGCTCTGCTTCCAACTGCAGCGAGGGCTTTCCCTCCACATAGTATCATGATGACCAATTGAAATATCTCTTCCTTTCTTGTTTATATTCCACTTAATAGAATTTCCTTCCATTAAGCGACGTGGGTCTTGGAGTTCCACCAGGGAAGCTCTCATCAGGCCAGATCGTCGCAAGCCCGTAACACCCCAGCCAAGCAGGGTTCAACCATATCGACATTTATCGTTATAACTCGCCGCCATGGGTCGGCGCAACCGAATCGTAGCGTCCTTGCTAACTTTAGCATGCGCGACTTCTACCGCCCTCGCGAACAAGAAAGTCTTCAATATCCACGATGATCTGCTCGCATTTCCTCAAGTATATCTCACTCCTGTTACAGTCTTTGCGATACAGCCCGCATATTTGCTAACCTGAAAGCTCAACGTAGTTCCAAGTCCTTTTCCCGGACGAATATGTTCTTGACTCTCATGCAAAAGAGTTACTAAAGACTCAAAGTAGTCCTCCAATTTACGATGACCAACAGGGAAACTCTCTACAAAAATCTCAGATCCCTCTGAAGCCTCGCTCAGATGAGTCGCAAGAGAACAGCCCGCAACATGAAGGAGACCGGCAGCTTACATATGAGGAGCTAACCCTCCAAGGCCAACGATTCCTCTGCCAAATCCCGCAAGTCGAGAGTGACGAAGGGAGTCCGATGAATAGGACCAAGGAAACCAGCGAGACGGACGAGAAGCAGGAGCTGGCCCGGGCGACGGACCGCGGTTTGGAACTTCTGAGTGAGATGGAAGGTAAATGCATGTACTATGTTTCGGGCTGGTGGTCGTATTCGTTCTGCTACAAGAAGCAGATCAAACAGTTCCATGCGCTGCCTTCTGGGAGTGGGATCCCTAACTATCCTCCCATGGAGGATCCGGCAACGCATTCGTTTGTCTTGGGCCGGTTTCCACGAGCTAACGAGGAAGAGGAGGATGGTGAAGCCGAGCGCAAGAAGACGGCAGAGAAGACAACAACAGCAACAACAACGGACGTGGCTGAGCTTCAGACGAAGGGAGGATCGCGGTATCTAGTGCAGCACTTGGAGGGCGGGACTAAGTGCGATTTAACGGGGAAGAACCGGAAGATTGAGGTTCAGTTCCATTGTCATCCCCAATCAACGGATCGCATTGGTTGGATTAAGGAGCTGACGACTTGCTCTTATTTGATGGTCATTTATACCCCCCGCTTGTGCAATGATGTCGCGTTCCTGCCCCCACAGCAGGAGGAGGTTCATTCGATTGAGTGTCGTGAGGTGCTCTCGCCTGATCAGGTTCCCGATTGGGAGGCTATGCGGAAGTACCACCTGGCTCAGAAACTCGTCGAGTCGTCTACTACTCCGTCGGAATTTCCTATCGTCGGTGACATCGAGGTCGGCGCCAAAAAGCTGGTGGGCACTGAAGGCAAGGAGATCGAGAAAGGACGCGTAGCTTCCGCCGGAGAAGAGAAGGTGGAAGTGGTAGCTAAACGCGAGAACGGCGAAGTGTTACAGTTGTCCAAAGTCGACCTAGAAAAACTTGGGCTTGACCCGGAGAAGATCGAAACGTTGAAGACCCGCCTCGAGGAGCTCGCTCAGGGTAAGGACTGGACATTGGAACACGTCACAGCCAATGGCGAGCGTGGATTGAGAGGCATCGTGGACACCGATGAAGATGAAGCGGAGGAAGAAAAGCAAGCCAAGGCCGGGACAGAGTCGGAGGAACATGGCGCACCGAAAGAGCCGCAGGAGAAGGCTCCCACCAAGGAAGTTCCGGAGAAGAAGGTGCCAGAGGCTAAGCTGAAGGAGGAGCCAACGGAGGAGCCGTCCGCGGAAAATGCAGAGGAAGGCAGTGAGGAAATTTTCAAAGATGAATTGTAACTACCCTTAGATTATGTCAATTTTGTACTTCACAATCTGTAGATTTGTGTCTATTTATTGGTTATCATTGGTTGTCCTAGCCAGGTCCCTGCAACCTCAGTACCCAGAGACCTTGACGAATATACAAAGCGAAACCTTATCATACAGAGCAAGGGCTTATTAATATATGGAGAAACTCGTGAATCATACCCATTGTCGAGACATTAACACCTCGTAAACAAATCCAACGATATCCAACAGCCAATACACCCTAAACATCAACAAACTGGCCTCGGCCTTAAAAGGCACAGAGTATCATCCACATCGCGACCAGTCAAAAGACTAATGCACCATTAGTACTGCCCAACCAACCTACCCAGCAAAAGACGACAAAGAGACATAACATACGACCCGTATCTACCCTGCGGTGTCCGCCCAAAACACCGCCCAAAACACCGTCCACAGTCACACCGTCCATAACCCCCATCATCAATAGAAATAGCCCTAACCGCACCTCCAAGCTCTGCCAGGAAATCGACCACTGCCTTCCTAAACTCTTTTATGCTTTTGCGTCGGGTGATCGGCTTGACCGTCTGCGTTTCCGCTTCTAGAATTTCTGGGGGAGAAGAAACTGTGATGATGGTGCTAGTTGGCTTGGACCTGGAGGGTCTGGATAGACGGTTGCGGAGGGATTTGAGGGAGATTGGGTAGATTTGTGTCATTCTTGTTTCTGGGTGTTGGTAGTAGTAAAGGCCTTTGGTTGTTGAATCTCTGGCGGTTTGTGCTGGTTGCGTGGATGGTGTGGTTAAGAGGGAGGAATAGCATACAAGGGATGTGGAATGTCATGAGGAATGTTGCTCGATGGCGGGGTTATGAGTTTGTCACGATGATGGTGCCCAGTGGCGATTATTACTGCCTACTGCTGTGTGTAGTTTGGGATGATGCAATTGAGCCATGGATGGGGGAGAGGGAAGACGTGTGTCTGACTCTATCTACCTCGTTCAGGGCTGAAGAGTGTGCTTTTTGTATGTTAGCCCCCGCTGAGTCTGTGGGGGATAGATGTATGAGTCTATCTGAGGGAAATGAATGAACTTGTTGCATGTACTTCTCATCTGAGGGCTATTTGGGTGTATATCGCATTGTAGGGTATTGGTATAATGTACGGAGTATGGAGTAACATATATACAACTGACAATGGGGGTTAATACGAATAATCGTGATACTTGAGGGTCATTCAGCCCTATCTCTTTGGTACATCTTATATTGTTCTTCATCTGCCATGTCAAGCCAATTAAGGCACCATTCGATGATCTATCAGGTTGTAGGGATCTCATGACCTAGAATTTGGCTGTATTAAGGACCGGGTATACAAGAAAGGAAGTTCGGATAAGAGAAGAACTGGTTGATAAGGCCGTGCAAAACGTGACCGAGCGCCTCTGATGCCTAAGGCTCCACCCCCTCACAGCCTCCACTGGAGCAAACCAAACCACCCGAACGGGATCGGCCAACTTCCTCCATTCTCTCCCTCTGGTGTCTGTCTCTCCCTGAAACTCTCCCAACCTGACCCTTACTCCCACATTTCTCTCGTTTCCTTCATCCAACCCCGCCCGGCCAACGGCTCTCACGGGAGTTCTCTCCGTTTCGCCCTCTCCTCATCCTTCCCCCTCCTACCCGACCGTTGCGGTGCTTGCGGCCTCTGGTTCGACATCGGTACCTGAAGTACTGCCACAGTGCCACTGCGTAATTGCCAAGCCCACCACCCACGAACTAACTAATCCCCCCCCGACCGACCCATCGACCGTCGCCCGACCTTCGAGTCTACTGTCCGCTATCTCCCTCAGCGCCCAAGCGGGAACACCATTTGGATACACGGCCACCTAGGACCGCTGCTCTTGGGAGCAGCAACTACAACGATACAACTCCTCCTACTATAGCCGGAACCCGATCCCGGTTTGCCAGCTGACGGCACCCACAATGGGTTTCCTCGGTGTGTACACGGCCCTTTACGACTACCACCCCCAGGCGCAAGGTGAATTAGAGCTTCGCGAGGGTGACCTATTATACCTCCTCGAGAGCAACGACGAAGACGACTGGTGGAAGGCCAAGAAGAAGGCGGAGCATGACGATGAGGACGAGCCCGAGGGTCTTGTGCCTAATAACTACATAGAGGAGGTAAGGGTGCATTCTAAAGCACTTTGCTTTTGATTTTGGAATTAGAGGAGGCATCGTTGTTGCCCTCCGGGTCTCCCGTCTTCTGCTCGGAGGTGGTGGTTGTTCCCACCTTCAGGGGTAGAGAGTGGATCACTGTTGAATCGGACATTTACTGACTGTGGAACCGAATTGAATACATAGGCCCAACCAATTCACTCAGCCAAAGCGCTTTACGACTACACACGCCAAACAGATGAAGAAGTATCCTTCTCGGAAGATGCAGAATTGGTGGTGTACGACACATCGGACCCGGACTGGACCTTAGTCGGGGTCAGCGGAGATTTCGGTTTCGCCCCGGCAAATTATATCGAGATTGTTGAACAGGCTGCCCACGCTCCCGCAACGTCGTCTGTGCCTTCTCCCCCCGCCGAAGCCGCACCTCCGACCCTCCCGCAGCGCCCAACGGCGGCACCGACGGAAGAGGCCAGTAGCCCTGCCTCAAGTTCGCCCATCGACACCGTTCAGAACCCAGCCGCCGCGGCGATTGCTGATATCATTCACAAGCAGCATGCAGAGCCCCAAGCCACCAGGGCAGTGCCGCCACCCCCGCAACCCCAGTCATCGTATGAGCCCGAACCAAGCTATCAGCGGGAGCCTTCGCCCCCGCCGCCGGCTCTGCCACAGCGTCCCCCGTCCCAGCAGATATCTCCGCGTGTAGAGTCTCCCCGGTCCCCAGGTCTACCGCCACGTCCGCCACAGGTTACCGTGGCGCAGGAGCAGGATGCCAAAGGACACGTGAAAGAGTCCCCACCATACAACAGAGTCGGCCCAGCACCCCGTTCTCCTTCCGGCTATCACATTTACAATGTGAACGAAATGGTTGAGGTGATGGGCAAAAGGAAGAAGATGCCCACGACCCTGGGTATCAACATTGCCACGGGGACAATCTTCATCTCGCCGGAAGATGATGGAGAAGAGCAGGAATGGACAGCTGACAAGCTGTCTCATTACTCTATTGAAGGGAAGCATGTTTTTGTCGACATGGTTCGCCCCAGCAAAAGCATTGACTTTCACGCCGGCGCAAAAGACACTGCGCGGGAGATTGTCGCTGCCCTTGGTGAAATCTCCGGAGCCTATCGCGCAGAGGGCTTAAGGGAAGTCATTGCGGCTGGCTCCGGCGGTGGAGGACAGAAGAAGGGTCAAATCCTCTATGATTTCGTGGCCCAGCAAGACGACGAAGTGGGCGTTAGTGTTGGCGATGAAGTCATCGTCCTTGACGACACCAAATCTGAGGAATGGTGGATGGTCCGGCGCGTGAAGAATGGAAAGGAGGGTGTAGTCCCAAGTAGCTATGTCGAGATCACCGGCTATGCTTCCAGCAGCCAGCCATCTGGTGTTGACTCGGGCTTGTCAGCAGTGGAGCGAAATCGGCTCGAAGAGTCAAGGTTGGCCAAGGAGGCTTTGCGCAAGTCACGAACCGATTCAATTGATTCGCCCCGTGCGGAGGTAGGCGCTTGCCCGTTGGCTATTTGGCCAATATCTCAGCATGGTTCCATTGGAAACGCTAACAGTTGTGTTTATTATTGTAGCATCAGAAGCGTGACAGCCGAAGCAGCCAGAAATCGAGTAAGTCCCCCTTTCCTCCTTCCCTACGTAAGGTATTAGTCATACTTATGAACCCCAAGAGCCAGATCCAAGCAAGACGAGACAATGGACCGATCGCACCAAAACCTTCACTGTAGAGGCCCAATTTATCGGCCTCCAGGATGGTAAGATCCATCTCCACAAGATGAACGGGGTCAAGATTGCAGTCCCGATCCCGAAAATGTCTCTTCAGGACCTGGAATACGTTGAAAAGATGACTGGAGTGTCACTGGACGAGGATAAGCCACTCTCCGACATCAAACGTCGTTCAACCCAGCGAGAACCTGAAAAGCCTCGGCCTTTGGCCGAGAACAAGCGCCCTGAACTTGCTGGAGCTTCGTTCCAGCAGTCCGATTATGATTGGTTCGATTTCTTCCTGAAAGCAGGAGTCGGTCCACACCAATGTGAGAGGTATGCTCAGAATTTCACCAAGGATTCGATGGATGAGAGCATTCTTCCGGATATTACCCCAGAAGTACTTCGCACGCTTGGCTTGAAGGAGGGCGATATTTTGCGGGTGATGCGACACCTGGATACCATGTTCAGCCGAACCGGAGCCAAGTCTAAGCTGCGGAATGTAAGCTTCGGTGGGGAGGAAGTTATCAGCAATGGCGAGGACGGTGGTGGTCTCTTCGCGGGTCCGGGAGGCGTCCTGCGCAACAACACCCGCAAGGGCAGACCAGCGCCGGCCGTCCAGACTGGAGATGTGGTTGACCCCAAGGCTTTCGAGCAGAAGGGAGACTCCGACGACGCAGAGCCAAAAGAAGCCTCTCCAACGTCTGCGGCCTCGGAAAAGCCCGTCCAACGCGGTTTTGATGACGATGCATGGGAGGTTAAGCAGCCGAAGCAGACTGCTCCCGCGCCAGCTCCTGCTCCTGCTCCTGCGGCTCCTGCCGCTGCAACACCGACTTCCCCCCCTGCTGCCGCCTCGCCTTCGACTACGCAGCCATCACAGCAGCAGCTTACCGGGGCGATGGCAGACTTATCTGTGCTTCACCCTCCCCTACAGCCAACCCCTACCCAACCGACTCCCGCTTCACAACCTCCGCCAGCCTCCCAGGCCCCCGTTATTCAGCCTCAGCCGACTGCTGTACCCGCGCCTGCCCCCCAACAGCCACAGCAAACGGGTGCTACCCCCGGCTTCTTCTCTCAACTGGGCCAACCGGCACAGCAGCCGCTCCAGAACCCCGCGCAGGGATTCAGTCCCCAGGCCACTGGTTTCCAACAAGCTTCCAGGCCACGTCCGCAGCCTCCTCAGACTATGGGACAAAATTCGCTGCTTCCCCCTCCGCCTCAGCGACCGCTTTCTGCACCTCAGAATTTCCCTCAACAGCAAAGCTCCTTCGGTCTCCCTCCACTGCAGCCTCAGCTGACAGGGCTACCTCAAGCGGGGCCCCCACTTGCTGCTCCAGGTCAGAGTCTGGGCGAACTCAACCAGCAGCGATTCCAGCAACCACTCCAACCACAGCCCACCGCGTTCGTGCCTCAAAATCAGTTCCAAAATGGCCTGATGCCACAACCCACTGGATTTCAACCACAGTCTCAATTTGGAATCCAGCAACAACAGCAACAGCAGGCTGGCTTCCAGGGACTTGCACCTCAACCTACTGGCTTCGGTTTCCAAGCACAGCCGCCACAACCAATGCAAACCGGCATTAACTCCGTTCTTCCCCAACCCCTGCAGCCCCAACCCACCGGTATGAATGGTGCCGGTAGCATGCCTTACACCACGTCACCACCGCCAATCCCACCAATTCCTCAGCAGCCAACAGCTGCACCTCTGACCCCACAGAAGACTGGGCCGGCACCCCCAATCAGGTTTGGTGTCAAACATGACGCACCCAAGAAGCTCGCTCCCCAGCCGACAGGTCTCCGGGCTAATCTTGCACAAGCCAGTGAGTTTCACCAGCAATGTATCCTTTTAGCGGCTACTAACCATGTCCTACAGCGCCCACGAATCCGTTCGGTTTCTAATCTGAACATGTATATAATCTCTTTTTTTTTTTTTGCTTTTGCGGCACATGACACATATCTTATACAGTATTTACTCTTCACATCGGCGGTTCCACACGCTAACCATAAATAATCGCGTCTTCCTACCTCTGACGCCGTAATGCGTACTAAAACTTCTTGGTCCATCAGATCGATTCACGCAGTCATGTTTGGAGCAATGTCCCGCATATTTCCTTCTGACGCAGCTTCCGCAAGCTAGATTTGCACTCGCTTTTTATTTTGTTTTCCATTTTCCCCCTTGGTTATCGTTGTTATCGCAGTACGTAATCCTTAAGATATGGATTTCTCACCCGTTCTGGGTTTCTTTTGTCTTCAACTGGTACTTGGTATTTCCGATGACCTACCTCAGGTTGTCTGTCTCTATAGAACGTTTTCTTATCTTAATGTATGTTTGGCGACTCGGGGAGATTTCCTTTTTGGTGGATGGGCTCCTGAACTGTGCCCTCATACGCCTCTCTAGGGTACCAACCCGATAAGTTGTATGGCTATTGTTCTCGTCACCCATCTCTTTCCCTAGCTTTCTTAGTCACATTGTACAATACATAGAGGACTGCCCTAATCAAAGCCATGACAGGGATCGTCGTTCACAAGGTAACTAGCTACGTTGGAAGCGGAGCACCGCAGGCCAAACCTGTAGCTTATACAACAAAGTGTCATAGACGCGTATAATACCAAGGTAGCATGGTGGAGCAATACTTGCATGGAGAGATACACCTTTGACATCTAACGTGGCCGTTTGTTGGATTGATAACGTACGAGATATGTGTACATACATCCTGTCCACATCCTATTTGAGTCAGACTATACACAACTAGCACAGCATGGCAACAGAATGAGCACTATCAGTGCCTTTGTCTCGATAGTTGTAATTGTCTTGAAGCATGGTGCAGTACAGGCCGGAGAAGCGCACGCTGGGTGCTTGCTTCATAATCACTCGGAGCTCACGTTGAGAGACGAAATCAGGGAAACAATGACATCAGTCCGGATGGTTTGTGGTATGAGTCTCGCTTTGGGCTACTTATAGTACCAATCTGCGAGAGGCCCCGCGGTTCGGGCCCTTCCTTTTTTCCTATTTTTGCCCAAGCTTCTTTCTCCCTTTGTCTTTTTTTTTTTTTTTTATCAAAGCCGCTCTTCTCTCGCCACCTGATCCATATGTATAGCAGCTACCTAATGATTCTCGGGTAAATAGAGCTAAACACCAATTTCCCAAAGGGGGGAATAGGACTAGAATGAAACATCGGTGTGATAACTAATCAGTATAGAAGAACCTGCCACATCCTCGTATATGCACGCCCATTTGCATATCACACCGCGTTGTAGAGTATCAAAAGCCGGGAATGGCGTCTCGGAGCCCGGTAGAGGAAAGGGGCTGTGGGTTTTCAACCTTACAAAGCAGAAGAATGGTATCGAGCGATAGCGGCAGAAGGAAAAAGAAACTCCGGAGTCCTTGGGAAATTAGCCAAACTACAATGAAGCACCCGAAGCTACTCGTATGACTCGGGGTTTGACTTGTGTGGGGTCAATAAAAGGTCTGGATCCGGCCCGGCTCGGCTTCTGTTTTCCTGTTTTTTTGAGGCTAAATTGGTGCGGGGATTACGAGCCTCAGCCTGAAGGATTGCGTTTAGTGCCCTTTATGCGTCCTGGTCTCCGCTACGTTAGGAAAGTGATCGCTCAGCATGGCGCTTCGTGCATACCAAATGATCTTCAGGGACCTCGGCTGGGATGCTTTCCCACCCCTTGAGCTTGTTCTACTGCTTGGATGGTTTGATCTGCACTAACACCTCACCTTCATAGCCTGGTTGTTGAAACTGTCCTTTGGCTGTTCTACAAAGACTGGCAAAGTTGGGAGTACGCCCTGTGGGAAAATGGCCACGCAGACGTATGAAGAATATTCTTGAAGATTAATCGGCTCGCTGCTCTCCACGATATCTACTGAATCAGGACCTACCAGGCTACCTGATGTGTAACTGTTGCATCATTATCGATTACTGATCCAACGGAAGAGAGTTAGAAATGATGCCAAGCCAATGGCATCTCATCCATCGGCCAGTAGGGCTCCACAAGGGTACCTACTCTTGCCTTTTGGGTCATCGAGGTTTGGGGGCCGTTGTATATCATTCAACAAGTTTCAGGGCCCATTGAGCGCTCAAAGAATAAGCCATTGACCAAGCCTCTTGGTATGACAACTGCGGCGAGTAGAGACCCTTCAATCGCCGTCGCCATTCCTTTACCCCCGACACGAGACTAGAAGCATTTGTGGGTACTACAGCCACGAGAGACTTGGAAGAAGCTGGACAAGCGGCAAACGCCGCTGACTCGGGTGCAATAAGGCTTATGTCCGATCAATCCTATGCATTATCGCCACTCATATCTGTTGTCCCGCTGAGGATATTCGCCAGGGCTATGCACACAGTAGCCTTTCTACTGGTCTTGCCTTTGCCGGCCTCTCCCTGCCATAGGATCCTCCCCATGGAGGAACTACTTCCTGTTATTGAGTCGTCGGCGGAAGGTAGACATCCGAGGCATAGCATTACCTGTTCCATCAGTGATCACCACGACTATTGACCGGGCGATGTGGAGTCTACTCTACAGTGATCCTTCGATCAGTGATCTCCACTAGCTGTTGGGCATTTTGAGATTACCATTGGACAGACATCGAGCTGTTCCTATTTAGGTATGTCATCTAAGGCACGAGTCAGGATATCCTCGCAGGTACCCATTGAGGCTGCAAGTCCACCATCAAGAAAGGATCCCTGCAGGGCGACCCTGTAATGTAACGCTCCTGGCAATGAGCGATCTGATTGCCTGAACATCAACCCGGATATTGACCTTGCCCGAAGGATGGATCAGACTGGACCTGCCCGCCATAGCTGAATCCGAACCCCGATGACCAAATCAGATCTTCAACAAAGGATATAAAAAGGGACCTCCCATCCCTCGAAACCAAACCCCCATCATCATCACAGCAACGAGCTTCACTCATCACAAGAACAAAACAAAATCAAAGGATCAATCCTCGCAAAAATGCAACTCAAAACCCTCCTCTCCACCCTCCCATTCATCACGGCCGTCCTGGCCAACCCAGCCCCTGTGCCAGCCCCTGTGCCCGGCACCGTCGCCGTCGGATACGGCCAGCAACTCCAGAACAACGACCAGGCCAACCACTGGGTCGTCTGGATCGAGGGCGAAAGCGCCTGCCCCAACACTCGAGTCCTGACCAGGCTTACCGACAGCCCGTGCGACCAGACCTTCTATTTCAACAATCAAGCCTACCACCTCGCCGACTGCGGTAGCGACAATGAGCCCCGTCGTGTGGTTCAGCCCGGCGGTGGTTCCGCCGGCTGCTCTCGCGATAACCGCAAGATTACCTGCCACGGTAGCACTCACGACATTGTGAAGCACGGCAAGTGTGGTTAAGTGGATTGAGGTCGTGAAAACGAATACATGGATGCGTGGAAACAGGGGCTGTGGAAGTGCGGTTATGTCCGGTTGAGCACCTGAATGGGAAGTATGACGCATGGAGATAGAGACTGTGGAAGAGAAGGAGGACTGGACTAGTTATGCTTACGCCCTTGTTCTTGGCTATGGTCTTGTTGTTACATGGCAATAACCTGCGCTTGATGTCATGGCCTATAGTGTTCAGTTGAGATTGAATGAGATGGATTTTGTCTTCAATTTGTGAGGTACCAGTTGTATGATACCTAGACAGAACTCAACCAAAACCTTGTACATGGTCACGGTAGATAAGAATGCTCCCAGTAATATCTGCACAATTATAGTATCCCATTATGCAATATCCTTATCCAGCATAAGAATGAACCCGCGTTCGTGAAACCTGCCGGATCCGTCATGGCGGTACGGTACGCCCCCTTTAGCGCCGGGAGGGACCGTCGGAACCAACGATGAACTTAACATCCGCCCGGAAGCCCGGAAGCACAGACTCGCTCTATTCATTGACTGGATGGTTACATTGGCATTGGAACTGGGATGATCTTGTGAATGGCTATAATGAACTGTCTATCGATTTATTGAATCATATGCCTGTACTCTGTACAACCGGTTTTGAGGGCTTGTATACTAATCCAAGTGAGAGTCCAACACAGCATACGAAGTTAGTTCCCGGACAGAAGGATTTCAGATATATATAATCCTGTCCGAAGATCCGGGAGTCTACCCGTATCACGTCGTCCATCTCAGTCTCTTGAACTTGGGATATACAATCGCGATAATTAATACTGGTACAGTTATTTACTGAAGAACACTATTAAAGTGTTGAAATGAATTCTCTACCTAATAGCGCATTATTACACCCTTAGTATAGCTCTCTCTCACCTCCGCCTCAACTGAAAGGCCTCGGATCCCTCCCCATCCCCCATCTTCCCAGCCTTCGCCTGCCTCAACCCAGCAAGTTCATATGCCAACACAGCGCGACAACACACAACAGACGCAAGAAACCGCCCTGCGTTCGCGAGTGCATCTTGAACTGAAATGAACAACAAGCTGGAAAGCACCATCGTCCCATACAGGATATGAACCACCGCGCCGGTGGAGACGCACCATGAAAGCAGGAGAAATAGATATGACTCTTCGATCTCGTCGACGTCCGGAGGTGGAGTAGAGTACAACGATGGAGTTATTTCCCGGACGAGATATCTCCGAAACCAACTCGGCCGCGCAATACGGGGTTCTTGTACAGGGGTTCGGATAACGCGGTAGCGGAGTGAGAGAGCGATGGTTCCCCCGATATGAATGAGGGCGATGATGAACGCCCAAATGAGTGGCTGCGTGGTGACTTCCGTCGCGTAGTTGCATATGCACTGGATGCCTAGCTGGTAGCAGACGGTCGCGATGTTCGCGACAGCGCCTAACGCGACGATATACTCGAGCACTGAGATGAGGATCCATGTGCCCCTGCCCGGTTTGGGGATGGGTATCCTTTTCTTGATCCCGTCGGCGCCGAGGAGTGCTTTCACGTTGGGGTATTCGAAGGGTCGGTCCGGTAGCACTGCCGGTGATCCCAGGGCCAGACATAGCGAGAGGAATGGTCGGCCTGCGACCCGTGCCAGGATTGCTGTGTCGACGGTGTTGGAACCGAGCATGGAGAGCATGGTCGGGAGGAGGCCAAGGATGACCCCCGCGTTGGCCATATTGGCTTTCACATTTTCCGGGAGGTTGCTTAGCATACAAGAGACCAGGGGTGCGGTCAAGGCACTGCCTTTTGTCGGGTCATACCAGAGCTGGTATTCCGGGTCGAAGCCGGGGGTTTTGTTGAGGTAGTTTTGGTATTGTTCGGAACAGTTGTTGTTGAGGACGAATTCAATCTGCGAGCGGAATTGTTTGTACCAGTGCTGGAATTGGTCGGCGGCGGCTGCTGCCACGGCAGCTTGTATTAGGAGCAGGAGCAATATTCGCATGGTTGGGATATTAGTCTCTCGCGCTTACACGTAATCGTTGCATGGGATAAGGCGTTGGGGTGAGGTCAAGAAATTGTAACAGTCATTATCAGGAACTCTTCAGGGAGAGGTTCGCGTGGACAATTCCTCCGTGATTTGAAGCAGGGCGCTAAAGCTGCCCCCCCTGATGATGACGAGTCATTGTTACACTATCTTCGTATTAGTTTATGCATTCCTGACCCGCGTGGCGGCTTAGCTTATTCTTTGTGTCGATTATGAACCTCTCTCGGATAGTTCGACACTTAGTTGGACGAGCAATCTCAGCCTGCCGTATAGTGTGTCACTGAAAGAGCCTATCAGGGCCATTCTCTTCGGGCCAGCTGCTCAGTTGGGGATTGAGCACGTCCATGGACCGCACCGTGACAGCTGGAGCTTTGACGCAGTTTCGTCGTGTCATTTCACTGCCTAGGATTCTTCCACAGGCTAAAGCCAAGGCCACTATTGCCCTACAAATGCCGATGCCAAGGTCCCAAGTTTATCACACGCTTCACAACCGCGCTAGGGCTCCGTAACCCTATCTCAAGGTTTATCTGGATTCATGTATACACGACTCCTGAGAACCTGTCCAACATAAATTGCAGGAGTGCCCTTATCCCTCTGAGATCAGGTTGACAGAGCATTTCAGATGAAGTAACTACGGCTTTTTACGTGAAAAAATCCTCTAATGCTAATACAACGCCCACCTCGTAATTCCAAAGGGGTCGTAGAGTCATAACGTCGGTCATAGATACATAGGATAAATGTACAACTCATCTTGCGCACTAAGGGGTATATGCAGATATTATCAGGATCGAAAAGAGCCAAATATAGAAAGGCTATCTTTGGAAGAAGCAGAGGCAAGGAGTGGTCGAAGGTGGAAGATGTACGGAGACGTGAGGTGAGCCGAGATCAAGTTTCTCCCCATAGCCCAAACACAGGGAGATCCTCTGCCATATAGAGCAGTCCGTTGTCTGAAAGAATCATGTCAGAGAGAGGTGTCTGGCCTCCGTTATCCGGCATTCCCGGTGGGCCAGTAGGGATAGTACCGCCTGGTGAACAACCGATTGGAATGCCGGTCGTCGTCAAAGTGGAAATGGCTGTGTCGTATGGGAAAGGTGAGGGCCCTTCAGCGGCACATAAGGCATCCCAGATGCCGTCATCAGGCTGGGCGGTAATGGTTGCCTGACCTACAGATTGGGAGGGAAGGGGGCCGCCGGCAAACTTGTCCGGGGATAGAGGAGACGGGACTGTTGCTTGATCCCCGCGGTTGGTTGAGATGCCGTGGTGGTTATTACTACTAGTTGAGGTTTCGCTGGATGGGCCTACTTCGCCAAAAAGCTGATCGACTTGTTTGCTACGACGTTCCATCCATTGACGGTTCCGGCGGCGGACGTATTCACCAACTGCGCCTCGGAGGTATTTGATGATTTGGAAAAAGCGGCAGGCATGAGGGTCATGCGGGACAAACAGCTCAAGGAACTTTTCGGCTTTGTTCAAGCCCTCCTCCAGTGGAAGTAGATTGTCATAGTCGGCAAAGAATGCGGCCCCTATGACAACGGCCGAGTTAAAAACGGAATTGATTAAGAATGGCAGCCTCCGCGGCAGGGACGAGTATTGAGAGAGGTCGTCCACGACGTTAAGACTGCGCAACGCGGAGTAAACGCATGCATCAGCAAAAAGCGAGATGCGCGAGTTGTTGGGTTTGCTCTCGGAAAATGCTGCTGACTCGGTCTTGTTTTTCACATACTGAGAGACTCGGAAGACCAAAAAGGGGCGAGTCAACAGAATAATCGACCAGTAATAAGAGCCAAATATGTGGGCTGCAGCCAAGGTATCCTCGAGAGTTTTGGCAGCATCAAGTCGCTCTGTCTGCATCCGTAAGAAGCTTGGCAGATTTCGGACCCAGGCGCGATGTTGATTCGAGATACTGTCTGCAACACCGATTGACACAACCTGCCTCATGTAAACTTCCGTAAGAATCCGCTCGAAAATACGACATAGCGAAACAACCGTCGAGGATAGTTGCTCGTCCGGCTGAAGGCGCGGTTGTGTCCCTGGCGTGGTGTTGCTATCGTGCGGGTCGTAGTCAAAGTCCGTCGTGGCTGGAGGACGACCCAAAGAGGCGCTGAGGAAGAGATCCATCATGCGTAGGCTTTTCCACACACGTTCCCGAGCACGTCGCTCTCGCGTGCAGAAGAGCGTGTTTGCATCTTTCCTGTGGATGCCGACCGCATATGCGGCGCGAAGAGCAATTCCAAGATTCATGAAGGCGCCGTTGCGCCGACAAGCACCCAACATATACATCGAAATCAGAACATATGACTGTATCGTGGAGATACTGGGGGTCTCAGTGAAAGCCGAGAACGCCAGCTGACGACCACTAATGAAGTACTTCTCCGCCAGGGTGTGGTTGGTGTCCGATACTTGAGCCCCAATGGCAAGCACCAGGTAAAATATTGAGCTCACAGTATCTTCATCGCCCGTTGGGTTCTCAATCCAATTAGCCAACCGCGGATGGAACTCGTTTAGGTCAAAGAGATCCAATAGGGGACTAGTGGCAAGAACATAATGGCGTGCCAGTTGTTGAGCTTCTTCATTACTCGGGGGCGGTATCAATGGCCCCGTTTGTGTAGTGGCACTACTTTGAAAAGCCTCAAGCATTGAATGGCGTGAATTATCTTCCGTAAGTTCGCAACGGCCGATTGACGAAGCCACTATGCGACGGACACTCTGGAGAAAGGACAAACTCGCGGAATCGCCAATATACATGAATTTTCCTTGTCCATCGCGAAGAAGCCTGGCCACCTTCGGTACCGGAGCCGTCCCATCTTTATCATCTACCACCTGTTGTTCTAGATCTGCGCTGCGATCTTCGAGGGAGTTCAGCAATCGGTCCATGGCGGTTTGTCTTTGCGGCGTAGGCACAAGGCGTTCGCTGAGCAACATCGTGTCTTTCGAGCTCTCGGAGGGCTTCAGCAAGCGGGCCGGCTTGTCCGAGAAGTGACATTCTGATTCTTTGTGACGTTGAACACAGATTGTGCATGGCTGCTCTCCGTTGCATTTCTGCTTCCTCCGCTTACAGCTATCGCACGCTCGTCGGCATCGTAGCCGGCCACCCGGGGGCGCGGTGACTTTCGGCATGACAAAGGGGGCAACGGATGGATATGATCACTGAATCTCAGGTTTAAATCGAACTTCGTAGCCGGCCGAGCGAAGTTGCCGCGAGTAAAGTAAATGCCGAATTGCCAAGTCGCGGGGGGGTCTCGGTGGTTATCTGATAAACAATCGCGATGAGGTCAGCCTACTCCGGCCAACTGAAGACCATTCAAGACATGACTCCTCGGTCTATATTAGGCGATCGATAATCACGGCTAGTAATCTTGCCGACGTGGTCAGTTGTGTCTAGCGAGAGAAACGGCATTGCGAAGAGGATTAACTCGGGATGGTTTGCTTTTCCCCAGAATAAAATGCGGAGCACAATCCGTGCCAGATTATTAAGCGTTGCCCAGACCGCCTGACGACATTGGTCTATCTATAGGTCGACACCCTATACCTTTGTGTATACTGAGTTGGAGAAAAAAGAAATTTACTACTACCTAGCTAGATTGTGCGCTCTATTACTTGCAAAAACAGACTATCTACTCAGGGCGAAAGGAGACAATCTTCCCCCATGTATCAGCCGTACCCCAAATACCATGTCGCAAGCACGACAGCTGCACAATCTGACTATGGTCGACAAAAAGGTTGACATCAATACCGAACTCCCGGATATACCAATTGTAAACCTTCGGGTCTGCAGCCTCGAACATGACGCGCTCTGGCGGCAATTCCTTCATGATCTTGGACACCACGTCAGTGCGCCAGGACTCCACATTCTCCGTGATGCCCTCGGACTCGATCATCAAGCGCTCAACGCCAGCGTTGAGGAATTTATGGCCCAGGTTGACCAGCTTTCCAGGGTCTGAAGTGCCAATCGCCTCCAGGCCGGATGCTGGGGTGTCTCCGCCGGCACCGAATTGAATGCCCAGCTCGGGCTTGGCTTTTAGCTTGTATGAGTGAACTTTGTCGACGAGGCGAAGCCAGTCGTCCTCGGGGATCGATAAGAAGCCGGATGAAAGCTCGATTATATCAAAACTGTAGTGCAGATTATCAGCAGGGTGAAGATGGTTCATAAATGGGTCAAATGGGGTCATACCCTAAGTCCTTGCACTTCTGGAGGTATTTATCAAAGACGGCATTTGTGTCAGGATGAGTGAGGAGGTGCTCGGCCCATCCACCCTACCCATCGAAATTAGAGGAAATCCGCTCTTAAGAACGATGTACAAGACAAACTCACCGTTGAGACATAAACGCCATGCTCATGAGCCAGATCAATCAGTTCCCTCAAGGGCTTCTCCTGGAACAGCGAAAAAGAGCCTACATCCGAGGTCAGGTCCTTGTTCGACATAATTCAACGCTGTGTTTACCTCCTGCAAACTTGAGACCATCCACATGAGTCCCCATTCTGTAAGCTGTACGTTAGCAACACGGATATGTCGTCGTTTTTCCTCATCCAGGACATACGTTTCAAGCACATCGGCCAAGTATCTCCTGCCCATAACCTGTAGTATATCAGACAAAGTCAGTCTAGCCGCAAATCTACAATACAATGGCAATTGCAAAAAGACAAACACGCATACCGTGTAGTACGGCCCTCTGATCTCAGTGACACCCTTGCTCCTTGGCTTCGGCGGTCTAGGGTTGGACCGTGCGAACCCGAATCCATTCTTCTTATCCTGGAGCAGGGTTACATTCTTCTGTGCAGGTGTTGTCGTAGAAAGATATCTGTAAGGTCCAGTCGAGCCTGCAACTTTCGGGACTTGTTCCGAGACAGATCGAAGAATGGCTTTCGAGGAAACCGGGGAGAGGCGTGGCATATTCGACAACATTGTGACTTATGTGGATATACTTCTAGTACAGCGGAAGATCGGAGATGGCGAAAGACAGAACAACCAAACTCGATTACTAGTAGAAAATAGATATAGATTCACCGAACTAGCCCATTGATCACGGGAATATATAGGGAGTTCACATCTAATTCGGATCTCAACTGTATTTTGTGGTGTGAGTGTTCCCTGACGTAAAGTGTATGTCACCCTGTAGTGGAGAAGCAAAGAGCGAATTATGGATGGATCGCCAACAGGGATCCCGCCATGAATCAGGGGTATCTATCGGTGAGTAACCCACTAATCCACTGCTAACTGAGTACGTACCCTTGGTTTGCCCCTTCTTTGATTCACTTTCGAGGGAGGATGGGGGTTGTCGTATTCACGTGATCGGTATCAGCTTCTATTCATTTTGAACTCGGAAGAACGTTTAATACCGGTATAGCTTCTCTGGCAACTCTAAGGATAGTACTAGAAAGCTGGCTATTATTCATCTGTCCACATGAATTTCCTGGAGCCTGATCATAATATAATACCAGGCCGTCCAGTACATAAGCCAGTGTCAAAGATGAATGGGCTAGTTTACTACGTTCATACAATTGTAATTGTCGACAAACTACTGCCAACGCTTAATGATCATCTCCGCCGCTTTTTCAGCGATCCCGTATACAGCTGTTTGTATATGACCGGATATCAAAACTGGCATGACACTGGCATCGACCACGCGGAGATTCTCCGTGCCATACACGGTCAGATTCGCATTGACCACCCCATGTAGTTCCTGTGGCAACATCGCACATGTACCGACCGGGTGAAAGATTGTCCTGGTGCTGTTGATCGCATATTCCCTCCACTGAGTATCACTATCGGATCCGTCAACAACCACAGAAAGGCCTGGGTCGTATTCTTCGGTCCAAGCTTGCCGGAGAGGAGCTGTTGACGCTAGTTTACGCAAGTACTTGGCGGCAGATACGAGAGCCTGGATATCATATTCATGGGAGAGGTAGTTCGGTTGTATCTCGGGAGCTGTTGAGATCGATGCCGATTTCACATGTATCGACCCCGTACTGAAGGGGTGTAGCATGACTGCTATCAACGAGAAGAAGTTTGAACCGTAGAGGGGAGAGGTCTCTGGTGGATACCCTTTTGGTCCGGCATACCCATCTGCCAAGAGAATCTCAACCTGTGGAACATTTTCTTCTTCATGCAGTATTTGATGAAGCAGGGTATCCGCTTTAATGCGCTCGAAGGGGGACAATGAGAGAGATTCATCGGCGGCTTTGCGTGCTAAAGATTCCATGCGCGAAGGCTCATCAGCCACGCCAGTCCAGTTAAGAAAAGCGTAGGTGCCGCCGCTACAGTCGTACAAGGATTTTTGACCTGTGTTATAAGCTTCGAGTTGCTGTTTTGCAAAAGTGGCATTGGTATTGAGCATATCGGATGAGGTATAGTTGGAGCGAAGTCGATAGGAGGCCACAATTGTCAGATGGTCCTGCAGATTCTCTCCGACCCCAGGAAGGTCAACTAATTGTTGGATATTGGCAGCATGCAGCACGTCTTTCTGACCGATTCCGGAGAGCTCCAATAGGCCGGGGCTTTGCATGGTACCAGCAGCAAGGATGACTTCCTTCGTTGCAAAGACAGTTGTGTTATCTTCCAGAGTAACGCCGGTTGCTACCAAATCACCTCCATCTATACTCGTCAAATCAATCTTGCGCACCCTCGTCTCTGCCCGTATTTGAAGATTGGGCCCTGCAAGCGAAGGATATCCTGGGTGATGGGCACTATACGACCTCTTCCGATCGCTGTACCGGACGTTTGTCGGCTGGAACCCGAAGCCAAGAGGATTTCCTCCTAATGAATTCCGATTCTCTGACACATTCAGGCTTTCCAACGCTTCCGTAAAGATGTCCTGGTACTCCGGCACCAAGTCACAGATCATCGTCTGGATAGGACCACCAAAACCTACACCTTGGTCACCGTACTTGTCTGACAAAGTGTAATTCTCAGCCTCAAGCATAGAGCGCATCATCTCCGATGAGTTCCACCCATCATTTCCTAACTTTCCCCATATGTCGTACTCGACCTGGCTGGCCCGGTCCCACGCCATAAAATTAAGCGCGGAACTTCCGCCCAGCACCTTTCCTCGGGGTTGACTCATAGTACGGTTACCTACATGCGCTTGTACGGCAGTGGTAAAATTCCAGTCGTACGATGATCCGATGGCTGAGCCAGCCATACCGGGGATGTTGATACTCGTCTCGTTCTCAGCATCAGGTCCAGCTTCCAGCACCAGGATAGAGCTCTCCGGTAGTCCACGGCTTAATCGTGAGGCCAGGGCCAGACCGGCTGTGCCGCCTCCCACAATAACCTACTGAGAGTGTCAGCCGACGGTGGTCCAACGTGGGCGCACAAACAGATCCGCAGTGACCATACAAAGTCATATTCAACCTGGGCCGCTTGACAAGTCGCTACAGCAATCGCTGTCAGAAAGAGGCTGAGTGACCACATCCTCCATCAAGATCGCTCTAGATTCTTTGTGGTTGAGTCTTGTCAATGCTCTTGGTCATAAAACCTTTGCTGAATCACAGGCAGGGGAAACAACTCTCTTATAGTAATGTGATATCAGATAGTTCCTTCCATCTTTGGAATCTATCCCTTGTGGTAGTATTTTCGAATGGGCTGCGGCCCCTTGCATCGTGAGCATAGCATACAACATACCAAGAAGACAGTCCATTTTACAATAGGAGATTTTGATTGTTGAGAATGTAGTGTTTATTGAGAAAAGTAATGAGTTTTCATCTTTAAGCTTTTACAGGGCTATGACTATCTTAGTTACTTATTTATGGATCCAGTTAGGGAGAAAGTCCTTGTATATCAGTTTCATTTCCAAAAGTTTAATGCTAGCCATAGCAACAGGTTAGGTTCCAACTCCTCTCACCTAGACATGTAGTGTAGTCATTGTGTTGATCTGTTTCATTCCAATTTGAAGGTTACCTAGTAAGTACCATTCATCACCACTCCAAGTGAACAACATACAGTCAAGGCATCCCATGCCGGCAAGTTGCATGACAAGCCAGAATATGCTTTTTGAAAGATGCGTTATAATGAATCGATATGATGCAGTAGATAGAAGACCTGCAGGACGATCACATGGCAGTTTTGCTTATTCCAGTTACCACTACACGGTGTCAATCAATCAATCAATCAAAATTCTATTAACCTGTTGGAGCTTAACCATTAAATACTAGCTATGCAGAAGCCTTAATGATGAGGCAGAATTCTAATCCAGAACACGTGAATCTCTTCAGCCCATACATAGGAAAGAAAATACATAAAAAAACTTTTAGATTACAACTAAAACATGCATTACAGCGCTTCTTCCCCTTTCTAAACTATTCTTTTATATCTGTAAATACCCTCTTCCTCTTCTATATTCTGCTCCTAGTCTATTATATTTTACTACGTCTAGACGACCGTTCTAAATACTACTCCATAGCAACTAAATTAGCATCTTCCAGATCTTTTCATACTTTAGTATATTAACCGGGCCCTATACAGCTAATTCCACGACACAGAAATGTCCCAGGAACCCTATTTTAAAGATAAACTCGGCGATATAGTGGATCGTCTGCGGGGATGATAAGGTTATATCTCAATGCTATAGCTTAAAGCCCCCTGCATGCCTCCTGCGGAGCCCAGCTTCTCCATAGTCTTCTTCTACATTTCTTTCCATAGTCCTATATACAGCTGGCACTGAGGGAGTACATGCTTTGCTGTCTACAAGCCCTGTATGTATTGGTAGCGGTCTGACTCGACCGCTTTAATTATGTATAAGAAGTATTGTAACCGTATTCGTTGCGTTCGTATCTAGATAAAATCGTATGGTAATGATCTTGTTACTGAAACTCTGCAAAGCAAGTCCGCACCTGCAGAGAATATGGCCGAGCGTACCTGGGTGATGTAATGCGTCAATTGTACTCTAAAAGGAAAAGCGGTTGAAATCATGTTCCTATAATTAAGCTGGCCTGGGATGTCTCTTGTATAGTCTCCAATAGCAGTGATATCTGGAGGCTAGTTCTCTGTAGTAGCAGCGTTATTGTTTCTCTCGTCGTACTGGATGAAGTGGCCTCGCTCTATACAACCACACATGTACCCTCCTTCATATAACCACGCCTTCAATCTAAAAGATGACGTGCGGTCAGAGTGGTCTTTGTCCCACTTGCATGTTTGTGTAGATTGCGGAAATAAGTAGCTATTTTGGAGTATAGGTGGGAACTATACTTAGGAATATCGGGTAGTCGACATCTTCATGGAATCGGCAATTTACCAAAGTGCCAAATATAATTACGGATCACTCCATACAGGATAGTCCCCAGTTTTCCCCTCTACAAAGACACCAGGGCTCTATCATCCAGTAGAAGTGATTGGCGCACAGACGGACCTATAAATAGAAGCATCCCGCCTAAGCTCCTCCGCACTTTTAGCGGCTTATCAACCGAGACATAACTCATTCCCTGATTAGTATGATTGATTGACTGGAGCAAGGATGCATACCTCAAAATAGACCACGGTTGTACATCTTATCCAAAGGTGCTAGGTAAATCGAGGTGAAAGACTCTGCATGCCGCCGCTAGTCTGGAGTCATATGATTGTCCATTTCATCTAATAATGTAGCATTGGCGCAAGACTAACGCGACCCCTAATTCTTCGAGTACATAACCTCACCCCATCGGTCCAAGCTCTATTGCGCCGTGTTTTGTGTTGGACGAGGAAATAACTAGCTAATAGTACTCGCTTCTATATGGGAAATTCATAGCGCAGTCCTTCACTTCAATAGAGCATCCCATCACAGTTATCCTCTACACAATATCACAAACATAAATATCCCGCCTCAACCTTCCCTCAGTGACAGCATATGCAAAATTAACCACAGATTATCCAAAATGCCTTCTAAATCCAAATCCAAGTCTCCCTACAAGTTCTCCTACACAGACGCAATCCAAGGCAAAGAACTTTATAATTACTTCGGTAATCGGGTTCTCGAGTCAAGAGCATCTGGTGGCCGAGTTGTCGCAGTCAAAGTCAAGCCAGTTCGTGGTTTCGCACGATCCGAGGCCAACATGATGCATTATGCTTCACAGCAACCTGGAATCTTAGCACCACAGGTTCTAGGCTGCTACGATGTTGATCCCGGAATCACCGTGACCGTGTCAGATCTCATCGAGGGCCAGTCACTAGACAACGTCTGGCATACCATGACTAAGGCCGAACGAAAGTCCATAAAAGAACAGCTCAAGGAGCAACTACGTCTCTTCCGGCAGTGCACACAACCGTACATTGGTCGTATATTCCGAGAGGAGACGCGAAACTTCTATGACCGCATCCACTTTCATTTCATGGGGCCTTTTGCGTCCGAAGAGGAGTTCGATAGTTGGTGTCTTGAGAGGGTGAAATCACCCACTGCGAAGAAGATATGGGCACGGCTTCTGCCTGGGATGCGTGGAACTGGAGAACAGAAGTTTGTGCTGACGCATGGAGACTTGGCTGCGCGGAATATCATGGTGAAAGATGGCAAGATCACTGGAATAGTAGATTGGGAGTATAGTGGGTTCTTCCCCGAGTACATGGAGTATGCAATGGCGACTGTGATTCATGATTGTCAGGAAGATTGGTGGAAGCCGCATCTGAAGGAGATTCTGGAGCCTTGTGGGTATAAGAGGGCGAAGTTTACAGCTGCAATCAAGTGGAGAGGGTGGTGAAGTTCGGATGGGGCTGACCCAAGTTCTTTTCTCTTGTTTTTTAGCCTCTATCACGCCATGCCTAAAGCTACTCTGTTTTGCTTTGCTTTCTATGATGTCAATGCCTTTTGGTGTTTTCTGCATATACCTCCGGACCTATATGATCGTATCCCTTCCATTTAGTTATACCTCACCCCAGCATGTTTTTTAAGTAGTTCTTCAATGTTATCCAATAATCATAAATATGATAATACTAATAATCAAAAGCAGTATTTATTGCTCAATAGAGTTATCGACGAGGATCAGACGATCACAGTACAACCAAGCGGAACAAGTAACATTCTCGAAGTGATCAAGCACAGACACAAAAAAAAAAAGGCACAATTAGACACAATACTGAAAGAAAACGATGAACACCATCCATCCATACGCTGAATAATTTTAAGAAAAAGAAGACAGGCTGACTACATCACAACTCATGTTGTAGCTTTCGCTATCCGAAATCCCAATTAGTCAAACTCAGCTCCGACCTGTTTATGCAGGATCTGTCTCTGTCCAGGGCTTTTCCGTCAAAATATCCTATGGGTCTGGTTCCGTCGCTAGTTCTTGATTCCAGGTTTCAGTCGGTGACACCGGACTTGGTGTCCATTGAAGAGGGTTAGATGTACAGTGGCGATATGTGAGAGAGGGTCCAAAAGGAAGAGTAGGACGTATAGAAAAGAAGCGAAGAAAGGGAAATCCTCAAGCTTAGTATGAATATTCTTGGAATTCCCGGTTTCAAGGCTCATTTCCAAAATGAAGAACTGGGAGTACCAGAGAAAGGAGATGGAAACACTAGCAGAGCGGCTTAAAAACCAATACCATGGTAAAGCAACGCATGTGAGACAGCAACGAGCACCAAGAACACCAGAGCAGAAAGAATCAGAGGTAAAACACGAGTTTAGACGGATGCTTATGCCGAAGCTTCTGCAGTCTTTTCCTCTGCTTTCTCCCCAGTAGGTTTCTCCTCTGTTGTCTTCTCCTCAGAACTCTTTTCCTCTGTGGCCTTTTCGACGGCTGGTTCGTCGGCCTGGGAGGCCGTCTTGTCGGATTCCTCCTTTGCTGCTTCAGGGGCCTCGGCCTTCTCCTTCGAGTCTGCATCGGTCATCTCCTCGTCCTTGGTCTCAGGCTTGGTCGGCTTGGGCTCATCCTCTTTTTCGCCTTCTGTGTCCCCACGAGCAGGGGTATCCACGCTGTCCTCTTTATGGACGCCGTTAGCCCTGGGCTTCCTCTTATCCTCCGAAGGGCCGGGAGTGGTGTCTGCATCAAGCACAGTCTTCCATTTGGACAAGAGATCCACGGCACGGCGACGGAACTGGAATTCCTCATCCCGAGGAATGGAGCTAAGCTTGACAATCATCTTCAAAACTTTGTTGATTTTCGTCGAACGGATGATGGAAACCTCCAGGTCTTGATAATTTTCCAACTTTGTAAAGTAGGTTGACATCGATGTCATTTCTTCCTCCTGAGGAGGTTGATCACGGGAGATGAAGCCCTTCTGGAGCTTATGGCGAACGAAAAGAACTGTTTCTGGTTAGTTTTCGCTTTTGCTCACGACCATTTGACTGCCGGGGATACGTACTCTCTTTCTCCTTCTTCGCCTTGGCCTCCTCTGGGTTGATCTGCTTCTCTGGCTCCTTAGGCGCCGCAGGCGTGCTTTCCTCACCTTCGTCACTGGCAGTGGCCTTGCTGGACTTCTTGGTGCTGGCAGTCTGCTTGGCCTTGCTCGAAGCAGGGGCCTTCTTTTCACTGGCAGGAGTCTTCGGGGTCGTCAGCTTGAGCTTGGTGCCGGTCTTGGGAGTCTTAGCAGGCTAGAGAAAAATCACGCACGGTTAGTATTCAAGGAATTGTTTCCAGGGCACCTTGTTTCCTCACCTTCTCCTCCGTGTCGGCTTCAGCGTCCTTCTTTCTCTTCTTGGAGCTCTTGGGCTTCTTGGCTTCCTCGTCTGCATCTTCCATGTCAATATCTTCGTCATCGACGATTTCCATGCTCTTCCGCTTGTTCTTCTTCGCATCCTTTTCAGCCTTGGCGGCTGCCTTTGCGGCCGCCTCGGCCTCCCGCTCTTCTTCTTCCTGCTCGATCGCACGCTGGTGGTCGGCCAGCAGGGTCTTGAAGTGCTGAAGGTCGTGACCATCAGCAGCCACGGAATATGCCGCCAAAAGCAGTTTCGACTTGCCCTTCTCCGACACTTCCTTGCATGCGGCGGGTTCGAGCGGCGTCAAATCCGTGTTAGGAATCCAGGCACTATAGTTGTCGTCAGCTGACACATCCACGAGAAAGATGAAGCGAGGAACAGGTTACTTACAATTCATTTGTTTCAAAGAACATCACAGGGAAGGTCCTCTCGTGAGCACGCTTGCCGCCTTCGGCGTAATCTTCCCTGTAGGTGCCATCGGAGCGCTGAGCGGTCACCGGGCGTGTGTCCAGAAGAGTCTTGGGGAGCATCTCCTCATCGCAGATGATAGACGGCCATGGTGGGTAGCTGCGAAGGCGCGCTAGGTAGTACTCGCCTGGCTTCGCGTGCAAATTAGTGATGCGAGCTTGCGACTTCTTCCGATTCAATTTCGACTTGTGCTCGGGCACGGTGCCAGTGGACTTGCGCTTTGAGCCTCCGGATTTCTTAGCCGACGCGGGGGTTCCGTTAGCCTCCGGGGCAGGGGCAGCCTCTGACTCTGCAGGGGCAGCACTCTCGTCAGGCTTCTTCGCATCAGTAGATTCGGACGCGCTGGGCTTCTCAGTGGGCTTTTCATCAGACTCCTTTTTCTCTTCGGTGGCGACTGCATCTTCTAAGGCAAATCAAGCAACACAGGTTAGCATACGAGCTTCATCAGGAACCTTTATTTACGGGATCGGAGCGCAGGAAGGGGGTATAAAAAGAGAACATTTGGGCGGCGCTTACCCGAAGGCTTCTCTTCCGATCCATTGGTCGTCTCTTCCTTCTCCTTGGTTGCCTCTGGCGTGGATTCCTTGGGTTCAGCAGGGGCGCGCTCGACCGACTCAACGGCGTCGGGGGCAGGTGCCGAGGCAGTAGGGGTATCCTCAGCCATGGTGCGCGACAAAGCTCAATAAAATGTAGATCAGAAACAGCTCCACCCGAAGTTCGCGTGAATCAAAGGTGTGCAATGGAAGCGGTGGTGGACAGGTCGAGGTGGATGTGGGTGAAGGAAGAAGTGGTGGAGAAGGTCGCGACGGAGGCGGGAAGTTGATTGACAACGCGTGCACTTCCTTTTGCCGGGAAAAAAAGCGCTGCCAGACCGCGAATGACGCAACGCTCACCAGCAACCACAACAAATAGGAATTTCCACAACTCGCGACAGCTGTTTGTCACTGAGTCTCACAGGTGGTCAGGTAGCCAAATATACTACCGATGAGGATGCAGGTTTATCCACGTAAGACTGCGCGATTCCAATACGCGACGCGACCTCAATCGTGCAACAAGCTTTAGCGGATATTCGCAAGAGCTTGCCCTGTAGATTCAAGAACACGCGACTAGTGATAGAGTCGTGGCAGAGATAATAGTAGTAACCGTGGAAGAGATCAACGACGCGTATAATGGATGGTGATCCCAAACGCGAGGAGGCTGCACAACCACTAGTACTTGGAAGCGTAGCAGTAAAGAGGCCTGCCACCTGACTGTCAAAGGATCTCAATCTTTGTCTCGGCTGGAGAATGAGATAGACGGGTTGCGCAGAACTATGCTCTGTAGAAGTGGTGGTTGATGCAGGAAAAGCAACGGCAGCTCAATCGAGGCAATTAGTCTGATGAGACAGCAATAGTCTGTCTGGCGCAAGGAACCTGGTAGGTCGTTTTAGTATAGGATACACCCAAATATTCAGATGATTAGAGGGGATGGGGAACAAGGGAATGGATGTACGAATGGCCGACTGACCTTGTGCCACAATAACAAAGCCAACAGTAACACCTGAAATGAACGATGTCAACTACTACCTTGTATGGCAATTTTTCAGAAACACCGCGTGACTTGATTGCGACAAGCCGAGGGGTGGGAAATGATAAATGTTTGGAAGACTGTTTGGTGCAGTGAAAGAGGAGGTAAAAGTGAGGTTCCCCGACAATCGTCATCCATCCACTCCATCGTCTGCTCCTCCAACATATATGTGCCACCAGTCCACATTGTAGTCTCTCGCTTTCCCCAGGATACAACGATTTATGTTTATCCTTGGAGGAGAGTAATATGAATTTTAAAAAAAGAAAAATAAAAGAAAGAGAAAAAGAAAATGAGAAAGGGTGAATTATAAACCTGGTATAAAGCCTCACCTACTCGAGCTCTACAGAAATGTATACGAGGCAGCATTGTACAGCTATATCGGTGTCGATAGCAGCGCTACACAGTATAATACGTATACAGATTGTAGTAGATCAAACGTACTCATTTGTTCAAGGCATATATAGCCTCTTATTCTTTTAGTCCTTTTTTTTATCTCTTTAAGTAGTTATTAATGGTACGCTGATGTGCGACTCTAATGTTCTATATCAGTGTCAATATACCAGTTGAAACTCCCGACCGTCCCAGTCCCAAATGCGTGTGGGAAAAAAAAATACAGATAAATGTATACATGAATATGTATAGATGAGGATATGTGCCCACCCTCGAGGGCAAAACCGAAAAATACAAAACCGTACAAAGTCATCATCCTTAATGAAAACGCCAATTTGATTGAATTCCAATCAGCCGTTGTCTAAATCAAAGGTGCGCGTAACTGCTTCGGGGAAGACCTGGTCCGCTCGCGATACGGCGGCTTGTCTCTGACTGAAATTGAATAGAAACTACAATTCACGGTGATGGAACGTAGCCCTCTTCCACAGCCACCACAGCTAAGACAGCAATATCATCCACCTTCCCGCCACGGTACCAGTCGCCGGGGTAATATCGTTGAGCTTCTTTGGCAAAGGGTCCGTCGCGGCGCATATCCACGCTGGCCAACTTGGCTTCACCGGCAATGGTGGCGGCGAGGAGCGATGGAAGGCTGTATAGGTGGCTCTTGTTTGTAGAGCGGTGGTGTTGGGAAGTTTGGGTGGATGATGATGGGATGAGGGAGGCAAGGCCCTCAGGACCAGTCAGTTGGTCGAGATCAGCAGAGGGTTTGATTCCAACGTCGGGTGTGGCGGTCCAGGCGCCTGTCAGAACCATCCGGCTGGTTATGAGCTTGAGGATGTCCTGGTTATTGAGGTTGTCAAAGACGCCGTCTGTTGCAAGGAGGAGTACGTCGCCATGCTGCATGTGGAGGTTGGTGACGGCCGCGTCGCGCGGGAAGTCTTCGAGGAACGCGCCACCGAAGATAGACGCTTGCGTGCGCATCCGCGGAGGGATAATACTCAGCTGGTAGGGCGTGTTGAAGCCGTGCGTTTGCGGGACCGAGTAGTGATGTACGGCAGCAAGACGGAGAAGGACTGAGCCTGAATCACCTAGATTTGCCAGTTCAACCCGTCCATCGGCCAACCCGACACCCACCGAGGCGGTGCAGCCGCCGGCGCGAATCGATTCATCAGCAACAACTTGATCGTAGCCGGCTTGAAGGAGGCCCTTTGCACGCAATTGTTCCGCCGGAGCATCCCAGTCAAGGGCGGATTGCGCCATATACCCACACAGCGCATGTGAGAAGTCCGCGGGATCGACTCGAGACTCCGCCCAGCCTCCTACCCCGTCTGCGACGGCAAAGGCGACCGCGCCGTTGTCGTGTTCGCCGACCCTGCTCACGAAGAATGCGTCCTCTCCACTATCGGGTCTCCGCTGACGCCGGATGGCCGGACTCTTCACATCTGTGGCCACCCCTATAGCATGGTGACGGTGGGGATCAAAGTCGGACGTGTTCTTGGCGGGATGGAAACGACGGCCTTTGCCGGATGATGAAGCGGCAACGCGGTATGAGATGCGTGGGGATTTGGAGTCAAGCGACTGCGTGGAGTGGAAGGATCGTCGGGGCGGAGGAGATGAGGATGATGTCGGAGAGGATCGGGGCCATGGCGTGCTGGTCGAGAACGAGGCCAAGAGCCTATTTCTCGTGACGGGTTGTAGGCTACTGCAGGTTGGACTGCAGGCTCTACGGAGAAAAACCAGAGGGATCATCGGCAGTGACCAGATTGTCGCCGAAGGACGCTAAGTAACGCGATTCAAACCCTCGCAAAAGAGCGATAGGGAGTTTTCCTTTGACCCGTCCGTTGGGAACATACAACAGAATGTCCCCTCGCACAGTCTAGGCTCGTAGAGGGCCTGTCGTGCCGTGAAAGGAGAGCGAACAGACCCTCCCGCTGAGCCAAGTAATGAATCCAGAGACAGCGATCGGTATATATATAGCGGACGGACGAGAATCACGGTCGTGTTTGATCTCTCGCGAGGGGGGTTTGAACGCTGGGATTCGGCACCATTTTTCAAATTATAAATAATGGATTGCCGACCGCCTGTCGTCATCAATCGACCGCCTCCATTCTTTAAGTGGAGTGACCGATGCTACCGTTGGGATCGGTCGTTTAATTCTGATTTGAATGCTTCGCGACTGGAGATCTCCGTGGTTAGCCGACTAAAGCCTCTGGATTGCCCACGTGTTGGGAGTAAAAGGAATAAAAAGAGAGGATTGACAATACCGATTGAGTCTCTCTAGATCATAAGGTGATAAACGGGTCAATAGGCGTAACTCGAGCGTTCATCAAGACAGTTCAGACATGGCGACAGTGCCGTATAGAGAATTTCTGTAGATTGCAGCAACATGTAGTCGAATACATGAGAGATATGGAAGCTGCGATGTTATGACGTTGTTGTGGTGTGTATGTTCACTCGCCATTCATTTTTGTCTTGCCGCTTCCTTTCGCGTCACCTTCAAAATTTCAAGAGAAAAAGGGAATTCCTCCGTCCGAACTCCCACTAACCCACACCCTTTCCTCCAAACCTCTCACACCCTTTAGACATTCCGCCGCCGTGTCTTACGGTATATAATCACCTGAATCAATCCGTCCGACTTGTTGAAAAGGTGCTGGGCAGTCTGATCGACGCCCGTGACTATATTGCCCACGATGATGCACCCATCCAGACAGGCGTATGTGGAGGAGGCGGAGGTAAGATCTACCCTTTTGCTTATCGATCCTGTATTCTATGGGCCTTGGAGTGGTAACAGATGATCGCAACGCGCTTACAAGGCTTTTCCCTTTGATGAGATTCACTGACATGCAACGACTTGGCTCATAGGACACCGATATGGGCATTGATCTGGCCAATCTGCGTAAGATAATTTCCCCCCCTCTCCGGTCAAGTTAACCATCATATGTATCTTACCCGAATTTCACTAATTGATCTATCCCATGTAGCTGTTGACCGCGATTATGATATCCCCTCCGCTGCGGCGGGCATCCCCTCCGAGAGAGCGTCCGCCATTCTGTCCCAATTCGAACGCAAACGGAGAGCTGCTGCTATGGTGGTCCCCACCGATGATAGTCGAGTGCGCGCACGATTACGAGAGCTCGGGGAACCCATCACTCTATTTGGCGAAGGTCCCGCGGACCGGAGAGATCGACTACGGGAACTCTTAACCGATCTCGCCGAGCAACAGGATGCGGCGGCAGCAGAAGGAGATGTGGATATGAGAGAAGCGACAGAAGAGGCTGAGGAGGAGGAAGCAGAGCAGCAGGAGGAGTTTTACACCGAGGGTTCTCAAGATCTGTTGGAGGCACGAAAAGCGATCGCACGGTTCTCCCTTCCTCGTGCAAAGCAGCGCGTCGCCCGACAGAGAGAAGAATCGACCATTCCACTCCGAACGCACATTAAGCACCGTAAAGCGGTTAAGGAGAAGTTACATGGGTTTGATCTTTACGGTTCACAGATTGCAGGTGATCGTCCAGTCAGCATCTGTCGCTTTGCGCCAGATGGGCAGACCATCGCTACAGGTAACTGGGGTGGTGGGATTAAGCTGCTTACGGTGCCAAACCTGGAGGAGAAACGGTCATTTAAGGCACATACAGATCGGGTAGGTGGCCTGTCATGGTTCCCAGGTGCTACACTGTCGACATTCAATGTTCCCGAATCGACCGTCAACCTCGTTTCTGGAGGTGGTGAGGGAAATGTGTGTCTCTGGTCGCTGGATCAGGATCAACCGATAGCTACACTGTCAGGCCACAGTGGTCGTGTATGCCGAACGGAATTCCATCCGTCCGGGCGATATGTGGCATCCGCATCCTATGACACAACTTGGCGGTTATGGGATGTCGAAACGACCGCGGAACTCTTGCTCCAGGAAGGCCATTCTCGGGAGGTCTACACTGTATCATTCAACAATGATGGTTCTCTTTTGGCCAGTGGAGGACTCGACAGCATTGGACGTATTTGGGATCTTCGGACAGGCCGGACTGTGATGATCCTTGAAGGCCATATCCGTGAAATCTACGGTTGTGACTGGGGTGTGGATGGATACCGTGTCTTGACCGGCTCAGGCGACGGCTGGGTAAAGTGCTGGGACTTGCGTCAAGTTCGGAGTACCGGTGGGATCGGTGCGCATAAGAGTGTCGTGTCCGACCTTCGGTGGTATAAAGGCACAGAATCTACCAGCTCCTACTTACCGTCTACTGATGGGCACAATGGCCGGATGGATGTGGACGGCGATCAACCCCCACAGTCGACACCTGTACAGCCAAGGAAGTCGGGCACTTTCTTTGTGAGCAGTGGGTTTGATAAGAATGTGAATATTTTCAGTGCGGACGACTGGTCATTGGTGAAAAGCCTGAGTGGCCATTCAGGCAATGTGCTGAGTACCGATATCAGCGATGATGCGCAGTGGATCGCTAGTTGCGGACACGACCGCACAGTCAAGCTTTGGGGCATCGACGGCTAGGATAACCGAATATGCTACAATATAATAACGGGGTCAGTTTGCCCAATCTATGACCCTGCATTACAGGTCACTACTTCAAAATCCAGGTAGTCGATTGCTCCATACCTGAATACAGGCGCTTCGCTTGTCTAGTACCCAGAGAGTTGGGGGGGTTCCTACGATTATACAAATATTATTATAAAAATAGCCGATCTCGCGAACCACCGAACCGATGCCGTCTACGGAACTTCTATTTACTTTAGTCACCAACAGCTGTACACTGAGAAACCCAATGAATATCAAAAGTAAGCTCTCGGACTATGACGTAAATTGCCGGAACCCACTCCGTTTTCTCCGAAGGCCGGAACCCCATGCTGACTAACCGGCCCTATATTAGGTTTGCCCGATAAGCATCAATTCCCCAACGCAGTCCGAGTATTTTCGCCTCGTGTAATCTACAACTATTACTTGTACAGTCTCCACATATCTGTCATTTTCAGATCAACTTGGAGCCTAAATTGGGCAAAGTAAGAGAAGATGAATTCCTCTCTTCGACCTCAGAGACTGCTACCGCGGCTCTCCTCTGCAACCTCCCGAACAACATCAGGAACTCGGCCTTCATTCCTCGACCAAAGACCAGGGACATGCCTCCTTTGCCAGCTCAGACCTCAAAGTACCACTCGTGTACCACGGATTCATCAGATCCAGCTGCCCCGTCGCTTCTCTTCCACATCTGCCTCCCTCAATGCTACCACAACCGATAATAACGGCACAATCCAAAAAATCCCGGACATCACGAACCACTACACGATCTTCCCCAAAACCCTCCCAGCAGGGCCACCCCCGAGCTCTCCCTTCCACATCTCCGTCAGCGACCTGCGACGCGAGTTTCTCCAGCTCCAGGGCACAACCCACCCGGACAAGTACCCCCCGGGTCCATCGAAACAACAAGCCGAGGCACTCTCAGCCCGCATCAACGAAGCCTACCGCACGCTGTCCGATCCGCTCACACGCGCGCAGTACCTCCTCCGCGAGATGCATGACATCGACGTCACAGCCGAGGACGGCGCCGCGCACCATGCGCTCGACCCGGAGACACTGATGGAAGTAATGGAGGTGCAGGAGACGATCGAAGAAGTTGGCGCCGAACCAGGCGCGGAGTCCACAATCGCCGAGCTGAAGAAGCAGAACGAAGCTCGTGTAGTAGACTGTGTGGAGAAGCTAGCAAACGCCTTCGATACCCGCGATCTGGAGTCCGCAAGACAGGAATGCGTGCGCCTGCGCTTCTGGTATAATATTGCGCAGGGGTTGAAGGAGTGGGAGCCCGGTCTTACTGAGATTAGACTGGTGCACTAGGTTTCTACTCGTGTTTTTGGATTATCGACCTTTTTGGATTGGATACCTAGATCCTGGATATGGCCACGACCCGTCATGTCTAAACTACTGTGTACGATACAATGCTGTCGACGTAAATACCCTCATACCATAGAAGTGTGCTATATTTTCATATTGAGCTATTAAAGAGCACAGTTGGATATTCTATAACATCATCTCTTCTCCAGCCCAGTTAATTGGAAACCTAAACCCATCATGCTATTATACCTCGGAGATATATGTACTATCCCAATATATATAAAACCACCATAAATCAAGTACCCCATCGCAGGACCCAAACGAAACCACCAAACAACCTACAAACCTTAATAGAATTCATGAAATATCATCAGTAAAGACATTAAATCAGACCAAGATCCAAGACCCACTCCAAGTATATATAATTCCAGAACACCAAACCAACCCAACATACATCAAACTTGGCAGTCCCCAATCCAATCTACCAAATGGCAAAACACAACCCTAAACAAACTAGTATGGTCTCGGAGCAAAAACCTCTTTACCCAGCTCGGAATTACTTTCTACTATCTAATGACCTAAATCCAGTTAATTACTTTAGTACTCTACATCATACTCCGTATACAGTAGGTACTAAGTAATTTCCTCTCCGCCAAGAACTAATAAACCTTTCTATCCCGGTAATTCATAATCCATTCCAACTCAAAGACTCCCCCCTCCCCCACTTACCAAGTGTAGTAGGATGGGGTGATCCGGTTTGGACTATCGTTTGGGTTATATCTAGGGAAATATGGATTGGTTCTATGGGTTTTTATGGATTAATATGGATCTGAAACCAGGGTGTTGGGAATTAGAACTTACTGGTTGGACTTTTACCTTGAGTCTTAGTACTTTCTTGCTACTTTTACTGTACTCAATACTTTGGGGGAGTTGATTATGTGCCATATAAGTGTCTTTTTCTTTTGCCCTCTATTCTATGATTTCTATTCCTCTGTCTATGGTGGAAAGGCTTGAAGGCTTGAAGGCTGGAAAGGAAAGGAGAAGATGGGAAATAAACAGCAACAGAAACAGGAACAGAAATAGAGTGCTAACAGGACCATGAAATCAACGCTATATATATACCGAATGACGTAACGCCGTGTGATGCCAGCTAGCAATTGACAAAAGCATAATGGTGAAGGGGGTATATAGAAAGTGGGAGGCTGATGAATGGAAGTAACGGTCTAAACTGAATAGATGGGGCAAGGGTGAAGGGAGGAAGGAGAATTGTATCTGTAAATGTATGGACATTGTGGGATGGTTGTATGGACGTAAGGGAGGGGGATAGGTAGCTAGGAAAAATGGAGCGTGCGGTCTAATCAGATACATCCTCGTCTTTACCCGGGTACATGATATCCTTGTTGATAACGGCGCGGACGTTGTTGATGAAGACGAAGATGTACATGCACACGATGCAGATGGACATGGCGGATCCGACGCCCTTCACGCCGTTACTGTTGAGTGCTTTGCCGAGGGTGATGGTGGCCAGGGTGAAGCCGGTGTTGGGGAAGACCATGGCCCACCAGTTGAGGTGGAAGGCCTTGGGCGGCGAGCGGATGACGGCGACGATGGCGATGCAGAAGAACCAGAGACTCAGGGCCCAGAGGAAGACGCCGGCTGAGATGGCCAACAGTTCGATAATACGGCCGTCCTCCAAGGCGTGGGCGTCATGTAGCAGCTTGAAGTCTTCGGGGAGGCCTTTGGTCATGCCGACGAGGGCTAGGGCTGTGAAGGCTGGGGGTCCGACGCAGATGAACATCCCTGGTCTGTGGTCGCTGTGGGGCAGGCCGGACTCCATCAGTCGGCCGATGTAGTGGGCATACATCATGAAGCTGATGGAAAAGCCAAGACCCTGGAAGGTGACACCGGCGCCGATGATGGGGAGGGCTGCGCGAGCGGGCTGTTGTTCACCGATGACGGAGGCGATGGTGCCGCTGAGCATGATGGGGAAGGCTGGGAGGATCCATGAAGGCATCATGGTTTGAAGGCCATACTTGTGGGATGAGAAGACGAAGGAGTATTGTATGATCGCGACCAGCAAGGTGCAGAAACAGTAGATCCAGAAGAGGGCTTCGAGGGCTAGTTGGAAGGATTCACTAGGTTCTTCACCGAAGTAGCGAGACAAACCGCAGATGATGGTTGCGACGGAGAGCCAGAAGGTCGGAAAGAAGAGACCCTCGCGGTCATGGCGGAGGGACTCGAGAAGGTTGCCGTGTAGGATGAACCTGAGAGCCATGGTAGAGCAGACAAGGGCGAAGAGGATCAGGTTGAGGATGTAGACTGCGATGCCGATCTCTTTCAATCCGCGGAACCCAAAGGGCTGGCTGATGATGAGGACGGCCAGCCCTCCTCCACTCATTGTTAAGGTGTACCAGGCCCAGGTGAAATGACGAAGCCTCTCCCGGATACCCACCGGGCCAAGCTTCTTCTCATCCTCAACCTTCGGAGGTGTTAACATTTCGACGTCTGAATGAGATGAACCCGGTGGTATGTAGTGTTCGGTGTTGAACATGGTGCTCTTGGCGCGAAGCTTATAAGACAAAGGAAGAGTCTATGGTAGAGTGGTACGATATGAAAAAGAGATAAGCAACAGTGGTATGACTTTAGGAAGAGGCAGTGTGGTGTGACCCTGAGGAAGGCAAGAGAAGATAAGAGAAGAGAATGAACGAGGGATAGTTGGGTATCTGATAGACTGTCTGACAGTGATCTCCCAATTGTACTTGTCGTGGAAACCTCTCACACTTATAGCTTGATGTATGATGGGAGAATGAGTGCAAGGAACCAAAAGAACGACGAAAGAGCTACTGCAAGTAAAATCCCTTGACGGATCAGACGCTTCAGGCTAAACCAAGAGAAATGAAAGTATGAAGGTATGCAATGCAATGCAATGCAGCTGGACACAAAAAGAAAGTGAGTGGATTATGAGTGGGACAACGCTTTGAATGGCGTGGAAAGCAATCAATGGAATAGAATAGAGATCTATCGAACAAGACGCTACAGCTATGGGACGGTCTAGATATATGAACAGTGCTGGCATCCTCTGCACATGCTGCGGATGATAGGGCATCATTAACTTCAGGCTGATGCTCATCGTCGCCCATAGTCGATACTGAGGAATGCAGGGCCAAGAAATAGAAACCAGATCCATACCAACATGGTTGGCTTAGAGACGACGAAACCCGCTTTCCCAAACTCTTGTCGTCCCAGAAAAGGGATACAGAGCCCACCGCGGGCCGGAAGGAATAGGAAGAGTTCAGGTTTGGCGCATATCAGGGGGCCCATTGCATTATTGCAAAGGGGCAGAGGGACCATGGCGTAAGGTCTCGGCATTGCACTCAAGCCAGCGATGACTAGGGGAAGAACAGAGAACGACCAGAATGGTTCATGATCTTCGGTGGATAGCGTCTTCATTCTGATCCGCCAAGGCTAGAAGAGGCTATAGTTCCAGTGGGTCATCCGCGTAGAAACAAGTTCCAACAACGTCAACGACTATGCAATGCATGCCTTTGATATCAATAGGAATTAAATCCTTAGTATCCACTTCAGGCAAACAAGAAAAAAGAAAGAAAAGAAAAGAAAAAAAAAAGACTGATGGTAAAACACTTTCCGATCCAATCCGGGTGCTTGTTGGCTGTGTCAAGTGCATTTGTTTAGCGAGTGTCACATCTCCTATACCGTTCTGCTGCTATCTAGAAGGCAGACGTTTTTTCTTTTCTTTTTATTTTTGGCTCCCAGAATTGATTTTTCATACAGTCTTCCATCTGGTTAACTGCTTACGATATCGGTTGAGGAAGGTCAATCTGTTGCTCTTTAATTCCCAGCCGAACACGAATTTAACGGCTTGTCTGACAGTGTCGGCTTCTCATGTGCTTCTTCTCAGACCAAGCCGAAGTCCGTCTTTTTCGGCCCGAATTGCAGGGATCCTTTGTTGAGACACAGCGCTAAAGTATAAAAAATAAAAAATAAAAAATAAAAAATAAGAAATAAATAAAAAAGAGTGGCGAGACTATGTAAGACGACCGCCATAATGCCTGCAGGGTGAGTGGAACCCCATCAAGGCCATTGAACCATTCGATCACCGAATCAGGTACTTTTCCTGTCACGGAACGTCTGGGAAGAAGAAGAAGATTCTCAACGTGCGCGGCGGTAGGCATCATCGAACAGCGTCTCGCCCATGGACTGCGAGTGGCCAAGACTACGATCGACAGCACATCACCGACGGGAGGTCCACTGCCAAGCTCAGTGTGGCTATGGACGAAAGATAAGGGCACAAAAATAAAATGATGACCAAAAAAAAAGGGGAGCGGATTTTAGAGTTAAAGTTTAGGGATGTTAGATTATGTTTAAAAAAAAAGGAGATAATTAATCATTCATATAGATAACAGCAACCATGGGGAATGTGATGTATTCCTTCCATTGCGGAATTTCACTTTGGCCCTCTTCTCCGTATTCGGTCTGTCTGTCTGTATACTTCGGAATGACGATGATACATGGATGACACTGATCGTCCATGACCAGCCATGGCCGGTCAAACACACAGCGTTGGACAAGAATGCAAGATGACCGAGATGAACCGTCAGTTTGAAGCGTCAGACGCAATGAGGAATGGAACGAGTCTCGAGTCTTGGCAGGAGGTTCTTGGCAAAGATATCCAACTATTAGGGCAACGGACGTAACTAAACCTCAATAATGTGACTATCCGACGGCACAACCCAATTGTGTTTCAGCATTTGGAATTATGAACGATGGATGATGCGTACACCGTACAGTCCTTATCTTGCCTTGTCCTTTACTGCTTCCCACATTCTTTCTGATCTGGAGGAAATTGTTGCTGCCTTTTCATGATCTGCACTTGACATCCATGTAAAAATAGTACTACTATTGAGCCGGCCAAGAGAGGCAGTGATGATAGGCTAATGCGTCAGCATTACCGAGCTCCTCTTTCTCACTGTAAACCCGGAGTAGATCAGAAGGAAGGACAATCAAAAGAGGCCAGGAAGAATGATCAACCGCTATACAATAGTTCATTTGAAATCCCACTCTCCTCCCTGTTCGCTTGCGGAGTAGAGCTCTGCCGGGACGTTGAACCCCCCCCCCCCCCCCCCAATCGATGAACCCATACCCCAGTGCGCTCCGCCGCCGTCTCCCCCCACTCCCAGATGGTCCAGTTTGATCGTTCTCTCTTCCCATCTCTGATCCGTCTTCTGTATCGAGACTATCGACTCTTACCGAGGAACGCGGTGGCACAGACATGCACCCGCCAAGACCAAGCAATACTGGTGGCCAAGAAGAGCACAGGTAGATCATCGTCCCCACCAATCCCCCTGACCAGTCCTTCCGCCTAAAGATGAGAGAAAGCATTCGACGGGTTTTTCGGCAATCGTGAAAAAAAAAGCAAAAGACCCAGCCAACCTCCGGACTCAAAATCCGACTATGCTTGGCGTTGTACCAGTCGCCAGAGAGACGTGGTTGACTTCTTCGGCCCGTCATCCCCAATTCTTGGACTCAATACACTCTGTATCAATTCTCAGAAACAGCACTTTCTTCCTCGGCTGCGAACTACTTGGCTGGCTTGTCAGTCATCTCTTATCGCGGCTAAATACACGGGTCCTCGTTTGTTGGATGGGTCCGACTTCCTGCGACTGCGCGCTTTTTAATATAACCTGCAGCAAAGAGGGGCCCGCCTTGCATCTGGTCGGGCGTGGCTGCAGATACTCGAATGGGATTCCTTGAGGGTCTCGTCATGCAGCTAGAGGTCTGTTGTTCGAGGTCATTGTGCGCTAATTCCAGAACCCCTCCCCCCTCCTGGATATTTTGCCGGATTATTCCTAAAACACGATCAGCCATGAAGGAATCAACGGGGATGGTCGATGGGATACAAGCTAGAAGAGGGTGATCAGCACCGATCCCGCTGCAGAATTATCTAGCCCAGGACACCGAATCCAATCTCACGCTTTCGGATCAGTAAGCGGCAGGATTGAGAATGAAGGCGCAGATGTCCCAATGGGGGAGGTAGAACGAAACGGAATCGATGCATCCAAGACGGACGCCGACAATCTAAACCTTCCCGTGTTTCTTGTGAAACGGAAGCAACCTTCAGACGGTATTAGACCTGATCAATAAGACATTGAAGAATGGTCGATGCTCCCTTGGCGGAGTGGGGACCCAATGTAACAGTAACGTAGAAATTATCTATGATCGTCTAGGACGGAAGGCTTTCAACAAATTATCATTCAATGTTGGATCACGCAAAGAAATTCGTCACAGGCGGAAGGATGAGTAAACATAGCACAAGGTTCAAGAAGACTCCACCGTCCCAGTGGTTCCGAGACAATCCACATCTGGCATTATTCATACTCCCAAGTCAATCATATACGTAACGGTCGTCTCTGTGTTTGATCGGTGTCGGTGCGTATGCGCTCTTTTGATATACATGTTGGATGAAAACAACGAGAAAGAAGACAAAAGAAATAGCTAACGGAAAGAGAGTTCAATAATCAAGAAACAGAAAAGAAACATAAGTCATATCATATCAATCATATCACCACATCATGCGGTACACCAGATCCGATGCAAGCTCGGTGGTGGTGTCCAGGAGGGGACGCAAGCCCTTGGCTGAACGCTTATGTGGGTAGGGCATGCCCGCAGTATTTTCCTCGGGAGGACAGAACTCCGCGAGGTCCCGGATCTTGCAAGCTGCATAGTGTACAACCAATCTCCGAAGCTCGTTGTCGCGAAGCTGAGTGGCGGAGATGGCGGAGATAGGCTCGAGACGGGTGGTTTTGTTGTAGGTATAGTCGAGGAGGTCGAGGATCATCCTGGCTTTAGTGGTCGCTAAAGCAAATGACTCCTCATCCTGGGAGTCCATTGGATGCTCGGGGAATCCTAGGTTCAAGAGATCCGTATGGAGCTTCCGGAGACATAATTGGGCAAGGGCAGGTATCAAGAAGCGCGTGGCGAAGACATACAGCTTGGCATGGAAAACAAGATACGGAAGGTCACCCTTGGTCGATGCCGAGTATGACAGTGAGCTTGGCGGTCTGTTTCCGTGGGTCTGTCGAGGGTCGTGATAGTCCATGGCTGCAAATTCATCCCACAGGTTGGTGCCCGAATCGTGCTGAAAGTTGAAGCGCTGCCTGGCAAATGACATGTCGATGAAGGAGTTGGTCCGGAAGTGGGATGGTTTCGGTTCCTCTGTGACTTTCTCTTCCTCCTTCGTCTCGGCCTTCATCTCCGTTCTTTCAGGCTCGACCGTTTCAGGTTCCTGCGGCGTGGGAGCAGATTGCTCCCAGGTGTCAACCTCGGTCTGAACAGGCTCAGCCGGTTGGGCGGCCTCTGCCTCAGCTGGAGCTTCCATGGTCTCCTGAGGCTGGCTCCATTCCTCAACTGGGGCAGGCGTTTCCTCAGCAGGAGGGTTCTCGACCTCTTCCGGTTTCTGAGGCGGAGGCGTGGAGGGAGGAGTCAGGTTGGTCGTCGTGGGCTCTTCCGCGGCGGCAGCACCCTTCTTCTTCTTGTCCTTCTTGTTCTTCTTTCCCTTCTTGCCTTTGCCGGAACCTGCGCCTTCATTGGCGTCTGCAGGGTCGCCTTCCTCGGCAGCGGGAGTCGCAGGAGGCTGCTCAACTGGCTCTTCGGGAACCGGCTCAGGGACCGGCTCAGGTTCCTGTGGTGGTTCAACGGGAGCTTCTAGAGGCTCCTCCGGTGCCCTGTTCTCCTCCTCCAGAGGATGCTCTGGTTCTGGAGTCGGCGGCGCCTGTTCCTGCGGTTGTGGCGGGACTTCCTCACTTGGCTTGCTCTGCCCCTTGTCGGCCTCGTCGCTGGGTTTGAGGTCCGGCTGCGCCAAGACAGGCTCTCCAGAGAACACCCCCTTGAATGGGTTGTTCACGACCTGTTCTTGGTATTCCTCTCGGTTGTCCGGACCGGGCACGCTGTAGTCACCGGTATAAGCATACTCGCAGAAGGCGACAAAGGTCTCCACATCTTCCTCCTCCAAGACGGCGATATGATGTTTTGATTCGCGGGTTTCCCCACTGTTCATCAAGTGGTCCAACGGCTGGGAGACATGACGGGCGAGTCCCGATTGAACGGTTAACTTGGTGTGGTTGGCGCCGACCAGGAAAGTGAATGGCGGTGAATGGACGATACTGTATCCCAATGAGAAACTCGGAGGGTCAGTGGCAATGCTGTCATGGTTGGCATAACGAAAATTTGCGCTCTTGGTGATGATACAAGGAACGGAAGAACAGAAGCAGAAAGGACGCAAACAAAATGAGACATTGGTTCGTCTGATAATGTCCCCAAACTCAACTCACCTGCTGTAATCCCGGTAGTTATCCATGGACACGGACTATGACTTGTCTATACCCGAAGAGAAAGGACTATACAACAAGAGCAGAACGAGATAAGGAAAACCCAAGAGTAGAAGAGAGGAAAGAGAGCGTACGTCTCCCACAGAGTTGATGTTCAAAAATTCCAAGAGCTGTCACTAACGATATAGACTATATATACCACACTGCCATGCGCGCCCTGACCGTTACACTTGCGCTTTGCAATGCGCCTTCTTATTCCATCGCATTACAACTCTAGGCGCAAAAAAGTCAAGGGAAGAAAAAAATTTCAAGACCGGCCCCAACTGGGTCAAGGATAGTCTGCTACGTGTGCATCCATGAGGGGGTTTCGGGAGGGTGGATTGACCGCCAACATTGTCGCGATTGCCAGCGATAATTCCCCTCTTATCGCAAAGCAGACCGTAAACCAGCCACTGGATTTCCTCATCTGCAAGTGAGTCAGCCCTTCGGTGTCTCTCATTTGTTCAAGAAACATGCGATGCACGGCGGAAAGTGGGCACAGAAAGAGGGGACTGCATCGTGGCATCGAGGGTTGCCCTACTCGAATAGTTCCCGAGCGTTGTGGACTTGGTTCCTCATCCTCACCAATACTCGGTTTTTATGACCGATTTCCCCATTGTCCAAGATCCAGTTGGACAGCTCATCTATTTTTTTTTTTTTTTTTTCAAGATGCGACGAAAGCCTCACGCGAGCCACTGCGGGGACCAGACAGCTTGCTCGTCCGGAGGGTCGGGAGAAGGCGAATGGTGGACTCGGAGACACTAAGGATTTTAGTCTGCCGTTAGGTTGTTGCCCGATGCATCACTCATTTGCCAGCCTCCTCAGGACCCAACTGAAGACTTTTTTTGTTTTTGTCAGGTGCAGTACCTGAATTGGCACTTAATTTAGTTGATACTATTCATAATTTACTAGCTTTGCTCTACGGAAGAACTAATATAAACCAGTGAGCTGGCAGGTGAATGATTCATCGTAGGTGAATTGCGAAGTACTCCATAGTCGGGAAATATCTAGTATCGTTACCAATTTTCCGTAATGGGGCATTTTGGATTGAATGCCTGCCAAATGAATAGCTAACTTGGAAGAATGGTTGAGCGAGGGACAAGCAATATGATACATCGACTAGTCTCTGCTGCATGAATTTCCATCCTGCGACTGATGTATGCGTGTAGTGGTATATAACTATGCGGTGAACGCCCCCATGTTCACTGCAATCCTAGCAAGTATGAATCTTATTATTCAAACATATTAAATTAAATCATGCTATTAAGCATAGCGCTATTCCAACGCCTCAAGAAAACTTCGTCGGTGGAGACCCTGATTTCCTCTTTGGGACATGCTTCAGACAACATAGACGAAACAACTTCTCATACATTCTACAGTTATTATATTTTCTGAAGTAACTGCATGAATGCACAAAAAGATAAGGAAATAAATAACTATGACTGCAGTTTACATATTATTACTTACTACACACCTAAACACCCCCATATCCCTAAAGTCCAACTCTACCAGCACTCGGCATCTCCCTAAACCTCAAAATAATGATGCCGCTCAATCGTGTACGCTTCAACTACATCCTTGAACCCAAACCGGACCAAGAAGCAAAACCACATCACCAACCCACTAACAGCCTCACCTCATATCCTAATAAAGGACCCGCCGTCGAACGAAGCCAAGCTCGCTTCCATGTCGGGATCCACGTCCCAGCCATCTCATCCCAACCTCGAAACCCACTCACGGCACCAATAAAGTTGCAAACGGACAAAGCAAGAGGCAAACATTGGTGATGTAAATTGGTAATGGGATCCGCCGTCTTGGACGCAGCGTCGATACTAAGGTGAAATTTGTCCGCGTCGACTATTTATAGTGACTTCTCTGCGGAGATGCGGGTGGAGTAGTTCTTGGATAGCTTTGGTGACGCGGCGACAGTCACGAAGCTAATTCACATCAAAGGAGCCGATAACTCGCTGCTGTGGGTGGAAAGGGTGGACTCGCCGTGGTTGAAGCTCTGGGTGGCTGGGGATGGACGTTTTGGCCAGCTTCACCGATATTGTCCGTAGCTATTTTCGCTCGGGACCGCGTCTCCGATGTAATGAATGGGCAGATGCGGAAGCTGGCAAGGCATTACTTTCGGGCGAGAGAGAAAAAGAAGGATAATGGACGAATGTCAGCCTAAACAACAACCAAGCAGGCTTTGACTGGAGAATCCCATCTCCATGTCGTCTGACTTCGTATAAGATTGTTACTTCTCCAGTTTCATGACTATAGACTCTTGGGGTAGCAGCTCTAAGAGTAGGAATTGCTATCGCAATCCACAACATGCTAATGAGCATAGTCGCATCTACACCCCTACAACATGGTAGCTCGTCATTTGAATGAATTTGATTGGTATCATAGCTAGTCCACCTATTCAGGTTGCGGTTGTACCCGCTAGGCCAAGGGAAACTTCCCATTTTATGGGTAAAAAAACCTTGGCCAGGACTGGAAAAACGAGAGAATGACAACACAAACGGTACAACCAGAGGACTAATTACAAAGAACCTTAAGACAGGAATATGTCAACATCCCCCAGCCATATCATCCAACTCCTATCCCCGGCCACCTGAGTTGGGTCGTTCAGAAGTGGTGTGACCGGTACTAAGAATTGACGGACGCACAGGGCGTTGTGGTGGGACAGGTTGAGAAGGCCATCAGTGCAAGACAGTGTTTTAGTGATCACAACCCTGAGTCACTGGTAAGACACGCAGTTGGCTTGCAAGAAGACCAAACTTACTATTCCTGACAGTCGTCTTTACTTCACTGCGGTGTGGCGGGGGGTTTTTTCTTTTAGCCAGCCTTAAGAGCCCAGTTAGTAGAGGAACCCAGTACTAGATGTAGGTCACACTCACAAGCTCTGTCACTTACTGGGCCTGCCACGGTGCAGCTAGCAGGAGGGCCTGTTCTCTGGTGACCGAAAGCGTGTCATGGCTCAATGTCGTAAAGGCATATCAGGATGTAGTCACGTCTGCCTGCTCGCTGCCTCCGTAATGGCGAGGTTATGCCGGCGTGCGGTTGTTTTTTTTAGCCAGCCTAAATCCAATAAGTATACATGTCGTGCCAGAGAATGGAGGATGTGTCCTTACAAGCTCTGTCACTTACTGGACCTGCCCGCGGTGCCAGGCAAGTGGAGGGTGAAGGAGGCAGGAGTCAGTCGTGGAAAGACGCATATGAGCATGAGGTTGATTTAGCATTTGTCCCCTAGCGAGCTAGTTAGAAAAAATTGCCGATGCAGTAAGGGAGGTGTGTACAAACAAGAGCATGTCCCCGTAGGGAGTTAGCCTGCGGTGCGGGCGAAGTTTGTTTTTAGCCAGCCTACAACAGCCGTCAGTATCGAAGGATAGTGCATCGAGGGAAGGTATGCATACAAGCTCTGTCACTTACTGGGCCTGCCCACGGTGCCAGGCATAATGCTCAGGGAGAGGTGAGGCAGCTCAGATCTGGGCTGGTGAGTGATCAACGAGTCATGAAGAGTGTCGAGCAAATCAAGGGACCGAGTCCTATCCAATTCAAAGCAAGCAGCACACAATCGCCTATAAGCCGAAGAGGGTGTCGTCAGCAATGGCGCTCATCTCCATGAGACTTACCAGCAGGCCATTTTGATGAAACTCGAAACCTCCACGACGGTGAGCTAACTGGGAACATGAGTCAAGTTCGGTCGGCCTGCCTCATCAGTAGTAAAGGAGCATGATGGTTAACACCTCTAGGAAGACTTACAAACACTGTTCCCTAGTAAGTCTCCATGTTAAGGCCATGTGTGAAGGAAGCAGAAGGGTGGAAGAGTAACAGTTGTTGGGACGAGGGGGACGGAGGAGAGGGGGAGGGGAAGAGGGAAAGCAAGGGGGTGGTGGCGTTGAGGTTCAGGCACGGTCATGACTCAATGACGATATTAGTACTAGTAGTAACGAAAGGCCGGCCTCGTAATGGTGAGTTCCTTAGGTGAGATCCTATTTCCTCATAAGGAGCGAGTCAGGGCATGTTGAGCTCGCGGCTTCCGGATGAACGTCGAGGTTCCTCGAGGTTCGAACCCAGGCAGGACGTGACCGAGGGTTCCATGGTCTTCACAGATCATACACGCGATTATATCTTCGAATTTCGACGGGTTGACAATGGAGGGCCAGAAGTCCCATGGAAAGGGGGCGGCTCACTCTGGGCTGATGGTGTGGAAAGCGTCCGGATGATATCAAATGAGGCAGTGAGAGGTTTATAAACCCCCTTCAAGCGGGCTGTGACAGAATCATGGAATGACCAAAATTAAACTTCCATGGGCATCGCTCCCTTGTCGTGGTCAGGCAGATGGACAGCCGGACTTGCGTTGTAATCGGTGAGACGAAATCTCCGGTTCGTTGCTGAGCTGCTTTTTAAGTTGGTTAACTCGAGGCGATTGCGCAGACATCAAGAAAAGAAGAATAGGAAACATAGTGAAATATATAGACTCGGACAAGTCATGTAAAAGACAATACAACAGGGGAAGTTAAAGCTTAAGATCTCCATTGATGCCGTTTATATACATGGGATTTCAGGAACAGTTTCTCCACGAGGTGTGTGACTCATGATCACCAGAATCAAAGCCCAACAGACTCCTAGCCCTAAAATGCGAGATCTATGCCCACTATGGGGTAGACACCCAGCGGTGAGGTGGACATTCCAAGCACCAGAAAAAAAGTGGGTATCATTGAAGAACAACAACTAAGCGTTTCATAAAACTGCAAGGGCCCATCAAAGGGGCGACATCTCTTTGGAATGTGAAGCGAAAATGTCAGAACGCCGGCTGCGGTGTGGAAAACAGTTGTTGTCTTGGCGTGACCCTAGACACGTGGCGGAGGTCTAAGGTAGCGGTGAAAAGAAGCGCATGGTATCTCAAATCCCACCGTCCGACTACCGAGGTCAGGCACTTGTAGAGATAAAAAGTGACGTGTAATCGGCCTTCCTGCGATCACGAATTGTGAAACGCCGTCGAGGATCCACGCTGTTCGGGTACCAAGGTCGGGTTTCATGTGGATCGGCTGTCAAACGGTCGAATTCTGAAACAAGGCTGTTACCTGGCTATTGAACCTCCAATTATCGATAAATGTAAACTTGTGGCAGCGGACCAGAATGGCTGCACGAATAAAAGTGAGGCTCGCACTGTGAGCGCGCAATCAAGCAACCTTTCGTCCAACATTTCCGATACCCCTTCCAACCACGCTGACAACGACGTCACCACGCTCATTTTCTCCAGGAGCATCTCTAAGACCCCAACCAGGTGCGCCAAATTTCGCTAAGTCTCTCGCCAGCTGGATTACACCTTCGTCGGCAATCACATCACGGCCAAGTTGAAGCCGGCCAACATCCTCTGAGCCCATTGTCATAAGACCCAGCATGGTCGTCGCTGCTGCGGGAGCAACACAACCGCCTTTCGAGATGGTTTCAAGCAGCTGATAAGCGCACTGCTTTCCAATATCCTCAGGAGCCTGGCCACCTGAAGGTGGGGATGCCACATCCGCAGAAAAGAGGCAACCCGTCGAGGACTCTGCGACCAGCGACAAACCAAATCCAAGGCCGATCTTCTTCTTAGCCGAAGGATTGCTCTTCTCCGGGGCAGGGACCAGCGGGGCGGAGGAGACATCAGAAAAAACGTAAGTATCCGGCACAAGCGGGTTGAGAACCCCACGAGCGGTTTCGATCATTCGTGCGTTGTTGGACGCTGAGACACCGACGGCATACGCCACACCACGAATCTTCTTTATTCTACCCGGGTTCATCATATGAAGAGTTTTCGGGAGACGCACTTGGTGGCCGAAAACCAGCTGAACTTCTCCGCCACCTCCTCTGCCATTATGTCCAGGGTTAGATCTTCGTAGGATGCGGAGTTCGACGTTGTTGAATATTCCGAATTGATTGTAGAGCGGCAAAATCGCGGTTCGCACGCTGTCCACGGACATATCACCTGTTGGCGTAGATGAAGTGATCACACCAGGGCCAGTAAAGAGGACCTTTACAGGAGCTTTGGAGAATGGGGCTAAAAGACAGAGAGGCAAAAGATAGTAGCTCACGCCGCGATTACAACCTGCAGGGAGCTCATGTCTGATCACACCACCACTGCCTGCACCTGCACCACTTCCAGTAATCAGACCAGGTTTGTAGACCACAATTGTTCCTGTATAGGAGATTTCAAGTTGGGAGCCATTGGTGACAGCCTCGAGAAGACGAAGGAAGGAAATTTCATGCGGAGCAAGACCCGGGTTGGTAGGAGACGAAGGGCGGATCTGAGAGATATGCACCGTACGGCCAGTCAAGGTTGCAAAAACTAAGCGATACACAAAGTTTTTATGCCCGGTAAAGCGGAGAGGGGGTTGTGAGGTTGCCATGATTACTTGATTGGAGAATCGCTGTATCTCCGTCGTGGGCCAGCAATATCGCAATCAGAAGCTGTATACATTTGAGCCGACAAAAAAAAAAGCGAATGGAGAAAATCTGTCGGGGAAATGATGTTCCGATATGACGTCCGGGCTTAAGCCAAACGCTTATCTCCGACCGTGATTATCAATGTCGCATGATATGTATGCGTCTTCACCCCTCCGCCGATCTCTATAACTCTGAATTTTTGCGAGACGGCTTTTTAGACTGAGAAGGGTGCACAGTGCTAATATAATAATTGCTCAAAATGCTTCCTCCGGCTCTGAATATTCCCAAATGGTACTTTCTCAACCCGTACTCGTCCATATATAATTTTATGGTTGCCCCTCCCCCGCAATGCGTCACAACATGCGACAAGACCTAATAGAAGCTATATAATGATACCATGACTGGACTGACCATGAATCCACAGGCTCGAGGCCAATTCTCACCTTCTCCAACCACCAGTAAACAACTACTGTGTCTACCACCCCTCCTCCCCGGCAACAGCCGGCTACACAGTGATGATCGTGGGGGGTCCCAACGCCCGCACGGACTACCACATTAACACAACCCCAGAGTTCTTCTACCAGTATCGAGGTTCAATGCTTCTCAGAACTGTCGATACATCCACTTCGCCCCCGGTATTCCAAGATATTCCCATCCACGAGGGTTCGTTGTTCCTGCTACCCGCCAACACGCCTCACTGTCCGGTGCGGTTCAAGGATACCGTGGGTGTTGTGATGGAACAACCTAGAGCTGAAGGTGCGGTTGATATTCTGCGGTGGTACTGTAAGAACTGTGGAGAGATTGTGTGGGAGAAGCGTTTTGTGTGTACGGACCTGGGAACGCAGGTGAAAGAAGTTGTTGAAGAATTTGGCGCGGATCAGGAAAAGCGGACGTGCAAGGCTTGCGGTACTGTTGCTGAAACGAAGTATCAAGAAGGGGAACTGGTACAGCCGCCCAGGTTCCTTGAGTAGTCGACTTTTGGAATGATTTCCAGAGCAATTTGTTAACCGATGTAATATGTAGAGTTTACGGGGTGTATATGATGATGATAACGATGATAATTGCCTATAAAATGGTGATCTGAATGTTACCAATAGACTAAAGGAGAATACTAGAGGGGGTTAGAGGACTTAATGATCATTTATGTACCTATCGGAGTGGGTCATTCTCAAATAACTATGTCTTTGCCTTTGTCTAGGGCTGGAGCAAGGTCTACCCCGAAAGCGAAACGTATCCCAGAACACAAACTATTTTAAAATGCAACAAATCTACACAGATTCGGGAGATTCGAATTAAGGTACTGAAAGGAGATCTTTCGGAGCTTATTGGAGGGCCAGACCATCACTCCTAATCAAGTCGATGGTCAATATATGTGTCAAAACCGTGGACGCTCACGGGTAACCTTCTGGCAAATGGAACATAGAAATTAAGGTGACAGGCGATAGCAACTCTGGAGTGCAGACGCAGAAACTGAAAAAGATGTAATTCTTCGAGTCCTTAGACTGAACGTCTATAAACTAGAATTTAACTCGCCATCCTATGCTGGAACCATTGGGTGGCGGCTGAGGTGGCCATATTGCTATACGCCACTATGAAACGCGTCGAAACCCTCCTGAACTTGGTCTCTGCAGTTGCCAATGTCTTATTTTGCTAGGAATAGCGGGTTCATTCAGAAGGGTATGAGCAAAACGTGTTTGGTTATATAAAAGGGGACGTATCAATTATAGATCGATTATTGCTCCTGTAATCTGCCTAGATAATTCAATCGGATATGAGTTATCTTCAAAGGACACTGATTTATCCAATAGAGTAATTTTGTACCGTTCACCACCGCACCTGTCGGGTTTGGATCCTTCCTATCCCGCGTTGAACGAAGACAATAACCTTTTATCAGACGCAGACGTAGTTAGATGGAAAAGATCAACTATCTATACTCTGACCTTTTTTCTTTCTTTCCGGCCGTAGCAAATTTGACCTAGGCCTAGTTTACTAGTTAGGTAATTCAATCTCCTGTCTTAGACGATGTGTGTCAAAGCAGCTTCGGCATGGCTGATGTCAATTCTTCCTTGTTCAGTGGGTAAATCACGATGATAATAACAGGCCTGAGAAAGAAAAAGGACAGGCAAGGGCATCAGCCTGCCTGAAGAATCTGATGAAGATGTATGTATATGTCTAGATTAGGTCGACACTGGCCACGCGTAAAAGGAATGCCAGGAAACAGAATGTAAACAACGAATGGAAGTAAGAGTGGCCAGCTCTAAGGGGCTAGAGACACGAAGATACAAAATGATTAAACATACCAGAACGAGTGACGCTTGCGAAGAAATCAATTTGACCATAGAAAGAGAACATGCTGTTGAACAAATTTGTTCAGGGTGCTCTGTAAGGTTCACACAAAGTAAGCTGGTATATGATAAAAGAGTCAGGATAGCAACTGAAAGGGCGGATAAAACAAAAGACCCGGAATAATACAGTGTATAGCGCATCCAAGAGAAGAAAATGTGTCCAACCCATTATTAAAAATAAATCAGCAACGGACTCGCTAACCGATAAGAATGTCATCTCACATCACAGTTGCGAGGAGCGTATCAAGCCACAGAAAAAAACTGATCCCTGGGTCATATACCTCGTACACCGGCATTCCAACCAGCTACCCCGTTAATCATCAAATGGGCAGTCGATGCTTTCATGGCCATCCCTTTCACAGAGTGCACACCACTTCGACTCGTCAACGGCTCCGCTTGCCTTGCCTGCCACAGGAGCCAAGGAAGATGTCGTCGCAACTCCTTTCAACCCTTCCAAAACGACATCGCGGCCGGTTTTCTGAGGGGCCGTGCTGTCCTCATGATTGGATTGTGCCGACTCGGGAGCAGGCGATGTCTCTGGTGTGAACTTTTCATCAGCTGAGTCCTCTTGAGAGGGCTCCTTGGTATCGGTGTTGCTCTTGTTCTTTTGCTCGGCGCCAAACATATTGGTGCAACTCAGAATATCGTGACCACCGGTTTCGCATATCTCACACCACAAGGAAGCACCGTCATCAGATCGGGCATCAGATTCATGCATAGTCTCCAGGCGCTGATGAGAAGATCCCGAAGTGCTACGGAGTCGTCCAGGATAAGCCTGATATTGTTCATCATGCTGTGGTTGATCATGCCAGTCACCTGGGACCACAGTGCGGTCAGATAACCGATGAGCATGGTTGACGGTATGCTCACCGCCGGTCTTTCCAACGGAGCTTGAAGATTTATGGTAGGTGTGTGAACCATTGGTGGTGGGATTGCGAGGATAGTTGTCACCATTGATTTGTAACTGCTGAAGCTCATGCTCAAGTTCTTCAATACGGAAAGTCTTCCGTTCCGTCATGCGTTCGAATTCTTCGACCCGCCGTTCCAAGTGGGCTACATGCTCTGAATCATACTCCGTTTGAGGTCCCCCAAGCTCATTCTGCTCAAGTGCATGCAAATCGGGATCACCCCGACTTAAAGAATGGATAATGGCCTTCAGACCGCGGATCTCATCATCTTTCTGGTCAAGCTCTCTTGAATGCTGTTGCCCATCCCCGACCACATGAGAAGAGCTTTCACGCTCCTTCTTCAACTCGAGCTTCGTTCGTTCGACCTCGCCCCTTAGGAATTCGACTTCTGCTCGCGCCTCAGCTTCCCCACGGCGCGCGTCTTCCAGACCCTCCTCCAATTCTGAGACCAACTCTTCCAGCTGCTTAAGTTGCCTTGCAACGGCTTCAACATCTTCTCCCCGATCCTGCAGCTCTTTGTTTTGCTGCATCAGTTCATCTAGGCGCTGTTCATATACCCGCTCGGTTTCGGCTGCAGCCACTTCCAAGGTATCCAAAGTGCTCCTGAAGTCGGCCCGATGGAGGTCGAACTCCGTCGTCAGCTGAGCAATCCTCTCATTCTTATCGCGCAACTGAGCACGAATGGAAAGAGAATCAGACCCCTCAAACTCCTCCAGCATTCTCTGGAATTCGGATAACGCGTTTGCCTGTTCATCCAACTGTTTGTCGCGGTCCAGGAGCTGCTTCTCCAGACTCCTAACTTGGTCCGTCAGCTCCTGCACCTCCGCAGCCATCGCCTTCCGCTGAACATCCGAGGACCTCGTAGATTGAGCGTCATCGTCTACACTCAGGCGAGAGGGCGGCCGGCTGGTCGAAGTGCGGGACGGTGCCTTGACTGGACTCCGTGGATGGCCATTCGAACTTCTGGACGCCCCCGACGGAGTGCGTAATCCAGTGAGACTCAGTTTCGAGGGCGGTGGGCCACGTGGGGATTCAGCTCGAGGAAGTGAAGGTCGCCTCACAGGACGGGGGGTTCGAACCGCGGGGCTCAGGCCCGGGCCGACGGATTTGCTGAAGTTGACGGGTCGGGAGGGAGTCGGAGGGTTGACACTAGGAATGCTAGGAGCTGACAGACGTTTCGTGACGTACTTATTGTTGTTCATGGGGACGAAGATGCCCGAGCCGGGGGTGGAGGTTGTGAAGTATTTCTTCCCTTCCACGTCTCCACTGTTCTTCCCTCGTCTGGCATGCTCAGCTGCCAGTTCAATGCCAGCAAATTTCCCTGGTTTGCCAGCCACCCCTCCCAAATACTTTATAGTACCATACATACCCCCGGGAACGTTTACCAGGTCACCGACCTGGATGTCGTCGAGGGGCGCCATCAGGGTGTCGAGAAAATGGTTGACCTTGACCGAGGGGACGAGGGGGGAGTATCAACCGGGGATATTAAATCATTCGAGGTCTAAGAAAGGGACTTAGCATAGAAAACAAGTCCGATATCGAAGGAAGGGATAAGCTGCGAAGACGGAGGTAACTGCGTGACTGATCATAGACCGACAGTCATAGTGTTGATAGTCTGGGCAAACTAGTAATTAGGAGGATCGGAGGATTTTCTGCGCTGGTTTCTTCCTGTCCTGGTCGGGCAGCGAGGGGACCACCGAAGGAGAAAGAATTGAGTCGATCGCCACACAGTTTTTCTCCAGTCTATGCAAAAAACAAATTGTTTCAAATCATCCCCAGAATTGTCATCATGCATCCCAGGGGTTAGTTCCAATGATAATCGCAGCAAACATAAACAACCACACGAATGAACCATGGGTTTGTGCTCCACTCATGTGTGAGTGTTTTAGTGGCCATACCGCCAGTTACTGTACATACAATACGGACATACATACAACAAACACCTGCTCGGGCAACGCAACAGGGTGCAGGGATCTTGGCTCAGACCGCCTACTGCGTTCAGTTGACCTCCCATGATTTTCAATGTCCGAGGAACGTGACTGGTAACATTGACGAGCACGGAGTAGTACATACTATACTTCATCAACATGGAAGATTATTCTACTAACTACACACGGAGTACCTTGGTTAAGCTGCTGGACTGTATCGTCTGGCTCTATATAGGGCTGGTCTTGCTGTAATCTATCAATAAGTCTCAATTTCCCCCAAAGTAGCCTGTTCAATGAAGTACTCTCTGACTACATTGTTATCTTTGACATAGTATCATTTGGAAAATACTCCGTAGAATTGAACATATTTAATGTCACAGCTTTCTTTTTTGGTGAAGGCAAATCCCAAGCCGATGTATATTTTGTACACTGCCTGTTCTGTAGTTGTAACGAGGTGTACTGGTTGCACGGGCTACGACAGCCGCCCCCGGCCTTATTATTCATCATATCTTCCACCTCATCATTATCAGTTGGCTGATTTCTGGCTTACTCTCAACCACAGCAGTGTACTATCAAACAAGATCTACCACATCCATTAGTGGTGAACTCCCCAATTTGCGTTTCATTCTAAAACATATAATCTCCTGATCTTTCCTTCCTTACCGTCCGACTGCATACAGTTCTTCTCTCCCTTGCCGCACCTATTCTCCTCTTCATTTCCACATCTCCGCTCGAAATCAAACGGTCGGCTAGCCTTGCGGTGGAGCCGACTCATCACCACGATAAACAGATCAGAATATTGAGTGCGCATTGGTTCAGCAGTCCAGCTGGATGTCACGAGTGTGATCAACCGAAAATGGCGCAATATTTCTTCGACCTCCTGTATAACTTTACCGATTGCATGTGCTGCTTCCCCAGCACGCCGCAGCTTAAGATCAACAATCGCAGCTTTAAAATGCTCCGGCTACTGGGTGAGGTAAGATATAAGGGGCAAACCAGTCTTAGCCCATTAGGCTTCTACTGACTCAATGCTAGGGTGGTTTCTCCTACGTGTACCTAGTTCAAGACAAAGCAACCTCGGAGCTGTTTGCGCTGAAAAAGATCCGATGCCCCTTTGGTCAGGAGTCTGTCTCTCAAGCACTGAAAGAAGTAGAGGCCTACAATCTGTTCACATCACAATCCAATATCATCCATTCGATTGATCACTCCGTGTCCACCGAGTCAGGCTCGAAGTTCCGCTCCGATGGTGGAGAAGCCGGGTCCAAGACTGTTTATATCCTGCTACCTTACTATCAACGAGGGAATCTACAGGATGCCATCAATGCCAACCTAGTCAACCATACTCGATTTCCGGAGAAGCGATTGATGGTGCTGATGCTGGGTGTCGCCACTGCGCTCCGGGCCATGCATCAATATCGTGTCAAGAGCGGCGCTGGGTCTACTCGCAATGCGAAGGCAGTAAGAAGGGAAGGTGAAGAGGCAGATACATCCATGCGCATGGCCAAGCCTAAGCGCCGGGCAACCCAGGTAGCAGATGACGAAGATTCCGAGAACGAACCATTGATGGAGGATGAGGTCACAAGGAGTCAGGAAGGCGTTCAAGACGGAGGTTTGCGCCCATACGCACATAGAGATATCAAGCCTGGTAGAGCTCCCATTGCCGACCCCGCAGACTAAGCCACATAGCTAACAATAGTAGGCAACATCATGATTGATGATGACGGACAAACACCAGTGCTGATGGATCTGGGGTCACTCGCCCCCAGCCCCATCGCGATCACTTCGCGATCACTTGCTTTGGCAGTCCAAGATACTGCTGCGGAGCATAGTACGATGCCATATCGAGCACCGGAACTTTTCGATGTGAAGACCGGCTCCATTATTGACACCAAAGTCGACATCTGGTCTTTGGGGTGTACTCTCTACGCTTGCTTAGTAGGCAAGAGCCCCTTTGAGGCACGTAGCGAGGAGACCGGCGGTAGCCTAAGTATGTGCGTCCTGGGTGGAGACTGGCGTTTCCCTGATGAGAAACCTGGTACCAGCAAAGGCAAGGGCAAAGCTGGCGATGAATCCCGCAAAGATGCTACAACAACGATCAGTGCGCCTGTCAAAGATGTCGTTCGGAAGTGTTTGCAGGTCGAACCAGCAGATCGACCGGACATTGACGAATTGATCCAAATCCTGAAAGACGTCATTAAGGATTTGCCAGATGATGACGAGCTTGCTGGCAGTTCACACTGAGGCAGACTCCTGTTATCACTGTACTGATCATATCCCGACCGCGCGTCACGTCTGATTTGTGTAGATTGACTGTTGCGTTGTCCGGTAGTCAGCGACCGGATTGTACAGTATGAGCAAGTTTTAAACACAATTTTCGATCTCACTCAGCGGCAACCTCAGATCTTCGCGCGAAATTCATGGCTGGCTTTACAGGGACATCTTTTCGAATAGTTTTTGTATTTCAATCTTTGATACCATAATCGCATAAGCTGCAGGCTGGCCTTTTGCAGATATCCGCACGATACGTTTGCGTTCGTTATATTTTAGAGTTTCGATTCATTCGTGATGTATCCCCGATCAATAGTCCGAATATATACCTCTATATGTACGGAGTACCTAGTACAAGTTGTATTATCTCTGTACCGGACTCTAAAGCTCAAGGCTGAGTAAGCTGTTTAGTGAACTCAACAGACGGGGTACCGAGAATGTACTAGAACGCCCCCTGGTTTACTTTTATATATAAAAATAGAACTAGGTTATCTAAGCTCAGGATGACCTCAGCTCTGCGATATACTCCGTACAGCATTTGACAATTCGGGAATGGACATTCCGGGTTAGTCGGGGATAAGTAAACTTCCTGTGGCGTTTAAGGTGAGCAGTTCCCAATTCTTGGGACGTGTTAGTCCCATTCACCTGGCCTTCTGATTGATTGATTAATATAAGAAATGGAGATCTTATCACCGCTTAGTCATGGGAAGATCGACGTGAACTTTCTGCAGTTTTATGAATTTGATGAAATGTAATGTCTCGACTCTCGACCCTCTGTCATCATCTCTCGGGCCTTGTCGGGGTTTCGGCCACGGAAAGAAAAATTCCCGACGTCTTATAGATCAACCCCGTATAGAAAATGCTTTAAATCAAAAAGAGTTGCCATTTAGGTTCTCCCCAACACCCCTTACACTACCTGAATGAAGTTTTTGTCTCTGTCATCTTTAGTCAGCGGCAGTCGGGCTTCCTTTTCGCATCCCCCGTTGTGGTCCCGCCTTTCCAATTAAACCAAGTTGATCGATCGGAGTCCCTTCACACTACTAGTACTGCTGCTAACTAGTCTCTGTGGAGGCCGACTATCCATGTATCCGTCTCCAACATCCGCCGAGAGGTCGGAGGATGAAATCCGACAGCCTAGGAAGCGCACAGCGAGAGCCTGTGACGCGTGCTATAAACGAAAGGTATCACCGCAGTTGTCCCTGACTGTGGGCATAATGCTTATTCAATGCACAGATCAAGTGCGACGCAGCTGTGCCACAGTGTAACTGGTGTAGTCACCACAATATCCCATGTACATTTGAGCGAGTCATCCATAAAAGACGAAAAGATAAGACAAATGCAAATACGTATGCCATAGGAAAAACCAAACTGCATCAGATTTGCACAAAAGACACTAACTTACACACCCTATCTTACAGCCAACAGAAAACTACCGGCCTGGCCGAGCGCATCGACCGGATAGAAAAACTCCTAACAGATAGTCTGTTTAGAGAGCCCAGTTTGTCTGCCCGATCTTCAGCCGCATACACCGTAGGACTGACCATTTCCCTTCTAGCGCCTAATGTGTCTCCTAGCTCTTCTGGACCGAGCAGCTTCGGGATAAAGTTGCCTGGGCCATCTCATGGGCAATCGTCCCTACCGTCTTCAGTACCGCTTCATTTCGCTGGACGAGAGATGAGCGTTGTGAGTCAGCTTACAGGCATCCCATTCTTGTTACCTGAGGGCCAGGAATGGGTGCAATCGCGAACTGGGCAAAAAGTCGACGTCGAAAAGCTAAGTCCTACTAGGCCTCCATGGGAGAAACAACGTGCACTCAATTCATGTGCAATGTTCAGTGATCTGCAGACGGGGGCTATATTTGATCTTCCGGATAGAGCCGTCTTAGAGCTTCATCTCGAAAGATATCGTTTATCACTTATGCAGAGCATATTTCCCATTGTGGACCAAGAGCTTTTCCAGGAGACCATTGATGCCGTTTATCAGAAACCTCAGCCCGATTCTTGCTACGCAGAGTCAAGTTTAAGAGCGTGCATATTTGCTTTTTTGGCATTCTCGTCTCTGATTATGAACCCCTGTAATGAGGTGAAAGCACCGACACCTCCACCTGTTGATGGCGAGAGATACTTTATGAAAGCACATCTCTTGGTGCCCCAAATTCTGCAAGGGACTCCAACACTGGATGGTGTCCAGGCGATTGCATCACTGGTAAGCTTTCGGATGACATTGGCGACTTTTCCCCTACACCTCTTCTTCGCTTCGACTCGGATTGGCAAAAGTATGCCATTCCACCACCTGACATATACCTGATCACCATCGTTCACTTCTACTTGAATTCGACGACTGATATGCGTCTTGGATCAGGCCTTATTCGAGCTTGTCAGCGGTAGCTTGCAATCCGCAAACTACTTCGGCACTCTTGCAGCACGCATGCTGTCCATGCTCGGTGCTCATACTTCGCTTCCAGACGAAACCGAATACCCCAAAACAAGCGCCAGAGGCCATCACTCCCGAGTACAGCGACAACTCAGAATCATCTTCTGGCTTTGCTTCACCATCGAGAAAGATGTCTGCATCCGGATTGGCCAACCCCAGATGTTCACAGACGAAAACTGCGATCTAACATTGCCGCCCGGCTACGTGGAACAACTATACGCAGATATGCAGGTACACCATTGCGCGGAAGAACTACCAAGGAACGAATTAACAGGATATCCGCTATTCCCCGTTGATCTCCGCCTGAGCGTCATCAAGTCTCGCGCCTACAGCGCACTCTACTCATTCAAGGCCCTAAAGAAAACCGACGCCGAGCTTCTCAAAGACATCCGCGAGCTCGACGACGAGCTGGAGCGCTGGCGAATGTCCGTACCCCTCGAATGGCGACCAACCCTATCCTTCTCCCACGAAACCCCCGACCCAAACGTCAGCATGCACTCCGTCATGCTGCGCCTAAACTATCACCTCTGCATGACAATCATCCACCAGGCCAGCAGCCGCTGCAAATCCTGGGCCAAGGGCCAGGGCGGCGTGATGGACGGCGTGAGTTCCAGTCTCGCGCTCTCCGTCGAAGCCAGTCGCTCGACCCTCCTCTACATTGAAGCAGCGGAGCACGTGCTCGTCGACGGCATTTTCTGGTAAGCCTCACAAGATCTACCTACATGCACAATCCAATCCCAAGCTAACGTACAACCACCTAGGACCCTAATATTCTACCCCATGTCTGCCCTCCTCGCGATCTTCTGCAACATCCTCCAGAACCCATCCGACCCGCAGGCCACAAAGGACGTGCGCCTCCTTCGAACAGCAACGGGGATGTTGGAGCGGTTGTTCTCACGACAGCCCTTCGCAGTCGCGGAGATCGTACATATCAAGCTCGTGGCCGATTTCGTCTCCGAATTGTATAGACTTGCTACTTGTGCTATTGAAAAAGCGTGGAATGAGCATTCTCGTTAGATTTGGCTTGGGCCGCGGTGTTCTGGGGGTATTCTACAGGGACCGGACTGGGTTATGGTAGGTATGGCAGGTATGGGTGTTCGGTCTTGGTTCAGGGGTCGTTCATTCTTGTAACTCCTTTTAGTTCCTTTTATTTTATCTTATTTTTTTTTTTTGGGGAGACCGATGGTATATACCTAGTTAGTTTGAAAGAAACGCTTTTACCGTGTGGTTGTTTTTTTGGTTTTGCTGTTTTCATACTGAGACTAAATTTCTCGGGATTGGTGACTGAGTGGATTTGTTCTCAGATTTATCTTGTGGGATACAACAATTATATCATTAGCGCTGACGAGATTAGACTACGAAGACAAGGATTATATAGTGTGAATTGCAAATTTTATATTCATGACTATCAATGGCTATGTAATCGCTGAAGAAACCTATTTGAAACTAGTCAGCAAATGGTTCACGTCATTGACGATATTTTGCAAGAGTTTCCAAAATCAAGCTTTTTGAAGCTCGAAGTCTCAGATATTAGATGCGCAGATATAATCAAAAAGCACTTTTGTGTGCTCTCAGATGGGGTTGAAACAAAGAATAATAGGCATCAATCATCATAGTAGGAGAATAAAAACAAAAGCACGAACTTACCAAGGTTGTTACAAATTGCATCAAACAGTTGTGTCGAAAATGCTAAGCATAAAACAATTATAACAGTCCAATCCTTTAGGCATCATCAAGCCAATCAGATTAAACGGTCCTGATCATGTCAAGATGTGGTTGAATGTCAACGTGAAAATGCTCTTCACGGGAAAATTTGGTGGGATTTTAAATGCGCGTAATTAGCGCCGCACGTGACCATATCGGATTAACCATGCTCCGCCATGTAAAGTGGATAATGAGATGGAGCTCGAGCAAGGACTCCGAAAACAATACTCGAAATATCCAGTTGAACGCATGCTGAGGCGAAGGTTTTGCATGGTGCACTGTAGCCCAAACTGCCGCTTTCGACACCACGGGCCGCCCAATTGAGCAATTCAATCATTGGTACGAAAGAAAGGGCGTATTTGACTGTTGGCTTAAGTTATGCATTCCTTGCTGTTGCTTGTGTGGGGCCCGCGCGTAGACGATGTAGTTAGGTCTACCACAATAGACTTGTTATGCACGAAGGGCATGTATTCGGAGACTGAGAAGCTGAGAATTAAGTGCTTCAAATTGCCAGGAGTTTAGCCTCAATTGTCCTCATCCAAAAGGTCCCAGACCAGTCGCGCGTTTTCAGTCGCTTTTCCTTCTGAGCCATTGGGCTTTTTCGCATCTTCATCAGAAGTCTCAACAGGCGCTGTATCCACGTCAACGCCGTCCTTCTTCAGTTGTTCGAGGGCCCCAGTAATCTCGTCCTTTAATTTGTCCATTTGCTGAATCTCCTCCCTGGTGCGGCTTAGCTGTTCCTCCATCATCAGAATGAGCGATTCTCGCGCTTGGTGAGGCCGGTACAGGTTCAAAAGATGATGCGCGTTGATGAACAGATTTCGCAAGTCCTCGACCTTGGATTCGAACTGCTCGGGAGCTACCGAAAGAATGCCCACAAATTCCAGGAAGTTTAGAAGCAACGATTTGCTGATCTTGAGGAGATAATACGCGTGGTTTAGTGGCCGGGAAGGCTCTGAGGATTGATCCCGGTTGGCGTCGCCTGTCGGCGGGGAAGGATAAAGCTGTGTAATGCCTTGATCTTGGAGGGAGGGGAGAGCCGTTGAGAGCTGTAATGTCTTAGAAGCTATAATCCACAGCGAGCCGCAGGAAATGGTCAGTACACCTACGCTTTGTAGTTCTCCGAACACACTGTAATGGCCTGACTTGGGGATCTCTGGCGGAACGAGAAAACGGAGCTCTGGCGGTACGTCAAGAGCCCGCAATTCAGCTGGCGTCCACTTCTTCTTTCGAGGTTTTCCGTCCTCGCCTTTCGATGCATTCTTCTTGATCTCATCTAGCTTTTTGAGGTTATCTGGCGTGAAGTGTTTCCATAAAGGAGGCGGCGGAGCGAAAGCTGTGAGAGGCCGTTGCTGTCCAGCGTCGGCCATGATTTTTGCTTTGTGTAATGATACCCCGGAAAGATATCCCAATACGCGGTAAGACGACTCAGTGACGAGGAAAGGTGAGCCCGTGACGAGGTAGGTTGGTTGTGATGGTAAAGTGTCTGGGAATGCGATGCGGAGATACCGCGGGAGATAGTGGTGGTCTGTGCGTCTAAAGGCGGCAGTGGTCTCGCATGATTGTCGCAAGCGTTCTGAATTCCTATTCTCCTCCATGTCTCAATGAGACTGTCATGTCTATGAACCTGGGCATCAATTGACACCACAGACATGCCTCGTAGTGGATTATCCGCTGCATCATTTTCCCGCCCAGCGCAATCCGGGGTACCCGGCGCTGTGGCTCGTTTCTATCAGCGATCGTTTCCAGCGGTTGACTATCTGGCACTCGGATGCATTGTAGGAGGTTGGGTCTTGGTCAGTGCATTGTTTATCTGATCTATTGATCTCAGATTGCTAATATATCCACATGCAGATCCAGCTATTTGTGACTCCATTTCATCGTCTATTTTCACTCGATAACAAGGCCATTCAGTATCCCTTCGCTGTAGTGGAAAGAGTTCCCGTTGGTGAGCACCTTCCATACTGAGACCTTGTGCTCTAAGCACTGACAATGTACTCCAGTATGGTCCATCATATATGCTGGGGTTATTCCATTCGTAATAGTGTTCTTGTGGGCAGCTACTTTCCGACCGAAGCCCTACAAAGTCCAAGTAACTATACTTGGATTCCTAGTCGCCTTGATGTTGACTTCGCTGCTCACGGATATAATTAAGAACGCCGTAGGACGACCGCGCCCCGATTTGATTTCACGCTGTATCCCTAAGAAAGGCACCCCTGAAAACAAGCTGGTCGCTTGGACTGTATGCACCCAGACGAGTCAACATATCCTCCAGGAAGGATGGAGAAGTTTTCCGAGCGGCCACAGCAGCTTTTCATTTAGCGGGTTGGGATACCTGTCCTTGTCAGTTTTCACTCGCAAACCAGTTCGTCAGAAATGTCATGTCTCTAACAGTTGTTTTGTACCAGCTTCTTTTCCGGTCAAATGCATGTATTCAGACCGAGAACCGATCTTTGTCGCTGCCTTTTGGCTCTTTTGCCTTTTCTCTGCGCATTGATGATTGCGATTTCTCGTCTTGACGATTATAGACACGACGTGTATGATGTCACATGTGGCTCTATCCTAGGCACTGTGGTTGCCTACTTTTCGTACCGTCGCTACTATCCCTCTCTGCGGTCCGTCATCTGCGACATGCCCTACGACAAAGCTGGAACCGCCGGCGAAGAGGGATTCTACAGGCTTCCCGGTGACGAGGAACAACAAGTACAGAGACCTGGGATTCCTTCCCATCAGTGGGGAGCTGAGGAGGAGGTCTATCAACTTAGTGAAACTTCATCATCGCCACGTCGGGCGTAGAGTACTTTTTCTCTCTGTTTTACATTAATGATACCCTTTGAGCTATGTATGGGATTCCGGGTTATTGTCCAAACCAATATGTATATGAGTAGTAAGGCAATCATCCCGGTGTGTGAGAGCCACGGATAGAACATGACTAAACAACTAGGTGGATTATTATTAGTTATCTATACATATAGTAGCTCCTTTACAGCTTCGCAGTATCCTTATCCTGCACATTAGTCCATTCCTTGACATCATGGAAATCCATGACACGGTTAGGCCCTCCAAAGCGCCCCAGAGTGTCTCTCCAATTTCTGTCAACAGCAATGTCTGGACTCCATCTCGTAAGCTTGTGAACTTTCTCTGGAACTCTGTCTTCAATGGCGTCAACAATGAGGTTGCCGATTGAGGGGAGGTATTTGAAACCTGGAGGGCTAGTTAGCATCTACAAACTTAGAATGATCTAGAGCATATACTCACCCCTTCCAGAAGCACCGCACCCCAAAACAAGAGATGGATGCTCCGGATGGCGGTCAATGATGAATTCACGGTTTGCGGTGTCCGCACACCAGCAAACGCGCGCGAAGCTAAATGGGCGATCGGCTAATTGAGGCATGGTCTCCGACAGCAAAGCTCTGACTCTGGTCTCAGACTCCTTCGGGATCTGGGTTTTCTCAAAGGGGAGACTCATCAAGTGGCCGTCCACGGATTTAACCATGTTAGTGTATCCTGGATGTTCATCGCAGATCTTGATCTCCCCGCGCTCCTCGTCGGGCTCGAAGAAAAATCCTTTCTCAATGTTAAAAATCACTGGCAAGTTTTTGTAGAGAGTGCGTTCCTCAGGTTTGAGCTGGATATGCGCGAGTGTCCAAGCCGTTGGGCGGAGCTGGTCTTTGAAATCCAAGAACTGCGCAGCATTTGCGCCAGCGCAGAGAACTGTTTGCTCCGCGCGCCAGATCTTTCCGTCTGCCGTGACTGCGCCCTTGACGTCGTTGTTCTCGAAGATAAGGGTGATAACTCTTCCTTGGTTGCCCGTTACAAATTTAACGCCAAGTTTCTCTGCTTCGCGTATGGCGGCCACGAGGGCGTTCCGGGCGTGCGCCCAACCAGCGTTCGAGCGAATGTGGTAACCTCTCCATCCCGGGAAGTTTCCTTTCAGCACAGCGGGAGCCAGTTGGCGGAAGTGCTCCGGCCTCGTGACCAGAGAAACATCAGGTTCTTCTTCTGGCCTTACTCGAATTCCGAGGCGATCCAGACCGGCGCTGCTGCAAGCCGACATTACAACGCCAGTGTCATGGTAATATGGCTTGAACAAAGGGTCGGTTGTCCACCCTTTGAATGCCTCCTCTGCTAAAATTTCGTTGACTTCAATCTCATCCTTTTTGTTGCTGTATTGCCCTGAGGAGATAATCTTGTTCACATCGTTGCCAGCCGAAATTGCCGAGGGCACTGTGTAAGGGTCTAGGACGGTGACATTGGTGTATCCTCTGCGACCAAGGTGGAGGGCAGTTGAAGCACCCCAAGTGCCTGCTCCAATGATCAGGATCGAGGAAGACTTGGTGACAGTCATAGTGATTTTTTGTTTTGTTGCAACTGATTACGTTCAAGTCAAAGAATGAGAACAAAACAGGGAGCCCGGGCAGCAGTACTGCCGTAATTAAAATGGTCCCGAAAATGGTCCAGAAAAACCAATTTGATGTGGGAGAGAGTTGGTGGGAAAAGTCAGCTTTCATCCTTTATACCACCGGCAAAAGAGCCCGGCGGATGAATCATACGAGATGTTGCAATCTGTCGGACCGATGGAGTGGAAGGTCCACGCGATTCGAACTTGTTGGAGCAAGCCATCGGGCTGATTGACCGCCATCGATTTAGAGTAGTTATTATCCAATAAGACTGGATAAGAAATTTCCCCGCGTGGACTGTCCACCCACGCGATAAACGGTTTCAGAAATGAAGTGATCCATGGCTCTCTCGTATACTTGTTATAATAAGTCTGTACCTTCCTTATGTTTGGCGGGCGTCGGCCAGGATCGGAGCCACACCGAGCAATGTCTCCACTAGGAATTGGATACTGGTTGATAGGTAAGATGGCCAGTACTGTATCTTAGTACCGGGGATGGGATCAGATAACGCTAAATCTTAGGGATGGTTGCCCGCCTTGGCTAGTCTTGATCGGGATAAGACTTCTGCAATACTGTCGGCTGGTGCCGTGTCATCTTTCGCTTGGACCTTACCTTACTTTCAGTGTCCTACTAGTATATCGGAATGGATCCGATATTGGAACCCGTTGATTCTCCCCGCAATATAGTTCGCACCACTCGTGATCGACGGGTCAGTATCTGGGGAGGACCTTCGATCTGGTCTAATCCTTTTATCTTTTCGATACTCTTAGACCATTTGCCTTCTCGGCAATGCCAAAGTCTAGATAGATATGGCTTGCCGGTTAAGTTACATGCCCCTATATAAGGGAGGCCAATGACCACTATCAGGATTGATGTCTTCACGGTTATAGTCTCCCTATCGTAGCCTTTGTTGTTTCTGTGCCCCTACGTTCCGTTTAAGCAAGACTTTGGGCTACTATCCCCTGAATTGCAGGCTCTCATGAGTCGAACACGGTCTCATCGATTGCAGGGTGCAGCAGATGTTGAAGAATGCCCTCATGATCCAACATTGCAGGGTCATGGCGCTCCCCAAAAGCCCGTGACGGCCGAGGAAGCCTTGGAAATTGCCATTGGAGAGAGTCAAGACGTCGAGTATACTATTGACTCGGATAACTCTCCTTACCTGGAGGTCCGCGCCAATGTGCCAAATACGGATGATCCGACGTTGCCAATCAACACCTTTCGAATGTGGTTTTTGGGGATCGTATTTACCCTGGTATGTCTTAATGATATACGTAGGAAGGTGGCATTGGAGTGCTGACAGCGAATGTAGGTCGGCACGGGCGTGAATCAATTCTTCTCCATGCGCTATCCCAGTGTTACGATCACCTCCTTGGTAGCACAGCTTATCAGCTACCCCGTTGGATGCTTTTTCGCGAAGGCACTACCTATCATGACGATACGCGTATTTGGTCGGGAAATCCCAATCAACCCCGACCACCATTTCAACGTCAAGGAACATGCAGTAATTACGATCATGTCGAATCTTAGTTTCAATCAGTCATGGGTAAGTATTATTTTGTAATTACAACAATTCGATCATCCTAAGATAGCAATGCTGACAACAGATTAGGCCAGTGCTATCATACAGGCACAAAAAGTGTATCTGGGCATGCCGACTCCCGTAGGTTACCAAATCTTGCTAGCTTTGTCCATGCAGATGTTCGGGCTTGGCCTTGCGGGACTATCATATAGATATATAATAGAGCCACCACATATGGTAATTTGAACTGGACCATGCCTGATGAACGCCCGTTACTAACAACCACTAGATTTGGCCTTCTACCTTGGCCAATGCAGCCTTGTTCCAAACTTTGCACAGTGGCGCAAATCCTATAGCCGATGGCTGGAGAATTTCCCGATATCGGTTCTTCCTGTACGTCTTCATTGGCAGCTTTTGTTGGTACTGGCTTCCTGGATATATATTCACTGGGCTGAGTACCTTTGCTTTCATCTGCTGGGCAGCTCCAAGTACGCTTCTTACCAATGAGTCACATAGCAGTCTAACTAATACTATGCATAGACAACAAAGTGGTGAACAATTTGTTTGGAATGACGACGGGTCTCGGATACATGCCCACCACATTTGACTGGAGCCAAATTGCTTACAACACTTCGCCCTTAACAATCCCATTTTGGGCACAGGCAAATGTCTTTGCTGGTTGGTTTTGCATTTATGCGGTCATTGCGCCGATCTTGTACTATACCAATACCTGGTATACTGCCTACCTACCTCTGACCGGCTCTGATGCTTACGACAACACTGGAAATCTCTACAACTCGACTCGGATTTTGAATGATGAAGGTGCAATTGATAGTGCTAAGTATCGGGAATACAGCCCCATTTTCTTACCCATCACCTTTGCGCTGAGCTATGGCGTTGGGTTTGCTGTTCTGAGTTGCCTCTTGACTCACGTGGTTCTCCATCATACCAAAGACATTCTCGACACCTTCAGGGGTCAAAACAAGAAGGATATACATGCCCGTTTGCTTTCACGCTATCCCGACGTTGCATGGTGGTGGTATGCGGTCTTGACAGTGAGTCCTGACTATACAATCATTAGAAAGCATGCGGTTAATTTGGAAAGGTCATCGTCGTGGCTGTTGCCATCATGGTCCAATACGTTTGGAACACCGGGCTTCCTTTCTGGGGTCTATTTATTACCTTAGCTCTGGCTACACTCTATGTAATTCCGGTCGGAACTGTGTATGCCGTGGCGAACCTCAACGCCAATGTTCTCACTGTTTTGGGTGAAATTGTGTCCGGCTATTTGCTTAAGGGAAAGCCGCTCGTCCTTCTGATCTTTAAGGTACGGTTCATATCACCCGCTTACATAAATCTGGCACTGACTGACCGACTAGTTTTATGCATATACTGGTCTCAGCCAAGCAATGTATTACGGTGCTGACATGAAGGTACTGTTATCCGGAACCTTTTTCGTATTTCACTTATTCTAATAGCTTTCTGTACATCTTTAGCTTGGCCTGTACATGAAAATACCACGGCGAACACTGTTTGTCGCACAGTTGATTGCCTGTATCCTCGGTACTCTGACCCAAAGTAAGTATGGGGCGGGAAAAGGGGCACAGCTACTGAAAGGACCCTGCTGACGGTTGCACCAGATGGTGTTCTGCTGTGGATGCTTGGGCATGTCACGGACGTATGCGCAAGCGACCAGCCGAACAATTTTACTTGCCCTCAAGGTCGAGTCAACTATAACAGTGCTGTATTCTGGGGAGGTGAGTACAGTATGCTTCCGTTCTAACTCGTACGAGTGATTGATACCTGTCAAAGCCATTGGACCCGCACGACTTTACAATATTGGGCAGAGGTATTCCGGACTTCTTAACATGTTTTGGATCGGTGCGCTACTACCTATAATTACGTTCTTTCTTCGAAAGAAGTATCCCAATAATCGTATCCTGAACGCGATCCATTGGCCAATTTTCTTTGCTGGGACCGGAAACTTACCACCGGCGGTATGTGATGCCCAAAACGATGCAGATTATTCTTGATTAACACATGACTTATAGACTGGCATCAACTACTCTACAGCATTTGTAGTCAGTTTAATCTTCAACAAGGTAAGCCTACCGAGCATCACACCATGTCGTCTTGCTGACCATCAACAATCGATAGATCATCAAAGGCCATCGACCAAATTGGTGGGCCAAGTACAATTATGTCCTGTCCGCAGCCCTAGACTCTGGTGTCGCTGTCTCTGCTATTTTGATTTTCTTTTCATTGGTACTTCCTGGTGTCAGCCTTAGCTGGTGGGGAAACAATGTCAATCGCGGAACGGTTGACAGTAAAGGAACTCCGTGGTTAGAGTTGAAGCTGAACGAGACATTCGGCGAGAGCACTTGGTCATGACGACTGTACAAGAGACGGCCATTACTATTGATCCTCAATAATCGTGGGAATGAATTAGGTGGTTTTCTGAAATATCCATGCGTTTGTTCTATATATGGCAGCCTCAGGCTGTAATGGGCACGGAAAGACGTAAACCAATCAGCGTTGGCTTCCCCGTGGGGGTGGTAGACGGAGTTTCTATTGGTGAAAGACTTTCATGGACAGAGCGGATACCACATGATTCCACTCTTGGCCTTATCAATTGCAAGTCCGCTCCACCACAAAAACTCTCTCTGATTTGCCTCGATAAGCGTTGTTCCCCTGTCATAAATTATAATAGATCCAGTCAAGATCGTCCTTATCCCCTCGCTGTATTGGCCCACATATCAGGAGCCTCTGACAGGCAGTCTTTCGTTTGTCTCAGCTTTGCATCTCGTTTGCCCCGAGTATCTCTGGCTAACTGAGTCAAAGCCTCATTCTCCTTACTGTGAGGTTGTTCCTGCTCATCAAGTTACTATTGATGGCGCTAGGAAATTGATCTTATCTGGAAGACTGGCCATGTAAAGTTTTCTCCTATCGGATGCCGCGTAAAAAGGCTGCAGACCGCGTGGGTCCGGTCAAGACCCGAAGCCGTGGCGGCTGCAAGGAATGCCGCGCGAGTCGAGTCCGCTGTGACACACAAAAGCCGATCTGCACCAGGTGTCGGGAAAGGGGCTTGGTTTGCTCAACTCAACTGGTCCTGAAATGGGAGTCGGAGTTTGTGAGTCGAGGGCTTGCCTTTGGTCGAGCTGGCGTTTGGAGTAAGTCCGGCTCTCAGTCCAAGACATCGCCGCCCTTAGCTTCTGTTCTGGATGACGACCAAGAATGGTGCGATATTCCCTTCATTGAGTCTTGGGGGTTTGTTAATAGCGGGGTCTCGACGTTTGAGCAACCTGACCAAGTCAACGTCGCTTGTGATGAATTAAATGCGGTGGTGGTTCGCGACAAAGGGAAAGGCAGACTCGCAGTCAAATCAAGCTGGCCTGCGCTAGTAGATATCTCAAAATATGGGCCAATTCTACAACAGTTGCCGCAGCCTACGGCCTCCTTATCGTTGTTTCCCCACGTTGCTGGGCAAAACCAGGGGCACCTTTTCGAGTATTATCTTCAGCAAGTGTGCCCCCGTACAACTGCCAGTTCGAAGCTGTCATCGCCATTCGCATCAATAATTCTTCCGTTCTGTCTATCTGCGTCGCCAATCCTGTTCAAAGCGATCCAGGCACTTGGGGCATGTCACTGGTCTCGATTTGATCCGGCCTACGGGGTCATAGGGCTCCACCTCAAGTCTGAAGCATTGAGGGGCCTCCGCCATCGACTTGCAACGGAAGGGACCTTGAGCTGCTCGACAGATCCTGAAGTGCTGGCTATCATGATGATGCTGTGCCTGTATGAAATCGTGGATAATTGTGATGAGCGCTGGACGATCCATCTGAAGGGAGCCAAGGACTTAATCCGCCTCAGAAGGCAACAGACAATGCTTTCCAAGTCCTACGGTGCTCAAGATCCTATTACAACTTTTGCCGAATTATTCTTTGCTTTCCAAGATGTCATGGGCCGTACTGCTTGCGGCGAGGAAGTGTTATTTGGAAGTGACTATTGGCAAGAGAATGAACGTAACATTGATTTGTGGATGGGCTGCAGTCCGGAACTTGTCTCTATATTGTCCTCTATCACAGAATTGAGTCGGACAAGAAGACAACTTACCTCCGATTCCACTCGTACGGCTTTCTCTTTACGAGCAGCTTCTCTGGGACACAAACTCGAGAACTTGGTCCAGGAAGTCGACGACGATGATGAGGAGGATCAAACACTCCAGACTGCCGCAGAGTTGAAGCGGTTAGCTGCGGTGTTGTATTTGCATTGTGCTTTATACGGGGCGTCACCGTCTACCCCTTTGGTTGTTACTTACGTTCGGAAGATTCTACGACTCGTTTCAGATTTACTTGATTCTGGATCACTAGTCAGTATGACGTGGCCTGTCTTTGTGGCTGCTGTAGAATTAGACCCTCTTCACGATGAGGTGTGGTCCGATGGCGAGACTGTTGTGTATGGCCGACCTCTTGTGTTACGTGCGATGGCTGCGATGGCGGAATCGAGTGTCTCGAATGTTGCGCGTACGAGAGCGGTTATCGTCAAGGTATGGCAGGCTAGGGACAGTGACATGCTGAAAGGGCCTTCCGGCGATTCGTTGGATCACACGACGGGCTGTAATGATTGGGAATGGTATGTAGCGCCAATTAGTACTGCCATGAGTTTGGCATGATGGGCACAACCGTCACGATGGGACGAGTTTCTTTGGAATTATGGGACCATTTTCTTTTGGCAATTTCTCTTCTTCTGTGTTTCATGTATCTCAAATTTCGGTTTTCTCTGGACGAGTTTGCCAGTATTAGAATGTGTATAAAGAATTTATCCCTGGAGATCTCACGATGCTTATCGAAAGTGGTGCCATGGTTGCTGGACCAATCAGCATCGCCAAACGGGGAGGAGGGGCTGTACGGAGCGTGATTCGCCGAATCCAGCGGCAAAGGACGTCAGTACCTCGATTTCAGTAGCAGAACCTAAGGGCTTTCCTGGATGTCCGTTCCATCTTTTACTTCTTGGAAACCTCTGACTATAACAATACCTTGTTTATCTTCTTACTTTGCCTCTGTTCAGCTCTGATTTCCGTGTGATACGTCAAATTTCTGCACAAGAAGGGCCCTCTTCGTGCCGTTTGCAGATCTCGCGCCGCCTTATAGTCATTGTGACATTGACCTACAAAGTACTTAACCGCCACCAGATCGTCGCACTGGAAGACTTCATCATGTTTTGATTTCACTGTTCCAAAGCATTGACACGTGTTGAAGCTGGGTACTCCATCGCAAAATGACGTCGTCGACTACTTCATCGGCCGTATCGCACAGCGTGCCGTCCCTACCATTCGCAAGTAAACTAAGTGAACAGTTATCGCAAAGGAAGGAACAAGGTGAATCTACAACCGATACGGAATCTTCAGGAAAATCTACTTCACTTGGTCCCCCATTGCGCCCTTCACCCAAGTCACGGTCGTTGTCCGACGCGCCAAAACCTACATCTGCACGTTCCACCTCCGAAGAACACCAGCCGTCGAGTAAAGATGATAACTCTCTTTCATCTACACCAGAAACACCTCGTCGGCCTTCTATGCATGGCTTACCCCTAAACTTTCCTTCGAAGCCTTCTGGACCCTCGTCCTTATCGAGCCGTGCTCCACTCTCCCCGAAGCTTGATTCGTCCCAGATCTACGGCTCCCCGGGCTCTGTCCTCCCTCGACGCTCCCGTGGCCTCGACTTTTCTCGCGCCTGTACCAACCTTCATCACTCGACGCTTGCCGAAACATCGCCTGATTCTTCACCAATAATTGGCGGACGGGGAATGACAATCCCCCAACGCCGAGGCTCTATGGGGTCGACTTCAGTACCCCCGTTTTCTACATCTGGACCCGCTGATAGAACGGCAATTTCAAGCTCTGTATCAAGTGTGAACATGATGGAGTCAGATACAAGCAGCAGCGAGGAAGATGACGAGCCGATGATTGGCGATAGGGATGACATGATAATGAATACACCGCAGGCGAATAAGATGGGTAATGCTTTTGCGGTGGGAAATGTGCCCAGTCCGGGTAACGACTGGATGGGTGGTTATTCGCAGGCAGCAGCAAGTCTTATGAGCTTTCAGCGGGCCAGGTTTCGCAAAGGACGTAGTAGACATAGCTCTAGCAGTGCTAGCGGAAACAGTTCGAAGCCCAGTCCTGGCCCACTGTCTCCGCCGGTGATGAAGAGTATTGAGAATCAGAATGGTTACTTTGGCTCACGGTCTAGCTTGAGTGCACGGCGTGAAAGTCTGAGTTTGGGTACTCGTGATCTTCGTCTCTCTGACTTAAGTGACGAAGGGGAGAACCGGGGTAACAGCCCGGGTACTTCGAACTCCGATGGCGGGCCCCTGGGCGTTATTCGACGAGCTGTAACACGCAGAAGCAGTTTATTGGTAAGTTCTTCCATTTCACGATAGTCTGAACCTCCGCTTACGCCTCTTCTAGCCAAAAACGAAGACCTTTGCGCGTATTCGAGCTGCATTGATGGAAGAATCAGCCCCTATCGACTGCGAGGCAAAACGGGAAGCCGAGGTTATTCGGCAGGTCCGGGAAAGCGAGCCAGAAATTCCGCAAACATCACCCAGTTTAGATGCCCTCTCGTCGAGTAATCCCTTCCAGCCAACTGATCTGAGCCGTAATTTGGATGATGTGCCTGCGAAAACTGGAACATCTGTTCCCGATGAGCCTAGCTTCAGCGAGGAAGCCCATCGAAACTCTGCTGGTGCCGAGTTTTGGAATTCTTTCGATGAACGCTATCGTACGCCACCGCCGCCGCCTCGACGCCAGACGGGAACTTCAGTATCTGAGGACGACCTCTCCATGGATATCACGCCCTCAACTACTATAGGATCGAATTCTGAGTTTGCGAAACCGAGCGACAGGCCCAGCTCCCGTTGTTCGACTCCAATCGCAACACAGCCAATCTCGATATTGGAATTCAAAAGGAAACGGCGCCGTGAGGACGATTTCGATCCGAACCTGTTCAAGCGAAGGGCGGTGTCTCCGAGTATGAGCGTCCAAAGTAGTCCAGTGATGCCTAATTCACCTGCTGTGAGGGATACGGGAACCAGTATTTGGGGTCCACCCAAAGCCAACATCGGTTCTCTTTTTCCTGATCAGCCAAGCACTGAAAGTGGCACCCGGAATCCATCCACACCCAAGCATACAGGTCACCTGAAGCGAGTGGGTCTACAAGGGATGACTGAAACGAACGATGGGCTCATGAATATGAGCATCGAGTGATTGTCGACATTCTTGACATCCAAGCGTTCTTCTCCACGAGCTGGGCTCGTTTCCTCGTACCACTACCCTAATAGCTTTACCTCAACATGTCGTTCATTCATTCCTGTGTTTATTTTAGCGTGGAGCCCTTATATACGTTGGACTGGTTGGACATTGCCTTCGATTATTCCGTACATGGCGTTAAGCGGGAGCCTTGTGGTTGGGTGACAAATAACGTTTTAGTAGTATAGTTTCAACTTTTTCTAATACATCGATATCACACATAGCACCCAATCAAAACATCATATTTTAATCAGCATTGCATGTGGCAGAGAGTTGATGCCTAGGAGTTGAATAGCCGCGGTCCTTGTTCCTAATGGCCACGTGCGAGGAGCGGGCGCTTACGGCGCTAAAGCTTCCGCTATTGACACCGGGGAAGCAGCACAGTTTCAGGAGCTCTTTGATCATCTACGGGCGTTTACCTGTCTATTGGTTTACTTTGTACAGACCTTCCCATATTCTGGCGGAATCGATTCATCACACTTACCTACAACTCGTTCATAATTGGTCGTCCATATGGCATCCACAGTTGACATCGCTTCCTCGTTCATTGAGGGTGCCCCGCCAGGCGAGGTATGCCCGCGAAGTCGAGCTCTTCTCCTGCGGTATATTTTCGCTGTGTGACTAACATTAAATTCCCAGCTCGCCGACGTTGTTGCCGGTAATTTTCTCTCCTCGTTTATATTGCCCGTTCCCCGCATCCCAGACTGCACATGCCCCCCCGCCAGAGCAGAGCCAATAGCTAAACAAGATGGGATAACCAGATGTGAAAGCGCTTACCTCCGACGGTGCCGATATCATTCCATCCCTTGCCCCTGCCTTCGAGCGATACAATGAAACGCAACTGGCAACCGTGAAGCTGCCCGGAGCGAGTCAGGAGGTGGGGTGATCCTTATAATCGCGTGGAGAGTGAATATCTGACAAGGAAACTGCAAAGGTCCTTATCAGCGAATACAACAAATTGGAAGGTAACCGCTACTTTGACGTCGAGAGCCAGACGTCGTTCGAAGTCGATCATGTCACACAAGTATGGCCGCTGTTTTTGGTGGGGGTCTAGGCGGGGAAGGCTGACATTGGCTTCAGGAAGCCTCCGCGGCGCAGTCTTATGTATTGGATTCGCAGAATGCGGACTTGATGTGAGTTGGTGGATACCGGGTTGGAAAATCTGCTGCTGATAGCAATTGCAGCAACTCGCTACTCAAGTCGCTCGGTGCTCACGCCCGTGAGCACTACCCTAATTGCGCGTTCGGTGTATACCCCATTGAAAACGACTCTGCCATAGCTATCTTGCTGGTTTCGAACCGCTACTCGCCTAACAACTTCTGGTGGGTCCCATATAAGTGCTTTGTCGGGTGTATTGGTGCTAAATGAGTTACCCATTAAGGAACGGTCGTTTCCGCGCTACCTATCAGTTCCCTGTTTCTGAGCCCACGACCGTGACCGGCAAGATCCAGATTGACGTCCACTACTACGAAGATGGCAACGTGGCGCTGAATACTAACAAGCCCATCAACCTTTCCGTCTCGTCTCTGTCCGCCGAGAGCATCATTTCCCGCATTGCAACTGCGGAGCGCGATTACCAGGAGGATCTGAACCGCGCGTTCGTGCAGATGGCTGAGGGCGCATTCAAGGGCCTGCGCAGACAGCTCCCCATCACACGGCAGAAGGTGGAATGGGAGAAGGTCGGAGGATACCGCCTGGGACAGGATATTTCCGGTGGTAAGGGTCGTTGAATACCACTGGTACGCGGGGATATGCTGGCATAAATGTGGATTGAGCGTTAGCGTGATTAGAAGGATTCATTCTAAATTGATCTTGAATACATTATAGGTTTTGATACGGCTATATCTAGGCCTGTACTCTTTTCAAAAGATAGGTCACCCGTGCTAACTCTAGCTTGTCAACTTCGGTCTGACACTAAGCGGCAGTCTAGTGCTCATAAACTATATAGAACGATAGTTCGCAGGGTTTTCCCCGTCACAATATGTACTTTTTTACATTATCAGAATATAGTTTTCAGAACTTTAGCTTTGCATATTAAAGCCTAGGAAGAGTATTTCAGGCAGTGATAAACTGATTTTGGTAGCTTTTACCTCCTATGGATAGGCACCACGGTCGCCTTCCATAAACGTCCTTTTCTCTTCTTTTTGAAGACATTCCTTCGGTTGTGTGACGTAGTATTTTCGGCAAGGTAAGTATGTACTTAGACTACTCCGTACAGTTTATATAAGAGTCAGAAGTATGGGGTTGAGGATATACCAGAATTTTTCATCAAAAACCACCAAGTTCTGCTTACAGAGTTAGTTTCTGTACACCCTGTAACTTTTAGCGTTATCAATCGGTCGGGCTCCATCGAACAGATGACAATTTCAGCCATAGATTCTTGACAATTCCCGATTTCGGCATAATTCGAGGGTTGGATTTCAAGGGGCTTGACTTGGCGCCCATTCAATCCCCGCCCCTCTTTCCGGATCAGGTGGAGGTTCATTCTTTTCGGCTTTTGACTATTATCCAGTGGATGTCCTCTTTACTTCGAGGCAGCCTAAAACGCGCGAGCTATCCGCATTAGTGCCATTTTTCCATATCTGTCTAACCTGACCACACGCGTGATGTAGCGATGGTTCTCCTTGACTATCTCCGCTTTTGTCTCTAATTCCCATTAAAAACATTTATCGGTTTTATATATATATACATATTGGTAAATATGAACCAATATGAGAGACGGCAAAAGAAAAGAAAGAATAAAAAAAAGGGGACCAAGGCGCCTGGCGAATACAAAGGAGGCAACACAGGAGCGCAGTCATCGGAACAGATAAAAGCTAGACAGAATCCATCAAGGTATATATAACATACGACCTTTTTTTTTAAAGGTGATGCGGGCTAAATAGCAAACTCTAGCGAGGTATTACCAAGCCTCATTATCCTTCCCCTCAAAGACCAACATGTATTGCTATCGTATCTCCAGCACATCTTAGAAGAAATGTGTGAAAAGTTTGGGGCCAAACATCAGCAATGTCAACCACTTTTTGAGAAGCATGGCTGGACAGAGCCGAATTCACTAGAGTTACACTCCTGGTGTCGCGTTATCTTAGATTGTCCCGACAAGTTATCGCCAGTATTAGCCGCGGTTCATGATGAAGAAAGAAGAAATATCCTCAGAACTTGTGCCAATATTCGTCTCACTCTGCAGTTCATCGCCTATCACAGGATGCTGGAAAGATCCTTGGGAGTCTCGAAGCTGCGATAGGTTTGGCCAAGATGCATCAGGATGCAGCAGTTGTTCAACATATTCAGAATCTCCGGTCGGACTTCCAAGCCATCATCGAAGACACTTGGTCACGAAAACATGCCTTGCAGGACAAATTGCGGGTACGACTTGAACAAATCTCGACAGAGCAGGCTCGGCTCGAGCAGAGAGCAAAAGACGATGCTAAAACAGAGATAGACAACTATTTTAGAGAGGCTGGTGCAAGACTTGCAGAGTGTGTTAACTCGACATCACACAAAACGGCACCAGCTGCGGAGATTATGTCTGATAGTGACAGCTTCTCTGAACCTGATATCGACCAAACTCTGCTAGAGGCAGAAAAGGCATGCATTGCTCCTTTAGCGAAGTTTCCTAGATAAGCTCTCTGAACGGCATATGACCTTAACAGCCTGAAGACTCCAGGCTTCCTCCTGGCCACTATTTACGACGATGGATTGCATACTGCTGCTCACTACCATTGGATAATATTTGTCCAGTTTTATTATAATTATACCACTGTCTCATACAGGGTATACAGTCCTCTTATTGAACCCCTAGCGAGTCGAGGGGGTCCATTGAGAACTCCGGGGATACCACGGGGAGGTCATGGTTAAACCTAGTGTATATAGCATGAAGGGCAGATGTTGTGGAGAGGCCACGGGACCGTGCGAGGGACTCTTAGCTTTTAAGCGTGGAAGCGGCGACCTGCCGGTTAACAGTCTGCCCCTTCATATCGATACAAAAATGGTTGCTGGGTGTCCTTACCCAAAGGGTCCGGTAAGTACTGGGAGGATTTTGATATGGTATGAACGACTCGGTGGAGAAGCTTCTAGGGCAAACATGGTGGTTATCAGCTCAAGCTCTGAAAGCTTCTTGTACTTTGTCGGTCAACTTCGTCGACTCTCAACAGAGGTATTGGAACTCTTCGGCTGCTGGAAAAGTTGCTTCTAGGTCGTCTCAAGGAACGTACTCAAGTCAAAGCAGATCCTCTGTCACTACCTATGCAGATCTTGACTTGTTTGCCCGTTGGTTTGCTTCATATTGAGGTGGATCTCCGAGAGTTGCTCGCGATGCAGTGTGAAGATGGCTCGTAGGAACCTTGTCCATTCACCCGGTATGGCTCGTTCAAAATGAACATTGGCAATCGTGGCCTTACAACCGCCCTTGCAGTCAAGGCGGTTGAAATGTGTCGAGGCAGTTATAATATTTCGCTAGATACACCGGCACGGAGGGTATTTTCTTTTTCCTCCCCCCCTCTTCACCTTTTTTTTTTAACCAATGTGTAGAGGTACCTTCTTTAAGCAATAGGCCGTTTAGTGGTAGTTATGTATCTTGTTGAACAGTATTCGGAGAGCGAACGCTACATTCCTTCCAGATATACGTTATAACATCCACAGTGAGGTCACGACGCTACAGGTTTTGAGCAGGACTGCAACGAGAGAAAGGAGTAATAGAACCTCTAGCAGACACCAATCCGTACATCGTACTAAGCGCACGAATTCGACAAAATGGGATCCCTGGACCAGCCAAACATAGTATATTGGGCTTTATGCACGAGAGAGAAACTTTGACATATTATATCGACCGCTCAATACACCCTCTGGGTCCCTTTAGAAATCCCCCAAAACTACTTCCTGGTAATAATCTAACTAGCCCTAGGAGGTGACTATCCATTGGGGAGAAAGCTGCGCAAATCGACCAGTAGACGCATGTCTATCTCAATCATCGCTCCCATTTAGACTTTAGCCTGATGATTTATGAGATAGATGAAAGAATTCGGAAAATAGATTAGTTAGGTGACGCCATCCAAGCCAAAGGATGCATCACTAAGTTGCAATTCATTTAAGAAGCTATTTTATCTTTGGAAAAGAAAGAAACAGAAGAATGAAATGAAATGAATTTTGAGCCAACCAGCCCGAAAGAGCACCAGTCAAAGCCCGACAGTTGTTCAAAGAATGATTGCAAAAGGATAGGTCAACTGAGCCAATGCATCCGCATGGATCTAATGCCGCTCGGCAGTGGAAACACGGCTCGGAAGCCCGGCCGTGATTACCAATAAGAACAGCTATCCTCATCTTATCGCCTATAAGATTTAGCGTCAACCCCGGTAAATATAACTCAAACTACCCGCCTTTCGCGTATCAACATAATTGATGTACCTCTACAACGCATCCAAGAAGTTTTAAGGAAGAAAACAAAACAAAAGAAAACAAAACGGAGCAAAAATGACAGTCAAATCCCTCACCCAAAAACCCAAACTAAATCTCCTCCGCCAATTCGCCAACTTCACACGCACAACCGCAGGCCTCGAGAAGACCTGCCGTCTTATCCAATCCCTCGTCCATATCGCCATAGAACTCGATATCACCCCGAGATCCACCACAACGGCGCAATGGCAGACTGCTAGATCGCAAATAGCGCTGAGTAAGTCCCAGATATCTCTACGAATAAAACAAATCGAATAATAAAGACAGAGTTAATTAATAATTGAATGCATGAACAGCGAGACGTTTTTTCCGTTTCTTCGCGTTCATCGATTGTTTTAGCCAGGTTTATGGACTGCTTGGCGCGGCGCAGGGTCAGGGGTTGTTTATGACCTTGATTGAGATTGGGCGGTGGAGTTGTTTGGGCTTGTATCTTGTTTTGGAAGATTTGACTATTGTGAGTTTTTTTTTTTTTTTCTTCGATCTTTGTCATAGTGTCGAAGAAGACAGACTGATACGATAAATAGCTCCACGCATTGGGCGTCCACCCCGTCGCCTGGAATACACCAGTCCTGGTTGAAGCTTTCAAATTCTGGTTCTACTCTCTTACACTATCCGTCCTCGGTGCTGTTTTGGGCTTGTTATTTACTTCCCCTTCCTCTGCTGGTAGGAAGACTGGCAGTAACGAGAAAAAGAAAGAGACTAAGAACGCCGAGAAGACGGTACCCAATACCGATGATTCTCAATCCAAGGCCCAGAGAACAGCCCTTATGAAGCGCATCGTGGTCGACGGATGTGATCTCCTGATCCCGGGGGTGTTCGTCGGCTGGATGCAGATTAGTGAACTGGTGATTGGTGTGACGATGGTGATTAGTACGGTTGTTTCTGGGGGAGATGCTTGGGTGAAAGCGCAGGGGTGAGGCGAGTTGGAGCTTTTTATTGGATGGAGGGGTTGTGAAGGCTTTTTTTGTATGTGTATATATATATATATATATGTGTGTGTGTGTGTGTGTGTTTTATATGGTTTGGTTGATAGAGGGTGGGTTATAGATATTTAGATGTCATTGGGAATGCTAGATTGGTGATGGAGGGTAGATAGATTAAGCATTAAGCATATTCAAGATTGCTTTTGTCAAGGTGTTTGCCAGGAGGCCAGGCTTGACATAAGCTGATCTCCCTGTGTCAGCCTAGTTTCAGGGGTACTTACGTTTACTTCCAGGATCAGTATGAGACCTTACTGTTCTGTCCCCTATAGATGGGTGTTATACGTATACTGCTACCCAGAATTCCCATGGGTCGCTAGAGACATGTTCCGGGTAGTGGATCCTAGGGTCAAACTGCCAAAGGGCGCGAAAAGAGTGTTGAGTGGCGGCCATTCTGAGATGGGGGCGGAAGGCCATTTAAATCTTGATAGAACACACGCCAACGGCAGCGAGGCGCTTTCCCCTAATAGGCACGCTTTACCTTCCCCTGCCAGTCATTGACCGTCACCCATCACCATCACCGTCACTGCAGAATACAGAGTATATACTACGGGAGTAAATGCGCTATGAAATCTCAGCGAAACAAACCACGCCTTCTGCTAGCCCTCTACGCACGACCTAAGCACCCCGAAAGCTATCACTACGCTCTATTAATCTGCCCCAAAATCACAACAGCGCAGAACGCGAAGCCTCGTCCGGCAACTAAATACCATGTTAAAAATACCATCGACAATATCAACGACCGGATCTCCCAGCCCTGGCGCTTTGAGCGATCCATGATAGATGATATTAATCTTCAACCGCGGTTGTTGGTCTGTGTTGTGATTGGGAAAATTGTCTCGCAGGAGCATGTGGAGAGGATGTTTGGTGACACGCCTGTCTACCAGGTTGATCATCCTGACAAGGAGAAAGCGTTGGGTTTTGATTGTCGGTCGTGGGTGGTCGATGCGGTGGAGAGGCTTCGGCAGTCGGGTGTTGTTTCTTCGCTCCTTGATTGGGAATTGCTGGAGAGGAAGGCTGTGGAGTATGTTGAGGGGAAGAAGAGAATGGGGAGATGGAACGCTGGCCAAGATGTAAGTGCGAAGTTGGGAGTTCCGATCATGGACTTGATCACAGGGTCGGAAATTTCTACTTAATGTGGGTGTACTGATATGATATGATATGATATGATATGATTTGATTTGATTTGATTTGATTAGATCCGGGAATGATAACCGTTGACCATGTGTTTGTTGTGTAGTATGGAACATAGCTTCACGAGATGACATACATATCTGATGTATATTTTTAGCCACACAGTTGCCTACCAACAAACGCAGGAATATGATCGGATACTCTGAGTAAGACAAGGCTCTGAAGGAACTCTTCAGCCCCTCAGCACAAAGCCCGGTGTTTTCGACCCCAGCACTAAACCATGCGATCCCCGAGGAGGTTTACGTATGCACCGGGCCAACGAATTTAAGAGATCTCCACCTTTCCAAAGCCGAACCAACAACATCCCTCACGGCGCCCAACTCCCAAAACTAAGGAGCCGCTGATCGACAGCCATGGCATTTACCAGCAAACGAGGCTATGTGCCGATCGCAGTCAACATCCTAATACTCAGCCATTGACACGAATCCCTTATTAGCTGCCGGTCTGCGCAACGATCCGTCCAAGGAGGCTGAAAGAAAAAAAAATGACAGGACGGAAACATCTACACAGAAAGGATAAGGAGGGGATCGTAGAACTTACCGATTACTTCTCCTCACTATGTGGATGATTCGAATGCGCCGGACTCAAGCTTGGGTCATCAGCGCGGCGACGTCAGCTTTGATCTGCGGTTCTCTGTATCTCTTTTTCTTTGCGCATCGGCGCGGCGGGAGTATCTATCGCTTGGTTACGGTACCGAAACCCGTGGAAAGGATGAATGAGCGTACATTGGTCGTGGCTAAGACGCAAAGTGCGGACACGAACTGGGTCGATACGCTCGTGCACGACGATGATCGGTTATCCAGCGCGGTGTACACGGTTGATGCGCCGAACACGACTGATACTACGTTCACCGTGCCGATAAACAAGGGCCACGAGGTCATGGTGTATCTGACATATATCATTGATCATTACTTCCAGCTCAGCGACGTGACGATCTTCATGCATGCGGACCAAATCTCCTGGCACAACAACGATCTCATGAACATGGATTCGGCACTGATGGTCCGTCGTCTGCGAAACGACTATGTTTACAAAAAAGGATATACGAACTTGCGATGTCAACACGACCCCGGCTGTCCGGCGCAGATTCGACCCACTCTCGCGGGTGGGAAGTATACCCCGGATGTGCCTGAAGCCGTGGTCATCGGGGAGTCTTGGAAGACGTTATTTCCGGAGGAGCGTATGCCGGTGGTGCTGGCACAGCCGTGTTGCAGTCAGTTTGCAGTCAGTGCGGAGGTGATTCGGCGGGTGCCGTTGATGAACTATGTCGCATACCGGCGGTGGTTGATTGAGACGGATTTGGATGATAATTTATCGGGACGGGTGTGGGAGTACTTATGGCAGTGGATCTTTACGGGGCAGGCTGAAGTTTGTCCGGACGAGCGGGTCTGTTATTGCGAGGGATATGGTGTATGCCTAGGGAGTGAAGAATACGAGGAGTTCTTTAGGGCTCAAGATGAGGTGCGAGAATTACATGCGGATCTGGAGCATACGTCACGGGGTGAGAAGGTCAATTCGATGCGGAATACGATGGCTGCGTTACAGCAGAGGATGGACGAGATTAAAGCTAGCGCACTCACGAGTCAATGAAACAATTAACGACGATATTGTATACTAATTTCAATCCCATATCGTGAATCATATTCCATTGGGAAGTTTTCATTTAAGAGATGTGAGATTTATGTCTATCTATCGTCTGGTATCTAATATCCGTAAGTACCCAGCTTCCACCCCAGTCTGCACCCTTTCATATCATCATACATGGTTTTCTAGATTACGAAGAGCTCCTCTCCTGCAATAACTCCTTGATGTGGTCGTTCAACCAGTATCCCTCCAAATCCTTCCGGTCCATCTTCTTCGCCCCATTGATCAACCCTTTGCAAATGCCCTCTCCAGCTCCACAGTTGCACTGGAAAGGCTGATCCATATCCCACTCACTGCTGGGATAGAAAAACGTGAGCTGGTCGCCCACCTTCAGGTCGCGATCATCGACGACTCGGACCTCCATCTTGCCCATGTCGAAGTTCAGCGATGGGTTGCATGAGTGGTTGCAATACACAAGATCCGAGTTCAGCTCGATGTGGCTGTTAGCGCCGGTCTGGACAGAGGTGTATGCTTTCTTGGAGGGCGTGGCTGTGGTAATCTTGGCGAAGAGGGAGCCGGCGGGCAGTGCGACGAGGGACACCGCACTGGAAGAAAAGGCCTTGGTGCCACGATCGACTCGGATTAGGTCTGGATGAGTCGGGGGCGTCTCAATGGAGGTAGGGAGGACAGTTGTGGTAGTGGTAGATGTGGTCGCTGTTGTAGGTTGCACAGCGATTGGAGACATCTTGACCGTTTTGTAGATGGAATATGGTTCAATTGAGATGAAATTGGAGGGGTAAGTGAGTGCTTTCCGTGGGAGGATGCTTTAATCTGGGGCGTAGCAGAAGGAGGGAGGGAGGAATGGTAGTCAGAGATGTCGCAGTGGGGGCGGGGGAAGTGGGATGTCATTGAGATCCGACATCATCTTTATAGATATCCGCATTCAGCCGTGATTCCCTTCCCTTGTACCGAGGATCCTGCTTGCGGAGAGATGGAATGGAGATGAGTGGGGCCATGTCTTAGGCGTCAGTCATACCTAATCTATGAATGGCGTGGCGTAGGACACTACGTGTCGAAGCTAAATGCCGATGCGCGGGTTAAATGAGGTGTAATAAGATTAGGGTTGGGGATAGTTGGCCGCGTTGACCTGGTGTTTCCGATAGTTTATTAAATTACTTACAGTACAGGTCCAGCGGGTGCCTCGGCTCACCCGAGGTTGTCTTAGATAATCTTCCCAGCGACTGTCAGTGACCTTTAACCTGGTATACCACGTGATGTGTCACTGTGTTTCAAATCAATCATATGATTGAATTTGTTTGAATCATGATGACTTCCACATGAATCCTCAAACCCTGTATACTTGATTCAACTCTTTCGACGTCGGAGTGTCTGGATGGTTTTTGCGCTTGGCACAGGATCCGAGGTACAGAAAACAGCTCGAGTTGAGTTTCTGGTCCACGGAGATTCCCCCACTAGATCCCACTATGACGAAATCCACATGAAACCCAGAACACGACGAAACGAGACTTTTAATTAAGCTTCAATTGGACAGGACAGAAATTGGCTCTAAGGACAGATTGGGACTCGGTGAAGCAGACCTGAACCAAAAAGGTTACACATCCGGATCACATGCACGACATCACACGCTTATGTATGCAACTTGTCCTTGAAAACTTTAGTTTCTCTTCGAATCGTCCCGCAGACCATCCTCGATCTTCTGCGAGCAAAGGTGGATTGCCCCCTTTCGAGTAATTCAATTCATGCGCGTGGTCAATGCCTCCCCATTCAACCACCTCTCCAAATTACCGGCCACCTCATCATACCACCCGTGAATCTGTTCATCCCCATAACCCATATGTGGTGATAACACCACCTCACTCCGTCCGTCTTGACCCCACGCTGTTGTTCGCCAGGGGCTGTCCTTAGGCAGAGGCTCGGGCTCGAAAACATCCAGGGCCGCCCCACGGATGCGACCCGCATTCAGTGTCTCCAACAATGCCTTCTCCTCCACCAACGGACCCCGCGACGTATTCACCAGGATCGCCGTTGGCTTCATAACCTCCAACTCTGCAGCACCGACGATGCCCCGACTCCGCTCCGACAATACACTATGAAGACTCACCACATCCGCGCTACGGAAAAACTCAGTCTTGTCCCGAACAGTTTGGAAACTACCCGCCGGCAACCCCAAAGCCGCAGCCTGTTCGTCCGCCTTCTCCTGCGTCAGATTCGTAGACCACGCAATCACCTTCATATCGAAAGCCACCACCGCGATCCGCCCAACCTGCGAACCTAACTTTCCTAGTCCCAGCAATCCCAATGTCTTCCCCGCCAGCGTCATTCCAAGCGACCCCTGCCATTCTCCCCGTTTAACAGCCGCATCATCGCGCGCAACATGGCGCGCTAACCCTAAGATCAAAGCCCAGGTATGTTGTACCGTCGAATGGACCCCCGCCGGTCGGCCCCCGGTTCCGGCGACGGGAATTCCGCGCGACGCACAGTATTGCACGTCCAGGGCGAGATTGCGAGCGCCTGTGGTCAGGAGGAGTTTCAAGTTTGGGAGCGCGGAGAGCGTTTCCTTAGAAAATGGGGTGCGTTCGCGCATGGCGAGAATTACGTCGAAGGGCTGGAGGCGCTCGATCAGGAGCGCATGTTGGCTTTCATCGCGTGGGTCGAGCGTTTCCGGGAAGTAGGAGATTGAGATGCGGGACTCGAGATGGGCGAAGTGCGGTGGGGAGATATTCTGGTAGTCGTCTAGGATTGCGAGTTTGAGTTGCGACATGTTGGTAATCGTGATGGCAGGTGGGTTCTGGTAGGATTATGGGATTGTAGCTTTGCGTAGTATGTTAGATTAAGTCTTTGCGTGGGTAGATGTTGAAGTAGAGTAGAGATATAACCGGTAGAGAATATAGCCGATCAGAGGATCCGAAAGAGTCATCGACCCCACATATGACGATTGGTTTATGTCCCCCACATTTCCGTGGTGGACAAAGTAGTAGTAATCATAGAATGGAATAGATCTAAAGCAAACGGACACATTCCGCACGAAGATCGTCGTTGATTTACAAATCACTGTCAGAGGGATGGTTTGGTATCTACCTAGTAGGGCTTGTAATTACAAAAGTCGACCCTTATCTGTATTCAGGCCAGAGTCAGGAAAGATACATATTGTAAGTATATAATGAGCCCTTTGCTGACATCAGTCAGGAGATAAATAGAACAAGTGGTACCCGGATATGGTTACTGTAACGAAGTATCTTTGCTTGGGCGGGGGGGTTTTTTTTATCTTGAGCCTCCAGATCCGAGATAATTCCCATTGGCGTCTCGCAAGGCTGACACCACGGCCATCCTGCAGAGCGCCAATACAGAGGAGCCACGTCAACAACATGAAGTATAAAATGACATACATCACTGCCCCCTCTCTAGCTCATGGTGGTAGAGGGGTTTCTCTCTGTACAGCCAAAGACCGCACCTTGGATTGTGCTAGGAAATTGATACCGCTTTGAGCGTGCAGCATACAAGCGGAACGACAATCCTTCTATTACATGCTAACCGAGTTATTGCACAGTCTTTGGCTATAGATGGTAAGATGCAAGCAACAAATAGAAACGTGAATCTTCAGCGGGTCCCGGCGAAAGTATGTAAGCACTGCCAAGGGATCACGATTGAAGCCCTAACAATGGGCTATGAGCACTTTAAGATAACACCATGGTGCCCGCTTTGCTCTCTCCTCGATTCACTCGATCAGCGCACCACATTAACACTCGAGGAACCCATACTCCCCGGTCTTCCCCCTATGTTATGTAGGTCTGAAAGCAGCAGATGGAGACCAATTTTTGTAATGACGAAGAGGGGTAGGTTACACTCCTGGGCGAGTAGTAACCAGCCGAGCTAACTTCTCCAGGGGATCCTGCTGAGAGGTTTGGCGTCCCGGCAATCGCTTCTCAATTGCCGGGAACCCGGTCGGAGGACTCCTTTAGGTTCATCAAACATTGCCTGCAAGAGTGCCTGGTGAATCATAACTGTTCCGTTAGCATGTTCAGATCGCTTCGTCATGCAGGATTCAGAGCAACAACAGCCAGTGATGAACTTGAATCAAAAGGGGCAAACGACATGGGAAAGACTGAGGTGCCTCTTCGTTTACTTGATGTTCGAGCATTTTGCGTCAACCACAACCATGACATTGAATGCGGACACAGTGTGAGGTTAGTCGATAACCTGCCAGTCTACCCGAAATATATGACTCTGAGTCATTGTTGGGGCAAAAGGCTGGGCACCGATGCCATCACAACAAGAGCAAATCTTCTCGGTCACATGAAAGAGATAAAACTTAATGATTTACCTGCAAACTTTTGCGATGCTATTAGCATTACCCGCCGCTTAGGCATTCGATATTTGTGGATCGACGCAATATGCATCATCCAAGACTCACAAGCTGATTGGGCTCAAGAATCGGTGAAGATGGGCCATATATACGACAGCTCATATCTCACAATCGCAGCGAGTGCTAGCGAGGATAGTACCGGAGGATGTTATCGCAGTACTGGAATAAGGCAAGACAAGTTGGGTGGAGGGACTTTAATCGAAATTACAAATAGTCTCACAGTCGCAAAGGAACAGCCATCGACTTTGATCCTTTGGGCACCAAACTTGAGCGACGGCGATCGTCTTAGAGAACCTGCTCCATTGGTTGGCTCTGCTCTGAGCCAACGTGGATGGGTATTTCAGGAAAGAATCTTATCGCCGCGGACAATTCATTTCACAAACTCCCAGCTGGTTTGGGAATGCCGAGAATTATATGAGATGGAAGATCGTCTGCCTTTCGTCACAGCCCAGGACACTTTGTCCCTGGCTATGAATCGAGAGATTTCTCCTTATAGGATAAAGCAGATCTGGTACGACTGGCTCATTGGATTCGGGTACTCTCGTAGAAAGTTCACTATAATGGGAGATCGACTCATCGCTATAGCGGGTATAGCGAGGTCTCTACACGAACGGACAGGTGTACCATACATTGCTGGTCTATGGGCGAAGAACCTAGGTTTCGGGCTAAGTTGGCTTGAAATACCTAAGCATGGAACACAATATCCCTCTCAACTATTAAACAAATGTAACTCTCGACGCCGGCCGACTTGGACTTGGGCTTCAACTGACTACGAATTCCAGTATTCGTTGAGGGTTTTTGAAGAGGATCGTGACTTCCACTACGTCGACAATAAAATGAAGACTCTGGGAGACATTGACGATCCATTTACTATCATTACCGGAGGGTGGCTGAAAATCAGAGCACGAGTTTACGAAGGTCCTACTTCTTATTTCACCAAGTTATGTTTGGATACTATGGCCCAGCAGGAGGTTTGGGGAGCTGCATTAGCACATCCTGCAATCGGGTCTTCTGCCTTCAACCTGCCGTCATGGATGTATATTCAATTAGGACAGTTTAAAAGCCGAACAAAGAGCGGCAATATTATCATTGAGGAATCATGGCTCATAGTGCGCCGGATGGAGGCGAGCGAGGAAGAGTATGAGAGAATCGGCATTGCTTACCGAGAGCTCAAAGATCTTGAAGATTATCCAACTGAAGATCAACGTGTGAAGGTTTCCAGCGATCCGATCCGAGAATACCGTATCTGCGAAAGGTTGGAATCTGTGCAGGATTATTTCCAGCCAGGAACTGGGGGCTGGGAGGGTCGGCTGGGGCAAAATAAGAAATACTTGATAAGGGAGCTTAAACTAGTATAATAGGAAATGCTGATAGCGTGAGTTACCATATTTATATTGTGGGTTACCCTCACGTCTTCTGCCCGCGAACACGTCTTAGGCGATTTTATGATTGATCAGTCCATCAGACCAAAGGCCCGCTATCATCACTAATGACGGAGTATGTAGCTGGCGATGTATCCGTACATTAAATCAGATTCTTCAGTGACTATGCCTATATTCACTTGTCCAACACTTCCATCAGAGGCCGAATGCCACTTGTATGATCCTCCTTTTGCCGAACACGAACAGCAATGCCCTAGTCAAATGCAACCTTTACATCTCCTACCTCTTTTGGAAGGTGGTATAGAGCATCTCTATGAGGCACTTTTCCATGTCTGGGGCAATGGTGAAGAAAATAGTTTCGTAAACCTTTCACTAATCACGACGCTTTCTGCATTACAACAGATCTCCATGTAGCACTCGTTAGCATGCGAGACCATCAACCCTGTATCGACCAGGATACTGAGTCCGAGCAACAGAATATATGCATATAAGTTATATCTGCAGTCTATGTAAGAGCGATATGAGGGCGCAGTACGCAACTCTCCCTCCTAATTAGGAAGTCGGATGGTCATTCAGATCCGCCCAATTACTGCGGATTACATTTCCCTGGACCGGGACTAACATCCTCTACCATCTTTCCTCTCACTTCAGAGACACTCTAATAGAAACATGCAAATCTATAATCTCTATTGGGTTTTCAAAACTCGCAAACCATCATGATACAGTTCCTCCACTTAGGAACTCTGATTAGCCCCCTTGACATGCAATTGAAATACACGGTGGGATTTACCAAGCCAGCAGCAAAACACCATGTCTTTCAGTTCTTCAAGGTATACACCACGCGCCCGTGGGAGTCTCTTCCCTTGTACTCCACCGTCTTTCCGATATCCGAAACAACCCGTCTCTCATCACCGTTGTGAAGGATGATATCCAGTTCCTTCCAGGCCGGAACGAATCCAGATTTCTGATCCCGAGTGAAACCAACCGTTACCTTCTCTTCTGTGGAGCTGTAGCTAACGGTGTATTGTGAGATACTTGGCTTCAGCGAGATCCCGTCGTCTTCAAACCAAGTAGTGCTGAAAGCTTGGCCATGAGAGCTGCCACGAGGCGGGAAGATTTCAACACCTCTATAATCATCCACCTCCTCAACAGCCACTGATGCCGGAGTTTCGTCACCGGGAACCCGGGTGTGTACAGGCTTCCCAACTGGGATGGCACCACCAATTCGCGCCAAGAGGGGAATACTCTTCTTCCACTCGGATGGAATCTCCACCCATTGCCCGGAAGCGAAATAGGTATAAGGCTCGTTCATGTTCACATATCCAAAGTCAAATTGATCATTGGCCTTCCGGGGAAGATATATCTTGGCGACGTTCACACCCGGCTGGTAGACACCACCGACCATAATAGTGTCACCAAACCAGAACTGCTCCTCCCCGGACTTCAGCGCCTTGGTCCAAACCTCAGGATCAGACTCGTAACCCCAGCCCACCCAGCGCTGGGGTGGAGAGGCGGTCAAGTGACTCTCCAAGCCCAAGGAGTAAATGTAAGGAAGAATCTCATACCGACGCTTGATGGTGTCCCGAACAAGAGGGGTGATCTCGGGGTACATCCAGGGTTCAATGACCTCCCCGACAGAGTTGTTTTCGGGCGATGTCTTGAAACAGTTGATGGCAAATCGAGGTGAATGGATACCTAGTTGAATCCATCTGAGTAGCAGCTCTGGAGAAGGCTGAGGTCCCTCGAAACCTCCAATATCGTGTCCACAGCATTGCAAAAGCGATATACCGGCGTTGAGGGACAAAGCATTAGCACCCTTCATGCTTTCCCAGCTGGTAACATTGTCCCCACTCCATGTGCTAGCTGCGTAGCGCATCGTACCAGCCGTAGCACTCCGAGTCAGAACGAAAGGTCTCTGGCTGGGTTCAAGATCGAGCAGGGCATCATGAGAGGCTTTACCCATGAGTTCTGTGTGCATTGCGCGGCCCCAGTCTCCAACGGTGCCCTTAACCCCCATCTTGACACCGCCAGAAACAGCTGGTTCATCAAGAGCAAGCTGCCAATCATCATCTGGAATGGTGTACTCGTTATTGTCATTCCACATTCCATCTATGCCGGCACGCTTCAAGCTCTGGACGCCATTATACCACCATTTGAATGCGCAGGCTGAAGTGAAATCGATATGGCATCCGTCACCTCCGGTTGCTCCGCCAGCACTCCACAATCTCATATAACCTGGCTCATTTGTCTCAGGGTTTTTGAAGAATCCATTTCCATCAATAAGCTTCTGGAAATCTGGGTGAGAGCCAAGCAAAAACGGCTTGATGTTGGTTATAAGACGAATTCCCCGTGAATGGTACTTGGCAATCCACTCCTCCGGATTGGGGAACCGGTACTTGTTCCACGTGAAGACATTGCGAACTTTGGGTTCGACTTCGGCAATCGAGTAGCCGGAGCTCATTTGATGCCCAGAGCAGGGAATATCATGTTCTTTCAGTTTGTCGGCAAACTCCATGAGCGCTTGATGGGCGGGTGGCTCATCCATCATGGTATACTTGTATCCTCCGGAGATGTATCCGTACGCCCATCTGGGGACGAGGATCGGGTGGCCGACAAGCTCTGCGTACGATCTCACGACGTCTTTGAGTGTCTTTCCGACGATAAGATACTGTTCGAGACCACCATAGTCTTGGCGGTATACTTTGAAATGGCCCCAGAGGCCATCAACCTCTGAGCCAACGGACCACGTTCCTCTGCCGTGTGTGGTTGAGAAGATAGCAACACATCCCGCGGGTGACGCCTTAATCAAAAGAGGGATGTGCTTGTACAGGGGGTCGGTATTATACACGTCGTATCCAAAACTGTCTGTTGCTGAGAGCTGAAAATGACGGCCACTGAGATCCATAGGGGCCCTTTTCTCCCCAAGTCCAACGTGGAGGTCATTCCGGTCATGCTCAGTGTAGTGCGCAATTCCGGATGCGTCTGCTACATAAGACCGCAAGGGAAGATCTCTGTACAAAGGCTTGTCGGTGCCCTTCCATGACAGTGAGACCACTGGGGTGTTCGCCCACTCCACAGAGGCTGTTACATCACCAATTTCGATAGTCTTTTGTTGAGAACCATGCTCTGTAGAAACATGGATGTCTTCCAAGCTGGTCACTGGCTTGGTCACGCTCGGGAAGGGGGGAAGAGGATGGTCCTCTGAAGAAAAGGTCACTCTGAATAGGTTTTCGCGAATTGGCTCAAAGGAGAAGTCAAATTGTCGCTTGTCTGAACCTGAACGAAGGTGTACAGTGGCGGAGCTCTGAGCTCCTGCCGGAGTCTCTTGATAGCTCTTGGGACAAAATTCCTTCTGAGGCATGATTGTTTAAGCGGTCTGAAAGAACACAATTTGGAGACAGGTTCAAACCAGCGAAATAGACCAAGACTCAAAGCTCTATTTGAGTGTTTTCATACATCTGCGTCCTCGGGACTACTTAAGCGTAACTACCATGTATACATCGGACTTCGGGCTCATCTCCGACAGCCATGGTTGCTTACCCCACAGAACGTCTCCGCGCTCTTGGCAACATATCGGTTTTTCTAACCGAACACCGATAACTAACCTTCTTTAAGATTACAATCTCCCCACCAGTGCGGTTCTTGTCCTACACGGTGATAGTACGATGGGAATCATTGGGCACATCATCGGAAGATGCCCGACGGTCGTCACGAGTCATGCCATGCCATCCTGTTGTGTTCTGCCGGCATTGATGGTCCAGTCCGCACTAATCCTCGTATGGTCTACAGGACGAGCCTTGGCTTGGTAGATTTGCTCCCCTTTCGGCTTTGGGGGTGTTTTCTCCGGGGCTGGGAATGATGCTTTCCCCACGGGGTTCTTGTACTAAGACTGGTATATCCTAACAAAATCCGAAAGGGTTCATGCAAATATTCTACTGTTTTGGTTCACTACTACTCTACGTGCCTATCACCATCTGCTCTACGTATAGGAGAAATTCTGGAACCCAAAGGTACTTCCATTCAAATCGAAATTTTCTTCTCTAGCTCCACAGACTCTATCCTCTAGGGCTAGCTGAGTGACTTTTGAAGACCTAAGAAGGAAAAGAAAATGTCTCATCACAAAGCACCAGCGTCGGGAGGGCAAGGTCAAGATGAGCATATAGAGTCTGTTGAAGATTTTTCTCGTCAGAACAGGGAGCACCCAGTTGGGGCTGGACAAGACAGAGCCCTAGGCATTATAGCAGATGCAGGACACTCATCTGTCCTAACAGCTGAGAACAACGCCCGGGTGCTTCGAAAGATCGACCTGAGGCTTTTGCCTATTCTCCTTGGGATATATTTCTTACAGCAACTTGACAAGTCCAGTCTTTCGTATGCATCCATTTTCGGTCTCGTCGAGACAGCTAATCTCCATGGACAACAGTATTCCTGGCTAGGAGCAGTCGTTTATCTAGTACAACTCGTTGCCCAACCTTTCGTTGCTTACATCTTGGTCAAAGTTCCAATTGGAAAGTTCCTGGCATGCACAACCCTTTGCTGGGGCATCGCCCTGACTTGTATGACCCCGGCAAATACCTTTGCGGGCTTATTGGTCTGCCGGATGTTTTTAGGTCTCTTTGAAGCCGGTATACGTGAGTATCTCTAATACCCTAGGCGCCGTGACCCTCAATGCTGACTATGGGTTACGAATATAGCTCCGTGCTTCATCGCTGTGACCCAGATGTGGTATCGACGAATCGAACAACCTGTCCGACTTGGTTCGTGGTACGCTATGAATGGTGTAGTATTCATGGTGCGTTGAACTCATTTGGACACCCAGTGCGTTGTCATACTAAGGCCAGACTCCTGCAAGTAGTTTGGCAGTCTGCTCTCGTATGGTTTGGGCCATATAAAGTCTTCAGTTTTTGAGCCCTATCAGGTTCGTCATATCAGTTCAAGTTGTCGATGTTCGAAAGTCTAACCCCCAGCCAAGATTATCTTCTTATTCTTCGGTCTCATAACGATTGCTTTCTCTGGCCTTATCCTGTGAGCAATGCCACATTCAAAGTCAGCTGATGTGCACATCTAACCCTGGCTGCGTAGGTTGTTTATGCCCGATTCGCCAATTCAATCCAAGTTTCTGACCGAGGAAGACAAGCTCTTAGCTATTGAGAGGTATGCGGCTTGAGTGAGGTACTTGCCATACAGTACGCTAATTGAATCTTGCCAAGACTTCGCATGAACCAACAAGGTATTGAGACACATGAATGGAAATGGGATCATGTCAAAGAAGCATGCCTGGACATAAAGTCATTTTTCTGGTTTGCCCTGATGTTTGCAGTCTCGTAAGGATCGGCCCATACCCATTATTGATGCAGCCACGACTCACAACCTGGAAGGATTCCTAGCGGTGGTATCTCGACATTTGGCCCACTCATTATCGAAGCATTCGGTTTTGATCAATTCAAAACAATTCTTTTCAACATACCCTTTGGCGCTGTACAGCTCGTGGCAACAATGGGAGGGGCGTGGCTAGCGACCAAGCTGAAAATGAAGGGACCTGTCATAGCCCTGTTATCTTTGCCTGCCATTGCAGGCTGCGTCATGCTCCTGCAGCTTCCTCGTGACGGTCATCACAATGGAGCATTGCTTGCAGGATATTACATTGTAAGACTTCGTGGGTACTGATACTTACATAGCTCTGCTAACTGGAGACAAGATTTCTGTGTATCCTGGAATTAGTATGTTCGCTACGGGACATTGCGAGTGGATTGAGCTGACAGACCATTAGCGCCCATGATCTATTCGTGGTCTGCAGGAAACACCGCCGGTGAGACGAAGAAAAAGATTGTGAATGGCATAGTCCTAATTGGACAATGCGCCGGTAACGTAGGTGAATGATTAAGTCTAATCAGAACTGTTTACTTATACCCGACAGGTTCTCGGCTCGAATCTGTACACAACTACAGACGCGCCCTTGTATCGACGTGGTTTGCTATCCAAGTGGGTGATAGCAATGGACTCATAATATGGTACCCATACTGACTGCAATTATAGTCTTGCAATGTTCTGTCTCCTCGTCCTCCTCCCCATGTAAGCTCGATCTACTGACCCCCTGCACGGGTACATGTGCTTACCTACACTTCGCTAGGATGAATATGGCATACCTGTATTTTCTCAACAAAAAGCATGAGGAGAAACGAGTGAGTATGGGTAAGAGTGCAAAGATCGTCGATCATTCGATGCAAGCTGTTGGCTCAGTGCCAGTGGACAAAACCGAGCCTCAACAACCCGCGGTGAGCGAAGACAACGCGTTCAAAGATCTCACGGACTGGGAGAACGAAGACTTTGTCTATGTGTACTGAGCAAAAATCGTTTTAGTCATGGCAAAGCAAGATACACAGATATGGGTGTCAAGTTAATGAACCAGTCATCTTGTAAGGCGCTTTATACCTAGGCGATGAAGGCTTGTTGTTGGATGGAGTATATTGAGAATTCATTGCTTAAAGCTTGTCACCGGATTTTAATTCTTCCACGTAGGTATACTACGAAGTTGTAATAGGTTTAGCCACCTCTAGATCAGGCTCAAATAGTGTGATCCTTAGCTTGTTCTAAGCGGAGACATGCGTTAACGTTAGTAGTTGTATCGGCATTTCTTTACCCGAGCCGGCGAGTCTCCGGTGTTGACGGCGTTGCCCCGCTCCCATTAATATCATTGATACAACGATCCGCGTCCTTCTTGCATTAACCCTTTCTGTAATCTATCCTAGTTGACTTTGGTACATACATTACCAACCAGATGGAGTCTGACGGTTCCTCGTGTATGGTGTCGGCCCCGATTGGGAAAAAGCGCATTCCCGTACAGTTTTTTCCCTTCTCCGGGATATGCATGTGTTACTTGGCTAACTCTTGCTAATCACAGAAGGCTTGTAGCGCTTGTCGACAGTCTAAAGTGTGCCTAGCTCTGCGATATTTTCGCCTATATATCCATTAACCTTCCTGTAGGTGAGATGTGACGGGAAACGACCATGTACTAGGTATTATCGCCCTTTCTCATGCATCTGCACTAGAGGGTGAAAATGCTTTGCTCACAAGTGGAATAGGTGCAGGCGCTCGCGGAAGCAATGTGTATTCTTCGAGATCCCAAGGGATCCGTCCTCAGAGTATGTCTACACACCTCGTCTCTTCAAAAACGACCCTTTGGGTATTGGTAGAAGTGACAAAAACTGACCAAAACTGAAGACGGCTAGGAAATGTGGAGGCTGAAGTACAGAGACTGCAAGCACGATTGAGTGATATGCACGAGGTGCTTCAGCTTCACATACGGCAAAATCCAGGACCTCTTGGAGATGTAGCCCAGGGTCAAATTCCAGGGCAGCAGATCCCAATTCCTTCGCCAAGTCATATTATGTCGGATCCTGGGCCAATGCCTACATTCCTTGGAGCGACAGACCCCAGCGACTATCATCATCGTGGTCCGAGGTGTATATCAACTCATCGGAACGGATCTATCTTCCAGCAACTGCAAACCGCAGAGGTGAATAGTCCACATCCCGCTAGGCAGAGGCGCTCCGGGTTCGATATTAGAGAAGAGCCTATCTCCGATTTTATCAGTAAGGGCTTGATGACAGTTGACCAGGCCATGTCATGCTTTAGAACGTAGGTGCTGCGAGTCATTGTGCATTATTTGTGAGCTTCTTGCTGATCCAACATAGGTTTTTCCAAGGCTGCGTACGTATGTCTGGTCTCTACTCTCGATTGGCTTGGAGGCTTATCTTTCGGGCAATTTTAGGATAGGTATATCCCAATTTTCGACCCGGAACTCGACAACTTTGCGTCGGTGCGTGCTCGCAGTAGCATACTTTTGAATGCCATCTGTACAATTGGTAGTCGCGTTGAGACAAGTATGGTAAACTTCATCAAGTCGCAAATGACACATCATCGCGGTTGTATAGCTGATGGACTTCAGAATCCGGATCCCAGATTTCTGATTTGTTGCACGCAGAGCTCAAGAGATGGATCAATGTTGTGATTCAAAACAAAACGCTGAACTGCCTAGAATCCATACAGGCGCTTCTTATTGTAGCATGCTATTCTGCCGAACGTTCTCTCCTACTTTCATTTGCGACCCGGATGGCATTGGACTTGAGCTTGGACGAGGCATTCGAAGAACTCATACAGCGACTAACCATGAAAGGGATTGAAGGCATATCTGAATCTCACATGGCAACTGATGAAGAAGACCGTTCCTTGATGCGCAAATCCCGGACCTGGTTTGGCCTCCTTGTTTTGGATCATATGTATGTTCACACTCTATTGTGGGACCTATTTAGACTGACTATCTCCAGATTCCATGTAGATGGCGGAAAGCCGCCTGGTATTCGGATGAGGGGAAATGCACATCGATGCCGCATTTTGCTCCGTCATCATACGTCGACAATCTTGGATTTACGTCTGTTTTCTCAGGTTGAGGTATGGTCCCTATTTTCATTTGATAATAAATGTGGGCTGACTATGAAATGAAAGTTGAATGTTATACGTGGTAATTCCGATAGCCATATCTTCAACATGAACACAAGAGAGTTACTTACAACCCTGGACAGCAAAAATCAATGACACTCTAGACACGAAGGAGACGCTAGATAGACCGGATATTGCCGAATTTGTGCACGAGGCCAAGGTAGATCTTGACCTGTGGTTTGAGTAAGTGAATCAATTATTTCCGCTGTTTACATCACTCATGGAATCATTTAGCGATTGGTTGCGCATCATCGGTAGGATCCGTTCATCAACACGTAAAATCATATGGTCGTACTAATGCGGATGGAAATCTTAAGAAAACTCGATTGCAGCAGAACAAGAGAGACCCTTCCTCTTAGCAGCCCTACGCGTCCAAAAATGCTGGGCTGAGCTAATCCTCCACTGCAAAGCCCTGCTATCAATGGGAGTAGAGAATGTGGCGTACGTATCATTTTCCCATCAGTGAAAATATCATGCCACCCTTGCATTAACATAAAACTAGTGCCATGTCCCCTATTGAACACAATATTCTCCTACTCGCCAAGTCTAGTGCCCGAAAACACCTCCGCGTCATAAGCACGGAGCCAGACTTCTACCTTGCCAAGCTGAAATACGCCATGGACTTTGTCTGGGCCAAATGCGCGTTCTGCTTCCTACTACTTTTGAAACTCTCTCGGCTTCTCCCGGAACGAAGGGAGGAGCACCAAGAACTGCTGGACCACGGAAACAGACTTCTTGATGAGCTAACTCGGTCCGTAGGATCCAGCGGGGAAACTACTGGAAATGGAAGCATCTACATGCAAATTCTAAGGCTAAGTATTGAGAAATACGGCCGAATCTTTCAGGAAAGAGAAGCGGGTGGGGATCCGGTGGCTACGGCGCCATTCTGGGAGTCGTTTGATGCTCAGGCGGACTTGCAGTCTTTTGTGCCTGAGCAATTTGTTCGAGAGTGGGACTTTCCGGGGCTGAATTTGTTTTATTTCCCTACTGCGTGGCAGGATTTCTTTGGGGACTTTTCGCTAGCTGTTTGATTATTTTTATTTGTACCATCGTATCAATACTCAAGGATGATGAAATACTCTCAAGTTGCATGAATACAAGACCTCCTTCTAAGTACACAGGTCATAAGCCTAACCCAACCTATACACATCATTCCGTAAACAAGATGCTACTTGTACAACTTCACCCATTTCGTACATATACAGAATACCCAGTTTTAGGTCTGCCAAAAGAAGATCTACACAATAGGACAACAGGGATCCGAATCCTTCAGTGGATCAAACTCAAAAAACCTAGTATACGAACCATCCAATCAGACTCACTCAACTTCCAAAAATATACACTAAGTTAACATCCGACATGCCGACATCTAAGCCCTACTCGGAGTATACCAGTATCCCTGCGAAACAAACATAGTATAAGAATGAGTCTTCAATCTCTCTCAACTGAGCTATTCAAACGCCCCCGTTACTATCCCTCATCCGAAAAGTGAACCCTCTCAGCATGGTAGGCCACAACGACCCCAAGACCGGATGGTAAGTTCATTTAATCCCTCCTTTATACCCTGACGATATACCTTCGAATCAAACTAATTTTCAATAGGTGGATGGGAGAGCCTGGAAACTCCGGTACGTTAATACTCACACTTTCTCACGAACCATCCACCGTAGATCAATCAATCCGAGAAAAAAGAGAATCCAAAACAAGAAGGAAATTCCCCATCATGAACCCAAACTAAAACAAAGAATAGTCCTCCCCACCCCAATGCGCATAGCCACCTATGCCCTATCTCCAAACCGACAGAGACCCTTTGCCGGGGCGTTCCACGCTGCCATATATAATACGTTCCGCAGATGCAGGCACCAGGTGTTATATGTTGTGCCGCCCTTTCTGATTGCTTATGCGGCGATGAATTGGGCGAATGAGAGGTAGAGTGTTGAGGTGGTCACTGTATTGTATATGGACATACGTGCTGATTTGGTTTAGGAATGAGTATCTGAATTCGAAACAGGGGAGGTTGGAGAGGGCTGACTCGGCTCAGTGAAGGTTGGGTTTGTTGTTTGTGTATTACGCGTTTTAAATCATGTAGATCATGGGGGGAGTCTAGATTACTTTTCTGAGCTAGAAAAGGTATATTTATTTGTATCTTTTCTAAAGGTCTTGAATAGTTTGTTGTTTCTGAAGGGGGTGGGAAATGTTCGCTGCGCAGTATAGATATATACATTCTGGGTATTCCGCAAGCACAAACCACCCAACGAACCATACAACCATTAGACCCATGGATAGAGTCGATGTAGTACACGGTATCTGAAAAAGTACATTCTAGACCCAAAGCCTAGAGCAACATTTACTCAAAACCATGGAACACAGGCCGACAAATTACATAATTGGAAAGAAGCTTTCAAGTGAATTTATACGAGCCAAACCCCGCATTTCCACTTTTCGAACTTCATAGCTTCATAACAATTAATCTAGTAACTAATTCTGTTTAAAAGTGAGACTCATATTTTTGTACCAAAGCTATCTATCTGTACATCTATCACTCTATCCAATACAAACAGACAGAGCTCAGTACCCATCATGAGCCCACCAAACCAAAATGTAAGCAGCCTAACAACTACACTTATATCAAGATCTTGGATAAAACAAAACATAAAACTCCCACCTCAACATCCCTGAGAAAACCTAACAAAAAGAAAAAAAAAAAAATAGATAGTCTCCCCAACCGAATTCCAAGAAGCCCACAACACCCACCTCGCCCTCGAAAAAGCAGCAACTCACCAACTCCAAGCGCTCGCCGCAGCGCGCCGTTCTCTCCCCATAGTTCCAGTCCCGGATGCCTCGCGCTTCAGGTTCGACACGGCCGACGGCGAGAAAACTCTCCCCGAACTGTTCGCCGGCCGGAAGCAGCTAATCATGTACCATTTTATGCTGGGGCCGGAGGACGAGAAGGGCTGCGTGGGGTGTTCATTTTGCATGGATCATATTCCTGATTTGCGGCACCTGGAGAGTCGGGATACGAGTTTTGTGGCGGTTGCGAGGGCACCGGTGGGGAAGATTGAGGAGTATAAGAGGCTTACTGGGTGGGGGTTTCCATTTTATAGTTCGAAGAAGACGCATCGGGCGTGGGAGGAGGCGGAGAAGGGTGGCGAGGTCATTACTTGGAAGCCTGGGAATGGGTATTTTGGGTTGTGTGTGTTTTGGAAGGGGGATGACGGGGAGGTGTTTCATACGTATTCGACTACGGATCGGGGCATGGAGATCCTGCTTGGGACGTATCATTTGTTGGATATGACGCCGTTGGGCCGGCAGGAGGTGGGGAATGGGATGAATGATTTTCGGAGAATTTATGAGTACTGAAACGGTGGCTGGGGATGTGAGGCTGGGTTCCGCTGACGTCGGACGTTGTATACATTGAGCAAATCTCATGTAGTAGTCATGTAATATCACGCATATTTCCAGTGTGGGCCTTCTTGTTTCAAGGATGGGTTTCAATGTTTCTTTCGTGAGCAGTTGAGCTCCGGGTGATAGCGCCATGGCTCTGATCTATAACCCATCAAGAGTCTTAGATGCAGTTTTATAATGAGTCAAAAAGAAAAGAGAAAAGAAAAAGGGTGGAAGGAAAGAAAGAGAGATTAAAAACACGGGTGGGGAATTTAACACAAGGAAAAGAAAGAAAGAAAAGAAATAAAAAATGATGAACATGAAGAGAATCCTGGACGCGTCCCAATGCTGAGAGAAAAGAAAATCAAGTAAAGGAAAGCAAAATGCGTATCGACAGAAACGCAGAGTAGAAATCCTCCCACTGCAGCCACTTCATCCCACCAAGGGAAAAGAAGTCGTCAACATCACTTCGTCCCAATGTACATAATCGTTACTTCACTTCATCGTCTATACGTTCTTGTAGAGCAACAACGGTTCGCCGACATTCTCAATCTCGGGAATAGTGCACTTCAGGTCGAAAGCCTTGGCCAGGACGATCTTGAAGATCTAACAGATAGTTAGTATCGGACGAAACCGGGTTCGGAAATTATCTCCGTTCGCACCTTTTGTACGTTGATACTGTGGCTGGTGCTGCTAAAAATCAAGCTGGCCTTCATGGCCTTGGCAAACCTCTTGGCCTGAGCTCAAATTAGCGTGGTTATTGGTAGATTTCTTCACGCTAACAAACATACCTGGATCGAGATCTCTTCCTGGTCTTCCCGGGGGAAGTTGACAAAGTGATCGTATTTTGTGCCAACGAGGAAAGGGATCGCCGTCTTATTAAAACCACGACCCTGGCGGTACCACTCCTTAATAGAGTTCAACGTGCTCTTGCGAGTGAGGTCAAACATGAAGAGGATCGCGACAGCATCGTTGCAGACAAGAGGAAGCATATTGACGAATTCACGCTGCCCACCCAGATCCCAGATGGAAAAAGTAATCTCCGTATTCCGGATAGAAATCGTTTTCTCCATGAAGTTTACACCTGCGCAAGGTTAGAACTGTGCCCACAAATAGAGACCCCCCGAATATTATCACATACCCAACGTTTGAATGTAGTCTTCGTCCCAACTGCCCTCCACATATTTGACCATCAGACTGGTCTTTCCGATCTGAGCGTCCCCAACCATTCCAACCTTGATCACCACGCTGTTCTTCGTTTGTTGTTGCGACGCTTGTTTCTGGCTGACATCCTGGCTCGTCTGGGAGACCCCGGGGGCACTGGACAACCCGGAACTTGGTCGAGACAACGAAGGGATCTGAGGTTGGGCCAAGGGAGAAGGAGTTGGCCGGGTATCATCATGAGATTGATAACCGCGAGTGGGGGAGTGGTATTCGACGGCGGAATGGGAGGGATAGTGGGCGCGCGAATCGCTGCTGTAACCGTCCTTGTAAGCCGCCGCGGGGCCCATATCCTCCGTCACATGAGGATCCTGTTCAATCTGATCCGCCACATGGGGTGTGCTGGCGGTCGGAAAATGTGACGCATCCATATCGAGAGGAGTGTTTCAACTAGGAGGGTTGTTGGACAAAGCTTTCCACAGCCCCTGTGGGAGTGCCTGAGGGTGAACACAGCCGCAGCTCCAGAAGAGGGAGAGCGTCAACAGCCCGATCGCCACTAGTCCGCGATAGGCTTAGCGCCGTTGCCCGTCGGGCTTCGCAGAAAAAAAAAAGTTCCTGAACCCTAATCAGTAATTTTCCCTCTCTTTGGAAGGTTGGTTTCTGCCGCACGACTGGTTCGTCGACAGCTTCTATTTAATCCCTGCCAAACAAAACTTGTACACCATGTCGAAGAGAGCCGCCGACGTTTCCGATGAGCAATCCGCCGCTCTTAAGGCAGGAGAGCGCCCGATGACCGAAGCCCCTCCCGACGAGGTGGGGGAATTCGAGGACGAGTTCGAGGACGAATTCGAGAGCGAAGATGAGGTCCTCGAGGCCGGTGTGGATGGCCGTCCTGATGCGGAGCGGGAAGAGGAAGAAAAGGGTAAGCTCTCATGTTCATCTGGTTTTACCGGTTCAGCTCTGATTGCGCCCGTGTCCAGATGCGATGGAGGTCGACCAGCAGACTTTCATCCCCGGAAGAACGAAACTCGCTCCCGGAGAGGTGCTTTCGCCAGACCCTTCTACGTATAATATGCTACACACCCTCACAACACCCTGGCCCTGTCTTTCCTTCGATATTGTCCGCGATAATCTGGGCGACAACCGCAAGACTTTCCCCGCGACCGTCTACGCAGTAACTGGTACACAGGCAGAGGGACGTCGATCAAAGGAAAACGAGCTCATGGTCCTGAAGATGAGTGGATTGAGCAAGATGGAGAAGGAGAATGATACCGACTCGGAGAGTGACTCGGATGACGATGACGACATGGGAGAACCTATTCTCGAGCACAAGAGTATCCCCTTGGGATCGACAACCAACCGGATCCGTTGCCATCAAACCCCCTCGTCCTCTGGAGATTATTCCAAGCCTCCACAAACCCTCACTGCTACCATGCTGGAAAACTCGCAGGTGGTCATCCACGACGTCACCCCTCATCTGACAAGCTTCGATGTTCCCGGCACCGTTCTCCCTCCTTCCGCCTCGAAACCTCTCTCTACTCTTCGCATGCACAAATCCGAAGGTTACGCACTGGATTGGTCTCCTCTGCAACCACTGGGCAAACTGTTGACCGGTGACAACGATGGTTTGATCTACGTTACGACGCGCACCGAAGGTGGCGGTTGGGTTACTGATACGCGGCCCTTCACTGGACACGCTTCGTCGGTCGAAGAACTGCAATGGTCTCCTAATGAGCGGAATGTCTTCGCTTCCGCTAGCAGTGACGGTAGTGTGAAGGTGTGGGATGTCCGGTCTAAGTCCCGCAAGCCCGCTGTAGACGTGAAGGTTTCCAACACCGACGTTAATGTCATGACATGGTCGAACCAGACGTTCCACCTTCTCGCTACTGGTGCCGACGATGGCCAATGGGGCGTCTGGGATCTGAGACACTGGAAGCCGAATGCCTCGGCGCCGTCATCCCAGATCACGGCATCGCCTGTCGCCGCCTTCGACTTCCACAAGGAGCCTGTCACCAGTATCGAATGGCATCCCACCGATGACAGTGTGGTGGCCGTTGGTTCCGCCGATAACACCGTAACTCTGTGGGATTTGGCTGTCGAACTTGATGAGGAGGAGAGCCGGGAAGCCGGTCTGGCAGACATTCCGCCTCAATTGTTGTTTGTGCATTACATGGAGTCGGTCAAGGAAATCCACTGGCAGGCCCAGATGCCCGGTACTATCATGGCTACTGGCGCTGCTGGATTCGGGTATGTATATTCGGTTACGAATATGAGAAGGAGTCAACACGCTAACCCATTCTTCACAGAGTATTCAAGACGATCAGTGTTTAAAAAAGATAAAAGTGCGATTCCGAGATATATGCCCCACGACTTGCCGTTCTCATACCTTTTATACCATTTGTTTAATGGAAGTTCATTTAAAGTTCTCAGGGAAATAGAAGTCAATGAATCTGATGACATTGTGATATTATGCAAGACATGACGGCACAAATCATGGGTGATGATGACTGACGAGTGTATTGAGTCGGGAGGCTGATTGGGTTTCGAGCGACAGTTTTAGTGTTGTGCTCAGGGCGCTTCGTTGACGATCCGTATGTCGGCAAATGATTGTCAAATGCCGTCGGGGTGTAAGCGAACAGGTGACCAATCCTGATTTGTCGTAGATTGACCCAGCTAATGCGAGATGCATATACACTGTGGCAGGGAAAAAGAACAGAAATTCTTATAAAAGCCAAAACTGGCAATGGATACTCCTTTTGCGACGTGAAAGCATGCCGCAGAGAGACACGTGTGTAAGATAGCAGTAGACCGAGAGCAATTCCTTAGTTGGGAGAGTCTCCCGTGACATATCAAAAAGTCTTTTCCCCATGGAATTTCGTGGGGGTCTTTGAAAGTCTGGGGCATCCAATCAGACACACGCTGAAAACGGATCCCCATCCATGGGCAAATGCGGGGAAAGCTGTGCCTCGATTGGTGTGTTAAAGGTCGTCGCCAACCTTGAGCACATCCCTCGCCTCAAACCTTCCATTTTGTTGTTAATCTCTCGGACCGTCACTCCTTTATCCTTTATTGCTTGTCCCTGCAGTGCGCAGACCTTCCGGGTTGATCAGCTCGCTAAACCAATCCGTCCATGCTTGTGCTGAATCTGTATATTTTCCCCGCTGCGCTCATTGCTCAGCACCAGTTGCCCCGCAAACTGCCATGAGGATCGGGAGGGGATGTGAGCGCTGTCGCCTTCGTCACATTCGGTGTACCACTCGCGCGGGAGCGTCGTCCTGTAATGCATGCGCTCGCTTAGGGCGGACGTGTCGTCTGGATCCTCCGTTCCGTTTCAAGACCGTCCGCCATGTGTATCAGAAGAGCCAAGGGACTGCCTCTAAGTTCGAATTGGAGTGGGACTCCGCACAGACTTGGGTGAATGTTCCTCAGTCTTGTATGTTCTGTTATTTCTCCCTATGTGTTCTTTGTTCTCCATGTCAATCCCAATGCAACCCGGCCTAACCCTGTTTAGTGACCTTCGTTCAAGAGTCTGCCGAAGAGTCTGCGGATGGAAGCATCAGCGATGCTCCACCTGAGCCTCAGGGTGATCCCCAGCTCCCCTCGAACGGCCCTCATACATACATCCCTGATCCTTTCACAACTCACCTGCCTATCTCTGGATCTCTAAATCCACACGATGAGGCCATTGGCATCCCCCATGTGGAACCGGCGGTATCGACTCCCTCCACACACGATGACCAACATTCAACCAAAGCCACGGCGATCTCGCCGAGGGCTGTCAATGATATGGTCTCTCCTTTGGCATCCAATAGTACATGGTCGCCCATGACTCCATCCACTCCACGCTCGACCTCCTCATCGACGATGACATCGCGAGAAGCGTTCTTGTTGCGCTCATACATCAACAAAATATCGCACTGGGTAAGAAGCCATACAATGTTCAGTCATACCTTTTAGTATCGGAGGATCTGATTGAGACAACAGTTAGATATCTGTGACTCGGCATCGACTTTCAATAGCGAGGTGCCTCGCAGAGCGCTACATGTACCGATGGTTCTGAAAGCAGTGTTGGCGCTATCTGCTCGACATGATGCCATCATGTCCGGTGCTAGTGATTGGGAGGCCTCCGAATACCACAGTCAATGTGTAGAGTTGCTGCTCGCCGCCCTTGCGCGGCCTGAGGAAACATACGATGACAACATGCTTATTTCAGTTGTGATCCTGCGGATCTATGAGGAACTCGAAAGTACGACCGACGAAAAGTGCCATTGGCTTGGTTCCAATCGGCTGCTCAATACTATGTCCCGAGCGGCATCATCAGGCGGGTTGACGGAGGCCGCCAGCTGGCAGTTTCTACGGCAAGCCATCTACGCATCTCTTGTTCAAAATCAGCCTATGCAGCTGGACCTTCGGAACTATGAACGGTCATCTGTTTTCAAGCGGGGCGACGATGCCGCCTATGCCAACACGATTATCTTCTACTGTGCCCGGATAATACAACTTTGCTCGGAAGGCCATGTTGCGGCCGTGGATGAGGAGGACTGGCACGAGATGTCCAGTAAGGTGGAGCAGTGGTACCGCGACCGGCCTGTCAGTTGGCAGCCATTGCAGTACAAAGACGCCAACCCAACAGAGAATCGACCATTTCCCGAATTATGGGTCATGTCACCCCCAGCTGGTATGTACTCGAGTTAGAGTGTGGACTGAGATATATGTTAACTGTTATAGTGGTCGGGCTGCAATATTACCACACCTGTCAAATTCTCCTCACGTCGTCTGACCGTCACTGGGGCGTCGTGAGCAACTATGAGCGTGCCCGGCTCAGACGTATAGAAGAGGTTCGTTCTTCGGAGTGCTATCGATAATTTCATATACTCACAGCCCGCAGAAAGTGATTGCATCCCACGTGGTGCAAGTGATTGGACTATCCTCGTCGAACGAAACAGTCGAGAATGCCTATTTCATGGCTTGCCACCTACTATATCGATGTAAGTTCGCAGTTATCCGGCTAAATCGCTTTTCCCATGCTAACCTGTAATATCACAGATGGACACTGCCTGCGCCACCCCGTCGAGAAGCGGGGATCGTTCAAATTCCTCACTCATGTGGAGAGCTCCGTGGGCTGGCGCACGGGATGGATTATTCGCGAATTAGAGGATCAATGGAACGAGTTGCAGGGATTGGATTCGTGGGAGCTGTAGTAGCTGCAGCTATGACGGATGTATAGTACGCTTTTTCTCTTTTTCTTTTTTCTCTTTTTCTCTTTTGGGTTGGAGTTGGCGTTCCGGCAACCAGTCAACACCTTCATGAGGACATGATGCAATGATTATCTCGATGCCTGATGAGCGGGGTTGGCGACAAGTGGGTCTTGGCGTACAGGGGATAGAAAACTAGATAGATGATATAGAAATTAGAGATATAAATAGATCACGATGTGAAGAATTGTTCCTGCCTGCACTATATCAAGTCAGTTGGTGTCGCTAAAGTAAGTAGTAAGCAGTCAGTACCAAAGACGAGTTAAGGTTCTTTGTTCGCACCCCCAGGCATCCATATATTCCATGGAATGCCAGATGAAGATCGAATCCATAACCACCAATCGCGCTGGGCAAACTCTCGGAAAATTTCCCAGCTACATTAGCTCGTGCAGTGGGATACCAAAGTTTGACAACACTGTTGCCTACTTACACAGTAGTAACTGAGGAAGTACCACTCCACGGACCATCGGCACCAAGCGAAATCACTTACTTAACAAAAGAAGCCCTAACACAAGATAAAAATAGCAAAAATCTCATTACTCCTACAAGATACACACTCGAAATACTTGCCGAATAATTATCCAGCAAATTTCGTAAATCACCCAAGCAAACAAATAACTCCTATAGATGAACCCAAGAAAAATCACATGCCGCCAACCCAAGATCTACAAATAACTGATATAAATCAGTGACACAGTTCAACATTGCGAAACAAGGGTCCAAGGGCCAAGGGATCCTGAAAGTGGAGACTTCGGTCATATGTTGGCTTTTGGGGCGGTGCTATTCTTCTTTTTGTTTTTCTTTTCTTTTCTTTTCTTTTTTTTTCATTGCTATTTTATTATTATTATTATTTCAATTTCGTTTTGGGTTTCTTCTGGTCGCTAGCTGGCTCACGTTGCATTGTACTATTGCACTATTCTAGTGCCCTATTCCTTGTCTGGTAGGTGGTAGAAGTAGCCCCGAACCGTAGAAGTCTCGGTGAAGTGGAAGCTAGCAAGAATTGCCCTATCTTGGCGCCGTGCCTGATGGATTTTCCTAGGTTAGTTTCTGCTAATCCCGGAGGTGGCCGTCGCAGGGAGACGGGACGGAAATGGGATGGGATGTGATTCGTATGTTGTTGTTAGATGTAACTGGCCCGAGGTTTAGTCTTCTTCTAGTTGTTCACTTGTGGTTGATCTCTATCGGAGGGGGATTGCGTTCCGAATGCCGGGTTGGGAAAAAAAAACTTGATATACCGTAGGTACTTGTACTAGACGACTAGTAGGTGGTGTATCTTTTCTTCAGTTGCTCAGCCACTCGGTGGTTTATGCGAGTGATTAGATTACGGATATTGTACTCCGTACAGGTCTTTTGTTTGTGATTTCATTATTCATTTTAGTTTAATTATCTTGGGGGGTTATTATTCATGTAAATACCCTTTTGGTTTTCTTTTCTTCTTGTTGCTTTTTGACTTTTTATTTTTGTTTTTGTTTTTGTTTTTATTTTTATTTTTTAACTCCACTTCTTACGTCTTGAGGAATTGTATGTGTTATACTGCGATTTGCATATCGCAGTTCTAACCCGCGCGAATGAAGTCAAGACATGTACGGTCTATTTCGGGGCTTTTGTCGGCTGGGACTGGGATTTTGGCTTCGGAGTCATGTATGTTATTTCTCTCATTTTTCTCTTTTTGTAGTTTGATTTGATGTCTGGCTGTTATTTCAGGTCGAATTAACACGTTGAACGCAGGCTCAGGAAACTTAAACATATCCTCCCAATCCGACGCCGACGGCCTCAAAGACTGCGAGACTATTAACGGCCCGCTGACTATCTCCTCCTCCGCCAGCGGCACCATCAGCATCCCCGAAGTCCAGGACATCAAAGGCCCGTTTACGATCGACGGATCGTCGAATCTCAATGGCGTCACCGCTAGTAATTTGGAAACCGTCAGTGGGCCACTCACGATCACCGGTAATGGCGCGTTGAATAGTGTTTCGCTGTCGAATTTGCAGAACGTCGGGGGTGAGCTGAGGATTCAGGGGAATGAGGGGTTGAAGGAGGTGAGGTTGGATGATTTGGAGAGGGTTAATGGGAATTTGGTTCTAAATGGGGATTTTGATCGGTTGGTTTTTCTTTTTTTTTTTTTCTTTTTTTTATTCTCTTTCTCTTCCTCTGTTCGGTATTTTGTAGTGGTTGGTAGTTTGGTCATGATGTGGGTCAATATAGCATATCGCTTAGCAATCTGGAGAATGTCTACGGCCAAACGACGATTCAGAGTTCGGGCTCGTTTCAGTGCTCGAGTCTGGATAAGCTTGTGTCGGATAAGAATGCTTT